GGATCGAGGCTCGCATGCAAAACATACGCATCCCTATCTTCTGCCGACACTGGACTTGCGACTCGCTGTGGCCAAATATTTGTATTTGGCAGAGCCGTTTGCGCGAGCAGGCCGCCGCGTGCGCAGCGCGTTTGTAGTTTCGTACAGGGTCGCCGACCGGCAGACCCCGAACCGCCATCACCCAGCGGTGCCCCGCAGCCCCGGCACACGCGGCGCAGTGGTAGCGCTCGCACAGTCCCGTTCCCCGACCCGCACCTGCTTTTCCAGGCAGCCCGCTAACCGTGTTGAATGTTCCCGTCGCGCGCCTAGCGCCAGGGGCCGAGCGAGGAGGCTGCTGGGAGCGTTTCGAGGCCGCTTTGGCTTAGGCGGATCTGCAGCCATCTGTCGAGTACGCGTACGCGCGTTGGGAGTTATGCTTTGTACGTACCGCGCACCTTATCTCGAATTTATGAAGATTTATGAGCACCGTCTGTCGAGTACGCGTACGCGCGTTGGGAGTTATGCTTTGTACGTACCGCGCACCTTATCTCGAATTTATGAAGATTTATGAGCACCGTCTTTGACAGGCGTGGTCGGGCAGGCACTGGCGCGCGGCGGCCTGAGGCTTGTGCGGCGTGCACGATGATGAGGACGCGGCGGGCCGGCGAGTATTGGTGGCATGGACGTTGTGTGTGTGCTGCTCGACCTTTTGCAGCCGACATATTCTTGAACGTCGGCGTGCTCGGAGTGTACCTACTTATGTATGTTATGGTCGCCACACCAGCAACCGGATCTCGGTGAGGGGCGGACAGCACCCGAGAGCCAGTACGGGCGTTCCGTCGACGCGCTGTTACGCGACGCGCGCGATGCAGGGACATCCTGGCACTCCCCGTCGCGTGCGTCGCGTAGGGCGCGCCACGCGGCTGCAGCCCCCTGCGGCGCGGCGGAGCTCGACAAACAGGGGATCGCCGCTAGCGCTTGTGTTAGCGTACCGTCGGCATGCAGGAGGCCGCCGTGGCCAGGAGGGGAAGGTCGCGCACTGTGGACACACACATCAGCGGGTAGCTGGCGGTGGTCGCGACCCTGGACGGGTAGATAGGAGGCTTGTAGAGATGGAATAGGGCTGCTCAATTCTGGCCGGACGTGGTCGCTGGTCACTCCAGAGGGTGTGCCTTGGCGTTGATGCAGTTAAGCGACAGTACGCGAGGAGGTGCAGAACGTCAAATTGTCCCGGTCGGTTGACGCAGGCACCTCCCAAATCCAGTAACTTTTGGAACTCCTCCCTAAACCTCCTCTGCTCATGGCGGTACTTTGGGCCATAGGGGGCCTGACGGCGAGCGGAAAAAACACAGGTGGACACGATTATCCACAGAGAGGCTCATAGTGAAATATCATGGAGCTCAGAGGCCCCCAAGCTCCAATGCATGGGCGGGAGGAAAGCCACCCAGCGACTCCCCAACTAGGGTTAGGTGGGGTTACACCGGTCGCAGGACTTTTCGGCTATCCTCGCTTCAGTCCATCAACTCCATCAAACGAGCTCTGCAGTGACCAGCGACCACGTCCGGCCAGAATTGAGCAGCCCTAATGGAGGCGTGCGGGGAGTGCGGAGGGTGCATAACACTGTGCGCGTTCCGTATTCATGTTTGGAAGGGCGGCGGGAATGGTATGTTTGCTCGGGGATTCGTAGCTCCAGGGGTGCGTTGCACGAGAGCCCGGTCCATGGAGGGCTGTTGCATGACAAGGACGTAGATGCCGAATGCATAATTATGTCCAAGGTTAGCTGCAGCCGACGTTCAGATGACCCCGCGTAGAGATGTGGATGACTGAGAGGGATGTCCTCGGTAGAACGGCCAGCCCCAGACTTACCCTAGGCTCACGTCAGAGTAGCACCGCAGAAGCACCATCGTCGGGGACACCCATAGTGCCATATGCCGCATACCTTGGAGCACTAGATGTAGGCGGCCGGCCCCGAGGATCCTATGAAGTCTAAGCCCGAGGCCGCAGAGCAGACACAGGCGGTGAGTTGCAAACCAGTGTGATCCCCCAACTTCGGAATCGCGGTCAAATTCGCCCCCAAGAGAGTCCCCGGGCCCGCCCAGATGACGAGCCGCACAAAGCTCGGAGCTCCGTCGAGAGCGAGCGGGCCATCCGAGAGACGTATCGCCGCAGGCGAGCCAAGTCCGCAACTTCGTGCGTGAGCACCCGCACCCCAGGTCGGGCATAGACACGGCCCAGGACTGCAGCATGGCCCAAATATACCGCCAAGCGCCGCATTCGCCACCGCCGGGCTGTGCACATGCGTTAAGGAACAGTTTAAGCAGGACGCACTGGTAAGTTCGACCTGGGACTGGGATTAACACGCGCCTCGCGCATGCCGCCGAGCTAGGACGCCCATGCTGTATGTGGGGCTCGCGCTATCCGCACCGCCATGCGGGGGGCCGGCCACAACGATACGTATATGGGGAAGAGTCGTGCACCGGCGAGAGAACGAGGGAAGGTTGAGTACGGACGCGGCGTGCAGCCCGAGGATCTCGGAAACGGCATAGGCCCAGCGCAACGCACGCGTGGCCGCCCTTTTGTCCCGGGTACCTCCCCGCATACTTACATGCGCGATAATCGCGTGGCCGCTGCGCAACGGGAGGGGGTGGGCGCAGAGGCACAAAGGACACTTGCCAGTGGCTCAGGCCTTAGGGGCGGATCATGCAGGGCATGGCGGTCGCGCGGCCGCGTAGTATGTCATCGCGCCGCATAAAGGCATCGCGAGGACACACATAGGTGTATATGTGCATGCCGCATACGTAGCACCGTCCCGTAACCCCCTCGGACGCGCAGGCACATTGCACCGCGCGCGCGATAAGCTCGCCCCGCTACGTAGTATACGCCGGCGCAAGTAATCTGCGCACGGCAGACGAATACATAATCGAACGACGGCGTCATTCATGCTTGGGCGGCATGGGCGCCTGCGCGCGTCCGCAGGGGGATCGTCGCGCACGAAGCGGGCATACCCCGGGGGCGCGCACCGGTCTCCGTGCGCGCGGCGCGCGAGCACGGGAAAAGCTGCGTCGCGCGTGCGACGCCCCGGTCTGCAGACGTCAGCGCGATACGAGATACGAATTGCAGAGGCCCAGGACGGGCGCGCCGCGCGATGCGCATATCCGACGTGTGTGCGGGGGAAGGAACAGAGCTGCAGAAGCCCGAGGAGTGCTCATTCGTCCGGTCGGATATCTGGGGTAGGGAGGACGCTGGGTCATTTCCGCGCCGTGGCCGTGTCTCCGTGTCCTGCAGGTGCAAATCACCAATGAGAGAGGACCGTAACGACCCCGCGGACACCCCGTACCCGCAAGCGGTGCGAAGAGAGACGGGCCCCGCGCGGCGGGCTCGGGCACTGCGACGGCGCGCGGGTGGGCATACAGGGGACAGGGTCGGACGTGCGAGCGAGCGATGCGCCGCGCGGCGTCTGTCAGTGGCTGGCCATGGGCATATGGGCCACGCCGGAGGGGTGGAACGCAGGCGGGCTGGGATTGGACGGTATTCGGCGCGGAATCACAAGGACTGGCGGGGGTGGGTGGCACTCGAGTCAGATTGCCTGAAAGCCTGGAGGTGGGATGGACCGTCGGCACGTAGCCGCCTGACAATAGGTATGCAGCTAGAGAATGGGATCGACCGTCAGTGAATTGAATGTTCTTGCGCGGGGTGGCATAAGCCACAGCGACTGGAGGCGGGGGTGGACGCATCGATCGCATACTATTATGCAGAGAAGCATGCGTGCCACTGTGATATTACAGGCATCTGGGCGCATGACATGTTTCGGAATACGAGGAGCGAGGGCGATGAGAAAGCGATATGGACGGAGGGGAGGGTGTGATCATGATGGTGCGATGCGATGGGATTGCGGGTGATGGTTGTGTAGCTAGCGGTATAGTCAGCGGGGTGCATGGACGGGACGGATGGAACAGATGGGATGAGTGGCGGAGGACGAGGCTCTGTCGGAACGCCCGGACATGAGAAAGCTGCGCGAGATTATCAGAGCCGCCTTGCGTCGGATTGGCTGAGCATGTTATTGGACGCTGCAACGGCGAGGTGGGAGGAACAAAGCAAGCAAGAGCAAGACACGAGGAGGGAGGCGAGACAAAGGCGGGAAGCGGAGAGGTGGGACGATGGAATCACAGGGCGAGGGAGTGGAGCGAGCCGGAGCAGCATAGGAGGAGAGGGGACCGAAGTGGAAACGGAGGAGGCGTTGCGGGGAAAGCGAGTGCGGGGAAGGGGCGCGCGCCTGATTCGCGTCCGGGCCAACCCGTGGGGAAGGAGACGCTGGGCGGGAAGGGAGGACCGTGAAGCGGAGGGCACAGATTGGACGGGCAGGAACGGCGTCCCCGATGAGGCAGCTGCCGTAAACTGGAGATGGCCGTGCCACGGGCGACAGAGGCGGGCGCCGGGAGAAAATCCGGGGAGGGCAATTCCTCCGACGAGCAGCCGTGGGCAAGGCGGCGCTGTGGCCGTCGCCTGGGCCGGAGGCGCGCGTTGTGTGTTCACGCGCTTGAGCTGTGGCTGGGGCGCTGCGCAGCTGTGCCGCACACGGGACGGTGCACAAACAGCGCGTGCAGCCACGGGGCAGCGAGGACGTCAGCGAGGCAAAGAAAGCAGGAGAGTCGACGGAGAGGGCCAAGACGTAATGGCAGAAAATGAGAGGGAGAAAGAGGGCAGGCTGGGATTGGACGCGAGGAGGCCTGGACTGATTGGGTGGGGACGCGATTGGCTCGGTAAAAGGATGGGAGTCGGATCGGTGTCTATGCGTCCAATGAGACGCTGCTGCCTAATCGGGGAGGTGCGAGATCGGATCTGGGCGCCAGGGTTGAAACATGGCATGGGCGATTGAGATGGAGATTGAGATGCGGGCTTGTCGGAAAATAATAGGAAAGTAATTGTGCGGCGGGGGGCCGGTTGGCAGGCGTCAGGACGAGGTTGGTTATAAGACCGGGCAGGCGATCCCTCCGCCCTTCTCTCCGACAGCCCTCCCCCGCCCCGCCACCATGGATTGTGTGGATATCCCCTTCGATTCTGTCTGGTGTCCCGTCTGCTCGCGCCAGATCGTCCCCAAGCGCATACACCTCCCCGCCGCCCCCGCTCCCCAGCCCACCCCCGCGCCCCCCGCATCCCCCACTGCGAGTGAGTACACCCAGCGCCTCCCTTGGTCCTCCCGCTAACCCCCCTCCAGCGTCGAAACCCGCGCAGCAGCAAGATGCCCACCCGCGTCTTACCCGCGGTAAGACCGGCACCATCCGCCCCAGGGCAGCAGGCCTCGTCCACGGCACAGGTCGCGTCAAGCCCAACGGCACTATCAAGCGCTCCCCCACAAAGGATGCGTCTGCCACCCAAGACTCTAAGTCGGACGCGGCTCCTGCGCCTGCAAGGCCAGCTGCTCCCGTCCGCCAGCGCACTGTCATCGACCCCTCCCCGGTCCCCCTCTACTGCTCCGACGAGTGTCGCCTCATGGACCTCCAAGCCACCCACAGCGCTCTCGATATCAACTACAACCCCGAGCGGTGCGCTTCCCCACAACATCCTCCCGTCTCCAAGAACACCCTCTCCGACTGCCAGTCAGTAAATGACGACAGCGATTGCTCAAGTGGCTCGTCCATCGAGTCCCGTTCGTCGGTTGCCTCCCCCACCGCGACGACCACTGCCGTGCACGCGACCCCAACAAAGGGCAACTCGCACGAAGAGGCGTATCAACGCCTTTCTGCCATCTACAACTTTGCACCTCTCCCCCCTCCGCTTCCATTCACGCCTAGGGCAACGAAGCCGGTCGCGCCAGCGCCACCTCCTCGTCTGGAAGGCGGCGTTATGATGGCTGCTCGTCGTATCCAAGCCGCGCTCTGCCCGGAGAAGCCCAAGCGCACTGCTTGGGGCTTGCCGGTTCAGAGCGACGCTGAGGCCGACAACAAGCCCATCCCCGGATGGACCGACGGCTCCCAGGCGTGGCGTGCCAGCGTATACGGTCTCGCGCCTCCGCGCGACCTGTCTACGGGCGACGTCGACGAGGCCGCCGAGCGCGCCTACGGCACCTACGTCGCGAGCCCTCATCGCTCGCGCGGCGTCCACTCTACGCTCGGCGAGAACAAGCCAGCGACTGAGGCTGTGCCCAACCGCAGCGCATCGGCCTCCTCCCTTCCGGCCCGTGTCATGGACTCCTCCACTGAGAAGATGTACAAGCAGTACTCTGCGTCGTTCACTCGCCGTTCCGAGTCCCGCACTTCTCTCCACCATCAATCTCGTGGTCTTTCGACTTCCCCCACCGGCTCCACCCGCTCCGCGTTCGCTCGCGAGGTTTCCCTTGTGAAGCCCGGTGCGGAAGGTCGCCTCCTTGTCCCAGATGTGAAGATGCGTCGCACCAACTCCAGCATGTCTAGCATTGGCGGCGCGTCTGGCTACTCATGGAGCAGCGCTGGCGCCACCCTCAGCACGGTCGGATCCATGGCTGGCAAGAGGCGTAGCCCGCTCAGCCGCCAGAACAGCGACGTCAGCGTCGACACTGCGGAGACTGAGAGCGAGGGCGACGAGCTTGAGGTAGCGCGGGCGGCGGTCGCGTCAGTACCCTCTGGTAGTGCACGAATGCCACCAAACAGTGAGTTACTCGTGCTTTCGATGACGCGCTTGTTCTAATCCAGGCTGTGTTCATAGCGCGTTCGTGGAGCTACGACTCTGAGGCGTTCACTTACCCCGTGATGCCTCGCCGACCGAAGATCGAGAAGCGCATTGAGAAGCAGATCGTCGACGGCGTCGAGCAGGAGGTCGAAGTGGAGGTCGAGGTGTACGAGCCCATCAAGCGCCTCTTCCTCTTCGGCGGCGCGCGGAACTAGGTTTCTTTCTCTGCGACGGCGAGCGAGGTATCGTCGCCATCGCGTTCATCATCTCCTCCATCTGTGCATCGATATCCAGCATCTGCATATCCCCACCACATCGCTCCGTTCATACCAGCATCACACGCATACCCCTGTCGATACCTCGATACCTCCGCTCGCCGTCGCGCCATACCCCGCCGCCTCTCGGTGGCCTGCATCGCCCTCATGAACTCGCATCGCCCTCCACGCACGACCATCATCTGAGTTATTCGCCGTCGCCGCATGCTCGCTCTCGCCTACCCTCGCCCTCCTGCTACTCCTACCGTAACGCCCTCGGTCTAACGTACCCTAACGTGCTATACTCGACTACGCTACGACCCGCCTATTCGCCGCGTACCTCCTCGCTGCATCAACCCTCGTCCTAATCGCCGCCTCCCCGATGCTGCGCACGCGCGCGCCCGGCGCCACACAAAATGTGAGATACGTTGAAGTGTATTATCTGTACTACCACCACCCGCGCTGGGTCAAGGCCGCTCCTCGCGTCTCTCGGGTACGCCTCGGGACATCCGTCGCAACCCCCATTCGCCCCGTCCAGTCGGGGATGTGTATATTCCTGTATCGGTATACGCCCACCACCCCGACGCTCTTTTGGTCTCTTGGATTCCCTTCTCACATTGGCTTCCCGCTCCTTTCCCCTCGTCTCTCGTCTCGCTGGGTGTACGACCACGAACCACGTACTTATTCGCATGTTGTCTTTGTTTCGTTGTCCATGTTTGCTCGCTTTGTGCCTGCTTGGTTTCATCGTGTACTACTAGCCATTCCCCGCATCCGGCCTCTCCTCGCGCACCATCCGCCTCTGCATCGTCGACCCCGTCATCACATCACCGCATCCGCATCCACCACGCATCGCCCCTTGCATCATCATCCGGCCTATCCTACCCTACCCTACCGCCCCGCCTAATGCTCCCCCTCACACATCCTCCACCATACCACGCGCACACGATGGATGATCCCGCGCAGGACACGTACGGACCGCGCCCCTCCTCCCTCTCTGGTGTTATTCGGTCGCGCGCCGCGCTTTGTAGGAGCCCGCGGCGCGCGTGTACGACAGGTTATGCGCGCACACCGTTATTCTTCCGCCTATGTCCATTAGTATGATAGGATGAATAGTAATGAAACGCGTACAAACAACCAACCTCATCTGTGTGCATTCATTCCGATCGGGCGCGACGACGAGCAAGTTTGACAAGATTCATATGCAATGAACGCCGTGCCCCTCAATTGAATTGCGGGGTAGGACTGGGGCGGGCAACCTTCGGTGAGCATCATTAATTCGCGCATTCATTCGCCTGCGCTCATGGGGCACCTTCCGCGGCCGCGACGCACGCTGACGGATCACGACCACGTCGCGACGTCGCGGAGGCTCGTAGCTCTGCATACATTGCCATACATTACACACAGGGTCGGGCACGAGGCCGCCGTCTGTGCCAGCCACACATATGCAATTGCACCTCGAAGGGCGCCGTCCGCCGTACGCGCAAGCATGAATAGGACGCGGCGCGCAAGGCCCAGGTCCGCTGCCGCACCCGCTGCGTGCTCAGGTGGAGACTCGGGCCTCGGTAAGTGGCAAGTCGCACTAGCAACGCACGCGGCGGCGTTAACGTTGCAGTTGTGGCTCAGTTCAGGCGCAGGCGTATGATATGATATGGCCGCGATGACGTCGTCGATATCCCGAGGTACCCAGAGGCACTAGCGCGGCGCGCGGGGAGGGCAAGGGCGCCCGGGTGAACGGGGGCGCGGGCGCGTGGAGACCTCTGCATGCGGTGCGCTTCGCATGACGCACGCGCGTAGCCCTCTTAGTTCGCTGCCCAGTTACCCGGCTGTATTCCGTCGAACTGTAGGACAAGGAGAGGAGGAGGCTTGCCTGCGCTCGGCGTTCTCGCGATCGCAAGTGGCACGCCGGGAGAGAGAAGCGTGCGCCGCCGCCGGGCTCCTGGAGGCACGAAATTCGAATCACGATCGCACACCTCGAAGACCGGGGTACAAGGGGGGACAGGATGTTCGGCGCGCGGGCCCGATCGCGACGGGGTCCCATTGGTGAAAGGAACGCTAAATTCGACAGCTGGGACGAAGACATAGTAAGTATTCCGACATCCTGGTGCTGTTTGAAGCTGCCAGTGACGCAGCATCAAGTACCCCGCTTCGACAGTATTCTTCACGCGTACGGTTGCGCTCATTCTGCCAGAGTCCAGGCCCGAGCCTCGACGACCGATATTACGCCGCGTCGGCAGCAACAGCAGACCCCCCGAGACTAGCACTGTGGCAAAATCATCCAAAGATTGAAATTTGAGGTGTCCGATCGACGACGCGGGGACGGCGGTAGGCGGACGCGCTAGCGAAGGCTAACGATTATGTTTCTTCCGCTGTGTGCGCTGCTGCTGTGATTGGACGAGCGTATCACACCGGTGGCGGCACCCACAAGACATACAGGTGTGGAGGGCAAAGGTGCGTACGTGACGAGCTCGGCGTCTCAACGTACGTCCCCGACCAAGTACTTCTTTGCGCCAGACACTGAGACAGGTCCCCGACGTCTTGACGTACACCGAGCCAACCTCGAGGGTTATGAGCCCGGGCAGCCCGCGAAAGCGGCGCGTGCTCCTTCTCCTACGACACACATACGGGTCAATATTAACATTTACGCTTTCTCGAACCGAACCTACAAACCTAAGCGCACCACGCGTCAGGCTGCAACATACCCTCACCCTCTCATTGCCAAACAAAGTGACGTCGGCGCAGCTCTCCCCCATATGCCCAGGCCCAGGCCCCGCCACCCGTACGCGGGCGGGCGCAGAAACGTCGCGGGCGCGGCTGCGTTTAGCCAGCGCCCCCGCCCTCCCGTCGCCCGTCGCTGCCGCCGTTTCCAGGAACCACGGCGACGGTACCTACGGCGGGCCAGGACAGGACAGGAGCAAGGGCGTGGCGATCGATCCTTGTGCGCGTGCTCGTGCGCCCCCTTGTCCCCCCGGGGCCAGCGCCCCCGGGTCCCGAGCCTCGGGCCTTGCGCAGGGCAGGGGTCGCAGGGACGCTGAGCTGGGCGGGCGGAGACACCGAGTGCTGCATCAATCCCATCTGCAGCCGCGCTGTGGGCTGCCTATCGAATCGAACCTTTCTTTCGATCGCCCCGATATTCGATGGGCGTGCTCGATGCTCGATCGCTGTACGGCCCGGGAGGGTGGCAAAGGGTGGCAAGTTATACAGGGCGCACGGCCGGATGGGGAAGGTCCCAGCGGGATCGCACCTGCATCTGGCGCCCGCGGCGGAGCCGGTGCTGCAGATGTGGCTGAGATGGGGGGCGAGATGGTGGCGGCGGCAGGTGCGGGAGGGCGCGACTCCGCGAGGGAGGCCTCAGGCGGGCGCGCGACGTGCGACGCGCGCAGAGCTCGAGAGCGGCCTATCGATCGCGCAGGCAGGTCCGGGGGTGGCAAAGCTGGGCTGTCGCCAGCGCTCTGCAGGAAATTATTGGCAGCGCGACGCGGACCCGGGCGGGAGCACTCGATGCGGACATGTGCTTGAGCAGCTGAGCCAATGGGGGCGCGGGGGGAGGTACGCGGGGAGGGAATCATTTCAGCCAGTTAACGGGCGTTGTTGGCAATATTGGAGGTTGGGGTGGGTCGCGGCTCTGGGCCCTGCGAGGACGACGACGGGCCCGGGGCGTTGAGTATCGCGAACCGGGAACCGCGGGTGGCGGCGCGTCATTGGTCCGCGCGGGCGGGGGGCTGTTTGAGGGTGGGGACGGTGCTGCTCTGGACTGCTGCCCGCCACCGTCGCCCACGCGGACTCCCGCTTTTCGGGAAGCAGCAGGAACTGGACCCGCTGCGTGCAGGGCGGGCGGGCCCTGCGACTCCGAGAAATCTTGACCATCGGGCGCATCGCAGACTCAGCCTCAAACTCCGGCGGGGCGAGTGGGAACGCTACGCGGGGGACGCATGCGGGTCGGTCGCGATAGCTGCCTAGTGTGGCATCTGTGATGCCACTGTGGAAATGAGGACGAGGTCGAGGGGCTCGAGACCGTTCGAACTTCGAGCGGGCGGGCTTGGTCGCCGCGGGCGTATGTTGCGGTACGGTGGAAGGGCCTATCATATGTCGCGGACGCGTGGGCGAATGGCCGGACGCGGGTTGTGCCAGGATTTTTTCCACTCGACAGCGGGCGGCTGTGATTGGACGCGTCCCCTGTGCGGTCTAGACCGCGGTGCAAGTAAGTACGATGAGGATCGACCGTGCATTGTGCATGCCGGCATGCCCGCGAGAAGGAGAAGGACTTCAAGAAGGGCGGTTTGTGGGGGAAGGGGCGCGTCGGAGTGCGCGAATTCGTGAGTGATTGGCTCGCCGTCCGAAGCGTTCTCAAGCGTCGTTCGCGAAGACAGACGGGCGACACCGCGCTCGCCGTGCCCGGCGCGACTTTGCACACTTTCACAGAATGCGATAAGTCCTAAGAAGGAAGCACAAGGTTGTAGCTGGGACTGCATCGAGATGTCGTGTCAGTTGTCGGGTCAGCGTTAGAGTTGGGATTGCTCACGTTGACGTCATGACAAGCGGTGGCGGAGGACGCGGTCGGCGTCTCAGCGTAACTGCGACGGCTTTGCGCTCTGGGCTGTGCACGTCGCCCTCTTCCTCCTCCTCGCGGACGTTCTCGACGGCCGCTTCTCGAACAGACAGTGCGCTGGGCACGTCGCGAAGCACGTACGATGCGATGCGACGCTGAATAGAGAACCGCTGGGGAAGAACGCGCGGCGGTCATCTGCGCTGATGCGAGCACCCTCGGAGCCCCAGGCACCTCCCACCTCCTCGACTGCCTAACACGCTGTGGGGCCGCATCGACATACATCGTAGGCCTCGACCGCGTCCGCATCCCACCACGGTACCCCATGTGGTACGCGCCGCCGTCACCCGTTTCTCGCAATGCCGTCTGCTGACTTGTCCCAACTACGCCAGGTATGGGAAGCGCAGCGTGTCCGCATTCATTCGCGCCCTCGTTGCCCGCCCGGGGACGCGCGCTGGGAACCCGAGCCGCAGATGACCACGGCCGCACGTCAATTATGCTCCGATTTGTTGCTCTCTACGCGGCCGCCGTGGACGCTCGCAAGATGCAAGAAGGACCCTCGGGATGGCCTGGCGCTAGCTGCGGCCTTGTAATGTGGATAAGTCCCTGGATGGGATAACGCGGAAGACCTGCTACACAACCTTCGGCCGCGTCGTGATCCGCGCGCGTGCATAGCAGGCACCCCCCTCTGAACCCTCTCTGGCGAGGCCGTGGGCCTCTTTTCGGGCATAGTGCAATATATGCATCGTCACTGCATTCAGCGGCCTTCACCTCACGCGCCGTTTGAATCCAGCGTCCATGTCAACCCTCTTCCGCCTGACTGCTCTCGGCCGCTCATATCTCGACCTGCATCTTCTCGACGCGTCCCTCCGTGGACGCGTTACGACCCATTACCGCGGCACTCGTGACTGGTTGCCAATCCGATCAATACCCCGCGTTAGCGCCCCCCTTCCGAGCCTCTTCTCGCTGAGAAACGATATATAGCGTGGGCTGTCGCGCGCCCCGCACGTCAGTGGGCACCCTTGGCGCGATCCGCACGCGGAGAAGAGCAAGTTTACGGACCTTCGCGCATCAGCTGTCCGCGCCCGAAGACGTACAATATAACTCATACCCCCGCCCGATCCTGGAATCCTAGGGCACCTGCCGCACGCCCCCATCCACCTTCTCAGGTCGTGTGCGCAGCGGTTCTGGCTCTGGACCGGTGGGTGACCTGCGGCACACACACACAAGAAACGCGTCAGCGGGTGCTCTCATGACACTCGACATTCGCCGATTGGATCGCCGCAGCGCTCGCTCGACTACGGTGGCGCTGGCCGCCGCGGACGCTCGCCCATTCCGGACGTTCGACATTCGAGGAAGTGCGATTCCTGCGCCAGCGACGTGGGTTGCGCGCGCGGCCAGTCCTCGGCACGCTGGCTCTGCTCGCGGTGCCCGAATCTACTCCGTAACCGCACCTTTCCGGCATTCCAGCTGCCCCCGCAGGCGTTCGAGCTTCGCAGGATCCCGATTTGACAAAAGGTGCTCCCGGCGATCATCACATGCGCGCGTGTGCGGGTCCGGCCCTGCTCGTTCGGGTGCTGCGATGTCAGCGCGGTGCTTACGCACGATGCTCCGGTGTCATGTCACATACAGCACTGGGACAGGGCCAGGGCGGTGCGAGTCGGACGTCGACAGGTTCTTCAGCTCGATATGTGCAGGCCTCGGGCTTCGTCGGACTCGGCCTCGGACTCGGACCCTGGGCGTTGCTGTCGGATAGAGCGAGTGTGTGGGGCCCCACCGGCATCGCAGAAGCGTGGGGTATGTCGAATACGCCCCGGGACGGCAACGAACGCTGATCACAGCGGCAGCGGCCACGCGTGGGCGTGCCCCATGTGGGGCGGCGAGCGTCGAAACGTGGCCATGGCCCATGGGGACTCGGACTCGGAAGCACGTCTGCGCCCGGGATATTAAACGCGGCCGCCCTGAGATGGGCATCTTGCGCCCGTTTGGGGGTGTGACTGGCGTCTGGCTGCGGTGGGAGGTGGGGCTCTGCCGCAAAGACTGTATGCGCGAACCCGTCAGAAGGCCAGCGGAAGGTGGAGGGCCTGGCCACGAAGGAAGGGAGAGCAGCGCTGGGGTCTGGCCATGCGATCGGGAGGTGAGACTGAAGCTCGCGATCCGCGCCAATGCAGCTGACGGGGCTGTCGAACGCAGACTGTGCGGCGGGTGTGCGCTGTTCGCGTATACAGAAGGTGCCCCGGAGTTTTGCTTTGCACACCCGCTGGTGCTGCTCACGAGGTGCCGCTACGCTGCTGGTTCGGCCGGCATGGATGCGTGCCGTGCTGGTGTCCAAGTCCACTGTTCAAGGTGGCCCATGGGTGGTCTCTAATGGACAGCGACCATGAAGGATGGGCGAGCTCTGGGCTCCGAGTCCACGCCCCACCTCCAAGGCAGTTGGCACTCGGCTTGTACGTGCTTCCTCCACTGACTTGAATGCCGAGGCTCAGGCTGATATGCTTGTCCGGACAGGTACCCTGCCAACCACTCCACCCCTCAATGGCGACCCGCCACACAACGATACGCGCCCCCGAGGGATGCAATTGAACTCGACCTGGCGTCCCTCTCGGCCGTCCAAACTGAGCTGCCACAACCGCTCCCGGGCAGCCCACCCTGCTTCTCTGTCCCAGCTCTGCCACGACGAATCAATGGCACGCGTCCGATGAGGGCCCCGATCCCAGCGTCATCTGCATCAGGATCAGTGTTCTAATGCAATGCTGTAAGTGCTAGGCACCGTATACCCCGCAACCTCCGACCCACCCCGCACGCGCGTTTGCTAATGCATCGCGAACTTGAACTCTATTACCCCACAGTTCTATGGCAGCGGAAGCGCTGCACGTCGACGTCGCCCGGGGCGTTCAATCATGCATCTGCCCATGTGGGCGGCGGCGGGGCCGGCGCCGCGCTGTGCGCTGTGTCTGCAGCCTTCCGGGGCTCATCACTCCGCGGATACCGCACCAGACAGCGTCGGCGTCGCAGAATACGCACTCCGCGCGTGTATGTCGCGCCACGAACAGGGACATCTCCGGACGCCAGATAGGCTTCCCATCCCATTATGTCCTCCTCGCTGCAGGCGGCGTGCGGCCTCGGAGTGGGTTCGTCGATGCGGTCGTGCCACATGACTGCGCGTGTTTCCGCGGCTCAGCGGTCGACGCTCAGCGCGGGTCTTCTCTCGCCGGACGTTCTGCGGTTATGCACGCTCTCAGCCCCTCGGAAGCATGCCAGGGAGGGCGACTGTGCGCCCTGTGCGGCAGCACCTGTCGCGCCCGGCAGGCACGTCGTGCCTCGACTGCAGCTGCAGGCAACCCCCGGTAACCTCGACCGCCTCCGACGCCGGCGTGGGCCGCCCTCCCAAGAGCCCGTGGCAGGGAAGGACGCTGCTGCGTCCCTGGCCAAGCTCGCGTTGCCGTCTGTCTGTCTGTCGTACAGCACAGCGAGCGCGGACTCGGAAGTGTCTCTGGAAAACCGTTCGCGCTGCGCGCGGTGCGCCGGCAAGTGAACCACCGCACCTTTTATGGGCCGCAGGACCCTGGACGGCGCGCCCATGCCCTCATCGCACTGTCGTGCTCCTGTCTTCAATAACGTGAGCACGCGGGGGCGCAGGGTCGAACGCGGGGCCGGTGGGTGCTGGGTCCGTCTGGCCGCTGTCCGTCGTGCCGTGGCGCGGGGAAAGCGTTGTTCTCTGCTGCGAGTTACGAGATGGGCAGGGGCCCGGGTGCGGGGAAGATTGGGTTCGTGATCTGGTGCCTACGTCGGGGGATAACATGCCGCTTACTGACAATGCGGCCTTTCCTGTAGATGCGGCTGGGGTGAATTTTCCCTTGCAGGGTTGGGTGCGGGGTAAATAACGTCTACCCCGAGATCCTGGGCGGATATGAGGTGGTGTAACGCCGGGTGGGGAACTGTTTGATTGGACTGGGTCCGCGACGCCGGAGAGTGTGTCTGAGCTCGAGATGGTAAGTGCTGTTTGTTCCTCATCGGTTCAGAGTTTGACGTGCATATGCTCGTTGGTAACATGATGCTCAGAGCGTGTCAGTGTTCGTGCCTCCCTTGCGTCGCGACTGCGATCCTCGATTAATCGCTCGCGGCCGTGGTTCAATGGTTTAAGTCCGCCACGGTCGATACTACGGGCACAACTGGGGTTCTATGCAACAAATCAAAGTCAGGACTACCTTCGTCCGACGCGCGGAGGATCCCGCAGTCAGGCCCGTGGTTTTCGCTCAACGTGAACGCCCGAGAAGTGTGTGGTCGCCATGTAGATGTCCGTGAAACCTGATCCTCTACATGTTGGATGCAATGGCATATGCCGTTGACGCTCCAATCTGGTACATGCAAGTAAGCTTTCATCATATCGTGTTTTTGAGATGACAACGCATGCACAGGTGGACTTGTCGCACAAAATACTTAGCACGGCTTCCAAACTCTCGCCATATCGGGATGCCCCTGTCTGGTCAACACGCTGCGCCGCCCGCCGTGCAGCTATTCCCAGCACACTGAATGGACCGCGGCCAGGACGCCGCCCTGCAGCCGCCGTGGAGGCAGGCATTCGAACGGGCCATCGTTGTTACGACATATGACATATGGTGTTCATTCGCCCTGCGCAACTTTACATCACCCCCCAGTCACTTTGACATACGAACATGCCCATGCCGTAGTGGAGCGCATAGGCCCGGAAATAGCACCCCTGCGCGCAATTCCCGCAAGCTGAGCATTGCTGCCCGGCCCCGCGGACTTGCACACACGCCTGGGTTCGCAGCCGTAGCAGCAGTTGGGAGTCTCCCGCGCCACCGCTCCTTGTGATTGTCAGGCGCCCCCCGACGTTTCTCCTTCGCAGCGTCGGCGCGGGCGGGCGTAGGAAGGCTTCCCGAGGACGCGCTTCTCGGTATCGCAGGGCGCCTGCAATTCGGTCCGCAAAGCGAGCTTCGGAGACGATAGGAGGAGGCAGAAAGCCAAACGGCAATGCGATTGGCTACAGACACGGGCGGTGGTACGTTCTAACAGACCACGGTGCGGCGCCATTGGCCAGGCGTCGTCTAATGCTTACCGGTTCCCCCAGGCCTCGCGCACCAATGGGAACGCCGAGAAGAACGTCAACACCGGGCACGTTCTACACACGCGCGACGGAGGTCGGCGGCGGGCTCCGTGGCCCCTCGCGAGGCTGAGCCAAGTCAAATCGGCAATGCGAGCACGACGAGCAGGCTTCCTGACAAGCCCGAACGTCAGCGCGACGATCCCTGCGGGCGCGAGCGCGGCAGCAGCCATCGGTGGCATGCGGCACTTCGCGACGGCGCGGCGCGTCGCCGGGGCAAGTACGTCTTCGTTGGTCAACACGGCGGCGACGGTGCGAAATTGCGCCCGCGCGCGGCATCCGATCGGACGAACGCTGCACTTATCTTCGCAACTCGCTCAACCTGGCGGGCCAGACGCGTCCGTAGCGTACTGCGAGCCAATAGCGTGCGGTTCACCGACAGCGCCCCGGACGCCCGCGCCGTACCCGACGTGCTTCTTCCCAGCGCGGGCCATTCGCGTGCGCGCGCGTTATCGCTGCGTGGCGGGCACTCAGCAGGAAATTTTCGGTCCATTGATGCTGCACCGGCTTCGTGTGCGCGTACCTGCCAGAGAGGGCTTCGCGCGCCGGCGTGCGGTCCGTGTTTCCTTGGGGGCGGGAGGTGTTGTGAATGGGCTGCTGCGGGAGCACTTACGCGACTGATGCTAGTGGACGCGTCATTTTAGGCTTTTGCAGATCGTGGCCTGTTCCCTGGGCCTCTGGTGCCGGCTGCGGGTCCGTGTGCAGGCCGATGGAGCAGCTAGGGTGCGTCTGAGCTCTTCGTGGGTTAGCGAATGTTAACAAGGAAGGAGGCGTCGGGACACGCTTCCGCACTTCCGGAGCCTGCGTACAAATGCGCGAGGATGAGCCGTAGCGGCGCGTAGGTTATCGTGATAAGCGTTTGTATGCGCTCCCGATCTTGCGTTGTGTTATTCAATGAAGTCTACATCGGAGAAGCGTACCCAGCGCAAGGCAAAACGCTTCCTCTGGCGTTGAATGAACCGCGGATAACTCGGGTGAGTTGGACAAATGCTGATGAATGAGCCGAGGTGATGCATTTGTAACAGCTGGTACTTATCCGGGGAGCATCCGGAGAGCGAGGGCTCGGTGATTTGTGTGCAAACGGGTATACACAATTTGTAGTCCAAGCTATGCGAGGCGGTCTAGAGCATGCAAATAACCGTCCAGAACATGAGAACGGCAAAAGAAAAGGGCAAGAGGTATCCTCTGCGGCCTTGCTCAAACACCGGTGACCCCCTTCAGATACTCTGAATGGTCGTCAGCAGATGATTACGGCGGGGGATCTACTAGCACTCACCTCGTGTCAGCTCGAATGCTGCGAATGTGCTCGCCGCCGCGGGTATGCTGCAACGCTCCGTCAATCGTCTGTTTGATGCAACAGTCTTCGTAGAAGAATTTCTTACCTTCGGAGCACTGTAAGAGAGGGGGGGAGGCCAATCGTTAATAGATACAACAAGAATTCTAAGGGAAAAACTTACACGACGGAGTAAGACCGCGGAAGAGTCCCGAGCTGAGGAATAAATTTCGTCAGAGATCGACTCGGTGGACGTTCACAGACAGTAGAGTTCGATGAACTCACACTCCCGACTCGGTAACTATCAACTTGAGTTCGCGCGCGATGTACTGGACGGGTGTCCCTTCGGGCGGGGTCGCCCGCAACTGGACACGCGACTTCACGACGTCTAGTATGGTCGGCGTGGTCAGTGTTTCGAAACACGAGCAAAGATAACAGCATACCCAAGGGATAACATGCAAGCCAATACGCAATCTACGCCCAGAGTCAGTAACCCGTTCAAAAGCATCAAGGTTGAACGTACACCACCGGTAGAGCCGCTCGCGAGGAGTGCCCACACAGGTATTTGGTTGCCATATTTCTGGGAGAATTTCCGCTTCGAGAACTCGAAGGCTAATACGCCACACCGTCAGCGTCTTGGGTACCCATATGGTATCGACATGATCATCACCTGCGTAAAATCTATGCGTTTCGCGGGTGAGTATCACGAGTAAAATTGTCGTATACAATGCTCGTACCCAGCGTAAGCCGGGATTTCTCTCGCGACTGTGACCTGTCAAACGATGTCAACACGCATTCGACGCGGTGGGAAGCGACTGTGGTACCCAGTAGCCTCTCATGATGCCCTTTCTGAAACCCCAGTCTCTCCACATCTCGCTCACAACAGCTCTTAGCCGTTTGTCACCGGGCGAGCCGTACTGTCCCTGCATGCGGACTTTAAACATCTCAACTGTACGCGAGTAACGTCAGGATTCAGCATTTATGGTCGGCATTTATGGCGAAGACCCACCAGGACTCGCGAGTACAGCATTTACAGCGCCCGCTATGGCACCTGCCCCAGCAGTCTCTTTGAGAGACAACTGCGGGAACGGCGATATAATTCGCTTGGATACGCCGTAAGCGGCGAACAGGAGCGAGTTCACGCCCGCAATTCCGACGAGGGGGCTAGCCATTCCTAGTGTTATTCATCAGTCTCCAACTCTTCGAACACACAATGAATGCCAATCTTACCCTTGTACAACGCGAAGAAGCCCTCCTTGCGCAGAGTCTGCGTAAGGATGTCCATTGGCCCTTTCTAGACGATCTGCTTCAGTTCTCTCTTATTATAGACGACATATAGCTATAAGTACGAACAAACATGCCACCTGAAAGCACGAGCCCCAAAGTTTTCAGTATACGACCCACAAGAGCGTGAGAACATGGACGAACTGGGTGCGGTCTGCGCGCGAGTCTTGACGGTGTCGAGCGGCTGGCCGACGATGACCTGCGCCGCGCCCCCGACACTCCCCGCGAGCAGCTCGTTGATCGTCGACTTGTCCATGTCCGAGTCAAGAGCAGGAGGCGAGAGGCGGGAAAGAAGAGAGATGACGAGCGCTGCGATTGCGCGATGCTTGTGCACGAGAGCGTTACCAAAACAAGCGAATATCGGTGGCGGTGCCCATCAATCCTACTAATCCGTATAGGCGCTGCCGGCCACTTGCTCTTTCTGCCAACGCTGGCCGCGCACATTTAAAGCTAGATTGTCAGGCGGAAACCTGCTAGAACGAGGAAAATGTGTCAGGGTTGATATCCCGTTGCCGGAACATTGTGTTTATTGTCAGTCAAATAGATTCGTCTTATTGGCGAGCTCGAGGTCGTTCAAAAACTACGACAAGCAGGGGACTCAGTATCTGTCATAGAGTAGCAGATGTATGTACTACATGTTACAATGGTCGTCGCGGGTTAGATCGTCGTATATATACATCCGGATTATATGTGAGCACTGTGAGCGTTAGGCGTGGTACAGTATGAACAACGAACGTCCTATGGACGCTCCCAAGCAATGAGGCCGGCCGTTCCTACATCCAAGCACTCCAAGATCGCGCAGCAGGACGGTAACCCTCCACGCTTTTGGCAAGAATCGTGTCCGCAATGTTTGGCAGGACGGCTCACTCCATCCACATCCGCTCCTGCCTCCTCACACGCGCCATCTCCACCGCGAACCTGTCAATCTGCCGCCAGCTGTCCGCCATATCGTCGAGCTCGACCTCCAGCCGTCCCACGTTCGCCCCGGCCACCTTCCCCACGCGGTTCCACGCAGTCTGCACCGACCTCAGGCTCGGACACAAGTCCGACAGCACGCCCGCGAGCAGGAACGTGTCCGTGCCCTGGTTGATCATCGAGCCGCCCACCCCCAGCGTGAACGGGGCGTCGAGCCCAAAGGACACGCCGTCCGTCGGCCGGTCGCCCGCGTCGAAGCGCGGCTGGAACGCGCCCGCGTCCGCGACGAACGGCAGGCCCAGCGTCGACAGCTCCGGGCAGTGCTGCGCGAGCGGGAACAGCCCGGAGAGCGTGACGCGCGGGGCCCCGGCGTAGCGGCGCAGCTCGGCGGCGAGCTCGAGGGTGCGGAGGCGCGGCCACGCGCGCGCGGCGCGCTCGATGAACGCGTCGTCGACGTCGACGGGGCACCCGGGCTCGAGCTGGAGCGCGGTGAGGTCGAGCGGGAGGAGCGGCTCGAGCGTCGCGGGCGTGACGTTGTGCAGCGAGGACGGGCGCGGGGCGGCCTTGCGGGAGACGAGGCGGAGCTGGTGCAGCTTGCCGCTGTGCAGGCGATGCGAGGGCGCGGCGAGGCGGGCGAGGAACGCGTGGAGCTCGTCCGTGGTTGGGGGCTCGTCGACGATGAAGGTGAGGCTGTCGAGCGCGGAGCTGCGGATCGCGTGGAGCCAGTCTTCGCAGAGGGCGAGCGTGTCGGTGTGCAGCGAGAGGAGCCGGAGGGAGGAGAAGAAGGTGCCGCTGGTGCTCCGTGCGATCTCGAGGAGCTGGGTCGTCGTTGCGCGGTCGGCTTTGATGGAGACTTTCTGCAGGGTGTTCAGTTTGGAGAGCTGGGTGATCGTCTCGAGCGACATCTTGTTCTGCCATGTGCACACGAGAGCTTGCAGATTCTGTTGACGGAAGCCCAGTGCCAGGACGGCTTTCTCGATGGGCGGGCATTTCCAGGTTGGACTTGTGTACAGAACGGTGATGGAGCGCAGCTGCACGGCTTTCTCGCCGTATTCGTTCAGCGCGGTGGCAATCGCTTGCGCCGACTCATCGCTCCATTTGTCCATCTTGACGTTCATGGAGGAAGCGTGCGGGCTGAGCATGAGCTGGAAGGAAGCCAGGGCGTGCACCTCTTCTCCTTGGGCTTGCTCCCAAGCAAAGGAGTGCAGGTTCGGGAGGAACGGCTCCGATCCCAGAGACGTCTTCAAAGTTACGAACGCGTCTCCAGCCAACTTGCCCTCCAAGCGTTGGCTGCTCAGGACGGATGCGCTCAGGGTGATGTCTCTGATCCTAGCGGCGTAGAGCTTGACGCGCGTCCAGTCTTCTGGCTTCGGTTCCGCCACAAGGGACTGAAAGAGAGATGTAATTAGATGATTATTGGCGAAGTGTCTTCCTGAACGCACCACAACACGGAACCCATCACCGTCCCTCGTTTCTATCCAGAGGTCTTGCGGGAAGCATTTGACAAGCGGTATCAAGGACGTCTGGGTGTTCCACAGCGTATCGAGGGCTACGTCCAGGAAGCATCGAGCAGTGCGCGCCAGAGCAGCGAGGGTGCATGGACCATCAAACTGACGGTGTATCATGTCGAAGATGATATGTTGAAGTTCGGGAACGCGTAGGCAACGTCGAGTGGCCGACAAGTCGTGGCCATTAGTAGCGTCCATGTTTTCAAGGTGATGCTAGAGGAGCGACAAAGAGAAGCGTGTCTGGCAATGAGGGCGCGTCGTACAGGACGAGGGAGAGAAGACGAGCTGCGTAGGCTGTGGGTGGGTAGTGCTGGCGGGTGGTTAAGAGGAAAGACGCGTGGGCGGCCAAGTACGTACATGCCACCCCGGTCACTCGCTTCGCGATCGCGTCCAGCGCGGTAACGTGACGCCACTCGCTCACTCATGCCATTGCAATTCGCACCACGACCACCAGTCCGCACCAGCTCAAACTAGTATGGCTCATTTAAAAAGCAAGATCCGACACGAACACGATACGACAAGAAGGAAAGTTACAAGATTTGGAAACGTATACGACACTATATACTAATATCCCCAAGATACCCCGAGCCAGATCTTATCTACAACTTGAAGTACTACGTGCGAAACCTCGAGTCGATGGTAGCTAGCAGCTCGTACGTTTCTGTCACTATACAGGTAGTGTGACGCGAAGAACAGAGAACACCACCATTAAAAACCCTATCTGATTTCGATGTTCAGTCCGGCATGCAATACTGTGCAGTAAAGGAAGTGGAGTACTTGCCGCCCATTCACGTCGCAGTATGGCCGAGGTCGGAGCAACTTTGCACGACGAGCCATGTGTCCTACTCCCAGCTCAGCGGTTGAACCCAAGGGCCTGATCGCCGGCCGGGACCGTTTGGGATTCATTGAGGTTCTCCGCGAGCTCTTGCGCCATACGCAGCCGTCCGTCCAGCCTGGCTGACTGGAACAAGGGGAGAAGCTGCTCAACCTCTTCCCATTTGCTTCCGCGGCCACTGTTCTTGATAACCTTCAAGTTCGGGAAGATGCGCGCAAGGAACGCTGCCACGAATCTCGGTCCGAGTACAGGGGACGGGCCAGTCCAAAGACGGAATAGCGGCGACGTGCTTGCCCTGTTTGCGAGGGGCCCGTAGATGTCCCCTTGGGTGTGGTCCGCGTTGAACAAGGCCTCGTCGTCCCAGCACGTCGCATCAAAGACAAGCTTGAGATGTTCTAGCTTGGGGAAATGTGCAGCAAACAAGGGGAGTACGCGGACGCTTGGCAACACGTCGCCGGGTAGGGAGCAGTCGATGTATAGGTACACCATGCAAGGCCACGCCCTCGCCATGTCGACGCAAAACGTGTCATCGAGTGCATACCGGAAGAAAAGATCGAGCTGAAGGAACTTCAGCCGCTTGAACGCTAAAAGCGGCCGTAGGTGGTGCGGGAGGAGGATGTCTGCATACCTCAACGAGTCGAAATCTTCTCCTATGTCGTGGACCGTTAACGTACGCAAAGCGTCCGGCGAGCACTGCCTACGAATGGAGCTGAAGACGTCCTCAAGGAGAGGGTATGGCGGGGGATTATAGAGTAATAGATTGAGCCCGGTCGCGTATGGCAGTGCTACAACCTTGCTGAATGCGATGTATGCCTCCGGGGTCGAGTGCAATCCCACCTCCTCCAATTGCAGGGTTACTGTGGCATCATAACACGAGGATAGGCGTTCGGAAAGCCACGTCATATCGTTTGGAAGGTGAACGTCGAGACAGCGGAGGGTCTTCGCCTGGATGAGGCTCAGCAATGCAGCCGGAGTGAGGAGGAGATACGTGGAGGAGAAAGATACCAAGGAGGTGAAGCCGCAGGCCAGCGCAGAGACCGCGTTTACGAGTTCAGGGGTGTCGCATTCGCCGAAAGTAGAAGTATTTTCGCCGATGTGGAATCTCTGTAGCACCGGGAACCGCTCTGCGATGATTCCAAAGCTCGCCTCCAAGGTTCTCCGATCGTCGTGCCAAGGAGAATAGGTCTCCAATTCGATTTCGACAAGGTTCGTGCCTACGCAGGTGAGCAGAGACGGCAGATGTTCCCCGGGCAGTAGCTCCGGCGCATACCAACTAATGGAGCGCAGATGGGGGAAGAGTATTTGAGTTGGACGAAGGGAGCATATCGTCGTCCACGCGGTTTCGCTGACAGTCCAGGTGTAGCCGGACTCTTCCGCGCCTAGATGCCGCACGAGGGAGGCATATCGCAAAACTGCCGTCCAGTCTTTCGGCGTTACGACGCGGGTGAAGACCTGTTCAACGAGTCGTGTGCGTTTGAAGTGAGCATTCGCCGAAGAGGATACGAAGAAGGCCGGGCTCACAAAGGAACGCTCATCTTCAAGGACCCAGGTATCCTCCGGAAAGCACTGGAACAGAGGCACGAGGTTCGGGAGATGGTACCACACCATCTCGACCGCTGGCTCGTGGAGCACCCGCGCAGTCTGCGCCATGGCAATCAGGCTGTCCTCGTCTGCATACTCGCAGATGTACCGCAGGACTTCCGGGATGCGCAAAGCGGTATGCATGCCAGGAGTGACTCGGACCGCAGTAGTGAGTTGAATTCGACCAAAAGCGTGGTCTGCGGCGCTGGCGATGTTCAACTTTTAGAGATCCTTCGTACGTATATGCGCAACTTACCCAGAGCCAGATGACCGTTTGAATATAAAGCACTTCTATGTATGGCAGGGCGAGACGGCAGGGCTGGGCTTGCGGCTGGGGTGAGTGAGTAAGTGAGTGAGTAGGTGGGTGGGGTCTGCGGTTGCGACACAATTCAAGTTGGGAGGTCACACGGTATTGAAACTCCGCTACGACGGCACACAATCGTTTCGTACTAACAGCCACTCGGGAACGTTACACGGCTGCATTACAGCTAGTCCTGAAAATGATGAGACAGGTGACAGAACTTTTTCGAGTCCCGAGCGGGTTTGCATCTTCCGACGTATCTTCCGACGCATCTTCCAAGCCATAAGCGCCCGTGCTCTCGCAGCCTTTCATCGACTTTTCAAAGGTTTTCGTGGCTGAGCATCAGTTCTGGATTTTCTATCGATTATGCTCCGTGTTTCTGACGTTCTCTATTTTTCTTGGAGGCATTCGTTCTAAACTGAAGCACATAGCGCAGTCGGAAGTGAGTCTTGGCTCTGGCGGGCCCTTTCCATGCCCACCCCCGCTAAATCAAAGGGCTTAAAATTCTGAGATTCGTAAAAGGGGACATTACGAGCTCTCGCAAGGTATTGAGGGTGTTTTATTCCTGGTTATTGTACATAATTTGCTATGACAACCTCGAAAGGTGGCAAGCATCTGGGCGCCTATGGCTCGGAAGATAGGCTCGGAAGACTTGCTGGAACCTTTATGACATCTCTTGCGAAAAAAGGTTCTGTCACCTGTCTCATCATTTTCAGGACCAGCTGTAATTTTTTCTTCCTATATCATGCACTTTCTGCATGAGGACGGTTCGAGAAGTGAACAGCGAGCCCCACAACACTGCACAACTATCATTTTTCCAGACTGGGACATTTAGGATGACTACGACTCGCTCGAGGGTGCATGGTGGAAAGTCGAGCCTCACGTTACGGTACGGTACCAGGAAAGAACGCCCACTCTGAACACGCCAGGAACGAGGGGCGTTTATATATCTAGTAGAGCGGGTACATCATTGTCAATTTACGTGTATGGCAGCACGGTGCAAGGTCTGGACCACGATCATTGCAAGAGACCCTGTCTGAATCTGAGTCTCAGTTGGACTGCGAATATGCAACGAGAAAAGTGGCATACCATCTAGTACCCGCATCACGTCTCGCGGCACAGCAGTGCAAGAGTATTGTGAGCCGCAGGACCTAGCTCACTAACTGGCAAGAGCCTAGTCATCGACCGAAGCCATCTGGATTTCCACCGGCCCCTCAGCGAGCTCTTGAGCCATGCGCAGGCGTTCGTCTTGCCTGGTTAACTTGAACATAGGGAGGAGCTGCTCGACTTCTCTCCACATGTTCCGCCAGACTCCATCAACTCTCGTGATCTGACCATGTCCGATTGTGTTTAGGCTGGGGAAGACCCGTGCGAGGAAAGTTGCCATGTACTGAACCCCACATATAGGAGACAAGCCGGGGGAAAACGAGAGTACCGTCGATGTGCTCGCCCGGCTCGCGAGGGCGCCATAGATCTCCGCCCGGTTGTAGTCCGCTTGGAAGCCAGCCTCGTTCTCCCAGCGCATGGCGTTGAAAACCAGCCCAAGGTGTTCCAGCTTAGGACAGTTCACGGCGAACGGTGAAAGTGCGCGGACGCTCGGTAGAGCCTCGTGTCGACAACGTGGTGAGCGACCAAGGCGAGCACACCCGATGTCGAGGTGCTTCAGGCAAGGCCAAGCCATCGCCATCTCAGCGCAAAAGCTGTCGTCAAGCGCATACCGGCACGATAACGAGAGGCTAAAACTCTCCAACCGTTTGAATTCCAAGAGAGGCCGGAGGTGGGCCGGGAGGAGAAGTCCTTCACTCTCGGAACCGTTTTCAGGATCTCGTACGTCGATGATCGTTAAACAGTCCGGCGAGCATTGCATGGAGAGGGAGCTGAAAACCTTGGGCAGGAGGTGGCTATGCATGTGGTGATTGAGTTCCAAAAGGAGCTTCATAGTGTGCGGAAGTGTTACCGCCTGGCTGAACGCGAGGTAGGCCCGTATCGTCGAATGATACAGTCCTACCTCCTCCAGCTGCGCGAGTACGGGAGCGTCATCGTGTGGGGATGGGTGCTCGGACAGCGGCGCCATATTGTCTGGAAGGCAAACATAAAGACGACGGAGGGTTTGCAGCCGCGAGAGGCTGAGGATCGCGGCCGGGGTGACACAGAAGATCGTGGAGGTGAAGGAGACCAAGGATGTGAAGCGGCAAGCCATTGTAGAAAACGCATTCACGATTTCAAGAGTGTCGCAAGGGTCACCGAGACCAGGGTACTGGCCACAGCGGAGCTCCCGTAGCCCTGGAAAGCGCTCTGCGATGATACCGAAGCTGGCCTGCAGAGCTCCATCGTCGTCCCGGGGCGAGGGTTCCCCCAAGTCGATTTTGACGAGGCTCGTGCCTACGATGGTAAGCAGAGATGGCGCATGCTTCTCACTGCGAAGGAGCGGCAGTTCGCCCCAATCGATTGAGCGCAGATGAGGGAAGAGGATTTGGGTGGGCCGAAGGGAGCACATGGTCGTCCACGCAGAATCGCTGACATCCCGGTCGCAGCTACAACCTAGTTCTGAGCCGAGCTGCCGTACGAAGGAAGCGTATTTCAGGAATGTCGTCCAGTCTTTCGGCGCCAGAGTACGCGTGAACTCCTGTTATGCCGTCACGTACGTTCGATATGAGTATTCCCGGAGAATGTGAACGGAGAAATTACGCACAAGATACACATCGTCTTCAAAGGTCCAGGCGTCCTCTGGGAAGCACATAAACAGATACGCGAGACACGGGAGTTTGTGCCATATCATTTCGACGGCCGGTTGATGAAGCACCCGCGCAGTCCGTGCCATGGCAAGCAGGGTGCTGTTGTCCGCATACTGGCAGATGTGTCGCATGACTTCTGAGATGCGCAAAGCAGTATGCATATCGGGAGTGACGGTAGTGCTAGTGAGCAGCCAAATTCGAGGCCAGAATCCGCTTAACTAAGAGCCTGCGGGTCCGCAATGTTCAACTTATGAAGATCCTTGCGCGCACATGTGTCACTTACCGAGAACGCGGGATACAGAACTTGAATGTAAAGGGCTTCAAGTTCTATGGAACGGCGAGACGCTTGAAGGTGGGTCCCGGGCGTTGCGGTTGAGTTGGAGGGCCTAGTATTAGAACTTCGCTATGGCGGCTCTCAAATCGTTATGTACAGCCGCTGCCAGTGGCGGGAAGTACTTACCAGTGGAAGCAACTTCGCGGAGCGCTAGCCCAGCGCGGCGGACTCGAACACAACTATTTACGTTGTCATGTATATTCGTCTGCGTAAGGACAGTTCAAACGAAATATCGATTGACTGGCTGATGGGGTTGTTTCTTAACTGGACCGACGGGAGAGTACATAGCCTGAGACAAGGACCGGCGCATGCAACATGTTGAGTAAGTACTAGTACTTGAACAGAAATCTCGCATCGACCTGTCAGCCTCTCAATGTTCTGTGCCGCGGCGATGTTGCCTACTGAGTATGCATACCATGCTTGAGACAACAGTGAGTTTATGTCCCAAGTTACATGCACTGACTATGTATCCACTTTGATGGCCGCTGTGATTGCTTCTCACCTCGTGAACTCATCGCCCAGATTAATCCGCGCAACAAGGCACAGCGTCGGGATTGGAGGAGAGTGGATGATGAGAACGTAGATAGATAGGTCTGCCAGAGCGCGGTCTGCAAGTGGCTATACTATAGTCGACGAAGGAGACCCACCGGGCGGCTGTCACTAGGCCGGTGCCCATCGATATCGACTGATGCATGATGCTGCCGCACGCAGGAACAAGGTTGCAGAAACCGGCAGCGTGCAGAGAACAACTTGAAAGGACTGGACGTGTATGTTTGAGCGACAGGGTTCATCCGTAAGGGTCGCAGGCGCATATTGGGTGGTCAAGCAGGTCAGTAACTTTGAACATGAGAGGCGAGATGGAGGCTAATCTCTCGGCGTTTATACTCCAATCTGTGGTGTCTGTATTCCGTCTGTAGCATAGTCGTCTGTTAGTACAGTTGATACTATCTCGCATTCTAGAGCCGCGAGTTGTGCATTGAATTATTCATGAGGGGCCACACGGTGGAGGCTTGACTTCTCCAAGCGATTGTGCTGCGAAATGCTTGTATACGATTCCAAGAAGAGCGCAATATACTAGCCCGGTTTGCATTACGAAAGAGTCACCGGTGGGGCCGACATGCTCATGGAGACATCAAACAGCCTGAAGTCCAAGGCGAATGCATCGATCCTGTTTCAGGTCCGGTAAATATGAGTACGAAGGATATTATCAAGGTAGGGAATGTCACTTACCTCGCCCCCACTATATCATAAGCGACTGTAATCTCCGCTACATTCCGGAGCTACACTCATCGAGTAACAGCCACCTCCGAATCCCCGGGTGCGCCCGTCGTAGAGAGATCCTGAGTGAGCCGCAAGCGTTCGTCGTTCCTGATGCGTTTGAACAAGGGTAGGAGTCGCGTGGCCGTATTCCACCGAGCCTGTAGTTCGCGATCGAAGAAAGATGTCTCTTTGATTTCCTTCAGGCACGGAAAGATGCGGGCAAGGAACGCTGCGATGTACTCCGGCACGAGAATAGGGGAGTCGCCGACATAAATGCTGGATACCAACGACGTGCTCGCCCTCTCAGCGAGGAGCCCGTATATCTCCTCCCGCGAGTCGTCCGCGTTGAAGGATGCCTCATCTTCCCAGAGCTTTGCGTCGAAGTCTAGTCCAAAGGTCTCCAGCTTGGGGCAATGCACGGCAAACGGCGGCAGCGCACGGACGGTCGGCGATACGTCACGGCCGGTGAGGGTGCCAATGCCCCCAATGTAAAAGTGCTTCAAGTGGGGCCACGCCTTCGCCATATCGCTACAGAACCCGTCGTCTAAAGCCTTCCGGCCAGGGATATCGATGAACACACGTTCTAGACGCCTCAAGTCCAGGAGAGGTCGTAGGTGTGCTGGGAGGATGATCGCCTCATCGGCTGCGTCGTTTCCCAGGGAGAGGAACTCTTGTATGTTGATATCCTTCAAAGTGTCCGTAGAGCATTGCGCACGGATAGAACGGAAGTAGTCCCCGATGAGATGGTTTGGCCGCCTATACTCGATCCACAACACGAGCGTTATAGCGTGATGAAGCGTCACCGCCATGCTGAACGCGACATAAGCCTGCGGGGACGAAAAGAGCTCCAAACGCTCCAAAGATGACGGTATTGGACCATCGACGTTTGAGGTTGGACTCCGGGATGGCCACGGCGCATCGTCAAGGCGCACGTTGACGGAACGAAGAGTCTTCATCCGTAATAGGTTAAGCATCGCGGCCGGGGTGATTGGACAAGCCCGGGATGTGAAAGACACCAAAGAGGTGAAATGGGATGCGGATGTAGGGAGAAAGGACCTGAGTTCGCGAGTGTGGACGCTCCATGGCAGCCGCCAACGTCAAGCGCCCGTAGCATCGGAAACCGCTCCGCCATGATGTCGAAGCTTGACTGCATTTCGTCCGTTACGTTCCCCGCAGGGTGTTCAAAGAATGTAAGACCCACGCGGAAGAGGTGGGGTCCTGTGCAGATGAGGAAGGATGACAGGCACCTGATCGGAAGCTCGATTTCTCCCCAGCGAAACGAGCGCAGCTGAGGGAAGAGGGTCGCCGTCGGCCGCAGGCAGCACATTGCCTCCCAGGCGGCCGCGTCCGCATGCCTCGAGCGCAAGGCCCATGGCGGCTCATAGAAATTCCCATTGACAAAGTGTCGCACGAGGGAGGCATACTTCAAGAACACGGTCCAGTCCTTGGGCCTCAAGATACGCGTGAATTTCTGTCACCCGCGCGCAAGGGAACGGTGCGAAGTAAGTTAGCGATCGTTCCTTGAAAAATGTTACGAGAGCGCGGACTTACGAATGTGTCACCCTCAAAGGCCCAACAGTCCGTCGGGAAGCATTGGAGGAGGGGGAGGAGGTCCGGGAGTACACGCCAGAGCACATAGATAGCCGGTTCATGGAGGACCCGGGCGGTTTGCGCCATGACGGAGAGTGTTACCGGGTCGGCCAATTCGCAGATGTGCTCCAAAACATCGGTGACGAGCAGAGTCGTATGCATAGTGGTGACAGAGATAGAGGAGGACATGAACCGACAGTGCTGGCTTGGCGATGCACCTTATGGCTTCAATGGGGCGCGGCTGAACGAGTTGGTTGCTTGGGTACTTCAGGCGGGCACAACCGCTGGCCGTCACGTTGCTCGTGGTGCTGCGGTAAGCTTAGCAGGCGGTTAACTTTAAACTGGTCCCCTTCAGGATGTGAGACGCCCACATCGCGGCCTGCATCCGAAGCAGTTTAAGGGCGGCGTACCATAGACGACGAGGTTATGAGCCTACTAAGCGGCGGGTACCCGAAACGCACCCAGACTAGGAGAACAATGTGATGATTCACGCCAGACATATTTCAGAATATTGGTATGACTTAGCCCATCCTGTGAGTGAAGGGATGAGCTCCATCCTGCTGCTTGAAGCTTGCGCATTGCGCAGCGCCGGTAAGTTATAACATCGCTTGGAATATGACGCCACCTTGCTCACCACCCTTGTCCTACCTTGAATCCTTCATCACTTCATTTGTATTAGAGCCGTTATTCTGACTTGATAGTTAGCTTATTCCCGGGCCAGCGAGTCGGTCGTTGGAAGCGATAAACCAACTTCAAGTTTTGCGAACGGTTGCGAAGGCCGGGGCCCGGCTTGGATTAATATTGTGACCGGAGTACCCTCCATTAAGTGAGATCCACCCTGTTACTGTCCTGTTGATTGATCTGCGGTACGCATCCTAGAGTTAGAGAGGCAGAGGAGGAAATCGAGGCTACTAACCTGGTTGGCGCAGGCCAAGTGCAGGCGCCCCAGGGCGCTAGCTTGGGCATAGCAGCAGTATGCTGAGCGCTTCTTGATTCGTACACCTTGTCCACTCCCTCAACACTGAGGCTACGACAGTAGTCGCGCCACGCGCCCTTCTCTTCCCCGCATCCGAGTGCAAACATCATGGCTGCGAAGGACAAGCCCAACAAGCTGGCATTCTTGTCAATGCCAGCGCCGGCATCCTATGTTGCAGGTCTTGGTCGAGGGTCAGTACAGTTAGGTCCGTCTAGAGTGGCTGCATGCTCATGCTGCATCCAACAGCGCTTCTGGTTTCACGACCCGGTCGGATATCGGTCCTGCTCGAGAAGGTCCTTCGGCCGAAGTCATCGCGTAAGTGACGCAGTCCTCTCCGTGTTGCCTTCTCACTCACTAGGCAACACAGAGAGGCGCAAGCGAAGCGTGGAGAGGAGGCGGAAGTCGACCCGGACCAGTTCCAGGACCCCGACAACGAATACGGACTCTTCGCAGGGACAACATATGAGGCCGACGATGAGGAGGCGGACAGGATATATGAGCAGGTGGACCAGAACATGGACGCCCGGCGGCGCGCGAGGAGGTGCGTCCCTGCTATACTTGCCCTATGTCTCCGTCTGCTGACGGTCGTCTTCACAGAGAGGCGAGGGAGAATGAGGAGCTGGCAAAGCACAGAGCGGAACGTCCCAAGATCCAGCAGCAGTTCGCCGACTTAAAACGCGGCCTTTCCGCGGTTACAGACGAAGAATGGGAGAGCATTCCTGAGGTGGGCAATCTTACGAGGAAAAAGCGTAAAAAGGACGAGAGGTCATTCGTTGTATCCGACAGCGTCATTGTCGGAGACAGATCTCGGACTGAGTACGAGACCTCGCTAGACTCGCGACAACAGGCGGTACGTCCTATACTCTATGCTGAGTGGCTGCTGAATGGTATTGACTGGAGCCTTCAGAATGGAGGAATCGAGACCCCCGCAGAGAATGGCACAATCACGAACTTCGCGGAGATGAGCCAGGCGCGAGACAAGATTTTGTCGCTCAAGCTGGACCAGGTAAGTGGTCGCCGTCACTTAGTGGTTTCTAGATGTTTACACCTCGGATCTTTTAGGTCTCAGGAAACGTCACTTCTACTGGCCTGCAGACAGCGATAGATCCCAAAGGTTACCTTACTTCGCTCGACAGCGTTGTGCTCAAGACGGACGCTGAGATTGGTGACATTAAGCGGGCACGCATGCTCTTCGACTCCCTCGTAAAGTCTAACCCGAAGCATTCACCTGGATGGATTGCCGCCGCACGTTTGGAGGAGCACGCTGGGAGGATGGTCGCGGCACGCAAGATGATCAAGCAAGGGTGCGAGCAGTGTCCCAAAAACGAGGATGTCTGGCTCGAGGCTGCGCGGTTGCATGTAAGCCTCTAAGCGCATCGTTTCACAATCTGTCTTCTAACTGCTTTTACATAGAATAACGATGATGCCAAGGTCATTCTAGCCAGTGCAGTGCAACACGTCGGCCAGAGTGTGAAGATTTGGATGGCTGCGGCAGACCTAGAGCACGACGTCAAGGCAAAGAAGCGTGTTTTACGGAAAGGTGCGACTTTTCTTTGTACTCCGCACGGTGCAGCTAGCCTAATTAGCCCAATACCAGCTCTTGAACACATCCCGAACTCCGTCCGGCTGTGGAAGGAGACGGTCAACCTAGAGTCTTCTGCTGTAGATGCTCGTATCCTTCTGTCTCGTGCCGTCGAGGTCATCCCGCAGTCCGTCGAGCTCTGGTTGGCACTCGCCCGCCTCGAGACGCCTGACAAAGCCAAGGCCGTACTCAACAAGGCTCGCAAAGCCGTCCCAACCAGCCACGAGATCTGGATTGCCGCTGGTCGTCTGCTAGAGCAGGAAGCATATGCAACTGAGAAAGCCCAAGAGCAGCGCGACAAAGAACTGGCGGCGGTTGACAAGACAATCGAAGCTGGTGTTCGCGAGCTTCGCCGCCACCAAGTGCTCCTGACCAGGGAGCAATGGCTGAAGGAAGCCGAGCGGTGCGAGACCGAAGGAGCAATCCGGACATGCGAGGCGATCATCAAGGCGACGATCGCCATGGACATCGAGGAGGAGGACCGTCTTGACACCTGGACGGGCGACGCGGAGGCGGCGGAGGCGAAGGGCAACATCGGTGCCGCTCGGGCGATCCTTGCCTACGCGCTCAGGGTCTTCCCTGACAAGAAGAGCCTGTGGCGTAAGGCTTCCGATCTAGAGAAAGCGCGTGGGACAAAGTGAGTGATCTCCGCACCACCGACGATTGGCGGGTTGCTAACTGGTGACCGCTTCAGGGAGTCGCTCAATGCTATCCTCGAACGCGCAGTGCACCATTGTCCACAGGCAGAGGTGCTGTGGCTCATGTGGGCGAAGGAGAAGTGGCTCGCAGGCGACGTGCCCGCGGCGCGCGAGGTGCTCGAGCGCGCGTTCGTCGCGAACTCGGAGAGCGAGCAGATTTGGCTCGCGGCCGTGAAGCTGGAAGCGGAGAACGGCGAGCTCGACGTCGCGCGCGAGTTGCTCGTCCGTGCACGCACTGTAGCGGACACGCAGAGGGTGAGTCGCTTGGCACGTCTTTCACCGATATCCCCGTATTGATCCGTTCCTCAGATCTGGATGAAGTCTGCTGTGTTCGAACGGCAGCAAGGCCAGCTGGACAACGCACTGGAGACGCTCGCCACCGCGATCAAGAAGTACCCGAAGTTCGCCAAGCTTTACATGATCCAAGGTCAAATTCATCAGCAGCGCAAGGACCACGCCGCGGCGCGTGCGTCGTTCACGTCTGGTATCAAGGCATGCCCTAAGGAAGCAAACCTGTGGATCCTCGCGAGCCGGCTCGAAGAAGCTGACGGGAAGAGCATCAAGGCGCGCGCGTTGCTGGACAAGGCGCGATTGGCGAATCCAGGCAACGACGTGCTCTGGGCAGAAGCAGTCGGCGTTGAGGAACGCTCCGGGGGCGCTGCACAAGCGAAGACAGTTCTTGCGAGAGGTCCGTCCATCCTGCTTCTCATGGGAATCGCTTCTTGATGCTAACCACACGCACCATCACGCAGGTCTGCAGGAGTGCCCGACATCTGGGCTGCTGTGGTCGATGGCGATATGGGCGGAGCCGCGGCCGACGCGCAAGGCGCGCTCCGCGGACGCGCTGCGGAAGGCGGGCAGCGACCCGTGGGTACTCTGCAGCGTCGCACGGCTGTTCTGGGCGGAGCGCAAGATCGAGAAGGCGCGGCACTGGTTCGAGCGCGCGGTGTCCGCGCCCGAGAACCCGAGCGACACCTGGGGCGACATCTGGGCGTGGTGGCTCAAGTTCGAGCGGCAGCATGGGGTCGCGGTGCGTGCTTCTTCTGTCTGGCGTGCGAGCATGTCGCTGACAGATGGTCGATTTTGCAGGAGCAGCAGGAGGGCGTGATCAGGCAGGCTGTCGCGGCGGAGCCGCGGTACGGGCCTGCGTGGCAGCCAATCGCGAAGGACGTCGCGAACACCGGGAAGAGTACGCGGGAAATCCTCGAGCTCGTGGCGGGCACGCTGCATTGAGGCGGGGCAGGCTTGGGAGATTGGGCTACGGGTTCTCGCCGACGTGCTTGGTGTGTACGAGTAATTGATTGTGTATCTGATGTGTGTTTGTTCATCAGGCAGTGACCGCAGCTGTGCGGTTGGCTAACGGCGATAGGATTGCAGCGGTCAGTCTCTTTCTCTCATCCTCGTTTTCGTGCTCGCAGTGAGCGGACCGAGGCACTCGCCACTGGTACCGCAACCTGCATGAAGTTCCACCCATTCCACCCGTGACTTCCGCGACGAGTGTGCACACAGTATTTATTCACCACGCGCGTGCGGCGCACCTAGTACGCAGGCTACCCACTGCCCACCAGACCCCCGGACCGAGGGCCAATCCTGGGGAAGGTCAGTACAGTTTCGTAACTCGTCCAAGGTCCGAGTCGCGAGGCAACGTCGCTTTATCTATTTTGGACGGCGGACCAAATGCTATTTCAGGGCGGCGATCAGAATCTGGAGTACTGCAGGTCTGTCTGCTTGTCTTCTCGTGTTTCTGGCGATCATCTATATATACTTGAGTGCTGTTCGTCTGTCCGGCGGACGAGGTAAGAGCTGGTAAGAGACCATTGGGCAAACGTCCGTCCGTATCAGTAGACACGTAGCGCAACCTATGCTGGCGTATCAGATGTGCTGACCGGTCACAGTGCGGAGACCGCTGTACTTATTGTTAGTGGTGCACATGGACAAGTATAGGTGGGAGTCGGACTGCGGATAGGTGTGGTGGCGTCGATGTGTTGTACTCACCCGAGTCGTACATACGTCTATTGCGCGACTTCCACAGACGTGGAACGGTGTGCATGTGAAGTCGGATCCAAGTATACCTCGAGCCGGGCGGCGCTGCGTATACCAAAGTTGTGGGCGTGTCTTGGGTACTTGGCCGATCTTGGCTGCGGCGGTGTGCCTCGGTGGATGGGTGATGGGCCAATGGGTGAGCAGGAGAATATAGGTCGGGCGTCTGCGGGTCTGATGAGATTGGGGAGCGGGTGGTTACGAGTTTGAACGCGTACCGCCCCCATGGTTCCTACATATACAATGCCCGCCCTCCCCGACGCCCTCCTCGTTGTGACCTCCCTGTCGCGCTCTGGTCGAAGGAAGGCTGCACGGTCTCGTCTCGGTTTCCCTCTTTCCCGCTCTCTCGCATACTCTTCATCTTCTCTGCGCAGGTCGCCCGCTATTTGTTTTCAAGTTCACGATGTATACGTCTAGCTGGTGTGCTCTCGCCCTCGCCCTCCTCCCCGCCCTCGTCTCGGCCATCCCGCTCCCCGCTCAGACGACCCCGAAGGCCCGGAAAGGTGGTGTGGTCCTCCCGTTCAACAGGCATTCGCGCAGAGTTGCCGCAAGAGCCACCGATGATAGTGATGTCCTGGGCGGAACCGTCGGCCTCGGTGACAGTGCAGATCTGTGAGTGCGCACGCCACATAGGATTGTAGAAGGTACTCATCCCACGCAGTTTCTACACTGTTGCCGTAACGGTCGGGGATTCGACCACTGCTGTGAATCTCGGTAAGCTCCAGTCCTTTTAGAATGTCCCAGCAGCAGCAATCTCTGTCCCGCGGAACACGTTCTGGCACATGTTCTGCATTCTGGTGACTTGGTCGTGACCAGCGGTGGACGATATCCTGCGACGTATGCAGAGCGTCCTGTCTCTTGAATGCCATGTTCTCCGGAACATATACCTTGAAATATCGGCACTTGTGTCTCCCGGAACCCAGAACATGTTCCGGAGCACATTCCGCAGTTCCCAGGACATTCTCAGTCCGTTTCTTCCACATGCTAATCACTTCGCGCAGACACCGGATCCAGCGACCTATGGGTGATGTCCTCTACATGCCGCACCAAGCAGTGTCGCCAGTCCACTGCCACGCCATATGACGTCTCGAAGACCTTCAAGGCCTCGGGTGGCAACGTGGATCTCAGATACGGCGACTCCGTCACCGGCACCCACGCGGACGGCCCCGTCGGTCGCGACACGGTAACGCTCGCAGGTCTCACGTTGGAGGGCCAGTCGCTCGCTGCGATCAACGACACCGATAACTCTGCCATCTCGAATGGCGGCGCGGGTATCCTCGGTCTCGGCTTCCCTGCGCAGAGGTTGGTTTAGCACACGACTTGGGCAGTTTCTGTCATACTGACAAATTTGTAGTTTCGTCCAGGCAGCTGTCATCAGCGCTGAGGTATGGTGTACCCCAGTTGCTCTCGGTTGCAAAATGCTGATCGAAAGTAGATCCCAAACACGGTGGGGACTGACACCTTCGTCGAGCAAACTGCCAAGTCGGGACCTCTGGTGCCCCGCTTGATCTTGGCGGACGAGATTGACGACCCCCTGTTCGCAGTATGTCATTCGCGCCTTCAGTTCCTTCTGACTACTGCTGACGTGCCACAGATTACGTTGCAACGGGATACCATTGACGTCTCCGGTGAGGGTCAAATCACCATCGGACAACTTCCCGATGGTGTGGACAACTCGAGCATCACCTGGGTGCCCGTCCGGCTCTACGACTCCGCCGACGGAGGTCTTGACGCGCCATCCTTTGCCCCCAACGAAGTGTACCCTCTGTAAGTGTGCATGCTATTAGTCAATACGCCTTACTGAACTAGCCCACAGTCGCTGGGAAGTCGAGATCGACGCTGTCTACCTCGACGGCAAAAAGCTCGCGGACTCTACACAGCAGCCCAACGGCATCAGCAAGCCTTCCGTCTCCGCGCTCATTGACACTGTAAGTATCATAGCTAGTGTCGTCTCCCGCCAGTGCTGACCATATCTCTGTAGGGCAACTCGCTTATCCGCGGCCCCTCCGACGTCGTGAACAACATCCTCTCGACCGTCTCACCCGCGTACGCGGCAGATTCGTCCGCGTCGCCGCTCCTCCCCTGCGACGAGGGCCACAACCTGACGTTCCAGATCGGCGGGAAGCTCTTCCCCGTCGACCCGCGCGACTTCGTCGCACAGAACAAGCAGGGCGACGCTGCGAACTGCGTCGCGAGCAATGTCGTGAGCACCGACGCGCCGAGCGTCGGCGCGCTCTTCAGCTGGAACCTCGGCGACCCGTTTCTGAAGAGCAACATGGTTGTGTTCTACTACGGGAACCTGACGCACCCGTCCCTCGACCCGCCCCGCATGGGCTTCGTCTCGCTCGTACCGCAGAACGCGGAGGCGCTCTTGGACACTGCCGTCGAGGACGCGCAGAGCGCCGCCGGCGCGTTTGAGTGTGAGTCCACTCTCTCCCTTTACTCCTCTTCATGTTTGCCATGAGCTGACGACGCGTACCTGATCATAGCCACGGCCGAGGCTGCCCCCACAGCGAGCAGCTTGATCCTCGAGGGCGCTGCGAGCGCGAGTGCCACAAGCGAGTCCACCTCATCCGCGCCAGCCGCGACACGCACATCGACCCCTTCTTCTCCATCCTCCTCCGCGGCACCCGCAGCCACCGTCACTGCGACGGCCACCGCGAGCACGAACCCCAAATCCGCGCCCGTCGCGTCGGTATCGGCGTCGCCCTCGTCCTCGCCGAACGCCGCCGCACCCCGGCTGGTCGGCGGCTGGTGGCTCGCGCTCCCCACGCTCTCTTTGCTCGCGTCGCTCTGCATTCTGTGAATGACCTGCTCTCTTTTGCTGTTTATAATTGGTTAGGGTGTGGACTATTTGCGCCTGCTGCACGGACAGACGGGATACGTTAACTAGGTGCTTATTGTATGCGAACCTTTAGTGGGAAAAGGGATCCGTGACGCTTCTGCTGTGCGACGATACCGCGGTACGCACTCCGAGGGAAGCGCAAGTCCTCGCCACACCCTAGGTATAGCATGGCAGCGCTCAAGCAGCGCTACCACAGTTCTCCGCGCTACGCAAGCAAGCATCACTCTGTTATCAGCTCTCACCACCGAGCGACGTACCGATTAGTCTCCTCCCGTAAGTAGCTTCTACATGGGGCGACCAAATCTGCATATCGTGGACATCCTCGAACACATTTGCGAGCATGCCGAGCCAGGATCACTCGTTATGATGGCCCGCACCACGCGGGCGTTTCATGAATCGGCCATTCGTGTCCTCTGGCGCGATCTCCCCAGTCTCGAACCCCTGATTTACTGTTTCCCCGCGGATGCCTGGACTATAATTCAGAGGTCGAAATTCGTGAGTCTTCTCGTTTTCTTGGGCAACAGCCTACATGAATTTACTCCTATCGCCGTTCGGGCCGGGCAGAAACTCACGCGCATCGTGACACCGAAGGATTGGACAGCGGTCCTGAAGTACGCCGCCTACGTGCGCCGCTTTATCACGACGGGACCTACCTATGGTTTCAAGCTCAAGCTGGAGGCCGCTGTTTGGGACACGATGTGCTGGCTACGGCCGACAGCCGTCCTCTTTCCCCAGTTACGCTCCTTGCGCTGGGATGTAGTGCGCCTTCCGGACAAGTATCTCCCATCCTTCCTTATCTGCGCGGGTACAAATCTCGATCGCCTCGAACTTCAAGACTTTTCCTACTACGACGAGACAGTCCGGGCAAGCCTGGGGATCCTCGCCGAACACTGCCCAGGGTTACGTGAAGTACTCGTCCCGTCCTTCGGTCCCTGCACGCTGACTTCCGAAATATGACTTGCTTCTGGAACCTCGTTCCCGTGTGCGCGTGCGGCAGCATCTTCGTGCTATAATTGTACGAACTTACTACAGCATTGCGGCCGCACTGACAACATGTGGAAACGGCGGTTAGCAAGCAGGCGCCCTCGTCGTACTCTCCTGGTACCGTACGTCTTGGCTCTCCACCATGCATGCGATGCCGCTCATCACCGATGTTTTGGACCACATTTGCGAATTGGTCGACACGGCATCACTCTCAATCATGGCGCGTACCGCTCGGGTACTCCACGAACCGGCCATCCATGCGCTTTGGCACGAACTACCTGGACTGATTCCCCTCCTCCGGTGCTTCCCAGCTGATTCCTGGACCATCGAGGGAGACGAATTCGTAAGTCCTTTATAACAGCTTCCAAGCAAAGGTTTTGTTAAGTTGGCCTGCACGGAGCACAGAAGTTTTCCCGCGTCTTGAGACCTAAGGACTGGACCGCCGTCCTCAAATATAGCCCGCTGGTGCGACACTTTGTTGCATCGACGCATTCAGCCTTCTGCGCCAGGCCTGCGGACGCGGCCGTTTGGGAGACAATGTGCTGTCTGCGGCCGACGGCGACCCTGTTCCCCCAGCTGCGCTCGTTGCGTTGGGGAGATATCCAGCTTCCGGATAAATGCCTGCCATCCTTCCTAGTCTGTATCGGATCCGGCCTCACGCGAGTGGATCTAGGAGGCCTCGCTACCATTGCGGGGAGCGCGCCCGACGTACTCCAGGCGATTTTTGACATCATGGCGGAGCGGTTCCCGTTGCTCCGTGCGCTTGACGTGGGCCACGTACGCTCCGGAAGCGAGGTACTCACTCGAGAGCTCGGCGGGTCTTTGCCGCCTACGCTGCCATTCACCCTCACCCCTTTGGTATCTTTCGCGTCCCTGAAGATGTCCATCACCTTGGACGCGCTGCTCAACCTAACGCGGCTGGAGACGCTGCGGGTTATCGATGTGCGCCTTCTAGACGATCCTCAACTACCATCCGCCGACCAGAGACCATCCTCAAACACCACTACTCCGATATTGTCACATCTATCACAGATCGATATACACACCACGTCGCGCGCCTACATCGGGTTCAGCAAAATGGTGACACTTCCTCATATTACAACTCTCCGCCTACGGCTTTCTCCCTTGGACTCGCAAACCTATCTCATACCGGAACTCCTCCAATCCATTCGCGATCAGTGTTCGCTCGATGTCTTGAAGCACGTCGTTCTTGAGCACTACACGAATCATCACGAACGTGTAGGGCCCGTCCTTCCGACTCACCTGCGACCTCTCCTAGACTTCAAGCAACTAGAAGTCGTGATAGTGGCACTTAGGTGCAGGTATGCGCTCAACGACGAGATTTACACGGACATGGCGAAGGCGTGGCCGCGCCTCGAGCGTCTGTGGGTCGGATGCTACCCGGTATGCACTCACGAAATACTGCCTACTGTGCGTGCACTCCCGCCGTTTGCCACGCATTGCCCGAAGCTGGAAATGCTCGGGCTGGTTTTCGACGCTAGGCACTGGGAGGCCAAAGCCGCCTTCGACGCGGACGATATGGACGCGGAGATCGAATTGTACGGGGCTCTCGCTCATAAGGCGAGCACGTCGGCTCTGTCGAGGTTCCTTGTCGGAAACTCTCCCATAGCCGTGCCCGAGTACGTCGCAGCGTTCCTTGACCGGATATTCCCAGCCCTGGGCGAGGTCGTCACAGAAAGGGCGGTTCGGGACCAATGGATAGCCGTTAAGCGTTTCCTACCCCTGTTCAAACATGTCAGGAAGGACGAACGACTCCGGGTCAGCCAGGAACTGTCCGCGACTGGAGGAAGGAGGACGTGCGGGGAAGTAGTGGCTCCTTGGTGAGCGCGGTCCACGGACATAGCATGCCCCACTGGCAGAGCCTACCGATGGGTCTTTGGACGATGGACTAACAGGGGGGCTAGTACGGTAAGTAGATTTTGCCATTCGCAGGCATCTTCTTACGCACTCACCATCAAACAAGTAGAATCCGTCCGTTTGGCTTGAACTCTATATTCAGATATGGACTATCATACACTGTATGCCGTCGCTGCTCAAGAAGGACACTTGGCTCACCACGCCAGGGCTTTGAACATACTTAGCATATGACTGATAGCAATCTCTGAGTTATGCCCCTAGTCTAGACGAGTTGCGTATGCATTGCGGGAACTCGCGTCAGCCCATTGCAATTACCGCTCAGGCCGCAAAGTGAGTAGTATTTTGAGTTATTTTGGAGAATAGAATCTAGCCGCTTACCCAGACATGTTACCGCAGCGGGACGGGAACTCTCGAGGGCCTGCTTTCCCATGGCGCTGCCGCAGCTGCAGCTGCAGCACGAGAAATGTGGCTTCGGCCTGTAGTGTATAAAAGTTGGACTGGTAACGGGTTCGGTTTACCTGACACACGCACAACTCTCCTCCCCCACAGCTCGGCGGTGGACTCTCAAGCCAGTATCAGCTCACCTATCTCCGTGCCTCCCTGTTCACTATGCATGCAACGCAGCTCGTCTCAGATGTTATCGAGCAAATCTGCGAGTGGACCGACCCGGCATCACTCTCCGTCATGGCACGAACCGCCGGAGTGCTCCACGAGCCAGCCATCCATGCGCTCTGGCGGAGCCTCCCAAGCCTCATTCCCCTCCTCCAATGCTTCCCGACGGACTCCTGGACCATTGAAGGAGACACATTCGTAAGTCGGGAATTTTATGACATCCGTCGAGGAACGGCTCAGCTAAATCAGCTCCCACCATTCCCTTTGCGGATAGAAGTTCACGCGTGTCTTGAGACCCAAGGACTGGACCGCCGCTCTGAAGTACGCCTCCCTCGTACGACACTTTGACGAAGAGAAGAATCCCCTGCGCTCGCGGCCTGCGGATGCGGCTGTTTGGGAGTCGATGTGCTGCCTGCGGCCGACGACAACACTCTTTCCCCAGCTTCGCACGTTGCACTGGAACCTCATCCAGCTTCCGGACAAGTGCATTCCATCCTTTCTCGTCTGCGTAGGACCCAACCCCTTCCGAATGGTGTTTGAGAGCCTTGAGCACCGTTTGGGGTATACCACCGACGAATTCCAGTCGAGCCTGGACATCATAGCGGAGCGGTTCCCGGGCCTACGTGAACTCCACGTTGGCTATTGTCGTGGAGGTCGCGATCGCACTAGCGAGCCTGTATTGCTCTTCCCTACAATCCCACCCAGCTTCCCGTCTTTGGTGTCTTTCGTATCCCCGATTTGTCCTATCACCCCAGCTGCGCTGCTCGGCCTGGTACGGTTGAAGACACTTCGCTCCATCACTGTGCGTCTCCAAGATGATGCGGAGTGGCCTCCAGCTCCTACCACTCACCTATCTTTGGATCTACAAAATGTCGAGTTCATCTCTTCGCTACGCACTTGCATCGCGTTTTGCAAGACGACAATACTTCCTCACGCCACGGCTCTCAGGTTACAGCTCATTGGTGTCCCGCCATGGAGCCATCTCATCCCAAATCTCGTTCACGCTATTCGTAGGCAATGCTCGCCAGATGTTTTGAAGACTGTTTCCATCTATGAGATGGACACCACGGACGACGCGCGCGAAGACCTCATTTTCCCGACTTATCTACGACCTCTCCTAGACTTCAAGAAGTTGGAATCCCTCAGAGTGGAATTGCGATGCGAATATGCGCTCGACGACGAGTTCTGCGCCGATATGGCGAAGACTTGGCCGCGTATCAAGGTCCTTGAAGTCGTGAATTGGGACACGGAATGCGTCCACGATGTTTTTCCCACCGCGCGCGTGCTCCCACTGTTCGCTATGCATTGCCCCAAGCTGAAAAGACTCGGGCTGGCCTTCGACGCAAGACGCTGGAAGAACCAAGCGGACTTCGGCGCGGACAGTTCAAACGCGGAGATATACGGAGCTCTCGCTGATCGGGCGAGCACATCGGTTCTATCGGTTCTCGGTGTCGGCACTTCCCCAATATTCGTGCCCGAGTACGTCGCAGCCTTCCTTGATCGGGTCTTCCCGAACCTGGTCAGTATTTGCCCAGGACTCGGAGGAGACATGGAGACCCAATGGGAAGCGGTCGAGCGTTTCTTGGGCTTGTTCAAACACGTCAGGAAGAACGAACGGCGACGAATCTGTCAAGGAGCCATCCGTGACGGGCGCAGGGGGACTTCCGGAATTGGGGAGATGACCGTTCCTCAGTGAGCGCGGTCCATGGGCCCGGGGATCCCCACAGCCTAGTATCGTGGCCTGGACGATCGGATGACGAGGTAAGTGTCTTCCGCCATCCTCAGGCACATTCAAGTTGTAACATATTCACCGGCAGCGTTGATACAGAATCGATGATTTGGTTGAGACTCTAAGCTCTCTGCTGTCTTCATGGTATGTCTGCTTCACGGGTGACGTCTTCGCAGTGTTAGGATGCGATATGTAACTTGAATATGTAACCCTTTTCTCTCACGAATTGTACCAACATATTCGCAACATGATTGGTTCGAAAGAATGCTAAGTATCACGACGTCGGACCCCTGGGACATGTACAATGTTGCAGCCATGAAGGGATGCCCAAATCACGGCTCATAGCTCCCGGGATGCAAAAAAAGATTAAGCATAGCTGACGACTATAATACAGACGGTACACGGACATCATAGATGACGGTAAAATTACAGGGTCCTCATTTTCGCCTAAGCACCAATCCATGCTCTGATGCTTGACCCTTAGACGTCGACGACCTCCACCAATGGGCCCCGTCGCTCAAACATGCTCGTCCAGTCCTTCGTCCCCTCGACACTACCGACGCCCGCTCCGATCGCCGCCTCCCCGCGTACGATACCGACGTCGTCAGCCCACGAGGCAGCGGCAGCGACGGCTGCATACGTCTTCTTCATCAACGGGTCGCGCTGGTCGCGGTCCACCCGCGCCTCGCACAGGGCATAGCCACCATAGCTCTGTTCGTAGGCCGCGCCCTTGCCGGCCAAACCCTCGTCGCTTTCATCATCCCCCTCGAATCCCGACTCCGCGTCCGAGAGCGCGGAGCCATCGGTGTGTCCCACCTCGACGTCGTAGGACCCGCGAAGAAGCTTCGCCAGAAGTGTCTCCGCCTTGAGCGCGCGGGTGTTGAGCGCAGGCGGGGTCCGCACGCGCTGGCTGAGGCGCGACGTCTTCGACGCGGCGCGCGGGGTCGGGGCGGCGGCGGGGACCTGGCGCGGGATGCGCTGGAGCGGGGACACGTTCCCCGGGGTGGGCGGGCCGCTGTCGCTCTTCACGCTGTCGTTGCTGCTGCTGCTGGAGCAGGACTCGTCGCCCATGCGCGCGAAGTGCTCGCGCCATTTCAGCTGCATGTTCATAAGGTCGGGGCGGGCGTCCTGCTCGTCGGCGAACCCGCCCAAGTATCCGGGAGAGCCGAGGAAGGCCGTGGCAGAGAACCCCGTGGGCGGAGGAGATCCCGGAGGGGAGAGCACAGGAGAGCAGGATAGAGGCGAATCCAAGGCAGGGTCGTCACTCATCAGCGACGGCATCGAGCCCGTGCTGTCGGTGCGAGCGAAGCCATCGCGGCGGCGCGGGGAACGCGTCGTAGGAACCACTGGGTCGTTCTCCCGGTTTGGGAGAGGAACGTACGTGGGGAGGGTGTCCGCGTAGTACGCTCTGCGGCGCATATGCTGTGCATGGTGCGATGTGGGCACCCCGCGACGACTTTGAGAGACCAGAGCTACTCACCGACCAGTATGCACCGTATGCAGGACGGTACGGCCCCGGACCGTTTACCACCACGTTGGGCAGGGTCTCCCATATTTCGGCCAGAGTGTCCATCCTGTCCCGTGCAGCCTGCAGGGGTGCATCCTCCCAGATGAAGGTAATAGGTCGTGCGATGACGCGTGAGAAGCAGCTCATGATAGTAGAATTGGGGAGGAAGCTGGCGAAGGGTTGGCCAGAGAGCGACGAACGCCGAGGAGGATGTGATGAAGGCGAAGTGGGTGGCGCAAGTGTTATCTACAGGGACAAGCTGTGGGGGGTCCAGTATGAAGGCCACGCGGGATTTATATGCGTATCACCAACGCAGAGCTTGAGTGGCGAGGGCCTTTGTTTGTGGCCGGATTACGGTCAAAGGACAATATGATCAAAAGGCCACACGCCGCAAAGGTCTTTTCAGTTTTAGTCTCCATGTGGCAAGCTAGCCTCTCTAGGCCTGCTTTGTCGGGAATAACAGTGCCCATGCCTGTCCTTGGTGCCCCCGCGTGCACTTCCGGATGTTCGTCGAGCCATGGAGGAGGAGTCTGCTCGAATTGCACGGACACGGAGAAGGGATGGGAGAACGAGAATCGTTGAGCGCTTACGAATTAGCCTCTGTGTATTATGGGCGTCTACAGTCCTTCACATCTCTTCACGTCTACTGTTCTCGCTCGAGCGCCTCGCTCGACCCTGCGTCGTTCTCTTCCGCCGTCGGCTCGCTTGCCCATCCCTATTCGCGCTGGGACGCGGAGAGATGACGGACTCTCTTGCACACCTCCATATCCATGCCTAACTCTGACGACGACGAGGGAACTGTAGAAGCCGACCCCGCCTATCTCGCGCTTTACCACACACATCTCGACGATTTTCGCGCCCACCTCGCTGGAAGGGATGGGTCGGAGCCGCTTCCGGCCTCCTACTTTCCTCCGAATGCTTGCTGGTCGGCGGCGGAGAAGGATGCTTTCTTCCGCGGCCTTGCCATTCACTCCCGCCTTAGGCCTGACCTGATCGCCGAGGAGGTGAAGACGAAGACCGTGCCCGACGTATGTGTTTATCTCGCACTACTCGAAGAGGCTACCCACGAGGCCTCCCGCACGACCGTCTATGTCGGTGCAGAAACTCGTCCTGTCGATCCCAGGCTTCCACGCCAAGAGCTTCCGGCCGCCGTCGAAGTCTCCGACATGTGGCTACAGCTGGAGGAACGTATGTCGGGTGCACTGGTCGACCCCGACACGCTTCAGCGGGAAGCGGTGGCTAAGGAACGAGAAAAGGAAGTCCACACTCGCCAGGCCTCTATCCGCGCTCGGAAGGGGCAGGCACGTACGGCCTCCAACGATCGAGACCGCGAGGGCGAGAGGCAGAGACGGAAGGACTTCAACGCTTGGTTCGCGGAAGCAAAGGCGCAGTGGGAAGCGGAGGACGCGTGGGGCGCTCTCGACCACAGTAGCTTGTCCGCCCTGGACCGAATGTTACGAGAAGACGAAGAGGGATACGCTGTAGGAGAACTACCTGAAGATGCCGAGGACCTTGTATATCAGCACGAAGGCCTAGAGACTCTGGAGGCCAAACTACCCAGCTCGCCTACCGGACTGCGAGGAACGCCTCTTGCTCCGGGCGAAGAGCTCATTGATCCTATACTCCTACAGCTATCTCGTCCGGACACAGCTATGTCATATGCCTCTTCCTCAGAGCCTGCTTCGTATTCACTGGTCGACCCGGGTAGCCTACCGCCATCTACACATCTCCAGCCTTCCACTCCTCCCTTTCCACCAGCCTCGCATATCACTGATCCTGCGCCCCTCCCCGTTCCTCTGCCACCTTCCATCTTGGACACTTCGGCCGCATTCTTAGCAGATGATGGCTCCATCGGCGACGCTGCTGAAGAGGATATAGCTTCAATGTCCCCGGTCTCCCGACGTCGTTTTAAGAAACGCCTGTACATGCGTCGGAAGCGCGCGCAAGCCTCCGGCAGGACAGCTGACGAGAATACCACCCGATTGAAGCCCGGTAGGAAGCCGAAAGAACGGCTGCCTCGTAAGACGGATGCATCTACCGTTGCAAGCTCCCCGATGGTCGTCGACAACCAACCCCTACCTGACGAGCCTGAACAGCCTTTCGTGGAGCCGGACGCTTCTCAGTATCGTCATCCGCACATGTCTGGTAGGACGCTTCCATACAAACGGCAAATACAATTCGCGTACATCGGTATCGACGCACAGCGACTGTACCAAGAAGGCCTCGGACTCTTCCACTTTCGAACCATCTCCAAGTTGATGCAGTAAATCTTCTCGCCGCTTGCGTGTCGCTGCAGCTAACATTTCCTCATAGGATGTACAATCAACTACACGATATCCCAGCAGAGGTTGCGTCGCAGATCACTGTGGAGACCTTCCAGCTCCTCTATGCCATCGTTGCGCAATTCGTCGCTGAGGTAATGTCTCGAGCGATCACTTCGCGAGAGCAGGAGCGTATTGCCAAGCTTCAGACTAAAGCGTGGCGTCTAAGGGAGAACCAGGTCAGTGCTGGTTATGCGATGAATAGATAGAACGCGAACCTAATGGGGATCGGTTTACAGAACGTTTCCGCGATCCACGTGAAGCACGCGCTTACGCTCTTCGGCGCTGACTCCCTCGACAAGCGATCCCACTTCGCAGGCTTACTCAACAAGCTAGGCTTGGACGAAGAGCGCGACAAGCAAGAAGTCTTGGAAGTCAGCGATGACGAGAGCCCGGAACACGACGAAGTCGAGGAAGAGGAAGCGACCTCTGGCGATATCGAGGCAAGCAGAACCCCCCTGGAGCCTCTCTCCGCCTTGCGCATGATCTTCCCTCCCTTCTTCAACCCAAATCCGCCTGCTTCCGGCTCCGGAACCCGCATTGACGAACATCCAGACCCGCTGGACCCCTCTGTCTACATGCCCTGGCCGTCTTCGAGTCTCCTTGCGACTTCCAGCGAGCCTCCGCGCGAAGAGGACCTCCTCCCCGACAACATCGATGAAGTCGCGCTCGCTGCCGAGCTACTCGCGGATGGGGAGATCGAGAAAGAAGACACCCTGCGCGACACGGAGGAGGAAAACGCATTGTGGAAGCGTTTCGGCGGAAGGCCGGCGCGCGGCGCTCTGCCTACCGGTGGAGGCGCTGGAGACATCGAACCGAAGCTTGAGCCTTCCGCGGAGGGAGGCGAGGCGCCGCGGCGTACTAGGAAGCGCAGGGCACCCTCCAAGAGCGTTCGGATCGTAGAGGACGGCGCAGATGCCAACAGCGACGCAGACGGGCAAGCCAGTGACACGGCCCAGCGTCGTGTCCGCCCTCGTAAGGGCAAGAGGCAAGGCAAGGGCACCGCGCACCTCAACGAGGACCAACTCCGGTTCATGGAGCCCGACCCCAATGGGCACATCAAGAGCAGCGTATATATACTCGACAGCGACTAGGGGTGCGCTTATGGTACGCTTTTACGGCATCGACATGCAGAACGAAGGAGCTAACGGGAATTTCGTGACAGTGGATGAGACGTTGCACAAAAGTACAAAAGTAATATACAGCTTCTGTCTATCCCAATTCTTGGTATATGCACTCACATACTAAGTACGACATACACATGGTCTAATCTGATGCTTTGCTTTGCTGTGTACTCCTCGGTCAACGCGTGCCCTCGACTGTCTGGAATATCGGGCCTGCATCGCCGCACTTTCAGTTGATCGTCTGTGAACCTGAATCCCGGGCCCCTTTGAACTAGTCCCTTCAAATATCGGGCTATCAAGCTGTGAGTTGCCATCGTTCTATTACGAAGCAAGCTGTATCCTCACCACCTAGTAAATCCCAGGAACCAACGCATACGGCGTCTTCTTTGCCCATTCATCCCACTCCTTCCCGAACTCCTTCCTCAGAAGACCATCCTCGGTCTTCACCCTCATGAACACCATCACCGCCGGGACGTACAGCAGATCCCCCACCCACGCCGCTGCGAACGCCTTCCCGAGCGTCGTACCGAACGCCCCGCACTCGTTCAACCACGACCCGCTCCCCAGGAATGCGACAACAGTCCCGAGCGCGACCATCGCCATCCCCGTGTAGCTCGGGTGGCGCACGACCGCGTACGGGCCGCTCGTGACCAGGCGGTGGTCCTTGCGGATCGTGATCTCAAACGTGAAGTGCTTGCCCATCGTGCGGTAGCAGGCGAGGCGGACGAGCGCCCCGGCCATGACGAGCAGCCAGCCCGCGGCGAAGGTGGGCGTGATGCGGATGCGCTCTGCGCCGTGGCCTGTGGGCGAGTGGGGGCCGAGCTCGAGCACGGAGAGCGCGTGCGTCGAGGCGAGGGTGGAGACGTGTGTGGCGAGGATGGCGAGGACTTCGCCGAGGATGACGATCCGCGTCACCGTCTGTGTGGATGCTCTGAGCTGAGGTCCCGATCTATGGCCCGGCGAAGCGGGGAAGGCGTACCTTGGAGAGCTGGCGCATCCACACCGGCCGCACGACCCGGACGCAGCCTGACACATCCCCCTCTTTTTCGCTGGGCTTCGCTACGAACGGAGTCGGCGAGGAGTATGAGACCCGGTGCGCCCATATCGCCGCAAGCAGGAGCGGGATCTTCGCAAAGGCTACAATGGGAGTCGACATCTTCACTGGGGTGTTTGCTTGACGGCGGTGAAGACGACGACGGATCTCACTTCAAGTCCAGGCTGAAGTACTGGTTTTACATGGCGTCTTCCGGCATCCATTCTTCTGTCAAGCTGCGGCTTCTCGATATCGCGGTCGGGTGACCGGGATTCGCGACGCGAGGTAGCCCGGTCGAGAGCGTGCAATGTAGGCGAGACCGGTTGTGTCATAGTGAAATGGCGCATCTTCAGACATGCTGCTTGAGCTTGCCTTCATCCATGTTAATACGCCTCCACTTCGAGCAATGGATGGCATGAAGTGCATATCTAGCAACGCCGCCTGAATGAGTTCTCCGGTGTACTGACTACATGCCACGGGTATGATAGAAGCCTAAGAAGGTGACATACCGTGTAGCGTGAGGTACAACATTGACAGCGTGCGAGTTCTCGCTAAATGCGCGTGATACCGTAGTGATACCGTGCTGCTATTTTGTGGCGTACGGCAGCCAACTATCATGGTGCGATTCGTATCCGGCAGACTGGAGGTTCCAGCGTGATTGGCGACGTGCAGAGTCAAGAACTTTGCGATGCACGGCTCCAATGCGAGAGATTAGTCCGGACCAGGACAGTCGCGACGCGATACTATTATCGGAGCCCGAAATTCAAACATTGTGGACGAGAGCTATATATGAGCATTGTGCATACCGACAAGTACAATTTGTGTTTCACCGCAACGTTTTTGGGTGTAAAGGCCGAAGGGCCTCTACGCCGGAGAAATCGGGCTCAGGGTTCATAAATCCTTCGGTACCTGATGGAGGACGATGGTCAGTCAGCACTTTCGCCGAGAACGCTAGCGAGGAGCGAGAGCACTCGCCTTGCAAATTCACATTGGCCTCCAAGGCGCCGTTCGGGTGTGACCTTCAATCTTAGTTGCGTGCAGAGCCATGCTATCTCTCGGGAAACTCAGTCTATGCGTTTACACGTCGAATTTTTTCTCGCTCACCTGCCCTGGAATCAACTTGTAAGGCGTTTTCTTGGACCACTGTAACCACTCGTCGCCAAATTGCCTCTTGAGCGCCCGGTCCTCGCGTATCATTCTCCCCGGAACGAAAGAGAAGAGATACACGTTATACACAACCCACGCGGCCATCACAAAGCAACCGATGTTTGAGTCCGAAGGGCCGCACTCCATGAACCAAGAGCCTGGGCTCAGTTGCATGGTGAGCAGCCCGACGGCGAAGATCGTCCACCCCATATAGCTCGGATGCCGGACAATGGAGTAAGGACCGGTGGTGATGAGGTAGTGGTCGTCTTCGAAGGACAGTTGATATGTGAACAGACGGCCGAGTGTACGGTAGCACCAGAGGCGAAAGCCCCCGCCCAATACCAGGAGGAACCATCCGACGATGAAGAGCGGGGAAATGTATAGGTCCGGGGCCGTAGAGGGCGGGAAGATAGGAATAAACCTTGCCATAAACGCGGATGGTTTTGCATTCACCATGAGGACGAGGATCTCGCACGTCGTGAACGACCAGACGACCGCCTGTGTATGGACATTGTTGGGTTTACGGTCAATCGGACAGGAGGGCATGCATCGTGCTCACTGGGCTAACGATGGTGATCCATTGCACCAAGGAGACCAGTTCGTCACCTGTTCCGAACTTCGACATGGTGGCTGGTTTCGCTGGCGGTGTGGGCGGGGAGTGTACGCGATGCGATATGATAGCAGCCGTAAGGAGGAGTACTGCCTTCACTGTCGAGGCGGCAAAGTCTGTCATCTTGTGTGTATGCAGAGGATAGTAGAGGGGCGGGGGGGACTCATCAGAGCGTGCCTTCTTCCCTCAACTTGTATCTGTATACTCTCGCACCAAATGGTTGGCGGCACCGGACGGTAGGCGTGTCTCCGTACGAGTTCCGATGGTAGATATGGAACACTGCACATAGTTCAGTCAAGATACCGGATTTAGACCTACTCAGGCTTTTTCAATGCCATATGTGGTCGGGGTTTCCGCTATAAAAAGTGACGCTCCGTACCTTTATATGTATGGCAAGCACACTGCCGACCTTGTACGTCCGCCTACGTACGCATACCGGCGAATGCGTGTGCGGCGTCTCCTGATCCACTAACACCGTCCCCATGAGCATTCTAAGCGCTGCCACTGCCGTAGAGGTATGACTCACGAGTGATAGTTTGCATGATCTTTCGTTCAACGTCAGCGATGTGTTGCGCTGTTGGATGAAGCATGCGGAGTTGAATCGGGGGACTACTTGAGCGTTAGGGCCGTACATTAGTCGGGCGGTGGAGAGGGTGTTCATGTGTAGCCCATAAACGTTATAACGTATAGACAAAGTGCATTACCTCATATATTCGCATATCGATAGGGTCTGGCATTGAAAGTTGTAGTGATACAAAGTTAGCATAGGATCGTGGTGACCGAACAGGTTGGTAAAGGGAGACAGCTGGTAGTAGTTCGACGCCAGTCACCGAAAACGGAGCGGTTACACTGTAGCTACTCAGAGTAGTGTCCTACAAGTACTCCGTCCTAGTTTCAGGGTGAGTTCATCAATGTGCACATCGGATGGCATAACTAACCAGTTAATAGATGCCTGGGACGAGCTTGTAGCGCGTGTGCATCGACCATTGCAGCCATTTATCGCCAAACTGCCTCTTGAGCGCTTCATCTTCCCGCCTCATCCTAGCCGGGATCCAAGCGAAGATACACAGGTTGTACACAACCCATGCGGTCATCGCAGAGCGACCGACGAGCGATTCCGAAGGTCCGCACTCGGCGAACCAGGAGCCTGGGCTCACTTGCATGAGGAGGATCCCGGACATGAAGGCGATCCACGCGGTGTAGCTGGGGTGTCGGACAATGGCGTAGGGACCGGTGGTGACGAGATGGTGGTTTTCCGCGATGGTCAGGTGGTACGTGAACAGCCGGCCGAGGCGACGGTAGCACAGGAGGCGGAGGCCTCCGCCCAACGCAAATAAGAGCCACCCAACGATGAAGAGCGGAGAAAGGCGCAGATCGGGGGCCGTAGACGACGAGAAGATGGGGATAAGCCCTGCGGCGAATGTGGATGAGATTTTGTCCGCCATGAGGACGAGGATCTCGCATGCCGCGAGGGACCAAACAACTACCTGTGTAAAGGTTTGATTATAGGAAAATAAAGAGGACGGAGTGCGCGGTGCTCACCTGGCCAATGATTGGAGCCCATCGCGCCATGTTGTTTAGTGCGTCGCCTTCACCGAACCGCGACATGGATTCGGGTTTAGCTGGCGGCGTGGGCGGGGAGAGTACGCGGTGCGACATGATAGCAGCAGCAAGGAGAAGTAGTGCTTTCACTGTCATGGCGTCTGTCATCTTGGGCTGGGTGAGAGAGGAATCGAGGGACCTGGGGTCTCTTCAGAGTGCGCATGGCTTAAATCTCCATTCCCCTGTATCTTCAGCGTTGACGGCACTGGTGTGTGAATTTTTCGATGAGTAAAGTTCCGTCAGCGGATGAATGACACCAGACACGGCTCGTCGGCATGCCGGGCGAGTTAGACCTACTCAAGTTCAGTTTGAATGCCATATAAGTCTAGTCGAGGCCTCCTCTCCAGATTCTGACATTACGTACCTGATGGCTACATGGCAAGTACACACCCGATTGGTGTTCACGTATGCTACCGAGCGATGTCAGGGCCGCATGAAGTATATATCCTGGTCTACTCGCAACCGCTCATGTGAACTCTCAAGCGCACTGGAGATGAAACCATATATCTAACTCACTAAGTATCGAAGGATCCGAGATTGTAGGTTTGTTAAGTTTCGGGGAGTAGGGCCTGAGAGCCACTGAGTTAGAGACCGAGGGCGGGCGCAATGCCGCATCAGAAGTGACGATTCTCCGAACCAGCATTGCGCCAAAGAGTGTTGCATGAAACGTGTGTGACGGAATCCCGCGGCCGGTTGAGTGCGTCTCGCATCGACCAGGAGATGGGGCGAGTACAATCAAGCACTGGCATACTGCGTGTGGCACCTGGACGCAAAAAAGTCTGATGCTAGGACAAGTACATTCGCGTATGTGTAGAATCTAGCACGGAGTGATGGCACACAATGAGCATGGAGTCGCATGCCGAGCACGCTGGTGAGGAGAGAGTACTAACTTTAACTGATATCAGCCGCCGAGTACGGCAGCAGTACTCGTCATAACTAATCCAAGTGAGCTGTTCCTGTGCCATGACAGGGTGAGCAATTTATAGGTCTGCGCGTCGGGCGGCAGTACTCACCAATCAGTAAATCCCTGGAACGAGTTTGTACGGCGTGTGTCTCGACCATTGCACCCACTTATCGCCAAACTGCTTCTTCAGCGCCTCGTCTTCCCGCCGCATTCTAGCCGGAAGCATGGCGACAATGTACAAATTGTACACCACCCATACGGCCATCGCAGCGCATCCAAAGAACGAGCCAGAGGGGCCGCACTCGGCGAACCAAGAGCCCGGGCACAGTTGCGTGACGAGGACACCAGAGATGAAGGTGATCCACGCGATGTAGCTGGGGTGCCGGACGATAGCATAGGGACCGGTGGTGATGAGGTTGTGGTCCTCAACGATAGTGAGCGAGTAGGTGAACTGTCGGCCAAGTTGATGGTAGCATAGGAAGCGGAGGCCGCCGCCGAGTGCCGTCATGACCCATCCCGCGATGAACAGAGAGGAGAGGCGGGGCTCATGAGCCGTTGGCGAGAGAGAGGGCATGATAGACCGTGCGATGGTAGACGATGGAAGTTGGTTCGCGACGAGAACGAGGATCTCGCACATCGTGGTCGTCCAAACGCCGACCTATCAATCGATGAGCTTGGGTATGAAGGTGAAAATGACGGCGTGCATAGTGCTCACCTGGCCAACGATCGGAATCCACCGCACCAAAGGGCCTATCTCATCACCTTTGCCGAACTTCGAGATGGATGTTTGCTTCACTGGCGGGGTGGGCGGGGAGTGGACACGGTGCGATAGGATAGCAGCGGACAAAAGGAGTAGCACCTTCAGCGTGGAGGCGTCCATCATCTGGTGTGTGTAGGAGGGGGTCCGTTGTATGGGCATCCCAGCGAGCATCTTGATTTATATTTCCTTCTCCTGTGTGCTGAAGCGGCAACGGCGCTGCTCTCCATAAGTATGCGGGCCGCAGATATGAGGCACCGGAGGCCCAGCACCAACGTGCCGACCTCTTCTGACGCTAAATGTGGTTGAGGGTTTGACACTACTCGTGCCGATAGCAACGTGCACTGATAGCGACCGCCCACAGGCGAGTCATCTCACACTGGGTGGACGGTGCGGCCGCCCGTATGACCTAGATTATGCAAATAGATGAATTTTTGCACACACGTCACTCGTCCCAAATGGTACGCACCAAGCCGTTGCAGCCCGCTGAGGAGACTAGTCCGAGATATTCAGTTTCATTATGACGCTAAGCACTGTGTCCGTGTGGGACCAAGAGCCGCACCGGCGCTCGGGTAAAGCGCATGGAGATGAAGCAATTTGCAACGCATATATGCGGTGGAGTACGAAGATCGCTCTGAGCGCTGAGGGGAGGACCTGGAAGAGACGCCGAGTCGTCGAGACGACGTAGGTGTTTGAGCGCTAAGATGAAGAGCGGCGTTTGGTACGAGATGGCCATATATGGCAGGTGACACGGTTGTGGCTTGTGGGCGTCGGCGCGTCGCAGCATTCCCTCGCGATCACACCTTGTTCCCGAACTACCACCATCTCCCCGACACCTCATTCGGGGCCATCCATATCTTGCTTTCGCCTCTCCTCGCTTTGGTCGCTCACTCACCCGTTCATTTTCGCTTTCGGCTGCAAAGCCCAGTGGTCATGATTCCGTGTAGCGGCGATACAGAGGCCGGCCATGTCTCAAAAAACACCGAACCCCCTGGCTCACCCTACGTTTTTCAAGTCTCCTGTCAACAGTCTTCTTAACACCCTCGCCAACGATACGTCCGAGCAAACGTCTGTCCACAGCCTGTTGGACGCGTACAGCACGCTCTCCTGTCGCATCAAGGCCGTTGCAAGTTCACTCGCTTCCAACTGCGAAGAATATCCATCCTTACAGGTCCTGAGGAAAAACGCTGTACCTCTAGGAAGCTGCATACAACGCGACATCCGACGGGCATCTGCGGATCCCCTGTCCTCTAATTCACATGTGGCTAGTCTGGGGTCTATATCAACCCCACCGATTCAGACCACGAACATCCCCCCGGAGATCGTCAACACAGCTAGGGAGACAGCGATGCTATGCCGATACGCGCTTCAGCTTGTCTCCAACATTTTTTGCTTGCCCGCGTTGTTCATTCTCTTTCCCCGTAAGTATCCCGGGCATGCTTCTTCCAACTCTTTCTAATCTTTTCCTAGAGAGCGTACTGCAGCAGCTCCTAAACGACGTCCTGGTGATAGCGCGATCGTCTGAGCTGGTGAGCTTTGACAGCGACAAGATCCGCTCCCTTGCCGCGTGGATATTCTCCACCTTACGATTGCCCCCTTCTGTCATGGCCGCGAATGCAGACCAGGTCCAAGCGTGGCTAAACGACCTACCATCGGCTCTTGTTATTCAGCCGCGGGCTTATGACGTGAGTGCGTATGCGCATATACCTCAAGCACCGACTGAACTTCGAACCGCAGATTATACACAACCTGTTGTCAAGATTCCCCGACACGTTCTTTCAGCGGTCTGCTGGCCTTCTTCCCGAAATACTCCCCAGGATGGTCTCGTCTGACGCATCTTCGCGCATGAACGCCACGATTGCCTTGGCTGGCTACGCTCTGGCCCGCCTCTCTATCAGATCTGCGATGACGGCCCCTGACACGCTTGTGGCTGTGCACGACTTCATACGGTCCCAGCTGCCCAGCAACCGCCCAGCAAAGATCAACCAGACGTCGAAACTATTACCGGACTACTTTGCTCTTGCAGCGAAGGGTCATTCTACGTCTACCGACGGACTTGGACCGCGCTGGGCGATCACCGCCATCTGTTGCCTTACACTTCTCTCTGGTCCGGGAATCTTCATCGGGACACGGCCGATGAAGCTAGTCTTGGACACCGTTGCGGGTGTTGCCAGGAGGGGAACAACGATGGCCAGCCTCGTCGCATGTGCGTGGCGATGCATGATATGGGCGTTTCTACAGATCCCAAGCGAGGAGCCAGCGGACAGACGTCCCAGTCTACAGGAAGGTGCTTTCGATGTCGTTAAGCAGGACCCTCGGGGAGGTGCAGGGGCTTGTCTGGTCGCAGGCCTGCTGTATCTCACACCCGGACACGGAACGCCCACTTCCCACGCTGTTTCGGACCGCAACCTTCGCTGGGCACTGGTCGTATTGAAGGACCTCATCTCACATCACTCCCAGGCTGTCTACGACGATGGTCTCGCATTGCTTGGCCGACTGACTAGCGGCATCGGCGTTTCGGCCGAACTGTCGACAGCTTCGACGGACGAGGAAGGTTGGCATCCGAACGATATCGTACCGAAGGCTTTCTTGTCGCGGCACATCCTCAAATGCGACGCGAAGTCGTTTGACGCCGCTTTGGAACCTGCTCAGCGATTCGACGCGTCGGTGGTGCACTCTCTCACCGAAGCAGAGATTGTCGACCACTGGGACTCCCTTGCAGAGATATGGACGTTGGCGGTGGAGAGAGAGTTGGGTGCGCAAGGAGCGACGCTCTCTCTTCCGGTAAGTGGTACCCAACACGTTGCGCTATACCGACGGAGTTTGCTTATGCGCATCCCAGGATCTTCTCGCCCAAGCTTGGCAGGCGCTCTTGTTAGCACAGACACAGCTCACCCAAGAGCACGGCCATCTCACGGCCGATGCTGAATTCACGTTCAAAGCAGTATCCGCCCTCGCGCACTTCCTCGAATGGAGAGGTTCTCCAGCCGCCGAGACAACTAACGTCCGCGACGTCCACACCCAGTGCCGCATCCTCTGTCTGTGCAGTCAGCTGTTCAAGATCCTGAGCCACGTTTTCTCCGACGCGTGGCTCTCAACGGCAGCTGGAACGCTTCTCACGTCCGTCCTGCAGCATCCATTCAATCTCTCCGACGACGACGTCAAGACTTCATGGGCCGAACTCTGCTCCGCATTGGTCTCCGTTAGTGCACCGGTGCTTATGGCGCGTCTAGCTGTGGAAGATGAGGAGCATGCAATCATGGATCTTAATCGGGAGCTATGGCGCCTCGCTGCCAGACGGTGGAACTCGATGACACTCACCGCTACCTGGGACGACTCCCTTGACTTCCTTGCTATCCCGTTCAAGTCAGTTCGCTTTTCGAATTGGTTCTCTACGTACTGACTCGTAGCGTTAGGTTCTGGTTGATGGATGAGGAAGAGATATTGCTTTGGACTAGTATTGTCGACGTCATACTCTCCAACGCGGCACCGGATGCTGAAGGAACATTGTTCATGGATGAACTCATACAACGGATCCCCGAAGACGCTGCTGTTTCAAAGTACGTTACTCTCACTGTATCGGCTGATGATACTATAACTCTGTGCGTAGAATGCTTGAAGTGCCCGCCATCGTTATGCATCTGCTCCCACACCTGCAGCTCACCCGTCGCCTCGAGCGCCCTTCTCGGTTCCTGCAAATCATCGATGTCCTCCTCTCCGACCTCTACTCCGACACCCCTGAGCACATATCGACGGCTCTGAAACTGTTGAAACAGCTACGACCTGTCCTGTATAGAATTCGTCCAGACGTCATCGTGGATGTCTTATCCATGCTCTCGAACAGCTTAGCCCTGTGGATTGCTGACAAGGCCGAGCTTTTGCTCGTAGAGGAGTACAACGATGCGGTAAGTGCCGCGTTGTGATATGACTCCGTTTGGTGCATTTACTCATCAGCATATATGCAGATTATTCCGATATACTGCGACGTCCTGCTTGTGTTGCACGACACCTCAATCACCCCCAAGATCCTGGACGCGCTCGCGCACTTCCTCTACTCCGCATTCGTGCGTATGCCTCACCCCTGCCATGGGCCAATCGCCTTCTACGAGTTCTGGAAGCACATCCATCCCTCACTCAAGCATATGCACGTCTCCTACCCCGACGAGATCAAGACTGCATTGAACGCTTGTCGAGATGCCTTTGGAGCTCCATCGTCCCAAGATCACTCGTTTGACACCGAGTCGCATTCGGGCTCGCAGGCAGAGGTGCGTTCTTCCCCCATGTGGCGACAAGCCCGGCTGATGGCTGAATTTGCGGCGCAGTGGGTGTCCCCGGTCAAGTCGGAATCCTTCACGCCGAAGTCGGTCCGCGCCGGGGTGCATGACTTCGAGAAAACGCCTACTACGGGGAAGCCTTCACCCTCTCTCAGCCCGGAAGTACCCTATGAGGGTCCCGCCTCATCGCGCCGGCTGCGCTCGTCGGCGCGCTCTTCGCGGACGTCTCCCAGGACGCGGCACGACAAGGATGCGGCGAGCTCCGACTTCATGCCGAGCTCGCCCTCGGATGCGGCACGTGCGAGGCGGATGGCGGCGCGCCCCACCAGCCGTGTCGCCCACGAGAAAACCGCCAGGTCGGCGGAGAGACCGCTCAAGCGTCAGAGAGTGGATGTGTCGTCGCGTACCCCTCAGACGATCTCTCCGTTGAGCTACGCAAATCGATCGGGTTCGTCACGGCTCTCTCCGGGATCTAAAGGCAAGGGCGCGAGTGCCGTACTGCGTACGCGCGGCGACTACGGTATTCCCAGCGCTGCGTCGACGTCCGCAAGGTCGAAAGGCAAACGCGTCGCATCCCGGCGTAGCCCATCGCCTCCCCCGAGGGCAGCTGATGTCGAAACACCCTCATCCGACGACTACGACGCCTGGGAGGCACCCATGGGTGACGTCCAAGAGCTATCAGGTAGGCCGAGCAACTCGACCTTTCCAGCGGCGTGTAAACTGACAGGCGTAGACGAGATTCCAGACAGCCAGCCGTCAAATGAGGGCGAGGAGGACTCGTTGCCGAGCTTTATGAAGGCAGGCGCGCGTGATGCAGAAGACTGCGCTGAGCATGTCCACAGCGGTGCGTCTCTCTGACGCCGTCTTCTTTTTCCGAGTTTCTTGAATACTGACTCCCTGCTTGCGCGACCTCCCAGACGACACGATGATGTTCGACGACGCCATCCTCGACATCAACGACCTGCCTACGCCCCGCACGCTCGGAAAACGCGCGCGCCCCGCGTCGCCCGTACGCATGCACACCGCGCCCGCCGACCTATACCCTCCGCATTCCCCAAGCCCAAGCCCGATCCCCCGCCCGACGCTGCCCCGCGCACAGACGGCGTCGGCGCACCTCGAGGGGCTGCGGGACGTGGTCGACGCGCTGAGCGAGGACAGCTCGCAGCTGGACGTGGGCGAGATCGCGGAGGCGGCGGAGCTGACGAACAGGCTCGGGGCGCTGTTGACGGAGAAGCTGACGAGGAAGCTGAGGAGCGATAGGGGGGAGGGGTCGAGTGAGCGGGGGGCGAGCGAACGGCTGTGAATGTCGTGGGATATGCGGGGATTTGGGGGTTGACAGGGATTCGGAGGGGAAGAGAATGTTTGATGCATACATATGTTATTGCTATCATTATGGTTACATGCCTGGTAGTGTATACCGTGCGTCATTCCCATACTCTATGGACGTCCGTCTTCGAGAACGAATGAACATTATATACGTGGTTTCGGAGCACAACGAATGTTCTATGAAGACCGTGCGGCGGACGGGCGCATCTACTCGTACACCTGGCATCCATACTCGACGTTCCCTTCTCGACTGAAAGTGATGATGTGGTCTATGAAGCGGTCTCAGCACTGTCGTCCCAGGATAACACACCGACGAATACACTCACCGCCTAGTCTCCGCGTGGTGAACCCGACCTCGCAATAGCAGCTGCATCGTACATAATTAGCTCCTGGCGACTGGGACACGCACTAAACCTCAGAGACGCACTAGTAGTATATCCACTTCCGCCGGAACACCTCGATCTCCTCGCGCGCCTTCGCGTCGTCCGTGTCCATCACCCCCGGGTACTCCGCCTTCAGCGCTGCCGCCCCCGCACGCGTCAGCCTCCCGCTCCCTTGCTCCCCCACCCCAGAACGAGAGGGACTCACCGGGCACGATGGTGTCCTCGAAGCGCGCCTCGAAGCGGCGGCGCCACTCGCGCAGCGTGCGCGCGTAGTGCGGGCCGATGTTTGATACGGCGTCGACGACGAGGCGGCCGTGCGAGCCCTTGTTGAGCGTTTCGATGAGGAAGGCGAGTGTTGGGAGGAAGCCCCCGGGGAATACTGCAAGCGGGACGCGGTTAGCTCGGTCGATGAGGGTAAAGATGTAGGGCGGGGCTTACTCTATGGAATAGTTAGCATTTGACGAAACGCGCGGAGGACGGGAGGGGGCGTACGCACCCATTTCCGGATAAAGTCCACTTCGCGCATATACTGCTCGAAGCGCGCCTCGGGGATCGTGATGCCCTGCACGACACCAACGCCCGTCTCCTTGTTCAGCGCCCAGTCGATCTTCTCCCAATACGTCTGCCGCAACCCAGCCCGTCAGCGTCCCTCTCACCCACCCCCTCCCTACACACGCGAACACGAAGCACGCACCTCCATATACTCCCTCCCCACCGCCTCGACCATCTCCACGCTCACGACGCGGTCGAACGCGCCCTCCCACTCGCGCGGCATGTCCCGGTAGTCGAGCAGGTGCACGCGCACGCGGTCGCCCACGCCCGCGGCCTGCGCGCGCGCGTTCGCGAGCGCGGCCTGCTGCGTCGAGAGCGTGAGCGTGTCGACGGTCGTGCCCGGGATCGTGCTGGTGACGAGGATCGAGAGCGCGCCCCACCCGGAGCCGATCTCGAGTATCTGTTTTGACGCAGGCGCGTGAGTTAGTCTAGGTTAAGAGGGTGTGTGGGAACAGAGAGGGGGGGGGGGCGCACCCTGTGTCCGGGGCGGATGTCTGCCTTCCGCAGGATGTGGCGCAGCTTGCGGAACTGCGCGGCTTCGAGCGCGTCGGGGCCGCTGGGGGGTTCGGACTCGGCGCTGGGCGCGGGGAAGAGCGCGAGCGCGTCGAACTGGATCGTTTTGGGCGCGTCGTCGGACCCCGCGAGGGTGCTCGGGGTAGACGCGCCAGTGCGAGAGGGGGTTGGGGAGGACGAGCTGGACGAGGGCGGGTGCAGGTCGCCGTCGAGCTCGGGGAAGATCGCGCAGGAGTAGGTCATGTCTTTCGAGAGGAAGCCTGTTCATTGCGCACGCTCCGTGGTGAGCGGGGAAAGTGGACGCATATAGTCGCGGAAGGCTCACCCATGAACATGTTATTGCTGATGTCGTAGTGCGCGCTGATGTTCTTGCGCGCGTTCGCGACGGTGTTCACGATGTACGAGCCGAGTCCGACCTGGGGCATGCGCGCCATGATGCGCGAAAACAGGGAGTTGTCGAGCGTAGACAGCTCCGCGCGGTTTGCCAGGAATACCTGTGTGCGCGACGTGTGAGCGCGACCCTGACGGCGCCTGAGCGGAAGCAGACGTACCAGGAAGACCTTCGCAAGATCATCACAGTCTATTTCGCCGTACATGTACGCCTCCGCGAAGCCGAGGTCGCCCATCGCGCAGAGCCGCAGCCAGAAGACGGGGTTGCGCACGGTGAGCTCGGCCTTGGGCGTTTTGAGGGAGTCCGCGTCCGCGTCCGCGTCCGCGCCGCCGTGCACGTCGCTGTCCTCGCCGAAGCAGTACGTGCGGTCGGCGGTGTGGATAGTGAGCGTCCCGTTGGCGATGTCCTTGAGCAGCCTGTCGCGCGCGACGTGAGCGCGGTCACACGAGCGTCTGGGAGTGGGACGCACCCTGCCGCTGCTTTCTCCGCCACCGCGCAGAGCGGGGCCTTCACGTACGAGGACGAGGACGCGACGAGGGAGCTCACGAGGCTGCTCATGGTGGTTCAGAAAGAAGAGAGGGGTTCGGGCGTGGCGACGGGAAGAAGGCGCGGTTTTGTAGCGAATGGGCTGCCGGAGAGGGCGGAGGCCGCATTGGCGTGCGCGGTTGCCAGCATCGCGGATGGCGTCCCACAGTCATTGAGGACGGCGGTGACGGAGCCAGGGGAGCGGATCGCGCTATAGCTTCAGCCGCCGTGCACGCATCAGGGCACGAAGGATGCTAGCGAACTGGGCTGCGTGGATGCCGTCGAGGGCCCCGTACCGCTCCCCCGGACGGCGTTGACGTTCCACCAGTTCGACAGCCGGTTGGTGCCCGAGCCCCCCGCGAGCCTCTCGGTCTCCCGGACGACGGCCTTGCCGTTCTTCGCAGATTCCTCCCAGTCTGCGCGACGCCTTGGCACACGGTTCTGCGCACTCACACTCCCGCGCGAACATGAGCTTGTGCGAGTGCATTGGTGTCAGGGAGAGTTGGGGGCGCGCGATCAAGCCCTCCAGCTCGCGTCCGATCGCGCCGTCGCGCCTCGAGGGCGTCTACCACACGCGGTCACGTGGAATACAGACGCCGGAGAAATAAAATGCTCGGCGCTCGCTCTCTGCTCCTGCACCACGACAGCACCAAAGCCGCGATGCTCACACCGTACAGGACGCCCTCGGGCGTCCGCCCTCGTGAGCGGGCTAAGGTCTGAGCATTCCAATCCCTCTCGATCGACTCTAGCCGGGTCCGGTCTTAACAAACCGAGCGTCGCACCAGAAACACACTCCGCGCTGGGGTCGTCAGACTCCCCTTCGGGGCCCCGGAGAAGCGCTGCGGCGTCGAGGGGTGGCCAGCGGACTTTGGGAGACGGCGCAGGGATCGGGCGCGCACGCGCCCCCTCGGCGGCCTGCTCGCGCGGGCTGAGAGGGTGTGCGCGTGCGCCGTCCTTTAGTGCACTTCGCGGCTCGCGTTCACGGGGCCTCGCGCCCCTGCGAAACTCGATTCAGACTACTCTGGTGCTGTTGTGCCCACTTGCAATTTTTTCCTATCCTTTGCGCTCTTCGCGAGTTGTCATCGATCTCGCCATCGCCCATCTGCGACGAAGCTTTGCGATCGCTGCGGACATCAGGATCATGGTACGTACATATTTTGCATTCATCGTGCATGCGCTGATATATCCAACATCATGTGTAGGACGAGCTGCGATTCGTGGGACGACTAGCAAGGCGGCGGAGAGGGTGTGAGAGATGGTGTAGGATAGGCTCAACGTGTATGTCGATATCGTCTCCAATTGCAGTAGATGCGTCGTCTGTTTTCTCCTGTCTGTGTCCGCAGCTTCAGCTCTCTTACATTCCAACGATCACGTTCACGTGCGGAGTTTGACACGCTGTGAACACGTTTGTCTGCGAACCTCTTCGCAAACCACCTCTTCCTGACTGCGACGTACGCGCTGCGGCCGCCCCGCAGGCTTCGCTGAACATACATAGCACCTGCACACTCGCGATGTCGCAGCTCACCTACGCATCAGACGCAGGCACTTCCCAACCCGCGACCTCACCATCCCCACAACCATCCCCACAACCACCCTCGCACATATCAACGCCAACACCCCCACCCGTACCCTCAACCCCATCCAACAAGGACAGCGTACAGTCCGCAGGCTCCGTCGAGGCGCAGCTCGAGCGCCTCACATCCGCCGTGCACGAGACCGGGCACCTCATCCACGTCTGCACCGTCCTGTGCGAGGAGCGCTGCGCGCTGGCGCTCGCGCGGGACGAGCAGCAGGCGAAGCGCGCGGAGAGCGTGCAGGAGCAGCTAGCGCGCATGCTTGCGATGACGCAGGAGACGCTGAGGAGGGAGCGCGAGGTGCGCGTTACTGGTGCGTTGTCTGTGTTTGGGTGTCTGTGTTTGGGTTGGGCTGGGGTGTAGGGTGCAGGAGGTGACACTGACTGGGGATGGCAGCGGACCCGGAGAAGTATGTGTTGGACCTAAGGCGCGCGGCGTTTGGCGCGGGGAGCACTGCGGACTCAATTTCGCGGTCGTCTTTGATGGATAGCGGTGAGTGCTTGAAATGCATGTCTTGCTGACTGTGCAGCAACTGAAAATACTGTCGACTATACAGATTGATGTGTATGTACTGTGAGTTGAATGAGATCAAAGTGGCCTATATACGGTGTCAGGCTCCGTTCTTCAACAACTGCTGACCCCATCAAGCCAAAGCCATGGAGGCATCCACACCCGCACACTCGGCGGCGCCCCCAGTCCTCCTATCTCGTTCCCCCTGCGTCCTCCGCTCGTCCCTACGCACCTTCGCAAACCGCGGCACAAGATCACACACCTTCTCCCACCGCGCGCCATACAGCCGTGCCGGCGACCACCCCGCGCGCTCCGGCCCGTCGATGTCGCCCAGCGCGTCGTCCTCCTCCGTCTCGAGCGCCTCCCAGCCGTTCTCGACCTCCGCGAACTCGGGAAACGCGTCCGAGAGCACCGCTGCGACCACCCACGGGTCCGCGATCGGGGAGAGCCCGACGAAGAGCGTGTCGAGCGGGCGGCGGGGGACGCGCGTCGTGAGGTGGGCGCGCGGGACGAAGGAGAGGGTCGCGTCGAACTCGAGCCCGAGGACGGCGAGGCGCGGGGTGTGGCACGTGAAGGCGAGGACGCCGAGGAGCGTCGCGCGCGGTTTGGTCCACGCGTCCATCGCGCCGACGTCCTCGTCCTCATCGTCAGAGTCAGCTTCCTCGTCAGGGTCGCCTTCATCTTCGCCGTCCAGTGCACCGACTGCAGGCGCGTCCCCGTGATGTGCACCCTCGGGGCCCCCATTGCCGCCGTTCTCTGCGTCCATGCGCACCTCACGCATCTCGCCCACGCGGATATCCGAGGCGAGCTTGCCCCACGGTGAGTGTGTCCCGATGATGAGGCGTTCCAACTGTGGCCACGCCGCCCCCAGCCGCTCCAGAAGGGCGTCGTCCAAGTCGAATGGGCAGTGAATGTCCAGCATGACGTCCTCCAAACTCCTTAACGCTGTCAATGGTTCCAGGGCCACCGCGCCAATAGGGTCGGGCGCGCGCGTGCGTCGCCGCGGGGGAACATGCTCTGTGCTCGTGCCGTCCGTGTGGAACACGTCGCGGACTTCGACATACAGCGTGGCGATGCGGTCTCGCGCCGGCAGGGCGGCGATGGTGCTGAAGAGCGCGTCGATCTCGCACCGCGGCACGTCGTCCTCGACGCTGATCGACAGCTCCTCAAGCTCCGGGGAGGCCACGCAGCGGATGAGCTGGGTAGGGAGTGCGAGCGTGCCACCCGGCACAGTGACAGTCAGACTTTCAAGGGACACGAACAGCGAACGCGCAGGCAGGACAGGATTCCCGGCGGCGGTCCACAACGCCCTGGGCGTGCTCACGACCAGATGCCGCAAGCAAACCAGGCATCCGAGCTGTTCCCATCCCTCCGGGCCGATGGGCAGGCAGTTCTCGTTCAAACGGAGGGATATGAGGTTCCGGAACGACGCGCACACGTTCGCAGACACTCCGGCGGCCATGGCGGCGCTGCTCGGGTAGAGGTTGAGCTCGAGCATCTCTAGGCGCGGCACCCGTTCATTGAGCCGCGCAAGCATGTCTACGAACGCCGTCTCTTCGCTCGGGGGCGGCCCGAGCTCGGGGTCGCGCCGGATCCACGCGTACGACCGGTACCCGTTCTCGCGGCTGTGGATGGTGAGCTGGCGCAGCGTCGGCGCGAAGAGGATGTCGAAGGCGCGGAAGACGTCGGACGGCACTGAGGGCTTGCGGAAGTAGTGGATGCGCTTGATGTTGGGGAGCAAGGGGCGGCCGTGCAGGAGCGCGGCGAGCGCGACGTATACGTCCGAGTGCGCGCAGGACAGAGACGCTTTCTTGGGGAGGTGGTAGCAGCGGTAGTCGAGGGCCTTGACGCGGCGGGCGTACGTGAAGAACCGCTGGAGGTCGACTTCCTCCGGCGTGCCCGCGAACATCTGTGGAAGTGGTGCGGTCAGGCCTTGCAACACCACGCAGAGCTGAAGACAGAAAGAATATTTACGAATATCTTATCGTCCAAGACGTCTTTGTCGTCAAGCATGAGCTTTCGCACCAGATGCGTCTTTCTCGGCATGGTGAAGAAGAGGAGGGCTATGTCTGGGATCGTGTGCCAGAGCACGTTCAGTGCAGGTTCGTGGAAGAGCCGACAGGTTCGCGCCAGCGCCGCGACCGTCTCGCACGCGCGTGGGCCGAAATGTATGCCACCGCCATTCGGGCCCAACAATACGTTGGAACGGCCGACGAGCACTCCACATATCTGCTCGAGGATCTCCTGGGGGATGCGGGTTAGGGCGCCGGTGGCCATAAGCCTATGTCGGTGGTAGCGGTGGTTACTAGGTGGTGGTAGGACGAAAGCTACGGTGAGTCGCCTGTCTCTACTCGAATGCGCGTTTACTTGAGACAGACGGGAGTCATAAGCGACGCGTACGAGAGCGTTTAGTAACCCGAGCGACTTTGATCGCGCTGGCCATGGCGACTGGAGCCTAGGCTAAGTAGCGAGACTCACTCTCGGACTCCATGGTCAAGTTTTGTCTACAACGCAGTGCACACACAGCTGACAGTGATCAATGATTTAGTAGGGAAAATACATGATCAGGCCAACTAGCAGGCTTGCATACCCTCAAACCGCAAAATCCCCTTTGTGCAGTGGTTCCAGGTGCAAGGTACATACGTACTCGTATCCAGAACGCTACGCACCTAGAGGTCGTCCACAACAGCCATTCCAGGCTTGCAGCACGTAACTTTTGCAGCTGGCACAGGCACCCGGGCGCGTCCGATTTTGCTGTCGTCCATGACAGAGAAGACTAGTGAGTTTTACTCGTCGTGTGTATTTGCGTCGGTCATATAGCCGAGACAACATTGACCACAGATTAACATGTATTTGTCGCAACTGAAATGCGGTAGTCACTTACACCGCCCGTTATGAACCCAACGATCGCGTTCTACGCGCCGCCTCCGCCACTCGACTCAATCACTCTCTTCTTCGGGATCTTCGCCCAACTCGAGCTGGTACTCGGGCGCCTTCTCGCCCGTCTTCTCCCTCTTCCACGCTCTCTCATGCCCCCTGATCTTTGCGAACTTGGCTATAAGCGCGCGCGCGTTCTCCCATCGGACCCCATACCGCTTTGGGAGAGACCACCCCTCGCGCTCGAGGCCCCACTGGTCAATCTGACCATCCGGCTGGTCGAACTCGAGGGCCTTCCAGCCATGGTCGATGCTCTCTAGCCACGGGAATATGTCCGACAGAAACGCGGCGACCGCCCACGGGTCCTCGATCGGCGACAGCCCGACGTTGAGTGTGAAGACATGCCGCGGGACCATCCCGAGGCCCGGCCGCCGCTCGAGCCGCGCGGGGGGCAGCGCATCGAGGGACGCGTCCAGCTCCCACCCGAGCCAGTCGAGCTTCGGGCAGAGGCGCGCGACGGTGGCGAGCCCGGCGAGGGTGGTGCGCGGCCGCGTCCAGGCGCTCATGCACTGCGCATAATCCTGGGTGCTCGCGTCTTCGCCGACGCGGATGTCGGTATCGTATATGCCCCAGGGCTGGTTGACACCGAGCGTGAGCCTCTCGAGGTTCGGCAAGGCGCGCGCAAGCTTTTCGAGGAAGGCGTCGTCGAGGTCGTGTGGACAGTGGATTTCCAGCTCGATGTCCTTCAGGTTGCGCATGGATAGCAGTGGCGTAAGTGTCTTTTCGGTGATGGGGTCAGGTGCGCGAGTGGGGCAGGGTCGGGCAGCGGGGTGGTTTGCGACCGTGAAATCCTCTGCAGGGTCTTGTGCGAGATCTTCTGCGGGGTCATCTACGAGGTCTTCTACGGAGTCTTCTGCGACGTCGTCGGCGAGGTCTTCTCCATTGTCTTCCCCGGGGTCGCCTGCGGGGTCGTCCGGCGCGGGACCTGTGCCGTCCGGGAAGACATCTGCGACGCGCACCTCAATACCGGTGATGATGTCGCGAGACGGGAACGTTGCAACAAGGTTGAAGAGCCGGTCGATGTCGCCCCGCTGGGCCTCCTCGTTCGCGCACATGCCCAGCTTGTTGAGGACAGGCGAGCTGACGCATGCCAGGATCGAGACCAGCAGCGCCATCGTAGACCCAGTCATATGCAGATACTCCAGCGCGGGATACAGCGGGCGTGCGGCGTGGCTGGCGAACGTCTCCAGGTCGAAGTCCGCCTCGGAGGCCTCCACGTCCAGATAGAGCCAGGACAGGCTAGAGAGGGTGCCGAGGTGCGCGAGCGCAAAGGGCCCAATCGCGAGTCCCTCGATGGGAAGGAAGAGCCTGGTGAGGTTCTGGAACCCCGACGACAAGGTGGTGGACATGGCCCGCCCGATCGCACTGGGGGTGCCGAGGTAAAGGCTCCAGCTTAGCTTCTGCAGGCGCGGCCCCGAGAGTTTCTTCAGGTGCTGCAGCATCACCGCGATGTCCTCCGCCTCTTGCAACGGGTCTGCACTTGGCGACATGCTCTTCCGGGGGTGAAAGCGGACACTGATCCTGACGTCAAACGTCCGCAGCCGCTTTCCGAAGAGGATGTGGAAAGAGCGAAAGACGGCAGAGGGCGTCGAAGCCGGGCATAACCAACTGATAGCCTTGATGTTGGGGAGCAGAGGGCGGGTGCCCAAGATGGTCGCGAGTGTGTGATACGCCTCCGGGCCTGCATGGTAGGAGAGAACCTTTTCAGGCAGATTCCACCCTTCATGGATGGACTTGACGCGGCTGGCATAGGCCCAGAACCTCCTGAGGTCATTTTTGCGTGGCGTGCGGGTGAAGTTGAACGTCTGCAGTGGAGGACAGACCATTTCGTGTGAGATCGTTAGAAATACTGGCGGCAAGAGATGAACTTGCGTATATCTGGTCATCCTCGTCGGGGTCCACGCGGTATACATTCTCGGGAAGAGTGTAGAAGAGAAGGGCTATATCATGGATATTTTCCCAGAGCACATTGAGCGCGGGCACCTGGAAGAGCCGGCAGGTCCTCGCAAGGGCAGCAACCGCACGATACCAGACGCCTCTCTCGTGGGCCTGCCAACCTTCGTGTAGGGCTGATTGACATATCTCTTCTATAACCTTCGGAGGAAGGCGGGAGGCGGCGGGCGTGGTCATGGATGGTAGGGATGGTGAAGAGTGAACAGTCGGGTGGCTCTACGCCATCGCAATATATACGTCTAGTACAAAGATGTTAGTAAGATAGAGTGAAGGGTGGAAAAGAGCCATTCGCGATGTCGGCCTCGGGCAACGGGTCAAGATGTAGCAGTGTCAAACGACGTGTTAGTATTACACAAGTCGCAACCTAGAGCTCTGAGCTGAGACTAAATGTACGAGCGTCAGTATCCTTTCTCGAACACGATCTCAACATACACCAATAAAATGCCAACTTACCCGCCATCGGGATTTCCATCCACATATCCAGGCGCCCACCAGATCTCTGCACGCAAGTCCGGCCCCGGAAACTGCCTCCCATTCCTCCCCGCGCACGCCCTTTCCTGCGCCCGCACTCGCACGAACCACGAGTAGAGAGTTTTGATATCCGCCCAGTCCTCCGCTTCGAAGCAGTCCGAGATTTCGGAGAGTTGCGGGAACGCCAAGGACAAAAACACCGCAACGTCGTAATCGTCGTAGAGCACGGACCCGGAGGTGTCGAACTCTCGTAGCGGACAGACCGCAGGTCCAGAGAGGTGCACAAGCGGGGTCGAGTGGAGTTCGCGGGGCACGTAGGCATGTATGGAAGGATAGGTCCAGTCGACCGCGACCGCGAGTTTCGTCGGGTGGGTCGAGCGACGCGCGAAGTAGAGGAGACCCAGGGACGTGGGGTAGGGAAAGTCGTCATCCTCATCTGGCCAGCGTACGTCGTGGGGACGGGGGCGCGCATTCCGGTCCCATTCGAAGACGAGTTCCACGATGTTTGGCCAGCTGTGCGACATGATGTCCAGTGTCAGGTCATGAAGGATCGTTATGCACTGTCCCTTGACGCGAAGGCGCTCTAAGGCGGATAGAGCGTGCAGAGGTGCGAAAGTTGAAGAGCTGTACATTTCGCGGTCCATGGCGCGCTTGCCTTTGGGTGGGGTAGTAGCACCGACGGTGATGAAGAGGTCAACGATCGAGCGGGCAGAGGGGAGTTGGCTGACCGCACTGCAGAACACTTCCAGGAGAGACGAAGGTGGCAGCTGGTCGCTTCCACATCGGACGCACACTTTCTGTAGTGAGGGGGATGACAAGATGTGCAGGAAGGCCGTGCACCACTCGACGTCGATATGGTAGAAGGCAACCTTTCGGAGGGCGGGAAACAAACCGGCAGACCGTTCATGGGGCAACGAGTCCCAGCAGCGGTAGTCGGCTGACTCGACATGAAGTAGCAACGACTCCAGACAAGGTAGTTTGCCCAGCGCCATGAGAGTGTCTGGCGCGACAGCGACATCGCGAACGTTGAAGTTTTTTAGGCCTTGGAAGAGGCGATCCTGTGGGTTCCAGTGGAGAGAGTCTCCGATCCGACAGGTATGGGATGTGGGTATGGCTTTTATCTTGAGTGACTCCAGGGCGGGAGCCACAGCTGAAAGGATACGAGCGAGGTCGTTGGCACGTTCTGGACACCGGCACGGGCCAATGTAGGATATGTCCACCTTCTTTAGTGTGGGTCCAAAGAGCAGGTCGGCAAAGTGAATCGGGGTTTTGCGGTAGTTGATGTCGGGTCGCATCGTCATTTCCTCATGAGAGAGAAACTGCAAGCCGGGTAGGAGCGGCTTGGGCCCAAAGGCGAACAGGAAGTCCCACACCAAAGAAGGGATGTGGTGGCTAGAGGTGGTGAGGTACCTGAGTTTGTCGTTGGACGGCGACTCTCCATTTACGGGGTCCCGTGGAGACCAGTCTCCGAGCTTCTTGACACGCCTGGAATACATAGAGAATCGCGCGAAATCTTGCCTCGCTGGCGCTCGCAGGAACATCTATGTGCCGATGTTCAGTGGACGTCCACGCCCCAGTGAAACAACACTCACCAGCTGTGACCCTGTCTGGGGATCAGATTCTTTGGTGCGCTGGTAAATAAACGGGGCAGTAGTACATAGGTCCTTTGGAAATGTGCACAGGAGCGGAGCAATGTCGCGAAGATTGTGCCAGAGCGTGTCGAAGGCGGGCTCGCTGAGGAAACGACAGGTAAGAGCGAGAGATGTGAGGTCGCGGGGTGGATTGTCGTCCCTCATGCCAAAACAAGAGGAGTTTGCATATGCGCAAGAGAGATTCCAAGGGTAAGGAGCAGAGGGCAGGCGGAGCCATGGGCGTGGATGTCTATGGTCGCCCGTCGGTAGTCGATGGTTCGTGGTCGTCCGCATGTCCAAGCCTCCACTGAGGCGCGCTGTTCAGAAATGTGCAGCGCCAGGCGAGCGTCCTCTTCGTGCCTACTGACGGAAGGAGTACTGCCGCGTTCGTGTCGTAAGAACTCGCCAATATTGATTGGACCGAGTAGGAGTGACGTGGGCGCTGTCCCATCCCCGAACAAATGGTGTCGACTCGATACATAGACCAAGTACGAATGGGCCCACTGCAATCGACATATTTGTAAACCCGCGTGAGTTCCGTTCGGCGAAACTGAGTCGTGACCCGCAGTGAAAAGCCAGACCAGTAGAGTACGACAGTAGTGTTGTCGTCGCACCGCCGATATCGGTCCATAGAGAGTCGAGTCCATGTCAATGCAGCACAGATAAACGAGTTCTTACTGCCAGTGAAGCTAGAGGTCTTGGCGTGCCAGTGAGCCTGAATGTTGCAAGGTGGGGTGATGGTACTCTGCAGACCTGCGAGCCAGCGCGCGGCGGGCTCAGCGTTGTGTGCCAATCTCGATCCGTCACTGTCGCGCGTGTCACCGCCCCGTGGTACGTGACCAGCGCGTGAAGTTCGCGATGCGCCTACTGCCCGCAACGGCTCACCTTGATCTTTAGATCTTTAGACGGTGGCACCTTGCGCCCACTAGTAATAATCGGATATGACCTATACCGGGTGGTTATCAACTCTTTCACAAAGTAACGCAATGTGGGATGGATAAAAATGGTAGGCGTGCTGCTGACTCCAAGTAGCCAAGTAACATACATATAACAATACATGTCTTGAGTCCCACATCGTTACCTACTTGGTGATTTCCCTCGTTTATGTACACCCATAAGCTTTATATCGAAGCTTTGCCTCTTGGCTCGAACGGGATGAAGAACGCCAGAACACCCGCCAGGATGAAGCACGCGCCGGCAACATAAATTGGGACCGACGTCGTCAAGTTCGTGTATATCGCCACAATCGGCGCCTGCAAATCAGTTTCCCTGTGAGCAAGTGCACTATGAAGACATCGGTTGATGGGGGACTCACCAGGGCACCGCATAGGTGGTTGGCGGACGAAACGAGCGCGCTGCCCGTCCCGCGGTCCTTCGCGGGGAAGACCTCGGGCGACATCGCGTAGAGCACGCCGTACATGATGTTGTTCGTCACGCTATACCCGCAGTTCCATCCCAGGAGGGCGTTGGACGAGCGCGCGGTCGTCGCCGCGAAGAGCAAGACGCCCGTAACAACTGAACGCAGATGTCTGTCAGTTGCTGAGCGGCGAGCGGTGTGGAAGCACGTACTGGATGACGTCGCCAGGGTGCCTTTCCTACCGAGGTAAGGCAAGTCGACCATCCATCCTGCGATCAGGGCGCCAGGGACGCCTACAACGCTGAGGATGACTTGCTATTCGTAAAATCGGCGGTGTAAGTACATCATACGCCCTTTCATGGAGAATTTGTGCGTACGTTGCGATATGTGATGTTAATTGAGCCATCCCCGAAGTCCGCCCCTCGCGTAGCCAAGCTGCAAAAATGGTTATCCCCCGTGTTTTAGCAACCGCTTTGAGAAAATCACTCACAAGTATGGCAAAAAGCCGTTGTAGCTGAAAGCTGATCAGCACTTTTGAACACAACGTGCTGCATAGAAACACGCACAGAGGGAATGCAAGTCCAATAAGCGCTATATGGATGTTCAGGTCAGTACGGTGGCTCTGGTGATCACCAAAGACCATATCACACACCCCATATGAGAATCAAAAGCGTCGTCGACAACGCTATCTTCGGCGTAGCGAACAAGCCCTTCACATGATCTCCGCCAAACGTCCTCAACGTCCTCCTCAACCGCGCCTTCGCGCTCGTGTCCTGCTTGCTGCGCACGACCCCCTCCTCCCGCTCCCCCTTCTCCTTCGCGGTCTCGACGACATCATACCGCGACAGCATGTCCAGCGTGAGGCTCGACTCGACGCCATTGAAGCGCGCGACGGCCTGCACGACCGCGACGGCCTCCGCGTCGCGCCCGCGGCTCATGAGGAACTTGGGCGACTCGTGCAGGTGGAAGATCGTGAAGCGCAGGAAGAAGAGGAGCGTCATGAGCCCGCCCATCGCGTATAGGAAGTACCGCCAGCCTTGGTTGGACTCGCGCGGGCAGTCGTCCGCGGACGCGCAGGAGAAGTTCGCGAAGAGCGGCCAGGCGACCTGTGGGAGATATATTAGCGTTACGTATAGTATGGGAATGGAGTGCGACGCAGGTACGCACAAGACTGCCGACGAGTTGACCAAAGGCCCACCAGATGGACAGCACGGTGAGCAGATACTGGTGCGTGGGTGGGATGAACTCCAGAAATATGGCCGAGTCCACAGGGAGGTTCCCGCCCACGCCCACACTCCACACCGCCACGAGGGAGCAGAGTGTGACGGCGTTTGGCGACGCGCCTGCGGCCATTGCGAAGACTCCAGTGATGAACAGCGTAAGGTTGAACGCCCATCTACGAAGACAGCAGGGATTGAGGAGTGCGCTGGATGCGAATGCAGGAGAATCTCACCGTCGCCCCCATATATCTGAGGATATGCCCCAGAACGCACATCCAGCTAAGGAGCCGAGGGCCTGGCCGAACTTGAGCCACGCTCCCTGGTAGTGGAATTCGTTGATTGTTGGGGGAAGAAGTAATCCTGTCACGATCTGGCGGAAGATGAGAAGGCGAAAAGGTAGTGTCTTCGGTTGAACTGACCGGCCACAGATTATCGCTGCATGTTGGTATAAGAGGTGAACTCAGCAAGGGTATGTGTACTATAAACTTACGAAAACCACCCGAAACCAGTAAGGCAGAACAAGTACCACTAGAAATTATTTTTAGTATTAGTTGTATGTCCATGATACGAGGAGAGTGATCGCACCTGGTACTTTCCCATGCCGATTTCTTGGAATGCATCTCCGAGAACCCGTGCCTTTGCATGATAGACCGGGTCTACGGAATTGTCTTCTTCGTAGATGTCATGGCTTTGCTTGACCGGAGCCACCTTCGTCTCGGCTGCCAATGATGGAGCAAGCTTCTTCTCGTCAACGTCTTTGGAATCCGCGGAGTAGCCGGGTAGCTCTGCGATTGGAGGTGTTGCGGTTGACATGTTGCGGGCCGTAACTCGGAGCGTTAGGAGCGTAGCGCAGAGCGAGCGTGAGTAGACCGTCCTAGCTGACGGCGGGTCGTACGATCCGAGCTGAACGAAACGCACATCCTCCCTGCTTGCTTAAGAGCAACTGGACACCAAAAAACTGCGCCGTCTGAGGCAGAGATGTCGGCAGACTGATGCCAGACCCCAGTGCTTCTCGAACGGAACGGAGGGTGGCTGTCGGACATGCGCCAAGGTTCGCATGAACGTCTCCCCTCTGCGTCCGATACGCGTACCTCTGAATCTTCTTCGCACCCGCATCGGTAGATTCGTGCTGCCCTGGCGCGCGGTGGAGCAGGGGGAAGAAGGATGCCGCGCGCGGGCAGGGTTCTCTCCGACATGGCTCTCGCACGGCCAACGCTTCTTGAACTGCGTCGGACATCACGCGGGGGGCTCTGCTGTCTTCTATATGATGCCTGTCGCGCTGTGGGTTCAGATTGAGGGCCGAGGAGGTCGAAATTACGATACGAGAGTGCTCACCGGATGCTCCAAACTCTGATGGTAAGCGCACGCAAGTTGGGGGACCGATGACGACATATCCGCACCTGCCGTATGCGGCATCTCCTCATCTGTTCCTACCAATCGCAGAAGCCGCATTGACTAGTACTGTTCACGCAGGATGATTGAGAAAGCGTCCACTAACAGCGAAGACGAAACGGCTGGTGAGTATTGCAGCGGCGGTCGACAGAGGAAGAGTCTGAGTAGCAATACAACACCCTCAAATCGAGGCTCTTCCCCTCGACTCGAACGGCAGCAATAACGAGATAGAGCCCGCCACGAGGAACAATGCGCCGGCAACCCAGATAGGCACCGACGTCGCCAGATTCGCTTTCAGTGCGATAATTGGGGCCTGCATCGCGCCGCGGTCCATAAAGAAGCATATGTAGAAAGGAGAGGAAGACGCTCACCATGCTACCGAACACACGGCTTGCAGACGCAACGATAGCGTTGCCCGTCCCGCGGTTCTTTGTCGGGAAGAGCTCCGGGGAGACCGCATAGAGCACGCCGTACATCACGTTGCTAGTGAACGTGTAGCCACAGTTCCATCCCAGCAGCGCATTGGACGTCCGTGAAGTCGTGCTTGCGAACAAGAACACCCCGGTGATGACTAGTGCAGATAAGCGTTCACATGAACAACTCTTTGAGCATGATCAAGCGGGACGTACTCGTCGATATCGCAAGGGTGCCTTTCCGTCCCAGATAGGGGAGCTCAACCATCCATCCTGCAAGCAGAGCACCGGGTACTCCGATGACGCTCAGAATGACTTGCTGCAAAGAGTACTGGAAGGGCGAACAGAACGTGTGAGAGAAAGAAGAGACCTACGTTACGGTAGGTAATGTAGACGGACCCGTCCCCGAAGTCAGCTCCTCGGGTAGCGAGGCTGGCATGGGTTTTAGTGAAATAAAATATGCTGACGACAATTTGACTTACAAGAATGGGATAAAACCGCTGTAGCTGAAGCATTATGAGCGGCCTATACTTAACATTTACAGGGTGGCGAAAGAACTCACAGAGAGAATGCTAGCCCAATGAGAGCTGCGGGAGACAACTCATATTCAGCTACTCGCCTCCAAAGAGCACCCCAGAACGACGTACCCCAAACGATGATGAGCAACGTCGTCGAATAGGCCAGCTTCGTGGTGGCAAACAAGCCTTTGACATGGCTCCCGGCAAACGTCTGCATCTTCCGCAACACCGCAGCCTTCGCGCTCGTATCGAAAGCTGCCTCGCCCGGTACGACGCCCTTGCCCAGCCGCGTCTCCACGTCCTGCAGCATCTCCAGCGTGAGCGTAGAGACGCGCCCGTTATATGCTGCGACACGGTGCACGACTTCGACCGCCTCGGCATCACGCCCGCGCCCCATCAGGTACTTCGGCGACTCGTACATGTGGAAGACGAAGAAGCGGAGCACGAAGAGGAGCAACATTAGTCCGCCCATGGCATACAGGAAGTACCGCCAGCCTTGGTTCGACGACCGTGGGCAGTCCGCCGCGGATGCGCAGGAGAAGTCGGCGATGAGCGGCCAGGCGACCTGCATGATAGCAATGATTAGGGTAGTTAGTGAGGCTTTTGAGAAAACCGTACCAAACTGCCGACTAGCTGGCCAAACGCCCACCAAATTGATAAAACGGTCAATAGGTATTGGTGTGATGCTGGGATAAATTCTGGATACTGGGTGTTGGTTTGTGTATGCTCATGTCTGCTCGTTTTACGTACCCAGAAAGACAGCCGAGTCGACGGGCAGGTTTCCGCCGACACCAACGTTCCAGACGGCCGTCAATGAGCAAAGTACGACGAAATTTGGTGATCCACCCGCAGCGACAGCGAAGACACCAGTGATAAGCAGTGTGATATTGAAGCACCACCTGTACACGAGTTCAGATACGCATTCCGACAAACGAGCGAAGGACGAATGCTACGCACTTGCGCCCCCAGACATCGGATGCGGTGCCCCAGAAGGCCGCGCCGACCAGCAAACCGATACTTTGTGCGAGCCTCAGGTAGGGCCCTTGGACCGCGAACTCATTCACCACAGGGTCCAGAATCAAGCCCGTTGCGACCTATATCGGGGAGGTCGAATGTGAGATGCGTATGGGTAGCCTCGAGATCCTAACTAACGGGCCACAGGTTATCTCTATGGGACCCATATCAGTCCACATGTCGCGTGAGTACAACAGCCGGGAAGTAGCCACTTACGAGAACCATCCAAACCCCGCAACCATGAAGAGGTACCACTGCGACGGGCGCCGTCAGCCATATGTCACAGCACGCAGCCGCGCTGTAAACGCATACCTGGTACTTCCCCATCCCAATCTCCTGGAACGCATCGTTCAAGATGTGCGCCTTCGCATGGTATACCGGGTCGACGGCCGAGTCGTCGCCCTCGTACATGTCGTGCGTGTCGACGGGGATAGGGTGTGCCTCCACATGCCTGGAGTCCCCTTTTTCCGCCTTCGAGTCCTGGGACTCGGACCGTGCAAGCTTGTCCTCCGAGGCGGTCGTCGCACTCGTGTCGGGCGTGTCGAGCATGGCGGTTCAAGCTGTGCACAGAGCTATTGCGTGGGGGCTGAGAGGGGCTGAGGGACCGACGTGCAATTTGCGACGTTCATCTCCCGCAAGCGCACAGAGGAGGGGAGATAACGGTGGGCCTGAATCGGCGACGGGCGGTGAAAGCAGGCCTACCCTCGTCGATTCAGGCATCTTCGTTGCGTCTTTGGGCTGCAACTGACGTCGGCAACTTGAGAAACTCGCGGAGGCTCATGGCGATATCATGGAAGGTATCCTTGTGCCATTGATGCGTTCATAGCGAGCCCCACTCGGTAGCAGGCTGCCCCGAAGACGCATGATCGCCTGAGTCTGTGACGACTGCAGCATGGCTGCCATCGCCGCTAGCGTCTGAGTAGAACCTTGCTAGTGCATAGTGGCTAGTACATATGGCGCTCCAAAACACGCCTGGATGGAAACACATCACTTTCTAGCTGTAGTTAAGTATAAGTTAGCTCTGACCTTATACCCACTGCCAGCGAAGACTTACCTGGAATTTCATGTCGGGGGTCTGGTCGAACGAGTTCGAGGCGAAGACGACGTTCGTATATGTATGGCTGCGCTCGCGGTAGCGCTGGTGCCAGAAACACGTCGGCAATCTAGATCGAATTCCTTCGATCAATATTGTTCTCCGCGCCTCCTCCTCTGACCGTAGATTCCTCATTTCATGGGCGATACTCTCCCTTTATCGCCTGTTGACCTCCACAGGCCATCTTCCGGTTATTGAAATAACGTATGTATAGTATACCGACATAGGAGCCCGAGTAAAAATATAACGCCCTCAGATTGATGCTCTTCCCCTCGGCTCGAACGGCAGCAATAGTGAGATAAAGCCCGCCACAAGGAAGAGTGCGCCGGAAACCCAGATGGGCACCGACGTCGCTAGGTTGGCCTTCAGTGCGATAATTGTTGTAGTTCGCGCGAGAGTAGACGAGAGGAAAGATGATGTATTGGGCTACGAGCGCGATACTAATATACTAGTGTGAAGACTAAGAGCTATAGTAAGCAAGGTAACAAACAAGTATAAGTATGGAAAGCTATCAAAGTAAGTAAAGGTAACTAAAGCGTATCAAAGTCCGATAATGTAATATAAAGTCCATACAAGTCAAAGGCCATTATCCAACACTCCCCCTCAACTCTGCATCCGATAAGATGCCGAGTTGCTTCCTCAGCGTATGGAAACGCTCGCGCGCGAGGGCCTTCGTGAACAAGTCAGCCATGTTATCGTCGGTCGGCACGTACGCGAGTGCGATGGTGTCCGACTCAATACATTCGCGAATAAAGTGATGGCGAATGTCGATATGCTTAGTTCGCGCGTGGTGGACATTGTCTTTCGACAGCGCGATCGCAGATTGGTTATCCGCGTTAAGCTTGGTGGCTTGTTCTTGCGCGAAGGTTAGCTCGGCTAGCAGTGTACGCATCCAGATGGCGTGTCTGGCCGCGTACGAGATTGCCATGTACTCCGCCTCAGTGGAGGACAGAGCCACTACGGCCTGCTTCTTCGAGCTCCACGCTATGACGCCGCTTCCGATCAGGAACGCATAACCTGAGATCGACTTGCGATCGATCGGGTTTGCCCCCCAGTCTGCGTCCGAGTACCCTTCAAGACGCAGGTTCCGATAGTATGCGCGTGCGCGCGGCTCCCCCTTACGCCCGTAAGTGATGCCATAATCGAGTGTTCCCTTGAGATAGCGGAAGACTCGTTTTACGGCTGTCCAGTGCGCGGGGCCTGGGCGCGAGCTGAACTGGGAGAGCGTCTGCACTGCATAGCTGATGTCGGGCCTGGTGCCTAGCGCCGCATACATCAGCGTGCCTATCGCTGCCTGGTAAGGGACGTCCTTCATCTCGGACAAATCGGCATCATCCGGTTCCCTGAGCAGCCGGACATTTGGATCCATGGGCGTGCTCACCGGTGCGCAGTTTTCCATACCATAGCGCTTGAGCGCGCTCAGGATGAACTGCGTCTGCCGCAGCGTGATCGAGCGACCAATGCGTGAGACTTCCAGACCGAGGAGCAGTTGCGGCTCCCCAAGATCCGTGATCTTGAAGTGCTTCCGCAGGCCGGTCTCGAGCTCGGCTGACAACTCCGGGGCATCAGCTGCGGAAATCATGTCGTCAACATGGACGCCGACTAGAATTAGTCCGAGCTTGTTTGCCTTCACGTATACGCACGCGTCGGAGTCTAGCCGCGTGAACTTGAGTTCCTCGACCAGGACACGGTTGAGGTGCTGGTTCCATTTGCGGCCGCCTTGTTTGAGCCCGTAAAGTGCTTTCTGTAGGCGTAGCACTTTGCCCGATCGGTCGTCGTAGCCCGGTGGCTGACGCATGTAGATCTCCTCGTCGAGATCAGCGTTCAGATAGGCGCCGACGACGTCATACTGCCGCAATGCCATCCCGCGGTCAGCAGCAATAGCTGCCAGCGTCCGGAGAGAATCCATACGTACTACAGGGGCAAAAGTCTCAAAGTAGTCCAGCCCAGGAATTTGGCTGAACCCTTGTGCGACTAGACGCGCCTTGTAGCGTACGATACGCCCTTCCGAGTCGCGCTTGAGGCGGTATACCCATCTGCACCCAATCGGGGATCGGCCCGATGGCAGATCGGCCTCCCGGAAAGCGTTGAGTTGCCGGAGCTGCGCAATTTCTTCGTCCATCGCGCGTTTCCATTCTGGCCACTCTGGCTGTTCCTGAGCCTCTCGAAGATTGCGCGGCTCGTTAGCGGACTCGGTGCCTACCAGCGTGAGGACACACGCAACATGTGCCTCATCTAGCTGCACCTTTTCTCCCGTATCGCCGAAGCGCTTGTAGTCAATCCGGGCCACCTGACGCAGCTGCCGTCCTCCCGCCACCGGGCCGGCGACCTTCTGCTCAGGCACGCTCGATGACTCCCCCTGGACCGGTTCTGTGGGCGCCTGCGGTGGCTCTGGGCGTGTGACATCATCTTCGGCCTGCTCGGTGATCGGATCGGAAGCTCCCGATCTATTCTCCCCCTCGAGCGGCGCCGGAGATATGTAGTCGAAATCGTCGTCCTCGGGTTGTATTGTAACGCGTTTTGGCACCGCGAATACAATATCTCGAGACTTCCCGATGCGACGACTCTTCTGGTCATAGAATAGCCACGCCTTGCTGCCAGGAGCCATCCCGACGAAGTGCATTGGTTGTGATCGAGGGTCGAGCTTCGAGCGCTTGCTCGGTGACGTCAAGACCCAGCACTTCGTCCCCCACTCCTGCAGATCCGCCACGCTCGGCTTCCTCCCGGTCCAGACCTCCTCCGGCGTCTTCCCTTTCAAGGCTCGTGTCGGCAAGCGATTCTTGAGGTAGACAATGTGCGCAACGGCTTGCGGCCACAAAAACTTGGGTAATCCAGCCGCAATTCGCGCCGCACGCGCACGATCAAGCAGGGTCCGATGAACGCGCTCAGCGATTCCATTTTGGGCGGACGATCTTGGCGCGGTCGTATCGAGCTCAATTCCCTCGGCGCGTAGATAAGTCTTGAATTCCCCAGACAAGAATTCTCCGCCGTTATCGCACCGAATTTTCTTGATTTTGCGCCCGAATTTGTTTTCGACCATTGCCTTGTACGCTTGGAAATGTCCGAGAGCCTCCGACTTGTGCTTCCCGAAAGCGATTTCCGTGTGTCTCGAGTGCCCGTCCGTAAATGCCCAAAAATAGCGCTCACCGCTCAGACCCTGCGTGGGCGCGTCCCCCCACGTGTCCATCACCACCAAATCGCCGATTGCTTCGATCACTGTGCCTGACTCCTTCGGGTATGACGCCTTTGTCTGCTTTCCCTGCACACACGCCTCGCACTGGTCCTCCGGCGGCTCCGACTCGTCCACATCCATCCCTTCCACCAGACCCTTCTTCCACATCGCGACGACCGTCTTCATTCCTGGATGACCTAGTACGCGATGCCATTCATTGAGGGTCTTTTTGCGCTTAGGATGACTCACCGCCGCAGCGCACGCGACATTAGGCGCCGGTGCCTCGATCTCCCCCTCAACCTGGTAGAGGAAGTTCCCGATCCGGCGCCCCGATCCGTACACCCGGCCCTTCTCGTTCCTGAGTCGGAGCTCCCCGCCGTCCATCTCGACCTTGTGCCCCGCCGCCTCCACTCGCCCGATCGACAGCAAGTTGTACGGCACGCCGGGCGCGTGCAGCACGTTTCGTAGTGTCAACGTAGTCGTCTTGCCACTGTGTACGAAACGCATTCGAATAGATCCCCGCCCGAGAATGGGCGTCGTGCCGGCTCCATGGAGCGTCCGTCCGGGCGTGCTTTCGTACTCGACAAATGCGCGCCGCTCGCGCGCAACGTGCGACGTCGTTCCTGAGTCCGCGATCCACGCGTCATCAGCAACCGCCGGGAGCGCGATCTCACCTGGGCCCGGCGCGTCGATTGCGGCGCACGAGTAGTCGGACTCGCCGTCCGATTCTGCCGCCACCATCGTCTTCCCGCCCTTCCCTTTCCGATCGCCCTTCTCCCTTCTGTCGCCGCCCCTCGAACCTCCTCCCGCCGGCTTCCTGTCGTGATTCGGGCAGTCGCGCTTTAGCCCCGGCTTCCCGCACTTGTAACACAAAGGTCCCGTCCGCCTCTGATTTGCCACAAGCGCAGTGTCCGACGTCTGCAGCCGCCGCGCGTGCTCCCGAATCCGTCCCTGAACCTTATCGGCATCTGCGATCTCATCGTCCCGGAACGAGGCGGCAAACGCCTGCCAGGACTCGGGGAGCGCCACGAGCAACATGATCGAGAATTCGTCATCAGGCACATTGCGCCCGAGACTGGTGAGGTCCTCCCTCCACTCGATCATCTGCTGCAGCCACTCGTCCAAGTCCTCCCCGTCCGAAAATCGCGCCGCCGCGAGCTTGCGTCGGATCTCTATTATCTTCCCGAGACCCTTCGCCTCGAAATTCTTCCGCAGCTTCTCCCAAGCTTCGCGACTGGTCTTTACATTCCTGATCAGCTTGATGACGCGCTTACTGACCCGCAATCTAATCGCGCTAAGCGCCGTCCGATCTTTCTCGTCCCAAGTGTCCAACGCCGCCTGCTTCCCCGTCGTCACCGTCTCGTTCTCCCCTACCGTGGGTCGCGCGTTCTTGCCGCTCACGTACGGCCATAGCTTCGCTTCCCACAGCAAGTCCTCCATTTGCGTCTCCCACGTCGTCCAGTCCTCCGCCGTGTCCAACGGCGAAACTTTGGCGCGCGTGATCAAGTCTGACATCCCGAGGTGATAAGGTAAGCAAGCGGTGTAAGAGTAAAGCAGAGTTTCGTTTTTGCGAGTAAGTCCTGGTTAGAGCAACGCAGGGCTCATAACCTGTTGTAGTTCGCGCGAGAGTAGACGAGAGGAAAGATGATGTATTGGGCTACGAGCGCGATACTAATATACTAGTGTGAAGACTAAGAGCTATAGTAAGCAAGGTAACAAACAAGTATAAGTATGGAAAGCTATCAAAGTAAGTAAAGGTAACTAAAGCGTATCAAAGTCCGATAATGTAATATAAAGTCCATACAAGTCAAAGGCCATTATCCAACAATAATTGGGGCCTGCATCGCGCCGCAGTCAATAAAGAAGCATACATAAAGAGAGGAGGACGCTCACCATGATGCCGAAGACGCGGTTCGCAGACGCGACGATAGCATTGCCCGTCCCGCGATCCTTCGTCGGGAAGAGCTCCGGGGAGACCGCATAGAGCACGCCGTACATCACGTTGCTCGTGAACGTGAAACCGCAGTTCCAGCCCAGTAGCGCATTGGACGTTCGTGAGGTCGTGCTTGCGAACAAGAACACTCCGGTGATGACTGGTGCGGTTGAGGGTCCATATGAGCAACTCGTTAAGCGTGATAAAGCGACTTACTCGTTGATATTGCAAGGGTGCCCTTTCGTCCCATGTAGGGGAGCTCAACCATCCATCCCGCAAGGAGAGCACCGGGTACACCAATGACGCTCAAAATAACTTGCTGTAAGGGGCGCGATAAGGACCAGAAGGATAGGTGATAAAAAGAAAATGCCTACGTTACGGTAGGTGATGTAAACGGACCCGTCCCCGAAGTCAGCTCCTCGCGTAGCGAGGCTGGCGTGGGGTCAGCGGAGATAACACTGGCTACGGCCGTTCAACTCACAAGAAGGTCACGAATCCGTTGTAGCTAGAGCAACATGAGTAGTCTGAATCTCCCTCGGAACAGTAGGAGAACTCACAGAGGGAATGCCAGCCCTATTAGAGCTGCGGGAGACCCGGTCAGGTCTTGCCACTAGTCTCAAAACAGATGATAAGAATGACGTACCCCAAACGATAATCAGCAGCGTGGTCGAGTACGCCAACTTCTTGGTGACAAACAAGCCCTTCACGTGGCTCCCCGCGAACGTCTGCATCTTCCTCAACACCGCAGCCTTCGCGCTCGTATCGAAAGCTGCCTCGCCCGGTACGACGTCCTTGCCCAGCCGCGTCTCCACGTCCTGCAGCATCTCCAGCGTGAGCGTAGAGGCGCGCCCGTTATATGCTGCGACACGGTGCACGACTTCGACTGCTTCGGCATCACGCCCGCGCCCCATCAGGTACTTCGGCGACTCGTACATGTGGAAGACGAAGAAGCGGAGCACGAAGAGGAGCAGCATCAGCCCGCCCATCGCATAGAGGAAGTACCGCCAGCCTTGGTTCGACGACCGTGGGCAGTTTGCCGCGGATGCGCAGGAGAAGTTGGCGATGAGCGGCCAGGCGACCTGCGTGACAGGAGTAGGTCAAAGCAGGCAGTAGTTGATTAGGAGAAGACGTACAAGGCTGCCAACAAGCTGTCCAAACGCCCACCATATTGACAGAACGGTTAACAGGTATTGATGGGAAGCAGGGATAAATTCTGGAGAAGGTATTTTAGTGTGTGTGCGTTTCTGCACGCCCACTTCACCCACCCAAGAATACAGCTGAGTCGACTGGCAGGTTTCCGCCGACACCAACGCTCCATACCGCCGCCAAGGAGCAAAGAGCGATAAAATTTGGTGAGCCCCCTGCGGCGACGGCGAAGACACCGGTGATAAATAGTGTAATGTTGAAGCACCACCTCCGGCGGAGTTCAGTCACACAGCTCGAAGAACGGAGGGAGGAATGTGACACACTTGCGTCCCCAGACGTCGGAGGCGACGCCCCAGAAGGCCGCGCCGACCAGGAGGCCAATATTTTGTGCAAGCTTCAAGTACGGTCCTTGGAAAGCGAACTCGTTTACCACAGGGTCTAGGATCAGGCCTGTCACGATCTATGCGATGTAATCGCGGAGGTGAGACTGGAATGTATATAGCCTGCATGATACGACTCACGGGCCACAGGTTATCTCTGGAGGGACCCACATCAGCCCATATTGCGTGTATAGATCAGCCGGAAAGCATCCACTCACGAGAACCACCCGAAACCCGCTACAATGAAGAGGTACCACTACGATGGACGCCGTAAGGCATATGTTGCAATCAGTGACTGCGCAATGAGTACGTACCTGGTACTTTCCCATTCCGATCTCTTGGAAGGCATCGTTGAGTATACGTGCCTTGGCCTGGTAGACGGGATCAACGGCCGAGTCGTCGCCATCGTAGATGTCGTGCGTATCGACCGAGATGGCGTGTAACTTCACATCCCTAGAGTCCTGTTTTTCCACCTTCGAATCCTCAGACTCGGACCGTGCATGCTTGTCTTTCGAAGCGGTCGTCGCATTCATGTTGGGCGTGTCGATCGCAACGGTTCGAGTTGTGTACTGAGCGATCGCGTGAGGGCTGAAGCTGAAGGGACGGACGTGCGCTCTGCAAAGTTTACCCCACAAAAAGGAGGCGAGATAAGGGTGGGGCTGAAACGGCGACGGGCGGTGGAAGCACGCCTGCCCCCGTTTGCGGCATCTTCGCTGCGTCTTTGGACGGCATTCGACGTCGGCAATCCGAGAGACTCGCGGAGGCTCGTTGCGACTCTATCTGCTGAGGCTCTTGCGCCATTGATGCGACATGGCGAGGTCCACTCGGTAGCAGGCTGCCCCGAAGACGCGCATGATCGCCTGAGTCTGCGATGACTGCAGCATGGCCGCCATCGCCGCTAGCGTCTGAGTCGAACCTTGCCCGGTGGTTATGGCGCTCCAATACACGCCTGGATGGAAGCACATCGCTTTTTAGCTGTAGGTGAGTTAGCCCGGACCGTTTATCAACCCAACGAGGGCTTACTTGACATGATATGTCGAGTTAGGTCGAACGAGTCGTCCGTGGCGAGGACGAAGTTCGTATGGCTGCGCGCGCGGCCGGTGGAAACATGCACTCGGCAATCTAGATCGAAGTCCCTCGATCCATGTTCTCCGCGTTCACACATGCTCATCTCAAACAGCCCAGATCCAATAGATCTTGAGCTGTATACACCCCGAGTGAGCTTCAACGTTGATAGCACGGCTAGCGTTCAACATAAATGATGGTATATACAGCAGATTCTACACAGTACATCCAGCTGGGCCATAAATACACATCGACCTGCGTACAAACCCCCAACATGATCAGTCAATACATACATACACAAGCCTCTACTCCAAGTTGCTCGAGTCTACCCTCCGAGTCCGTGCTATGCAAGAGAATAGATAGATGCGAGAAATCCGGGAACACGTGATAGTCGTGGGTGGTCGTTAGTGATACACAAGAAATAGGATGAGAGACGAGTCGATAGGTATACAGATAGCGCCAGCCCGGAAGGGCTATGCCTGGGACCTGAGGCCGTCGTTGGTACGGCGGTTATATCCGCAGGATGGTCAAAATGGCGACGCGGCCGTCTTGCTCGATCTTGTGGTTCACGCCTGTACACAAAGCGTCAGCGTCGGTCTCCCCAGGGAACAGGCATACAGAGTACGCACCTCGGTTGCCGCGCTGGAGGAGACCTTCACGCCACTCCACTTCACCCTTCCACCACATGCCTTTCCAGTGGGTGATTTGGGTGATCTGGCTGACGATATAGTCACGACCCCGATTGTACCCGTCCTCGACGATCATATGGTTCTTCGACGAGTCCTAATCTGAGTTAGCAAATTGGCACAGGGTACTCTGAAAGAACCTTACCATCTCCTCAGAAGCGCTGTGAGGAAAGCGCCAACCGTAAGTACGATCATAGCTATGACGAAGGGGCTGTGTGCGTACCCGAGAAACCACGCTCCGCTATTGGCATCGGTGCCGTTCTGTTTCCACGCACGGAAGTGGTGCCCGCCTCGAACGCTCTCCCAGCAGGTGCCCATGATCGGGAAGTAGTGCTGACGGCCGAGGAATTGCTCTGGCTTGCGACCAAGGCCGTCCCCAAGATCCGCCTCGTGGATGTACCCGTAATGGAGGCCCAGGCACTCCTCCGAGAAGCCAATCGATCTTCAGCGGGGTGTCAGAGGCTGAGCATGGCGCAGAGCCGGAGGTGGCTGCTTACTTGACGTAGTTGTGCAGGCCAGATTCGGTCAAAATGTACGGGTCGGACAGGGAGGAGATAATGATGTTCAGTGGCTCGCCGAGCTTCTTCGTGACGAACTTCGACCACCTGTATTAGTCTGTGCATATACAGAAGCTCGAGCACAGAACTCACATCGATCAGCCGGCCTCCGTTCAGCCTCGGGTCGACCCAGCCCACCGTGTCCCGCACCGGGGGCAGCTCGCCATTCTCCCACTCCCGATGGTCCTTGTCCTTGTCCCCGCCCTTCCCCTTCTCCATGTCCACGAAGGAAGCGGCGGCAAGTACCTCTTGTCCCGCCGCCCCGGATCCATCAAAGGCTGCGGCAACCGCAGGCAGACTCCCCGCCTCGGGCGCTGTAGGAACGACGGCCGCCCCGAGCACGGCGCGCAGGCTGAGGCCGAGTGCAAAGACGAGCGCAGCCACAGACGTGAACGTGTGGGTGTGGGCGTGCATCTGGACCGGGAGGGGATGGGTCACGGTACTCCGAGCTCTGAGAGTGTCGCGGTCGGTCCACGGAGCAGAATCACAGGCCTCGGTCCGTCGTCCGGCGTAGTTTCGACAGCTAGGAACGTTTACGGCAGAGTCCTCTGAGTCTGCTCGGTGTGCGCAGGCGGTGGGTGGTCGGCGGTGCGCAGAGTGTCAGAGTGGGGGTGGTGGTGGGAGGTGGGAGAGCGCGGGGGTGTGGGGGCTCTCATTGCCACTGTCGGCCTCTGCGGGCGTGCTAGCGTCTCCCGGTCTCCGCAGTGACAACCGCAAGCACGCGCTCCGGTGCCCGCTCCTGCTCGCCCAAACGCGGCAGGCGCTGTGGTTCCCCTCGGCTATTATGTGGTTCTCCGCACATCGCCCACGCACCCCCCTTATGGCCGCCACGCCGTCGGGGAGAGAAACGTGCATGCATTGTAACGAGCGAGATACGTGCTGAATAATTTAACGAAACGGCGCGCACGCGGCCACGTGCGCTGCAGACCGACTAACATGATGGGTATCGCCCATGCAAGGACTCGTATGCTATCGGAGAACGCCCACCCATCACCAAACCCGGGACCAGGAACCAGCCTCGCCTCATCACCAGCCGCTCACATCGCCATACCGAAAGCCGACGCGTCGTCTGAAGCTTTCGTCTTCACAGAGATAGCATCGTCTGCGACGTGTTTCGCGATGTCATGCGGCTCCTCGTGGATTATCGATGTCGGTTCCTCATGGATCTCCCTTGGGGGAAGGGGCGGCATGTCCTTCTGTGCATGCGGGACGGGAGGAACGTCCTTGTCCACAGGCATCGGCGGGACTGGTGGAGGAGGCGCTGGAGACGGGCCGCGCGAGAGACTCGGTGGTCGCACCGGGACCGAGGAGGTCGAGAGACGTGACGTGCGCTGGGAGAAGAACGAGCTGATGCCGGAGCCCCACGATCCAGAGTTTGTCCGTGGTGGCTCGGGGGGCGAGAGCGCCTGGGCGCCAACGATGCTCAGCGGGCGGAGCCCGCGTGTCGATGTCGGCGTAGTCGGCACGTCCATGGTTGCTTTCCGGGCGTGCTCGCCAGAGTTCTTGCGAGACTGCGTGCCTTCGCTCGAGCGGGAATTCACTTTCGTGATGTCCGAGGCTGGATCACTTCCGTTGCTAGATGTCGAGCTAGGGGTGCGTTGCATCCAGCGCTCGCGGACGCCGGCGACGGCATTGAAGAAGTTCGTAGACCCGGCGTTCAGGGTGCGCGAGATCGCCTCGCGGGTGGGAGCGAGCTGCTGCTCAAGCTTGAGCTCTTGGATACCCTCGGAGAGACGCAAGCCGATGTCCGAGACAACTGAGGGCTTCTCGCTACAAGGATGCCTACCAACAAAAACCTGTCAGAATATGCGTAGCAAAAGGTGTAAAGCATCGCGCACCGTGCCTCGATGAGATCGAAGAGAAGTGGGTCTGTGACTCGTTCCCACACCTCGTAAGCATGCGACTTCTTGAACTCTTGGATCCAGAGGGGGTTGAAGTCCTGTATTGAGTTGGGGTCTCCAGAGCCGTCCTGGATCATGATGCCGTTGTTCTGCCCCTTCGCTAGGAACGCTGAGTACTTTACGGATGATAGCGCGGCGTTGATGTATTCTTCGAACTATGAGTCGTGTCAGCACTACTGTGTGTCCACGGTACTGGCTACTATGTACCTTCTGGCGGAGGTAGTCGTCGCTTCCCTTGAAGCTATTGATAGTGTCAGACGTGGGCCTAACGAGTGGTAACAAACGCAGCGGACGTACTGCATGCCGACAGACATATCCGAGTCCTCGTTCCATCCGTCGTTGACGTCCTTCACGATGTCGTCCATCCATTTCCTGTCAGCAGGTGTGAGCCCGACAAGCCGTTCGAGTTTCGGGTCGCGGAACTCGATTGCCCCTGTCTCGATCTATTTCGTACATCCGGTTAGCCATAAACTACGGCAAGCTTTGAGACCGCGACGAACATTGACGAGCAGTTCAATCTCCTTCTGCTGGGTGACAATGGAGTTCGTACTCCCGCACAACCAGCATCCGGTATCCTTCAGCATGTCGAGCTGCTGCAGGGGCAGATAGGGCTGGAAGAAAGAGTCCTATGGCAGACGTCAGTATATGTATACAAGGTAAACGCACGCTTTACATACCTTGCCGAACAAGTCGAGCGGGAGACCCATGTATGCCATCATGCTCTTCGGATCGGAAGTCTTCAAAGATGTTGGCCGTGTAAGGCTCTGCGCCCTACTCGCTAATGGCGGCGAACCGCAGTCGTCCAAATTCTGGAGAAGACCTAAGCTCCTGAATTAGCATATACTGAATGCTTGAGAAGTGTCATTACGTACCAGGAATGAGTGTCACTAGCGAGTATTGATATGTGCACAGGCGCTCTACGGGGTGACCGAAGAACATTATCTGGACCGTATTTAAGCGTCTGCAGTTGTGGGCAGCGAGAGACAACCGACCTTCTTCTGTAACATGAGTGCTTTAACCAAAACCAAGGTACGCTGACGGAAGTTGTGCACGAGCTCGCGTAAACTAGTGCCTAGTCGCTTCCGTAAGCCACATACTCATCGCGTCTCACCAAGGCCGACGTACCCATATACAGACCGCTCTCGGTCAACTGCCCCCGAAGCGAATGCTCTAAAGACGAATAGAAGTCGTCCAGTATGCTCATATCGCTGAAGTTCCGCTGTGCAAACAGGGCACGAGTAATGACCCCGAGGCGGTCACTGGAGCGCATATATGAGCATCGTTTCCCAGCAAGGTAGGGCTATGTCTCATACCGTATAGGCCCGAACACCGGCTTTGACGCTAGGACCACCACAGCCTTCTGGACAGTCGACCGTGTGACGTCGGCATCCTTGTACAGAAGCTCAGCGGTACTGATTTGTCGATTGCATCTGGAGAGAATATTTAGTTAGCGCATCGGACTCCAGTCGCGAGGTCCCTCACGATATGCCAAAGATAGTGCTCGGGTTCGGAGAAGTTGGGACAAGGTGGAAGTAAGAGTAATCTTCTGTCGTCTACGAAGGGATTGGTTAAGAGAAACTATCTGGAACATTGCAACTCACAAGATGTGCACCGTCGGGAAGCGCGAGGAAGGGCAAGATCTTAGCAAGCTCTTCATCCTCGAATATATCTCCGCGCGAGAACTCGATCTTGGGCCCAACCTACAGGCAGCATACATCAATAATGGGTTACATGCAAGGATGCTTAGAGTAACGCACCAGGTGGTTAAAGTCCACGAGGGCTATTCCCAACACGAGAGCACCTTGTGGTGCTTGCACCAGCAAAGATTCTGGTCGAGCCTTCTTTGAATACGAAGTGGACGCAGAGGCATTCGACAGGATGCTTTCCGTGTCACTCTTCATCCGAATGCCCGCAGAAGGTGGTCTGGACGACAGTGCGGCTGAAGGCGGGAGGGAAGGTGGTAGCGGAGGTGGACTTGAAATGACCTTCTCCGCGTCGTACACAGAAGGCGCAACACTCGAAAGTGGCGACTCTCCCTCCTCGTATTTCCGCGCAAAGAAACTTCTATCATCACCGTCTCCCTCTAGGTCGATCTCCGAACTTGCGTCGGTTCCGACGGTGTCTCGTTTTGACAGACCTGCGAGCGACAGGCTTTGGCGAACGAAGGTTACGGGAGTCACCGCGGGTTCTTCGTGCTCAGCCACACCGAGGGCTGTCGAGTCGCGAGGGGACCGAGGAGGAGACGATAGTGCGATGGACTTGGCCGAGGCTGTATCGCCGTCAGACTCAAAGTGAGGCTCAGAGAGGTGGTCATCGTCTTGCTCCGGGTCAATGAGGAATCGAGTGCTGAGATGAGAGGCTTCCGGAGAATGGTCGTATGCAGAGTCAGCCATGGCAGATCGTCAAATTCACGAGACAGGGAAGCGTGTAGTGTAGAGAGAGCGAAGTCGTAAGGGATCCGTTGAGGTCGTGAGAAGTGGCTCTGGCAGAGGAATGAGAGGACGCGTCAAAACGCGTTTGACAGAGCGGTGAATGGCGGTTGCGATGTGGAGGAGGCGAAAGATGTGGCAAAGCGCTCCAGGAGGCGTTGGTACAGCAGGAATCTGGCCGAAGTCGAGGTGCTTGGCTCGGGCGCTGCGCAGATGATGGGATGCTCTCTTCACACTCCCACGTGGGCATCGTCACCATCAAGGGTCGGCCAGCTCTCTCTCGTGCCCAACTCGTGCCTCGCCATCGACCTCCCCATCCTCTACAACGTTAACATCGTTTAACATAACCTCCTCTTGAAGCACGCCGCTCAGAGTGCTCGCGTTGACGCTACATCAAAACTCGCCTTCACTTCAGCCACAATCGCCGGCTGGAACACATCTCATGTTTCCATCATGACGGGCCGGTGCATGATACAGCTTTGAGGTATCGTTTCTCATAGCATGCCGCACTTATTAGGGACGCTGTCCTCTCAGAACTTCATGTGTGTTCCCCCTCTCGCCGCTGGGATCCGGAATCTTCGTCTTGAAATGTTTGGTGTACTCAAAACAGGGACGTCTTGGAGTCTGTCTGCTGCAGGGCCAATGCAATGCCACGACCAGACGAGCGTGCGGCCTCGTTCGTATCCTGGCACCTTGACTTCTTTGCCCTGGGGCCCAACACCCGTGCAGACGATGACGGACCTGGCAGCACCCCTTTGAGTAACGGGGATACCAGCGAAGGTAGAGCCTACGAGGACGGAGCTGACACCAGGAATGACCACGGGCTCGAATCCACGGGTGTGGAAGTAGATCACCTCCTCGCCTGCACGCCCGTGTACCGTTGGGTCACCTTGCTTGAGCTAACACGAACGGGGTTGGTATGGTTCTATGTGTGCTATATTGATGGAATCTACCCAGACGACGGTCAGCCCGCGGTTGGCTGCCTCGATGGCTGCTTCGATGAGCTCCATTTGTGCGCCTTCCGCATTACCCGGGAACTTGCACGCCATACGCACTTCGACACCAGGAGGAACCAGCGCAAGAACCACCTCTGGCGCCAGTTTGTCGGAAAGTACGAGGTCGGCATGTTTTGTGAGCGCGGCGTGGGTAGCCACTGTGGGGAGGGAAGGATGTCCAAGCCCTGAGCCAACCAGGAGGATACGCCCTCGGCGGGATGGTGCGAGGTCGATCGAGGTCATGTTGGGACGTAGGAGAGTCCGTATCCCGGACAGAAGAGCTAGTGCTGATGAGCCCTTCCCAGCCGTCCAGGATGGCGTCCATTTGGGCGTCGGTGAGATGCGCGAACAAACTTCGCCCCTTTTGCTGTAGATGCGCGGTTGAAATGAGAATGACCTTCCTTCGGTCATCTTCAGGGTGTCTGACTCTTCAGCAACTCGGAAGGAACGTTCCCTCGGAGGAATCTAGCGGAGCTACGCATATGCAACGGTCGTCGCGTGCCCCCTGACGCGACGAATGATGCAGCCCGGACGAAGAATTCATTCACGCTCCCGTATGCGGGACGGTTAATGAACGTGAGTACCGTGCTGGCCACGGGCCCGAATCTTCCACCGGGTTTGGCAACTATGCTGACCGTGACCGGTTTCCAGGGGATCCGGAAAATAGGTAGTGCTTGACGATGGTCAGGTGTACCGGGTGCACCATACGTTTGGAAGATCCTGCCGGCCCGCCGGCGTATTATCCACGCAGCGATGAGCGGACGTCGACTATTACGCTGTCCAGACCGTGCCCGACGGGTAGCAGCGGGTAGCCCACATGGTCCTATGTGCAGCTATAAGAAGGCGCGTCGACAGGTGTAAGTTACACAGGTGCCCCCCGTACGCCAACTGTTGTTCGCTGGACATACTACCATGATCCCTGCCGCTGGTATCCCTTTGCTGTTTAGCTTGTTTACCCTTACCTTGGGAGTCCTTGCTGCCTTCCCGGATCCTCTGAAACTCTCGGGCTCCGTCTTGATCCATGACCCGAGCCTCGTTCAGCGGGCAAGTGATGGGAAGTATTTCCTGTTCACTACGCACAACAAGGGCGGCATTCTCACTGCAACCAACTTGGCCGGGTACGTTGTCATCCACCCCTTGGTATGGACAGGACCTGCTGACGCGACGACGGTAGACCATGGACTTCGGTCGGGTCCATCTTGCCTAGCGACTCGTCCATAAACCTTCGTGAGTGGGGGCTCATTATCGTGCAGAGTAGCCCTAACATCAGATCGGTATAGCCGGAAGGGACGACATTTGGGCACCTGACGTGTCTCTCCACGGCAGCACATACTATGCTTACTATGCGGTCTCTACTTTCGGCTCGCAGAACTCCGCAATCGGCCTGGCGACCTCTTCCAGCATGGACCCTGGGACGTGGACGGACCAGGGACAAGTCTTTGCTTCGTCGACCGGTGCTCAATTCAACGCTATTGACCCTAACGTCGTCATTGATGAGAAGGGTGTTCCCGTGCTGACTTTCGGTGAGTGCTGGTCAGAGCCCGCATGCATCTGCATCGCTGACCGCGTCTGATTTCATGTATAGGCTCGTTCTGGGTATGTTGCATCAGCATATTATGAACGGACAGTCGTAACGAATACGCATCAGAGCGACATCTTCCAAGTCAGCCTTGGCAGCAACTTCAAGACCGTCTCTGGATCAGCAACTCAGGTCTCTTTCAACTCAACTAACCCGCAGCCTGAGGAGGGCGCGTTCATCTGGAAGCACGGAAGCTTCTACTACCTCTTTTTCAGCAGCGGTGCGTATCCGCCCCTCGTGATATCAGCTTCCATTGAGATTCCTCAGGCCTTTGCTGTGGCTTCGACGCGAACGCTCTTCCTCCCGCCGGGAATGAGTACAAGGCATGTCGTGCAAGCTACCTAGATCGGCTTGCGAGGGCTCACACTTTTCCTACACAGGTCTTCGTCGGCCGATCTTCGTCCGCCCACGGGCCCTTCCTTGACAAAAACGGCAAAGACCTGCGCCAGACGGGCGGCACGCTCGTCCTCGCCTCGCACGGCAACGTCTACGCGCCCGGCGGGCAGAGCATCTTTACCGACTCCAAGTCGGGGAAGGACGTCTTCGTATACCACTATGTCCCGGTGAACAGCGCGCAGCCGTACAGCGATGCGTTTGCCACCTTGGGGCTCAATGCGATCGATTGGAGCTCGGTGAGTGGATACCTTCCGGTCGGGGTCGGATACGGCTACTCATGCACATTCCGTTAGGGGTGGCCGGTCTTGACAAGTTTGTGAAGAAGGACGTAAGCAGGCACACACAGGCCTACATACTTCTAGCGCACGATCACAAAGCAGTCCGACATCGACGTGCTTCGATTTTGAATGACATATCGTCTTTACATGTGCTGCGACATACTTCACCGTACAAATGCGGCAGCGGATGTGCAGCTGCTCAGGCCGACCTTCCCACCTATCACAGCAGGTGCACCCTGCGATGCTTCGCCCTTCTTCATTTTCATGTGCGTTGGAGTATTTTCGTCATGCCCGGCCATACACCTCCGAAAATGACGTCGTTGCCTGCGCCGGCACATCCAACAAGCATCGTGCATCGTGCATTCCGCATCACGCAGCTCGTACACCGCATGGAGGCGCGCATCTCGAAGCTTGCGAACCCAAAACTGCCATTTTCCTCCGACCGATGTCCCGCCGCACCGCAATGTGACGGGTCCGAAGGGGTCGCGGTGGGTGCCCTGTGAGCCAAGGACGATCAGGTGCACCGCTCATGCGCCCATGGGCCCGGCTAAGCGTGCACTGTACCGGCATATGGATTACGGTGGTGCGTGATCGTCAGTCTTGCATAGTATGCTGTGCCCGTTGACATCTGGCCAGTCTCATAGCTTAATTGCCCGCGTGCATATATACAGGACGAGTGCTACCCCAGAGAATCCCACAGCACCCTTCTACAAGATGACGCTCCTCATCACTACTTTGTACACGCTCTGTGCTGCTTTGGCAACGCTGTCGTTGAGCAGCGTCGCTTCACCGCTCGCCACCACCTTTCCGGACCCTTTGGCACTGTCAGGTGCCCACGTCTACGTGCATGACCCCAGCCTTATTCAGCGTGAGAGTGATGGAAAGTACTTCCTGTTCACCTCGCATGACAAAGCCGGGATCATCACCGCCGATAATCTCGCGGGGTAAGTGTCCATACTCGTTGTTTCCTGTTCATAGGAAGGCACGCTTATGCTTTGACAGCCCTTGGACGGAAATAGGCTCCGTCTTGCCCGACGGTTCGGCTATCAACCTCCGTACGTTGCACCCACCCTGGTATACACGCCTCATTGACCAGACATGTCCCGATGTAGCCGGGAACAACGACATCTGGGCGCCGGATGTGTCTTTCCACAACGGTGTGTACTACGCGTACTATGCCGTGTCCGTATCGGGCTCGATGGACTCCGGCATCGGCCTTGCGACATCTATCTCCATGGACCCCGGTACCTGGACGGACCAGGGTCAGGTGTTCGCCACGAAGACCGGCGATCCGTATAACGCGATCGACCCAACTCTCACCATTGACGAGAATGGAACACCTCTGCTGACATGGGGTATGTTATGGGATGCGTAAGCTTGCAGTCAATCTTGCTAACATCACCCGCTCCCCACCACTAGGGTCCTACTGGGTAAGTTTGCCTAGTCCTCGGGGCACGCCGAACTGGGACTCAAATGTCTGCACATAGGGCGACATCTATCAGTTCAGCTTAGGGAACGACTTCAAGACGGTGGCGACTGACCCGGTGCAGGTGGCGCACAACTCCACGGCGCCCAGCCCCGTGGAAGGCTCCTTCGTATGGAAGAACGGAGACTTCTTCTATCTGTTCACTAGCAGCGGTAGGTTCTCCTTACTCACAACACGCATATTGATGCTCACTTCACCTAGGGCAATGCTGCTCGTTCGACCCTAACAATCTGCCTCCTGCTGGCAACGAATACAAGGTACATGCTCGATGCGACTCGTGTCGTTGAACCCCTCTCACTGTACTCATACACAGGTCTTTGTGGGAAGGTCCGCATCCGCGCATGGCCCCTTCGTCGATCAGGCGGGCGTTGACATGCGCAACAACGGCGGCACCCTCGTGCTCGCCTCGCATGGCGACGTCTTCGCCCCCGGCGGAGAGGGCATCTTCACGGACTCGAAGAGCGGCAAAGACATCTTCGTCTATCACTATCTACACTCGCAGGGCTCGATCGCATACGTGGAAGCAAACTCGAGCCTTGGTTTGAACGCTATCGACTGGACCTCGGTGAGTGCTTTTGTGGTCATGTGGCTTAATTCCGACGTGAACTAACTCTTGCCAGGGTTGGCCTGTTTTGACAAGCATCTGAGTAAACGTGTCGTTCTGTTGTCATCAGAATCGACTACTGAAGCTGTACCAGTAGTTGTACAATACCGGCATGCATGCGCTATGGATGGACTAACTATCGACCTACACTACACTGTATCGAATTTATTCAACGCTAAGCTCGTGAAGTTGGATCAGTTCGACGGCGTTGGTCTTTCGATGTCAGTGCTAGGATTGTCCTGGTCAGCCGCGCTGAGTATATGTACAATTAGACTGAAAGACACGCACCGTGTGCTCAGACTAGCTCGATATCTACTGGTGGATACTCGCCCTCCTTAAGAGCCCGAGCTAGCTCCTTGTGCGCATTTTCGTCCAAGTCCCCGTCCAGTATGCCCCGAGACTCGAACGTGAATGAGAAATACCCAAGTCTGCGGTAGGTGACCGCCCCATAATCCGACTTAGACTCCACGCTGGTAGGCCTAGCTAGAGCAACGACAAGGCCCTCCATCCACTGTTTGTAGCCAGGTGCACCTCGGGGTAAAATCGGAACGGCCCATGCTCTTTCAATCTCTGCATCGACATCGCAGTCAATGAACGCGATACCGGAGAGCTCCGAATCCACTCCGACTCCCTCGTTACTCCCAGAGCCCAGTGGTTGTCGATCAGGTTGCAGCAGGATATCATGCCGGCTTCCGGGGCCTCTGCCCGCCCGGTGTACCCGACATCGCAAGAGCGGGGCCCGCAAAATGAGAGACCCTCCCGTCACCCGTCCGAACGGAAGTGCAGCGTCTTCGAGAGAGACTTCGCACCGAACCACCTTGGCGAACACGTCCTCATCCAAAATCATCATCTCCCCGGGACCCCCCGCGCGCCACGAAAGCTCGCCCTCTACTGCCGCCCATGACCAAGAGGGGGCACGATATGTCGCTGGGCGATAGAGGTGTTCGCCTTGGGCCGCACACCAGAGTAGATCCAAGAGGAGCGAGTCGCGCCACACGCCGGCGAGGTAGTCCGAGCGCAGGACACGGTGAAATTGCTCCGCGACTGCACCGCACGCGACCAGCTTGTCGGAGGGGAGACTAGTCGTGCGGCGGCTGTAGTCCCCCAGAACACCCAGCCATTCCCCGTGCACATCGTCCCACTCCGCGGAGCCATGCTCGGCGGGAGGGGGTTCCGGGAGGAAGAGCGTGCTCGGGATCCGCCACTCGTCGACCGTATCGCGGAGCGAGTTGCCGACGTTCTGCGTGGTGGTCAGACACCTGAACTGCAGCGTCTTTGAAGTGAATATGAGCGAGCGTGGGGACATGAGGTACTCTTGCATGCACCAGCCCCGCGTGCTGATGGGCTCCAGGTCGTCAGAGCCCCGATTCGGCCAGAGGGCCCCTGCGAAATGCGAGATCTGTCGAGTGGCGATGCAGATTTCACCTACTTGTCGTGTCGCAACAGCATTCCCCGAGAACTCCGTAGACGCGGAAGAGCTCGAAGGACAGACAAAGGGGAGAATGAGGTCTGCGCTCGAAAACGGTTCGTTGAAGTTCACCTGCGGTGGAGGCGAACGATCCTGGAGGAAGCCCTCGCCGATCCTCTTTGCGCTGGCGGCGATAATAGTCAGATGCGCGTAGCGGTAGATGTAGTGCATGCGCGCCAACTCGCGCCGTTTGTCCTGGTCAGAGTCTTGGATAATGCACAGGCTGTCGATCCAAAGCCACCGGAACCCGAGCGCATTTGTGACATAGATAGCATCGCGGATGGTCTGGGGAATAAGGGTGGGGTCAATTCCGCCTTCGTACGTGGTTATGTTGGATAACGTGGTTTTGTGCGCTTGGTCGCCGCCCCAGACATAACTCAGGGTGAGATATCGACCGCGCTGCCCGTTCATCGAGACTAGACGAGGATGACTGAGGTCGTTACAGTCGATGGCGCGTGTAGGGAGCAATGGGTCAGGAGAGACAGAGAGTTTGACACAGTGCTCGTGCCCATGAACACATTCGTCGATACACTCCTTTGCAAGTGTTAAGGCACGAGGAGACCCCACGTCTAGGATTGGACTACGTTGGATGATGTGGGGTGATGCGGGGTCGTCTAGTGCAAATTATGGGCCCTTAGCTTCACAGTTGTCTGATACGGCTAAGATGTACTGTGCTAACCTACCTGGAGTTGTGTGCACAAGTCCTGCAAAGACATTGCGGTCGTTGATAGACACATATACGCTTTGGCTATTGTTTGGACTGCAATCAACGTCCTGCTCCGCGGAGCCTCGTATTGTGATTTTGAAAGAATCGCTCAACGAGGCAGGATCATACGTGAATCCTGGATGTACTGCAATCAAAAATCGGCACCACACGCAACCAGAAAAGGCGCGTAATTTCAACGCTGCCAAGGAGGTCGAGTACGAGAATGAGCTGGGCCACCGTCTGTACAGAGTCTGAGAGTCTTCCCGCCGGGACAGCTTGCAGGGAATTCCAAGGTGGATTGCGAAGGGACCTTGCCAACAGTCTTGACAAATGGTCGAAGGAGTTGGTGGAAGGCTGCCCTCATTAGCGGCAGGTAGTGGGGAATTGGCCTCCATGGCCGCATGTGGAATGAGGAATGACTCGGAGGAGTAGTAGTCTGGTGGCGTGTCACTATAGGGCAGGTGCGTGAGCGCTGATTGAACCAGCCTTGAAATCACTCTAGTTACGTTAGTCTCCGCGTAATCCCTCTTAGGCTCATACACAACAATGGCGTCAGAAATCGTGGATGTTTGCGTTGTAGGATTTGGTGGTAAGCTCTCTTTTTACCTTCGATGGCTTCAGGCTGAGATGATCATAAATTGAATGTGGTCCGTATAGCGATCGGAGCGCTTTACGCGTACGCCCTGCATAAATCGGGAAAAGCCCGAGTAACCGCGGTGTGTCGGTCAGTGCTTCAAGAATATCATGACTTGGCTGTGTGGGCTGACGCTGCGTAAGATAGCTCGAACTATGACACTCTTCAAGGTGTGCCTCGTCGCCCGTCAGAATTCTCCGGTACACAACTAATCTTTACTCATCCAGACCACGGTCTAGACATCGTCTCAGATAGATTTGGTACCCACCCTCAATGGAAGCCACATCGAGGTATTGCAGATCAAAGCCATGGGTGTTGTAAATTCTCTGACGTAGTACCCGGATGCAGTGGTCCGTACGGTCAAAGAGGCAGCCGACCGACATTACTCCTACATTATCTGCGCCTTCAAGTGCGTCCCGGAGATCACCACCACTCCGGCACTCCTATCTCCACTCTTGGCTCAGCTCTCCGCTTCTCCGCCGGCCCAGCCCACGACATTCGTGCTGCTCCAGAACGGCATCGGCATCGAAGACGACCTGCAGGCCGCGCTTGCGAAGATCGACGCCCCGTCTGTGGTCATATCGGGGTGCTGCTGGGTGGACACCACTGCCCTCGACGGAGGCAGGCGAATCGAGCAGCACGGAAATCCGGAGAGACTCGTGCTCGGCTACCATCGCCCACACGGGGACTCTCCCAACCATGATGAGCAGATGGGCAGGCGCTCGCTTGACACCCTCTGTGGCCTCTTCCAGGCTGCTGGGGGAAATGCTGAAGCAGTCTCGGACATTGACATCGCACGATGGCGCAAGGTCCTCTGGTGCGTCCATTAGGCCACCCCACGCGTGCGTGGTGCTGATCATGAACTCTGGGACAGGAACGCATCGTTCTCCACCCTCTGCACGCTGACGCGCGCCCACGTTGGAGACGTCCTTGCGCTCGAGACCTCGCGCGCGGCGCTCAAGGACATCATGACCGAGGTGCTCACGGTCGCGCGCGCATCCCTCCCGCCTTCCAAGGAAGCAGACGATGTCCTCAACGATAACGTGGTCAATGAAGTCATCGAACATGAGGACCCCAAGTCTGTGTTCCGCCCCTCGATGCTGGTTGATCTGGACTATGGACGTCCGATGGAGGTCGAGGCGATCGTGGGAGGGGTCCTTCGGCGGGCGAAAGCCAAGAACGTACCGACGCCCAAGCTCGATCTCATCTATGCAGGGCTTTCGGTCATCCAGAGCAAGCTCATCAACAACCGGTCGTGATGTCCGCGGAAGGTGAGAATGGCCGGGCAGGAACGGACAGGGATAGGATTACACAGCATCAATCAAGAGGCGTTCGAGACGATGTACATTGACTTATTTCAGTGATAGCAGATGACGAAAACTTCCTACAGAGCACGACTTCTATTCTTACACGGTTGAGGCCACCACGCGCGCCTAAGCGTAGCAGAGGACACGGTACTCCTGCAGCGAGGTCTCAGCAAAGTTCACAAACGTTACTTGCGCATGACGTACCTTCTCCTCCTTCTCGGTGTTCGCGTAAGGAACGAAGGCGCCGTCGAGCCGGACGCTGCACTTCCCGGGCACGATGGCGCCGTGGTGGTGGGCCTGGGCGATGAACAGCGGAGTGCCATCTGCCTCGCGGCCACCTTCGACAGGGCGTGCGCCGAGGCGGTCGAGATCGACGCGGCCGCGCGTGTCGACCCAGCGGAGGGCACGCATGTCGCCTACGAGCACCTCAAACTTCGGCAGCTGGTGCGGCACACAAGACATTAGTACCCCAGGACATAGCCGGATCAAGCGACACCTCACATGAATCTCCTTGTGGCCGTAGCCAATGACGCCGCCCTTCTGGAAGATGTGGGACGCCTTGCCAATCTCTGGAGATGTGATCAGATAGTGAAGGGTGCGTGCGCATGTGTCGTAACTTACGGAGACTGCCCTGATCACGGAAGACTGGGGTCAGCGGCAAAGTTCGCAGTTACAAGAGTGCCGGCTCACATCGTGGAAACCGCGGCAGATGTAGTGCGGCTGGCCGTGCTCCTCTCCGCCGACGATGGCGATGTTGGTCGGGATGTTCTTGCCGTCGACGAGGATCCAGGTAGCAGGACCGCGGGGCCCACGCTCATAGTAATCGCGGGTGCGCTGCTCAGCCTCGTGAACCCAGTTCTGAAGGGCCCACACATTCGCCTTTTTCTGTACGCCGCACAAGAAGCGTCAGCAAGAGCTGCCAAGATGGGATAAAGTTGGGCACGGCACCACGACGCACCTCATCATCGCTCTTCTCATGTTCTTTGTATGCAAAGTATCCCGCGCCGAGCAGGCCAAGCCCGGCAAGAAGACCGCCGCCGACCTGACGTGCAGTGATGAGCACAAACGCCACCCGGAGCATGTGCGCGCCGTGTGCGCACCTCGATCTGCTTCTTGCGCTCGTCGCTGAGGCCGTCCCAGCCGGTCTTGCGCTCCTCCTCGTGGATGGGCACCTGCGACTGCGGCATCGGGTCGTAGTGCGGCTTCTCTGGGGCGCAGGCTGGACAAATATGTCATCATCAAGGCAATTGACATTACAGCGGTCGGGACGACATACGCTGCTGAGGAGGCTGCTGGTATCCGGGGTTGTAGCTACCTTCCTGGTGGTGCTCGTGGTGCTCTTCCTCGGGGAGGCGGCCCCAGAGAGCGGGGGTCGCGGGGGGCTCCCATCCAGACTGCATGGCGGTAAGTACAGATCATGGTAGCAAGTGGTCTCGCAGCGCGTACCTGCGACTGGTGAGCCTGGATGATTTTGTACTTGTGCCCTAGAAAGATTGAGGTATATAAGCTGGTATGTTATGCTGAATGGCGTGACGGTATTCACCTTCGTATTCGACGACGGAGCCAAGGTCGTACCAGGTGCCGGGTTCCCACATGTAAACCATGGTTGCTAGTGAGGTGAAGGTGTGTCTGAAGGTAAGCGCAGGAGACGAAGGTCTTATATACTGCGGTGGCTCTTGAAGGAATGCCGTGCAGCCGCCGAGTACCGCCATAGTGGCTGGGGTCGCCCGGCGGTGATGATCTGATTATGCTGAATAGGCAGCACACGTGTGGAGTTGTCGAGCTGCCGAGATGACTTCGAAACGTTGTTCACCTCTTCTTCGCCTGCTCTGATCTTCATGGCTCATAATGGCTCGGGGGATAGATGGAGAGAGTACGGGATTTGGTACGGCGGTGTGCTTGCACCAAAGCGAAGACTCGTACCGGTCCTCTGATGGTCCCCTGACCACAGCGTTCAACTATCTCCGGTGAAATGGAATCATAAAGACCCGAAGACTGGATCCTTAGCTCGTCAGTGCAATGCGTTCCTACCTCTTTCGTTTGCCTCTATACCACGCACTGGTACTGTAAGGATGATGATAGCGATGACGGCGCTATATAGCACCATTCCATTACCTATGAGAGATTCTGACCAGGTATAAGGAGATATGGTGGGGACCAAGAGAGACAGCTGCAGATACTCGGTAGCCGCAGAAACTCTTGTGCAAAGGTTCCCCGTGGGAATGTCGGACTTCTAATTGTACCCGGATCGGTTGCGGGCCGGGGGAGGTGAGTATAATGTCCTAATGCGGATAGACGGCGCGTAATGCGACTTTCAAGTTTTTGAGGATGTCCACCTCCTCACCTTGCACGTTCTCCCTCTACACTCGGGTCGACTGAGCAGCACTCCTGGTTGCTGCAGTACCCTCGGCTCATCATGGAGGACTCTTCCTTCATGGACCCCCTTCGTCTGGACCTCAACAGGCAGACCTCAAAATTGCTCGAGCAGCTCCCTCTCGAATACTCTGCTGCACTCAAAAATGCTTCGTCTCGCGCCGCTTTGCTTGATTTGCTCTCTGCTCTCCTTCTGATGCCGCAATACACTATGACCGTTGCAACGCTGTATAGACCTATCTTGGTGGACCTTTGTGCGAGATGGTTGCATCAGGACACAGACGGCCTGCTCAAGTTTGAAGCACTTTGTCTGCTCCTGGAGGTTCACTCGGAGCTTTACCCGTACGTGCTCATGATGACCTCTACCTTGTGCCAAACGCTCGGCTCCTGCTACCTTTCCCTACCCGTCGTGGTGGCGGAGCGTCGAGGACGTATTGTCAGGAACGTCCCTCCGTCTACCGCTGCGCCTACAAAAAGTCTCTTGTAGTCAGAAGGGGAAACGCGCATATGTCCTAGACGCTTATGCGGCTGCTATAGTGGGCTGTGGACACCGAGCGTTCATGCGCAAGACCGGTCCTCCATCGAAGTAAAATCTTATTGACGAGGTTTGAATAGAATCTTGTCCGCTCTCCTTCAAACTCCCGAGCTCAAGCATGGCCCCTTGAAACCGATGCTATCGCGATCGGTAGTGGACGCGGCCGATTTGCAGCCACTACAGCGCGTCTTGCTCGCGTACTATCGGCTTCTTCAAGCCAACCGGACGCTTCCCCGCACTCCTGGTTGGCCTCTCGCGCCCCTTGCGCAGCTCATTTCGACGCCGCACCCCGACAAGGGCGTAGTATCGCTAGCAATCAGGTGTTATGCCTTACATGCCGGCATGATGGAAGGCGAGCGCGTAAAGCTCGAGCAGAAGGCGGTCGGTGACGTCAAGGACGTTGACTGTCCTATGCAGTTCGGTGTGAACCTAGACGGGTCAGTGCGTATAATAGACGGATGGGTTCTCCCCATCCTCGAGGGAGAACGTGTCTCGCGTGCGAGGGATGCGCTCGCAGACGTTCAGGACTACTACTCGAACGACCAGAACAACTCCATAGAGCCTATTCATCCGGCTGAGCTGAGGTACGTACTCTCTGCTGCCTCGGATAGCTGTCGCTTAACAATTCCATTAGCTCTCTGGTCGTCAATATCCACGGTGTTCTGATGCTCCGTTCATCTTTGCCCCGTGATATTCCATCACACCTCATCGACACACCCACGACAGTGCAGGCATTACGCCAGATTGCGCTACACGTTTCCGACAAGCTGCCGGTGCTACTTACGTCGGCCCCTTCAGCGGGGAAGGCTCTACTTATTTCTCATCTGGCACAACTTCTTCACCCCGACGCCCGCAATCACATCGTCACTATACACCTTGCGGACACGTCTCTCGACCCGAGATCCTTGTTGGGCTCGTATGTGTCATCTCCCACGCGACCCGGAACATTTGAGTGGAAGGAGGGCGTACTCGTCCGCGCTATGCGCGAAGGGAAGTGGGTAGTATTCGAAGACATCGACCGCGCCACGATGGAGGTATTAGGCATTCTCAAACCCCTCGTTGAATCGCTTGGTGCAGACAAGTGGATCGGCGGAGCTGCACGGCTGGAAGTGCCGAGCCGCGGAACGGTGGAGGCGAAGGACACCTTCGCCATATTCGCGACGCGCTCCATGCAGCCCTCGCGCACGGGAGCCTTCCCTAGCCCTACCTTCTATGGCGCCCACAAGTTCTACGAGGTTGTTGTCAGTTCGCCCACTGGACACGACCTTCGGACGATCATCGACACCAAGTTTCCCCAGCTCTCTGGAATGCCGGCGCAGGGTCTCATCAACCTTTGGGAAGGCGTCCGATCTTTGGGGAGTCCAGCGTCCACCCGCGACGTTGGTCTCCGTGAGCTGGAGAGGCTTTGCATCCGAGTCAGCGGAGTGCTACCAGCTAGCTACCAGCAGATGGACGTTGACGTGGATCCCGCTCATCAAGCAGACTTGTCGCAGCTGTTCCCCAACCCCACTGTACGCGAGGACATCTTCCTGGAAGCCCGCGACGTCTTCTTTGGTGCCGGTGCCACCACAGCCGCCGGGCGCGCTCACCTTACAACGGTCGCGCAACTGGTGGCTACCCATCTTGGTCTCTCCAACGAGCGGAAGGACTGGATCATGCACAACCGAACTCCGGAGTTCGAGGTGGACAAGGACGTAAACGGACGCATCACTGCCGTGAGTGCAGGCAGGACGCGGCTTCCCGCGCGCACAGCGAAGGTCGAGATCGCGCCTCCAGTAACGCGCCCGTTCGCCATGCACAGACCCGCGATGTCTTTGATGGCCCGGATCGCCACCGCCGTCTCGCTCGCGGAGCCCATCCTGCTCACGGGCGAGACCGGTACGGGAAAGACGAGCGTCGTGACGCACCTCGCGTCGCTCCTTCGGCGTCCACTCATCTCGCTCAACCTGTCGAACCAGACCGAGTCTTCGGATATCCTCGGCGGGTTCAAGCCCGTAGACGCGCGCATTCCGGGCGCGGAGCTCCAGCAGCGGTTCTTGGACTTGTTCGGCGGGACGTTCAGCCGGAAGAAGAACGCGCATTTCGAGGAGTCTGTGAGGAAGGCGGTGCAGGAGCGCAAGTGGCGCCGTGCCGCTGGGCTGTGGCAGGAGGCGACGAAGATGGCGAGGGGCCGTATTCAGGCCAAGCAAGCTGAAGAAGACGCGTACGTTCTGTCACTTTCTGACTTACATGCAACGTACTCATTGATATCTACAGGAAGGAGCTCGAAGGGAGTATCTCACGCAAGCGGAGAAAGGTCGAGGGACTGGGTTTGAAGGTGTCGCAAGAGGCGTGGGAGGCGTTTGAACGCGACGTTCAGACGTTCGAGGTGCAGCACGTGCATGGCAAGGGCAAGTTCGCGTTCGCTTTCGTCGAAGGACCATTGGTAAAGGCTTTGCGCAACGGGGACTGGTAAGCTACCAATTACAGCGCTCACCTAGGGCGGATCAAGCTGACTTATAACCTCGCTCAGGATACTACTCGATGAGGTGAACCTGGCTACTCCCGAAACTTTGGAGTCCATCTCGGGTCTTCTCCACGGGCCAACTGCCTCTATCACATTGACGGAGCAGGGGTCTCTCGAGCCCATCCCTCGCCATCCCGATTTCCGCCTGTTCGCTTGCATGAATCCTGCGACCGACGTCGGCAAGAAGGACCTCCCTCCAAATATCCGCTCACGGTTCACGGAGATCGACGTCCCTCCCCCAGACGCTGACCGGGAAACGCTGCTCACGATCGTCGCGCAGTACATTGGCGCGAGTGCCGTCGGCGACAAGGGCGCGATCATGGACATCGCGGAGTTCTACACCGCGGTGAAGCGGCTTGCGGACGAGCGTCAGATTGCAGACGGCGCCAACCACCGCCCGCACTTCAGCATGCGTACCCTCGCCCGTGCTCTGACTTTTGCTGCGGACATGGCACCCGCGTACTCGCTGCGGAGGGCGTTGTGGGAGGGCTGTCTTATGGCTTTCACGATGGTCTTGGATGGCCCCAGCGCGACTGCAGTGACCGCGTTGGCTCAGAAGCATATCCTTGCCGGTGTCCGGAATCCTCGTTCGCTCTTGGCTAGGCAACCCATTCCTCCCGGTGATACAGCTGCTTTCATCAAGTTCGGGCCTTTCTACCTCGAGAGAGGACCCTGGCCCGAGGACCCTGCGGAGGACTACATCATGACACCCTCTGTTGAGACGAAGCTCATTGACCTCGCCCGCATCATCGCTGCGAAACGATTCCCTGTCTTGATCGAAGGTCCTACATCGAGTGGCAAGACGAGCTCTATCGAGTACCTCGCCAAACGGACCGGTCATAGGTTCGTGCGGATCAACAACCACGAGCACACCGACATCCAGGAGTACATCGGGACGTACGTGTCCGATCCGATCACCGGGAAGCTTGTCTTCAAAGAAGGCCTCCTTGTGCGGGCGCTGCGTCAGGGTGATTGGATCGTGCTAGACGAGCTGAACCTCGCGCCGACGGACGTTCTCGAAGCTCTGAACCGGCTCCTCGACGACAACCGGGAGCTCGTCATTCCAGAAACGCAGGAGGTCGTACGCCCCCATCCTCACTTCATGCTCTTTGCCACCCAGAACCCTCCCGGTCTCTACGCTGGTCGCAAGGTTCTCTCTCGGGCTTTCCGGAACCGTTTCCTCGAGGTTCACTTCGAGGATGTACCGCAGGCTGAGCTGGAGACGATCTTGTGCCAGCGCTGTCGTATCGCTCCCTCGTATGGCCAGCGCATCGTCGCTGTCTTCCGCGAGCTGCAGAAACGCCGGCAGTCTGGCAGAGTCTTCGAGAGCAAACAAGGCTTTGCTACCCTGCGCGATCTGTTCCGGTGGGCGGGCCGCGATGCGATGAGCTACGACGAACTGGCAGCGAATGGCTACATGCTGCTCGCTGAACGGGCGCGCCGCGACGACGACAAGGTTGTGGTCAAGGAGGTCATCGAGTCCATCATGAAGGTCCGCATCGACGAGTCAGCTCTGTATGACATGCGGAATCCTAGCTTCGACGCTGCCGCCTTCTTGGGATGCCCCCTTCCGTCGTCTTCGCAGGTTGTCTGGACCTCGGCTATGCAACGCCTATTCGTACTCGTCGCACGTGCCCTCCGGTTCAACGAGCCTGTTCTGCTCGTTGGAGAGACCGGCTGCGGGAAGACGTCCGTCTGCCAGCTATATGCGGAGGTCCTCGATCGCACCCTTCGTTCAGTAAACTGTCACCAGAACACCGAGACCGCGGACCTCATCGGAGGGTTGCGCCCCATCCGGAACAAGGCGGTCATCGAGGCTGAGGCAATCCGGGAGGCGGTCACCGCGGTCTCGCAGTTTGGTACCACTGTTGCTGCAGAGGATGCGGCGGCTGTTACGGCAGCTATTGACAGTCTGTTCAAGGCGGGGGCTGTCCCGGCGTCGCAAGAAGGCGCTCTGCGGGACCTGCGTGCACGTTTGCAGCGCCTGTCCGCCATGTTCGAGTGGCGCGACGGTCCCCTCGTGGAAGCAATGCGTCAGGGCGACGTCTTCCTCTTGGACGAGATCTCTCTAGCAGACGACTCTGTGCTCGAGCGTCTTAACAGTGTTCTCGAGACTGGCCGCACCATCGTCCTCGCGGAGCGCGGCGGTGACGACGAGGAGATCCCCGCGATCAAGGCAGCGGACAGCTTCAAGTTCGTGGCCACCATGAACCCGGGTGGTGACTACGGCAAGAAGGAACTTTCGCCTGCTCTGCGCAACCGCTTCACGGAAATCTGGGTCCCTGCGATCACCGATCGTCGAGATCTCGAGTGTATCGTCGACGCACTGTGGCAGCACGAGGAGCTGAGGGGCTACACAAAGCCTCTCCTCGATTTCGTGGAGTGGCTTTGCTCAGCTGTTGGGGACCGCGCCTTCGCCAATCTGCGCGATATCCTAGTAAGTAGCGCGCTCTACAGTCTGATCGATGTATTCTAACGGTGCGGCTCAGGCGTGGGTGTCCTTCTCGAACGCGGCGGTCTCTCGCAACGCCGGCAGCCTATCTCCCAACGCAGTCTTCGTGAGTGGATATCATTTCAAACAGCTACACCCAATACTAACAAGACCTAGCATCATGCCGCGGAGATGACCTTCTTGGATGGCCTTGGATCTATGCCCCAATTAGCGTCATATTCGAAGGAAGCCCTTGCACGCTTCAAGTCGGAAGCGTCTGCCATAGTGCATTCTCTCGTGCCGCTTCCCTCCAGCTCCAACGACCCCCAGGTCCTCTCTTACGACCCTACAGGCATTCGGTTCGGAACCTTCTCGATCCCTTCTGGACCCTTGGAGCCTACCTCGCATAGCTTCAGTCTTGAGGCGCCGACAACGCGCGATAACGTTATGCGGGTCGTACGGGCGTGCCAGCTGCCGAAGCCCATCATGCTGGAGGGCAGTCCTGGCGTTGGGAAGACAAGTCTCGTCGCCGCTCTAGCCAACATGTGTGGCCATCATCTGTGCCGTATCAACCTCTCCGACCAAACCGATCTTGTTGATCTGTTCGGCTCGGACCTGCCAGTCGAGGGAGGCGAACCAGGACAGTTCTCATGGAAGGACGCGGAGTTCTTGCGCGCCCTGCAGGAGGGCCACTGGGTTCTCTTAGACGAGATGAACCTGGCACCACAATCTGTTTTGGAGGGGCTGAACGCCGTCCTCGACCACCGTGGCACGGTCTACATCCCGGAGCTCGGCCGATCCTTCGTTCGTCACCCGTCCTTCCGCATTTTCGCGGCACAGAATCCCCTTCATCAAGGTGGAGGCCGGAAAGGCTTGCCCAAGTCTTTCCTCAACCGTTTCACCAAGGTCTACGTCCACGAGATGTCATCTGCGGACCTGCTCCTCATCTGTCGGAACCTCTTCCCGAACTATCCTTCCGATCTCCTGGAGAAGATGATCGCATACATGAACGTATTGAATGAGGAGACCATGGTCAAGCGGTCGTTCGCCCGAGAAGGGGCACCTTGGGAGTTCAATCTTCGGGATGTTATCAGGTGGACCACACTGCTATGCGATTCCGATTCGCCCGCGCATCCGTCTCGGTACCTATCTTCGACCATACTCCAGCGATTCAGGACACTGGAGGACCGCGCCCACGCGCGCAAGCTCTTCTCCGACATTTTCTCTGAGCAATACGACGTCGATCGCCCTCCTATCACTATCACCCCGTCCCATCTTCAGGTAGGACACCATCGTTCGAGGCGGACAGGCCGTCTTTCCACCTCCCGCAGCGGGCGTATCCTTCAAGAGTCTCTTCCAGCTCTGGAGTCACTAGGAACTTGTATCTCTCACGGGTGGTTGGCGATCTTGACCGGACCCAAGAATAGCGGCAAGACCACACTCGTAAGGACGATGGCGAACATATTGGGTAGGACGCTCCATGAAGTGCCGGTTAACAACGCCACGGACGCAACCGACATCCTGGGTAGCTTCGAAGAGACCGATCTGGGCTATCACATCGCTGGTGCTGTTCGCGTCGTCCTAGACATCCTCGACGACGTTTCGTGTTCCGATCTCGGACCTCAAGTCCAGCTATTCTCCAACTACGCGACGTTGCTGCAGGATGTATCCCACAAAACGTCCCAAGCAACGCTTCCAGGGATTGTCGACGCCCTTTCTCACGTTCTGGATACCCTCTCCTCTCTTCCAGAGCCGTACGAGAGTCGCTGCCTGGAGGCTCGCACAGAAGTCCAGCAATTCACACAAGGTAGTCATACCGCGGGCCGCCTCGAATGGGTTGACGGGCCTCTAGTCCGTGCTATCAAGGAGGGCAGCTGGCTACTACTCGATGGCGCCAACCTCTGTAACGCGTCTGTCTTGGATCGTCTGAACTCCCTCTGTGAGATGGGTGGATCACTGACGTTGAATGAGCGCGGCGCCGTCAACGGGGAAGTCCAAGTTCTACGACCTCATCCCGACTTCCGCCTCTTCATGTGTGCCGACAGCCAGTATGGAGAACTCTCGAGAGCTATGCGGAACCGTGGAGTCGAGATTGCTCTGACACCTTCTCTCAGCGCGGAAGACCACGGGCGTATCATCGACCATGTTCGCTGCTCTGTCAGGCCCGTCTCTCTGTCCATCGATCACAGGTCCCTGGTCGCTTCGCACTCTCGTGTCCGCCGCGGTCTGTGCGAGCCACCTGCGTCTCCCCTTGGACCTGTTACCTGGCGTTCTGATCGACTGTTGACTGGCGACTCGACGAATGCGCACGCTGCCGATCTAGGAATATCGTGGATGACTGCTTCGGACACGACGTCCTCAAGTCGATCGAGCCTATACTTCATGGCGGCGAACATGATACCGGATGCTCTGACGTACTTGTCCCGGCTTCTCCCCTACTGCAATCGTCCTTCCTCAACGATGCCACCCAACCTTCGCGCTTTCTTGGGCATGATAGAGTGTAGTGACGTATACCGTACTATCGTTCAAATGCGGAAGAATATCAGTCACTCATCCCAAACACCGTGTGATGTGTTACTCGCCCAGGTGAGTGGTGCACATTAAGGTGAGTGGTCGATGATACTCATGTTATATTGTAAGCCGCTCTACGCCGACACAACTCTCGCGTTGTTTTCCGAGCCCAATGGCACTCTCCCGCTGCAATATCTCCGCTTGTTCGCTGCGACGACCTCGGACTATGATAGTCATGCCTATGCTGAGTACCCATCAGTACTCGGTCGTGCTAAGGAATCAGATGAGCTCCGCCCTGAAAAGAAGGCAGCGGTCAGTGCACAGGCATTAGTGCAGACTATCAAGGCGTCGTCAGCCGCCTTCTTGGAACGATCAGATCTCATCTCCGGACCTGCGGTAAGTGTTCTTTATGATTCGATTGCGACTCTACTCAAGTGTTACTGGTTCAGGATGTCGACGCCATGGTGAAAATTGTGGCCTTCGGACGCTACCTACAAGGTGCCGCGCGAGTCGAAGGGACGTTCGATTTTTCCCTGGCTTTCGCGGTCATCGAGTGGATTGAACAAGCCATCAACGCACGCCATCCCACATCGGAAGTCTTTGTTGATGTCTCCCGTGGAGTCACTAGGGCAAAAGAGGTCGTCTCACTCTCAACTGGGATTGGTTTGATCAGCATATGGAGGAGACTGTGGCCTAGACGCGTTGCAACATCGAATGGGGAGCATGTGGCGGAGCTGGAGAGTGCGGATCGTCGTCTATCCGGTGCCGTACTGGACACCAGTGAGTTGATTTTACTCGCAGACGTCGCATTCGTACTTAACCTATCCAGAACGACGGGTACAAACGTTAGATTTGATGTCGCTGTGGACACTCTCCAATGTCCAAGACGGAGACAGGGACAGGCTTCTCGAGCTGACCGCACAGGTAGCGCAGGTAAGTCTCTCTGTCACTTAGCATGCAGAGATGTTCATAGGTCCCTTCACAGCGCCTGTCAGAAGTGAGCGATAGTGCAGAGCCTGTTCCTCCCGAGATGGACCTCCTCCATATCTGCGTGCGGCTACGGGCGCTGTACGCCATATCAATAAACCACACCACATCCAAACCTGTACGATCGCGATTTTCTGACTAGTACCGGATATAACTGATGTCTGTGTAGGTTGTTGACGATCTCCTCGACCTCAGCTGTTCTAGTGTTGCGGTTTCACTGGCGCAACTAGTACCTTACAAACAGTTGTCATGGGCTTCAGATGCTGGCGAAGGTGAGGATATGTGCTATTTCCTCAGATTAATACTGAAGATATGTTAGGTGTCACGCCGCTTTACATGCAACTCCTGAAGGAATGGCTAGGCGATGTCTGGTACGCGTCCTCGACCGCCGAGGTAGGTACCCTAACCAATTTCAAGTATTCTTCACTAACGGGTAAATTCTAGCTGTCGGGGCCGTCTACTTTGTGCCATCCCCTCGAGCTCTCACAAACCGTCCTTTCATGGTGAGTGGCTTCTGTCCCTTCGTTCACACATATACTAAGACACTCCTAGTGATGAGTCGCTCAGACCTCTCAACAAGCTCGCAGAGTATGAACTTTCGTTGTGTCGCCGCCTGACAGTCCTGTCGGGACCCCTCATGGGGAATGTCTCCCGGCTGTCTCAACTATTGAACCTCATGGCACGTACGGCACTTTTGGTAAGCATCGTCGATGGTTTGAGCCGAATCCTGGTGCTGAATGAACTGCAGATCGGGTCATCATTAACACTCGGTAATAGCATCGCGGCGGACCCATGGCAGCACACCAACTACGATATCTCGGTGGCTAACGTCGTCGCGGTGCTTGACACCATGGAAGACCCGAAGGTCTTGCAAGCTTATCACAAACACTTGCGTGCGCCCCTGCTAGCGCTGGCCGATCCGATGGACACATCGTACCAGGCCTTGGGACATGGTTGGATCGGGCTCTCGAGGTTCCTCCTCGAGCTCTACGTTCCCGATATACCAATCGACCCTGCTGCCATCCAGCAATGCTCCTCTCAGTTCTGGAGCGAGCAGCGATCTCTACTCCAAGGAGAGTTGACTTTGCACAAGGAGTACGAGGGTCGAACAGTTGGAAGACGTGACAACTTGGCGATCAGGTACCTGTCGCAGGAACTGCTTACTGCCGCAGCACGCGTCACTGAGGAAACGGATTCCGGCTCTGGACGGACGGATACGATCAAGCTGCACGCATACTGGACGGAGGTGACACAATTCCTGGGACACGCGGCGTCGCCATCCAAGACCGATGCCATCGTCTTTTCTCTGGAGTCTGGGGAGCCGTCTGCGCTCATGAGAGAGAAGATGATCCAGGACTCAACGGCCGCATTCTCACAACGACTCGACAGCGTCTACCCTGACTTTTCCGACATCAACGGTCCCTTGCAGGTCGCTTTGCTACAGCAGCGACTAGGCCTGCGTCTCATCGCTGACGCGAGCGCCGCATCTCGGGAGGACCAAGAGGCGCATCGTGTCGGGGAGGCGTTGGTCGTCTTCCCCTCTGTGCAAGGTTCCGAGCTGCTTCGACACGATGCACAGTCGTCGACAACCTCGTTCTCGCTTGTGCTGTCCAGGCTGGCCGCTACCGCATCAGACGTCGCATCGGGCGTCGAGCTTCAGTCTTGCTTACCTGAGCTGGAGATGATCTACGAACAGTCTCTTGGTCTGTGGCTTATCGACAAGACGAGAACGGAGGAAGCGGAACGAGAGGCGCAGTCCCTTTACCGGCACAAAACAGAGATCAACGCTCCCGCAACCGAAGCTGAGATCGAGGAACAGGAGTTCTTGGCTCTCTTCCCTGAGTATGAAGATCTTCTGGACCCCGATGCGACTCCTTCCTCCACCCAGCCGCGGCGGAAGTCAAGCGCTCTCGTCGAAGCAGACGCCGTCAAGCGACTCTGCTCCCTTCATCAGTGCCTCTTCGAGTCCGACGCCACTTCTTCAACGCTGCCCTACGCCCTTGCCGGGTACAGAGACATCCGAAGGACTCTTGTACAGGAGCTCCTTGCTGCCCAAGCATCTAGCCTACCAGAGACCCTCGATCTGCTTAGCCGACCCTACCAGATTTCGTTGCTCCTCACTCGATTATCGAAACTGCACAGCGCCCCTTCAACGGTTACGAAGCCTTACAACTTCTACGTCGACTCCAATGTCCTCGAGATCAACAAGGGTCTCGATGTCCTACGCAAGATGGTCGCGCGGCTTGTCGCTCTCATCACAGAGTGGCCAGAGCAGATGGTCCTGCAGCATCTCAAGGCGCGATGCGACGCGATCCTGACCCTCGACATTCTCAGCCCCGTCGCAAAGGTCCTTTCCGCTATCGAGCAGCTGTTGCTTCAAATGGAGGATTGGGAGATGTTCGCGAACAGGGAGAACTCGCTCAGGGCCTATCAGCACGACCTTGCGTCTGTTGTAGTCTCGTGGCGCCGTTTGGAACTGACGTCCTGGCAGGGACTGCTCCGTACGCAGGCCCACGAGTTTGCTGAGGGCGCTTCCGAGTACTGGTTCCGGCTCTACGAGGCAACCATCCGAGGAGTCGCAACGGCGGTCCAGGAGGAAGAAAACGGCGAAACCGGATCCCTCGCGAAGTACTTGGAAGGGCTCGTTCCCCTGCTCGACACCTTCATGAACTCTACCCCTCTTGGCCAATACACGCAACGGCTTCGCTATCTCCAGGCGTTCGAGAACTATTGCGCTCACCACAGCTCGTTCCAGACAGGGCCCCTCTCTCCGGCCTTCCAGCGCGCGCATCGTGTTCTTCGTTTCACTAGAGTGTACTACCTTCAGTTCGTTCCGCGCGTCTCTTCGTCTCTTGCGACTCAGCAAGAAGCGCTGGAGAAGGAGATCCGAGGCTTCATCAAGCTCGCCAGCTGGAAGGACATCAATGTACACGCGCTCAAGCAGAGTGCGCAGAAGACGCATCGGCAGCTCTACAATCGCGTCCGGAAATTTAGGGAGATCCTGCGCCAATCGGTCACATCTCTTTTGGTCCCACCAACGGCGGGCACCGAGGAATCAACATCTGTTTCGCATGCAGAGCCACTGCGTCTCGCGGACGGAGTTCCCGTGCTGCCTCCCTTCTCATACCTCTCTAGTCAACCAGACCACCTCACCAACCTCGAACGGACGTTCCGGAACTACCAATCCGTCGTTCAAGGCCGCGTCAGCTCTCTCATCAGCTCCCTCTCCCCCGTCGACGTTGAGGACATCTCGTCTGAGATTATCACCACGTTGCAGAGCCTAGCTTCTTCCTGTGTTCCTGCCAAGGTCACGGGCGAGCAACGTACCAAAGCTTACAAGGCTCTGCTCGTGCGGAAGAGGAAGGCATGGAGCGACTTGCTCAAGGAGCTCAAGCGCATCGGTCTAGCGACCAACGTCAAGCCGGAGGTTCTCGAACAGCAGGGCAACCCGCGCTGGCTGAGGGAGCAACCGGTCGTCACAGACCTGCGCTCTTCTCTGCCAGCTTTCGACAAGAGCGAGACGTACATGCTCCGTTTGTCCAAGCTCCTCCCCGATCTGCGCGCCTCCCTGGTAGACCACAACCCTGACATCGGGACACGTGAGCTGCAGCGGGGCACGAGCTTGGTGCAATCTGCATTCTCCCTCGCGGTAGAGGTGCGAGCAAGGTATGTTCTTCGTCCACCCTATATTCACCGCAGTGCGCTCATGACTACCCTCAGCTTTGTCGACGCGACAGATCAGTATGTTCAGCTGCAGAACGTTGCGAAGCGCTTGCACATGGTCTCTCAGCACCCTCGTGTCATCGCATCCGGGTCGGACATGCAGATCCGTGCTATCCGTATCAAAGAGGACCTCGGCAGGCTCATCAATGCCCTCGAAGAAACTCACACGTCCTGGAACCAGTACTTGGAGCAGCTCCCGGAAACCGCCGCGCTACCGACCACTGTGCGCGAACTGCAGTCCGCCATTGCGTCCTCCAAAGCGTTGTTCAGCCGCGTAGTAGATGTGCTGGCCAAGCTCAAACTTACCGCCATGCCCATTCTACTTGAAGGTACGTGAATTTATCGTCAGCGTGGGGGTGATCTGACTGATGATACCTATGAACAGACGAGGCCGCCGTACTCGAGCAAGCCCTTGATCACGTACGCACCGTGGAGCAACTACTACGGGGATGGACGGAAGGTCCCAACATCGTCGCGTTGTTCACCAAGCCCGTACTCGAGTGGCTGCAGCAGCGTAAGGCGTTCTCCCACGGACAATTCCAGCAGACCTCGCACAGCACAGCGGCGGACAACACAGGCGTCCTCATCGAACGCCTCCTACTGTGCGCGCAAGGCATTCTCGCGATTCCGCCCCCTCCGCCCAAGGACGAGGAGGACATGGATGAGACGCGGGATCGCTTCCTCCGGGACTACAACCGCCTCATCATGCAGGTCACGCGCGCGCTCAAGCTTGACGACGTCGCGTTCCTCCTCGCCTCTGTAGTCGAGGCCGCGGTCCTCGCGCCCCCAGCGGAGCTCGGCGCACGTCTCGCACGTGTCCTGCCGTTCCTCGATACCTACCTTGAGCTCGCGCGCGTGCAGCTCACGAACCACTGCGCGTGGACGAAGGCGTTGTTCAAGTTCGACTATGTCGTCTGCACGGTGATGCGCACGGTCGCACAGGACGGCTTCTGCAAGCCGCCCGACGCGGACCAAGGGGACGCGAACGAAGGCGCCATGGAGGACGCTGGTGGAGTCGGTCTCGGCGAGGGCTCTGGCAAGGAAAACGTGAGCAAGGAGATCGAAGACGAAAGCCAGGTGGAGGGGCTGCAGAACGAGGCGGGAGAAGACGAAGACGAGGACGTGGAACGCGCGGAAGAAGGGAACGCGCTAGAGATGAGCGAGGACATCGGCGGGAAAATGCAGGACGTGGAGGAATCTGAAGGCGAAGACGAGGAGAAAGAAGACGACGGCGGGGAAAGCGACGAAGAACCGGAGGAACAGCTCGGCGATCTCGACGCCACTGATCCGTCGGCGGTGGACGAGAAGCTGTGGGGTGAGGAGAGTGGCCCAGAGGACGAAAAGCAAGACAGCGGGAAGAATGCGGACGACCACTCGACACAGAAGAAGGAATCCGAGACGGTAGCGAAAGAAGACGAAGGAAATCAGACATCGAAGGAGAAGGAGAAGGAACAGGCGCCCGAGCAGGAGAAAGAGGGGCACGAAGATGAGGGAGAGGAGCTCCCTGAAGACGCAGCGCAAGATGAGGCGATGGATGAGGAAACGCAAGATCAGCAGGACGGGGCACCGCTCGACGACTTCGTGCCGGAAGCGAACACCTTGGACCTTCCCGAGGACTTGGACTTCAGCAAGGACGGCAAGGAACCCGAGTTGGATGAGGACATCGACATGGGCGAGGACGAGGGCGGAGAAGAGGCTGATGGGCCCGAAGAGGAGAAGCCGGGTGAGGGAGTCGACGAAGGCGCAGAAGAAGACGACACCATGGACGTGGAGGACAACCCTCAAGCGGTGCCAGAGGACGTTCCGCAGCCAGAGAACAGCACGGAAGACACCGTGGACGGTGCAACGGCACAACCTGACCTTCATGCGGGAACCGGACAAGATAGCGGCGATGCTGGAGAACAAGCCATGGCAGACGCAAACGAAGGCCAGGGCGGCAAAGGTCCGTCATCGTCGGGTGAGACGGGTGGTCAAGAGGAACTCGACGAGAAGGAGAGCGATGCGCAGGATGCTACTGCACAAGAAGAGCATTCCCAGGAACAGTAAGCACCCAGTCCTCAAAATTGGAAGGGCCTCCACTAACCGACTCTTCATTAGGAATGCTGAGGCTGCCGCTGCTGCATCTGAGGTTATAGAAGAGGGCAAGGACACCACTGGCTCCGCGCGCTCCCGTCAAGGAGCAGCCCTCACGCAAGCCAAGTCTCAACCTATGCAGAGCAACCCGCTTCGGAGTCTTGGAGACGCACTTCGGGAGATCAGCCAGCGCATGGATGAGATCCTGGAGAGCGATGGACCTCAGGAGCAGCCGGACCAACAAATGGACACCACAGGCGCCTCGCAGCTCGAGTACCTCCGCCCCGAAACGGAGCAAATAGCCGACGAGATGCAAGCCCTTGGTCCCGCGCAGCAGGAGGATGTCGCCAAGCTCAACGAGCTCAAGTTCCTTGACGAGGACGCCCAGCCTACGGAAGGTGCCCCTCCCATGGACGAGGACCCCTCAGAGGGCGTTCCGGAATCTTCGTCACATCCTCTTCAATCCGCCCTCCACGCCGAACCCACCTCTCACACTCACGGAGACGACGTCAAAAGCGCGCTCACCCAAGCCGAGATTCGCTCCCAGCAGCCCGCACAACCCGCCGTCGACGCCGTACCGTCCGACGCAGTAGTCCCTACCGAAGACGAAGAGCAGGGGGCCCAACACAAGGTCGAGGCCGCGCTGCGCCAATGGCAGGCCGACGGCCAGCCGTCCGCCCAGTCCGAAGAGATCTGGCGCGCGTACGAGTCGCTCACGCACGACCTCGCGTACGCGCTCTGCGAGCAGCTGCGGCTCATCCTCGAGCCGACGATGGCGACGCGCCTGCGCGGCGACTACCGCACGGGGAAGCGCCTAAACATGAAGAAGATCATCCCGTACATCGCGTCCGAGTTCACGAAGGACAAGATCTGGCTGCGCCGCACGCGCCCGAGCACGCGCGAGTACCAGGTGCTCGTCGCGCTCGACGACTCGCGGTCCATGGCGGAGTCGCACTCCGTGCACCTCGCGCTGCAGACGCTGGCGCTCGTCGCGAAGGCGCTCGGCACGCTCGAGGTTGGAGACGTCGCGCTCGCACGCTTCGGCGAAGGGGTCGACGTTCTACACCCCTTCGACGCGGGGCCGTTCAGCGACCAGGCGGGGGCCCGCGTCATGCGCGCGTTCCGCTTCGACCAGAAGGCGACGCAGGTCCTCTCGCTCCTCGAGACGAGCCTTACGTTGCTCGAGCAGGCACGCGAGCGGCGGGCCACGAGCTCGTCCTCCGCGGCGGACCTGTGGCAGCTCGAGATCATCATCTCCGACGGCATATGCCAGGACCACGAGCGGCTGCGGACCGTGCTCCGGCGCGCGGAGGAGCAGCGGGTGATGGTCGTGTTCATCGTGCTCGACTCGCTGCATGCGAAGGGCGCGGCAGCTGGCGGCGCGGGTGGTGTGGGCGAGAACTCGATCCTATCGATGAACCAGGTGGCGTACAAGATGGTGGACGGGCGGATGGACCTGCAGGTCGAGCGGTACCTCGACACGTTCCCGTTCGAGTACTACGTGGTGTTGCGGAACGTGGAGGCGCTGCCGGACGTGCTCGCGGGCACGCTGAAGCAGTTCTTCGAGCGGGTCGCGGAGGCGTAGTGGTTACGTTGAATACAGTTTGCAAAAGTATGTTCCGAGTATATGTTGTATGTATAATGCATGTTCTTGAATCTTGACCCTCGATCACGACCCTCAACGTGTCTTCAAATTTGGGCTCGTACATATGGCAAATAGGAAGGAAATGGTGTTAGACTTCGGATTTGAAAATCTGGCCAGGGAGCGAGGGCCGCCTGCCAGTGCGCCCTGGCGCATGCGGTACGACTGCAACATCCGTCGGGATTTCTGAAGCTTAGTGTAGGAAACATACGCGAGCCGCCCATGTAGCCCGCGCATCCACCACTCCTCGGTGGGAATTTTTCTTCGGAAGACATCGGCAGCCCGGTGCATCACGCCCTGGGAACCATCGCATTGTAAGTGAACGAGTATGCAGTACACACCCTGTTTAATAGTTTAGAAGCCAATCCCCTACGTATTCACAGTTTGTCCCATGAAGTAGGGTTGTCTCAAGGAATGGCCCATGCCTGCACTGATTCGTTTGCTTCCGTACCACGAAGCTACAAATGTGACAAACAGATTGTCACCTGTTTTACCTCTCGACGACTTGATTCATTGCTTGCTCCAACAAAAGTATATTCCCAGTGTGCGGTACGCGATACATGGATTTGACTGAGATGTCCGACAGCGGAACGAGCCACACGCAGAGCGGAGTCCACCCGAAGGCGAGCGGGCTGCGCGGGTCAAAGGTGCTTCGTGAATCGCTATATCGAGCAATAATAGGTCAGCGCTGTGAGAGGTGTTGCAGCGTCGACCTGCCCTTGGTCCGCGCCAACCCGGAGGAAGTCGCGGACCGGTGCTCGAATGTAAGTAAGTTGGTTCAACTCTGCGGATGGTTTGAGCAGTCATGGAAGAACGCCGGCCACCACACGCTGGCCCTGGTGACTGTGTTCATTCCTGGCCGGGCGCTCGGCCACTCATAGGGAAGACGGTAGGGATGCACAGATATTGATGTTCTGAGGGTGCGGCGCTGCCTCAGATGTCAGCATGCATCTTTAGCAGGATATCGGACGTCGAGAGATGTCAGAACAGCACTGTATACGTATACGATGATCAAGAACTGTGCAGGGCTTGGCAGAAGTGTGAACGAAACAGAAGATGACGGTAGAAAGCAAGAACGTTGCCAGCGCTAGGCGCCTGTATGCTCGCCGGAAGAGATGGGCGCCTGTGATGTGTCCCTCGAACTTCCTTCCACCTCGTGAGGTGTTGTAAACGCCTACTCCAGCAATTCATGAAGCAACGCCGTAAGTACATGCTGATCGAACGTTCTCCTGCACAGGTCCTCCCCTGCGTGCCTTGCAACCACGTCCGGACATCCACCCTGGAGACATGCCGGCGCCGAAGCACCCGTCGACGCCGTAACGCGAACGTTAACAGTACAAGGACGACGCCAAATCCACGCGGTCGCCATCTTCGAAGCATCCGCCATCGCACAGTCTGCGTATCTGCGTATACTAGGGTTCTGTGAGTAAAGCCCGACTAAGTTACACTGTGAGAAAGTCGTGTTATCAACATGGTGTTCGGGAGGGGGTGATTTTGGTGTGTGTAAAAGTGTGATTAATGCGCACACCATCGGGGGGCTGTTAGACCCTCGGACAGCTTTTTCTCGATATCGACTGCGTCGTAGGCTCGAAATCCGCACAGAAGAGAAATGCTTTGAGTCAGAACGGCGTGCGCATGCATATGCGCACGCCGCTCTGACCCTCGAGGATCGGGAACGACGACGGGCACCTTGCTCTTCATGTTAAAAACACCCAGACCTTTACTCACATTGTGATTAAGGCTTTATTCACGTGTTATAAACACTTTGTCATAGAATGTGAATAACATGCTAATAACACCTGTTAAAAAGTCGTCCGAGGGCCCACGAGGGCCAAATGTTAATAACATTTGTGAGAAAGTGTCCCGGGACTTTCTCACAGAACCCTAGCGCCGTATACTTAGGCTTAGGGCAACCCCCAAGCCCGGCATGGCCGCATCCCCGGACGCAGACTGCCTGTGTCGGGATCGTGGCACATGCGCAGCCGCGACGGTCAGAGAAACAGTACGCCCCCCATCCACCTTCTCCTAGATGTTACCCAGATGTCCTCCTCCGCGCCCTTGGCGCTCTCACAACCATCTCCGGCTACCAGAACAATTCCGTCCTGTACACCATACATAGCTAGGACGCGCTGCGCAGTGCTATCCGCTTGCGAGCAGAGCTCAGGCTCCCAGGGCTCGCGTGCTGCGCACCATGCCCAGCTTTTATGAAGCGACATATATGGACGCGTCCTCCCTCGTCCGCCCCGCTATACGTCCCGGGCAATTGCACGTCATGTATCGTGCAGGTCGAGCACATCCACGCGCTGCGCCGCGTTCTCAGGCGTCCTCGCTGTCTTCCTCGTCAGTTTGTCTGATTGACGGCTTCTCCCACCCCACCGTCCGCCCGGGGACAGCGTCCCAGTGTCATCTCGTCAATGCAGCACAGCACGGGCGTGTGCACACGCACACGCCATTAATGCGCCCCCGCGTTCCCTGATATCGGAATCGGTGCCCAGCACGGACATTATCCCTGCTGCGTCCTGCATCACGCGGATCACGGTGACAGCGTAGGTTCGACTCTCGGAAAACTTCGCTGCTCGCCCGCGCGCCCGCGCCGCGGACTCCTGCGCCTGGTGCCCCCGATTTGCAAGGTTCACTATAGCTGCGTTGTGGTTGTGCGTTGTGCGGCGGGCGGCGAGGCTCCGTGCTTCTGCCGAGCGGGCTGGCACAGCTGGCATCAGAGGCTTGCTGACGGGCCCGCGCCGCCCTGCGTGCAGCCCGTCTAAATAAAGCCGGTGCGCGTAGTGCGCACGAACGTTGCATGCACACCTGCCAGGGCCGAGCTGGATCATCACGCGGCGGGAGATGCTTCGCCACTGAGCCTGAGCAACACATGCTGCCAGGGAGATATGCATCGTCTGTATCGGGTTCTGCTGTGGCCGCAGATTTCGGGATGGTGGCTGCCCCTGCCAGATGTCCCGCACGCCCGATATCTTGACGTCCGACGGAGAAGAGCTGGTGAGGATGCGAATTATCGAGACAGGTGTGGACGTGCAGGCGTTCCCACACTGACATAGCGCAGCCGAAAGCCTATCCGCTCTCGACGCGCACGCCCCGCGTACGATGCGCCTCCCCAGCGTTGGAGCCCGGGCTCGTCCCACGGACGAGGGCCCGGGCGCAGCCCTCGACGGCCCCACACCGCGGACTCGTGCCCTGTGGGTACCGCTCGCGCTATCCCCAGGCCTAGCACCTGCACTCGCTGCTCGCTACCGCATGCTTTCATTCCGCGCGCGCGAAATCTCGACAGATAAACGCGAAGCGTCGCGCTTCTTCCTCCGAGCGAGCGAGCAGGCAGGCCAGCAGGTGGACATTGCCCGCGTCGACCATCGACGTCGCCGAAACATGTGGCGGCGGACGCCCCGCTGACAGCGTTCCGATGGGCCGCGCGTGGCTGTCAGTGTCATGGGGCGTGCGAGCCGCGAACGCCTCTTACGGAGGAGGTGCATTGCGAGCTCGAGGGGACACTCGAGCGCGCGCGGCTTCGTGGCGCGCATCCGTCCGTGGCGATCTCGTCATCCGTCATCTGTGCTGTCCTCCCACCGTCGCCCGTCCCGCACCGCGTATCCTGCGACGCTGATGATCTCATACCTCGCCGCACGCCCCATCCGTGCGTGCTGCTCCCACTCACTCTTACCAGTGCTCACTACTGCTGCAGCAGCCATCGATCGCGCGCGATCAGCTGTGATCAAGCATCTCGCCCACTCCCACTGACGAGGAAAATCCGCGCGGGGGGCGCGTGCGCGTGGACATGTGCCGCACTGAATGGGCGCGCGTTTCTGGGGAGACGCTTCTGTTCTTGCATCATCCGACGACATGTTCGTGATGCAGCGAACCCGCGCGCCCCTGCCGTTCCCGTCCGCGGTGGGAACGCAGCGCCCGTATCAGATCGCCGCACCCATTGGGACTCGAGACTCGCGGCGGCGGACTAGCCATAGCGGGATAGCCAGAGACGCAGAGACGCGGGGAGAGCGAGATGTCCGATACGATTAAGTACGGTGCTCATTATCCTACCAGCGCTGGCCAATGCATATGCACATGACAATACGAAGACACGGAACGCGTACCCAATCGACGGCGGGGCGGGGCGCATCGCGATGATAACAAAACAACAACAAGAACATGCGGAAGGTAGTACAACGAGCGATGGGGCGCGTGCTGCCGTGTGCAAGTATCCTAGGGGCCCGGCGGCAGGGCGCGCGGGGCGGGGGAAGAATATGCTGACTGTATGTACAAATGAGGCGTCGAGGCGGAGGCGGGCACGGGGCGGGACCGGGGCGGGCGCGCCGCGCGGCGGAGAGTCCGACGCGGCGGGGTGTGCGGAGAGTTCAAGGAGTGGAGGCAGAGCCCGGCCCTAACGGCGGGATGATGGGTGCATTTCAATGTGCTGTGGTGGAGCAGCGCGCGTGAGCTGCTGCCACCCAGTACCATGTAGTAGTGAACGCACCTCAAGAAGATAGTCCTGACGAATCTGCAGACGGGATCGGGCGAGCCGATCACCAGTCGGCGACGGTGATGTACGGGTCGCGACGCTCGACGGGCTCCTGGAGGGTGCGGGCGCGAGGGAGGGAGTGTGTGGTCAGCGTCTGCGGGGCAAGCAAAACAATAGCGCGCGGGGTACTCACGGGCACTGGGGATGCCTGCGCGACGGTGAGCGCGGCCGCGAGCATGACGGCGAGGGAGAGGATGTAGCGGAAGGAGGTCTGCATGGCTGGAGATTGGAGCTGGTCGGAGGAGCGGGACGGGCGCGGGGAGCGGCGTGCGAGGGGCGGGTTGGGCGGGCGGGCAGCAGACGAGGCTCGAGGCAGGGGAGGGAAGGGACGGGGCCTTAAGTATATGGCGCGACGGCGCGGGCGAGCTGACTCTATTGCGAGCTATCAGGAAGCCCGGCCGTGGCACTCGCACTTTCCACACCCATTATTCGTTTTCTGCTCCCGCTCCCCCGTCCCGTCCCCCGTCCCCGCCCACGCCCATGGGCCACCCCGTCCTCCCTGGGCACCTGGGAGCCCCCCGGTGCCCCCGATGGCCTCTCACCCCCTCCAGCCCTCGCCGCGATTCAGGCTCCGCGCGCCGTCCCGGGCGAAGCAGACGCAGGGGGTCCGCGCATCTGCCGAACGCCCTCCGTGCCCGCTGCCAACACGGCGCCTGCGCTCGGGCGACTGCTCGATACGGCACCGCGGTTGCTTCTGCCCCGGCCGTCGCGAGCAATTTGCGGGGTGCGCACGCAGGAGCTGCAACTGCAGCCTGTAGCTTGTTCGCCGTCGCTGTCAACTTTGATCGTCGAGACGCACCGCCCCTGGTACCTGATCGGACCCCTCCGTTGTGGCAGCTGCACACACATCCTCGTCGTCCGCCCCGCCGAGTGTGCAGCTGCTGCCCGCGGCGGAGTGCTTGCTTGTTCGCACTGCGCGCGGATCCAGCGACTCCAATCACCGCGCACCCTTGCCACGCGCATAAATCCGAGACACCGTAATTACCTACCCTACCAGTGCCACCCACTACGCTCTAGCCCGGGTGATGGCGCGCGTTTGGCAACCTCGCAGCCCCGCGCAGTGGTTTCGGCGCACTGCGCAGGGCACTCGCGTTCGTCAGCAAACTGAATGCCGCGTTCCCACCCTGCCGTGCCCCTTCCTGAACCTCCGTCAGCCCGGCCGGAGAGCGGCCGCGGGGTGGGGGTATTCCTGGACGCCATCGACGGACGCGGTCATACGGACACGCGCGTGCAGTCCGCGGTCCAGCGCGACTCGAGCCTGCTCCCGCACGTCCAGCCCTGTGATGGGTGGGTCGGTTCGCCGGCCTGACGTCAGTCGTCCTTCTCCCCTCGAGTCCCCGGCCGAGGCGCCCTCTGCCGCTGTGCGTGCGATGGCGATGGGTGTGTTCCTTCTCGGTTTGCCCACCCCCTAGGCCCTCCTATCCGAGGCCCGCTATCTCGGGCACGGCGCGAGATTGGGCGGAAGTCACCGCGGGTTCGTTGCGTTCGTTCTCCAGCGACGGGCGCCCGGGAGACGGGAGTGCGGTGCGCTCGCTGGGTGAGCTCATCTAGAGAGCCAGGAACACGAATGCGAATCGCGCGTCTCGTGGAGCCCGGAGACAGGGCTGTCGCCCCGCTGACATCGCGAGCCCCGGAGGGGGGGCTCGCGATACAGATACAGCGGGCACATGCAGGCGTGCAAACTGTATGGGCAGTACGGCACGCAGCGGCGGGCCCGCGGTATTCTTAGCCCCCCAGTGGTGCTGCCAGTGCCAGCTGGCTGCTAGTGCTTCTTCCGAATCAGCGCAACTTTACGACCTCTGCCTGCGAGCGATGTGGGAGAGTGCGAGCGGAGGGCACCGTGACTGAGCAGCGCGGGCTTCTTCCTGGATCGCGGTGCCTGGCGATGCCGTAGCCGATAATAGGCCTGCAGGCTGCGCGGGGTGCGGCGGCACCGTGTCCCGATCCCTGGGCGCGCGCTTCGCCTAGAAGGGCAGATGGGAGGTGAGAATGGCTGGATGCGGGGCAGGGCCAGCTGGTGGCGACGTCAGCAATCAGAAGGAGGGTGCGTTCGCGGGGCGGAGGAGCTCTAACCTAGATCGCGCGGATAAGGCCTGCGCGGGCGGGTCCTCGGAGCTCCAGCCGCACGCTTACGCGAATTTGAGGGGCAGGAAGCTCGGAGGGCTCTTGTGACACACCTCGTGAATATGGACGCCGGGCGCGCATGGCGGGCGAGAGAGGGTGCGGGTTTGCAGTGCGGGCTTGCCTTGTGCACGCACGGGCGACGAGATACGCTGGAACGAAGAAAGGTGCAGCTTCCATTGCAGGTGTCGCTGGATGTGTGCAGTCGCTCAGGCATGCCAGACGAAGACGCGGAAACAGACGGCGCCTGTCCGACAAATGTCCGCCGCTGCCGTGCGAGGCATAGGCACTGAACGCGACACTGGCAGGTTCCTTGCGATGACATACACCAGCGCTGCAGGCCTTTCCTCGGCGTATGCAGACGCGGGTATAGCACACGCTAGACAGCGTCGCAAGGGCCCGGAAGCGCGCGGAAAATCTGGATGCATGTATCGCCGGCCGGCGTCCTGCGCTGCACAGGCAATTATGCGCGCGACAGGGTCTAGATACGCCGGAGATGTGAGATTGAATGCGTGAAGATTGAAACTTTACGCACTGGCTGATGCGCGATGGTCTGTGCTCAGGGGCCGGCGAGTCCGCGTTCGGGACCGTGGTAGCCTAGTCGTCACGGCGTTGTCGAGATGCCGGGGCCGCGCATGGGCCATTCATACAAGGTCGTCTGGAGCTCATCCTGGCTAGGCTTCGGTAGCAATCACCCGAGATGGCAGCGTTTGGCTTGTGGGGGCGACCAGTGCTTGTGAGGTGAGATTGGGGGTAGCTAAGAAAGCCAACTTTCCGACGGGCATGCGGAGAGGATCTCCCGGTGCACTTTGAGTTTTCTCGTTTATGTCACGCTGTGAATAGTGATGTCTTCTAGGTTTTCAACAATTGTACACAACGTAATGAGTGTAGAACATACCTCTCCACATTACGGCCGCTCTAGATCGTGACGGTACGAATGCATCTTACGTTCAGACAAGCGCCCACTTAGCCATTATTAAGCGCGCGTAAGTACGCTTCTAGCACGGTTTGGCGTCCGCCCTAAACTGCTCTTGCTTTGTAACTATTTCCTTCGCGAAGGCAATAGACTCAGCGTTCAAGGTATAGTCCCGCGTGTAATTTTCGGCGGACCACACAGGCTCAAAGGATGGAATGGCAGATAGACCACAGAAGCGAAAACGCAGCACACGATGTCAAACCCCCGCGGCAATAGAGGGTTTCCGAGAAGGGGTGGCCGCGGGCGAGGCGGTGGCCCGCCGCCGCCCGCCCAAGCTCGCGCTCCCCCGGCACAACACAGGACATATGAGCCTGGGAAGCGGCACATGGAGCTCATCCCGTCGGTCAGCCGCAGCAGCGGCCTCGACAAGGACGGAGACGCGTAAGTCCCTGGGTTTCGCATACGGACAGCGGCGGCTAGCGCGCGTACTTGTGTCGTGTTTGCGTGGACGCAAAGGCGACGGCGTTGTGGCGGCGGAGGCGTGTTACGGCACCCGGCACGGCGCAGTGCCCGGTCGGCTCCCTGCCATGGGATGCGAGTGCGCGCCGCTGCTGCAGCCTGAGCAGCTCGGCACGGACGGATGGTGACATGGCCTAGCCCTGCAGGCTTCGCGATCCGAAGGTCCAGGAGGAGTACCGGGCATTTATCCAAACGAAGGCAAGTGGGCGTTAGCACGGCGGCGACGTTGGCGATCTGCGCCTCGCCCGTTCTGCCGCCTCCGAGCCCGAAGGCTGACGAGTGCCGCGGGCGTGCTATTGTTATTGTAGGTCGACGACTATTGGGCGAAGTATGCGCTGGGAGCGGTGCCTGGCGGCGGGTCGGGTGACGCGGACCTGGAGAAGGCGGCGTCGCACAGGAAGGAGACGGAGGGAAACTTGCTGATCTTGCTCCGTGCGTTCGCCCTCTTCGCGATCGCGGTATCAAACGCGGTCGATGGCGCAGCAGATGCAGGAGATGCTGATACTTTTGATGGACAGGGAAATTGCGCGAAGGGCTCATGTCTACGCAGCGCCGAGATGCGTTTGCACTCGAAGGTTCGTCCACAACGGGTTCCGTACGCCGAACGAGGTGCTGAGATGAGGCCGATCGCAGTCTACGAGACATCGCTGCATCTCTCGGTGCTGTTTAAATCACCGGCGCAGACGACATCCACCCTCTCCCATCTCTTCCCGGCATTCTATGTGGTCCCAGCCCAAGCACGCCCTCCCACCTCAACATTGCACACGCCGGAGCATGACGCCGGCACACAACAACCCGTGCCGGAGTCACCACCTCCGACGGCGCTCGCATCGACGTTGATCTTTTTACTACACCACCTCGTCTCGACATACCCCTCCCAACTCTCCTTCCACACGCAACTCCGCCAATTGCACCCTACGCTGCAGCAGCTTCTCCGGGCGCCCCTGGCGACAGCGTCAAGTTCTGGCCCTGGCACGCCCTCCTCATCGCCGCAGACCGAGCCGGCATCGCAGCCTGCTGACCGCCATCGGCGCTTTTCGTCTGACTCGAGCCCGTACGAGTGGCTCACCGCGCTCGCGCGCTGCTTACGGAGACGGGACTATGCGCGGCTGGGCATGCTTACGGAGCATGCTACCTTCGGCCGGTTCGTGGATGTGAATGCCACCGCTGCAAATGGCGATCGGCGAAACCTGGCGAAGGAGGCGATTCAAGTGCTGGTTGAATCTTTGCTCGAGAAAGCGCGGGAGCCGGCGTGGAACGTTCTGCGCACGGCATACCGGGAGGTGCATCTGCGTACAACGCCGACAGGGGCGGCAGTGGGTGAGACGACCGCTGCGTGGCTCGCGCGGTCATTGGTGTTGCGCTCGACCAGCGCCGGTGGGGAGAACCTGCACGGGGACAACATTACCCATGATGTCGTGACCACATGGCTTGAGGAGCGCTCCACCAAAGGGGAAGCCAGGAGAAAGGAGGGCGAGGGAATGGAGAGTAGGTGGATCCTCGTGAAGGCATGATACACCGGTGACCGGTGTACACGTAGATACAGTGGTGTCGGTGTAAGTTTAAAGACCCGGACAAAGTTCAGTAGAGTAATGTAGCCATACGGATATAGCATCGCACGCGCGCACGGAGATGAGACGATTACAGGACCGTCGCGGTCTTCTTCACCAGGCCGAACTTATCGACGACAATCTGCACGATGTCCCGCCATTCTGTCATTGCCCCGAGCCCTGCAGAGTGCCGTCAGCGTATGGCATGGAAGACCGGCTTGGGGCGGCTTACCGACGTCGCCGCAAGCGAGCTTCTTGCCGATAGGGCCGACGACGGAGTACCCGATAATGTCTTTTATGGTTTGCAGATGCCGCTCTGTTAAGGGGTGCTCGTACATGAGCGTGTTCATGGCGGGGAACACGTATGTCGGCGTGGTTGGGGCGAGGGCCCGTAGGAGGGACGTCTGCATACGAGAACGCGTCAGAGTATACAGCAGTGACAACTGGATTGACTAACCGCAAGGTTATCGCAGAGGCCATTCGCAATTTTGGATATTGTGTTCGCCGAACAGGGGGCAATGAGGACGATGTCTGCCCACCGGCGTAGCTCTATGTGCAGTATTGGGTCACCTATGGTGTATTCACCCTATTCGTGCGTGAGTTAATGCTGTAAGCGTCAGTTAGAATGGCAACCTACATATGCTCCCCATTCATCCTTGTTCCGCCATACTCGGACACCGGTCTTTTCAATCGCTTCTGGGCTATAGAAGGAAAGAGACGCTTCGGTGGCGACCACTTCAACTTTCACGTTTTCATGCTGTGTAGCAGTCGTCAGTAAAGGCAAGAGCTGCAGGTGTTACAAGGCTCTCGACTCACCGCTAGCAACTCAGCAACGATGAGAGGCGCCTTGATTGAGGCGACGCTCCCGGTGGTGATGAGGAGCACATGCGTGTTTCCTGGAGTACGCTCGTCCTCTGCAACAAATTTGCGCGGCATTCCTTGCTTAGAGCTGATGATAGTTAACACTGAGCTGTTCGCCGCGTTGGAACGGTCCAGCGTGGACGCTTCAGGATGACTATGACATCAGTCAGCGACGCCGCGGCATAAGCAAAGAGGAGCTCGGGTTAGGGTCGACTGCTAAAGTGCTTTGTGGCTGTGCGGCGTCCAGCCACGTGATCGCTGATTTGATTGGATGCGCCGGAATAATCGCGACGCGTCCAAAAGTTCTGCGCAACTCTCTCCGCAACCACCACCGTCTCCGTTCACGCACATCCTCCATATACCATGTCTTCCGTCTTCTCTCTGCTCGGCCAGGGCCTCAAGCTGAATTCTCGCGCCGACATCGAGACGCACCTCGCCGGGGTCGACCCGACAGTGATCGAGGAGATCCATCTCGGAGGGAACACCATCGGTGTCGAGGCCGCACTGGCCCTCGCGGACTTCCTCGCGAAGACGACTCGTCTCAGGGTGCGCCGTCCCCATCTCCGTCTCACCCCGCAACCCAATCTGACAGACGCGCCCGCGCCCACGCCAGGTCGCGAACTTCGCCGACATCTTCACCGGCCGCCTGATCTCGGAGATCCCGCCCGCGCTCTCCGCCATCTGCGACGCGCTGATCGACAAGCCGACGCTCGTCGAGATCGACCTGAGCGACAACGCGTTCGGCGGGCGCTCCGTCGACCCGCTCGTCCCCTTCCTGTCCTCTGCGCGCTCCCTCCGCGTCCTCAAGCTCAACAACAACGGCCTCGGTCCCGCCGGCGGTACCGTCATCGCCGACGCGCTACACACGCTCGCGAGCTCGCTCCCCAAGGACACGCGCTCGAACCTCCAAACCGTCATTTGCGGCCGCAATCGGCTCGAGGACGGTTCCGCCACCGCGTGGGCGGCGGCGCTGCGCGCGCATGGGACGCTCCGTGAGGTGCGCATGCCGCAAAATGGCATCCGCATGGACGGAATCACCGCATTGGTTCACGGGCTCGCGGCGAACGAGAGCCTAGACTACCTCGATCTGCAGGACAACACGTTTGCCGCAGAGGGCGCGAAGACGATGGCGGCGGAGCTCAACCGCGGTTCGTGGCCGCTGCTCAGGCAGTTGAACCTATCCGATTGCGTCCTTGGAGAGGAGGGCGAGGTGTCCCCCGTTGTGGAGGCGCTCGCAAAAGGCCTGCACGGCAAGCTGGAGATCCTCCAGCTCCAGAACGACAACCTCGAGACCGAGGCGTTCTCTCTGCTCGCGGGCGTCGTCGGCAAGCTCCCGAAGCTGCGCAGAGTGGAGGCGCAATGGAACGAGGTCGACGAAGAAGATGAGGGCGTCATTGCACTGTTGACTGCTCTCAAGCAGCAGGGTGGCAAGCTCGTCCTGAACGATGATGACGAAGAAGAGGACGAGGAGGAGGAAGCCGCGGAAGAGGAGGAAAAGGAGAAGGCTCCTGCGCAAGAAGCTACCCCTGCAGTACAACCCGCCGGCACTGTGGTCCCTGCAGCCTCAGAATCAGGACCCGAGTCTGCCACAGACAGAGCCACCGACGCGCTCGCGGACCTGCTGGGGAAGGTCTCCATCCACTGAGCGGTGGTGCACGATTCTTTTGTTGTGTATAGAGAAGTCATAGGGAAGTCCGCGCGTTTTGTATCTTACCATCTTACGACCATTGTTTGTCGCTGCACGTACAGTCTGGGATTACTGGCAGACTTGTATTTGTTCACATCTACAACATGTATACCAATACCATCCAGTCATCTACGCAACCCTGCACATCTAATCCAAGTCAGTCCGTTGAAATTGATAGGTACATCTAGCAGTTCAATGTCCAACAGTCTTCTCATCTACCTGCATGTGCATATCACTCGTGCTGAGCGTCGATATCAGCTTTAGCGATTTGCTCAGGGCTCTTGCGCCGCGCAAAGACGTGAATGTGCGTCAAGTCCGGGACGCTTTGCAGCCGCTGCAACACAAATGAGCATCCCCCACACGCGCACGAATCGCACCACTCACCGGCGGGTTCACGAACCACGCAGTCTCCCACTCGCGCTCGTTCCAACGGCGCTTCACAAACGTCTCGATCTCCTCCCCGTACCTCTTCACCGCGCGCTCCTCCTCCTCCGTCCCGCGCGGCGAGCGCACGAGCTTGTCCATCGTGACGCCCCAGTCCGCGAGCGCGGGCAGGCACGCGGGGAGCGTGCTCGGGGAGGGCGGGGGCGAGTCCGTGCCCGTGAAGCCCCACAGCCCGTCCTGGTGCAGGCGCGCGGAGATCGGCGACGCGGAGGGCGCGGGCAGGTCTGGCGGGAGGATGGGCACGCGCGACCAGATGAGGCTGTGCTCTACGTCTGGGGGGACTGTGCGTTCATGGTTCGATCAGTAGGGGGACGTGGATATGGGGTGTTGGGTGGGGTGCGTACCGGAGTAGGGCCAGTCGTTCATTGCAATGCTGAGCAGCTCGGGGGGTATGTCCGCCCGAAAGTAGCGTGGGGCGTTGGCAGGGAGCGGGGGGAGCTTCCCGGGGGCTTTGGGGTCTAGAGATGGGGTGGTCCCGTTTGTGGCTTTCTGGGCGGGTCGCTCATCGAGGGACGATCGGAGCACGGAGAGCGTGTCTGGCTGGCCCCACTGCAAGCGGTAGTTCAGCAGGTAATTCACTGGCACGCGCGCGCGAGACGCGGTCAATGACAACAGGTCGATGTGCGGATATGAGACATACACGCACCGATGGACCCATACTTCTCCTTGATCCCCTGCGACCACCCCTCGTACCGCTTCTGAAGCGTCCTGTCCCGCTTCAACAGTCCAAGGTCGCTGTCAGGGCAGATACGTTCAGATCTCTGTCATCATGCTCTTCCTCCGAATAAAGCTACCTACCCGGAGTTGACAAAGGTCTTCAGCTGTGTCCAGGTGAACTTGGCCGGGTAGTACACAAGCATCTCCTCCCGCGTAGGGAGACCTGTGCCGAGAGGGACAGTCTGAGGCGACAGTTCAGTGGGCGTTGAGTTGACAGCCATCGTGTTGCGAGGAGAAGGAGGTCCGAGGTAGAGAAGAGCCGGTATCGAATGCGGACGAAAGGCGTAGACCACAGTCGACGATCGCCATGCCGGGCGCCGGCAGCTCCGAGTCTGTTCCCAGTCATATGTGCCTGGAGGGAGATGATGGACTGACCCACCACACTCCAGACACTAGTGACACGCTACAGGGGACTCGGTAGGGTGTTAGGATGCAAAGAGATGCAAAGCCATGGCATCGTCTGCCTGACGCGCGCGCGGACGGCGCTTGACATTGGCACCATGTGTACGGTCAGGTGGGCGCGCGTGTTTCTACACCTTCAACCTCAACTCAGGTCCACCATCGCGGCAAGAGCATGGAGCCCCTAGTTTTCTGACACTCAGGTTGACGTTCACAGGTATCTGTCGTATGTTCGCTTGTACATCGCCGGATTGCGACTTGCGAGCCCATGCCAGTGGTGAGACGCACGAAATTTGCACGCGGCCGTCGGCTGAAAACCATATAGAGAACAGCCCGCTCGAACCTCCAATATTGAGGGATCGTTGCTACATTACTATTACATGCATATGTCAAGCGGATCTGTCAAGTTGGTGCAGGAACCCGAACCCCCCTCGTGCTGATGTCGCACTAGCTGGCGTGTATGCCGCGAGGGCCCCTCGACCGCTACACGGTGCATCGGCGCTCCTCCCCCAGAACGCAGCCCTTGAATCGCGACGGTCTCTGAAATGTGCCATATACATCGTGCACCTATGCTGAACTCCTCCAGCTCAGGCGACCAACGTAATCTTCGCCATCTTGTTCTCCGCGATGGGCTCCGTCTGTTCTCAAGTCTCTTTTCCCTTCTGCCACTCAGATGCCCACACCCTACCTCCTGAACCTTCTTCGGTCTGCAAGCTCTGCTGGAAGGGTCCCATAGCGGCGCAATTTGGGCTCTTCTCTGAACACCTCGAGGAACGGCAGTACTTGGAACTTACACCAGAGCGTAAAGGAGGGTATACGTATTCGACCACGCTGGAAGCACTGAAAGCCCGCGCCACCACAGGCTGTGTGTGGTGCCAGTTCCTGGTCACGATCATACCAGAAAGTTGCAAACAGTCGAAGACGGTCGAGATCAGACTGGGGACGCGCGTAACAGCATCCCTTCACAGGACTTACAGCCCAGACGATACTCAAGAACTATGGGTTCTCGTGAATGGGCAAGAAGCATTTGCAGGATATGTTCATACTGCCGCAGGTAGGTACCAACAATGACACCGTCCTCGTGGCTTGCTGAAATCAATATATTCCTTACTTCTAGATGACCCAGCAGCTGCGTCCATCGTCGTGAGAAGCCCTATCCTGGACGTTGGGTCTCCTCGCACTCTGGCGCTCGCGAAAGAGTGTCTTGACAAGTGCGCAGGTAGCCACGAGCATTGCATCAAACTCTCCGGCTCTCTGGACTCTCCCCTCCCTACCCGCCTCCTCGACTGCGCCAATCCCGACCGTCCGTGTCTCGTGCAGACAGGTGGTCAGCGCGGCAGGTATCTCGCCCTCAGCTACGTCTGGGGCGAGGACCAGCCTCATAAGACCGCCAAAGCCAACATATTCGCCTACGCAAACGGGATCGACGCCTCTAGTCTCCCCAAGACCCTTCTTGACGCGATCCGTGTCACCCGCGCACTGGGCTTCCAGTACCTTTGGCTCGACACCCTTTGCATCATTCAAGACTCGGCCAAGGACAAGCGACACGAGCTGGCACACATGCACCTCACATACCTCCACGCCCACCTGACAATCATCGCTGCGAGCGCGCGGAAGGTTAGTGAGGGCTTCCTCCAAGATCGGCCACCTGCAACGGAGAACTTATCCGGTGGGGCGTTCCCGCCCGACGTTGCCGTGCCATACATCTGTCCGCCGCGTTCTGGTCATTCCTCAGACAACGCCGTAGGCCATATCCGCATTGCCCCAGCCTTCAGCTACTGGCAGGAGTACGTGAAGCAGCACAGTCACGCCTGGGAGCCTATCGGGGAACGCGGCTGGTGCATGCAGGAATACTTCCTCTCCCGCCGCGCGCTCATCTTCACCTCGCACACGCTGCAGTACCGGTGCCATACGGAAATCAAGAACCTCGGCGGCGCCTTCTACGACCTCGCCCGCGAGCGACGCATACCCAACGCGCTGTTCCTCCCGGACCCGCAGCCTACCAGTGCAAGCGAGCCACCGTACGACACGGAGTGGTTCACCGCGCACCAGTCGTGGCTGGAGCTCATCGAGGACTACAGCCAGCGCAAGGTGACCGTTTCGACCGACAAGCTGGTCGCGTGCAGCGCGATCGCGGCGCAGTTCCACTGCCTCCTGCCCTCCGAGTACATCGCGGGCCTCTGGCGAGACACACTCTTGACCGAGCTCATCTGGTACAGGAGGGAAGGCACAGAGGCTCCCCGCCCAACGGAATATCGCGCACCGTCCTGGTCGTGGGCTTCCGTCGACGGCGGGGTCGTGTTGACGGCGGCGAAGCTCTTCCGGCATGTCCCAGGTCGGTACGAGAGCGAGGTCGCGGACGTGGTGCGGTGCCAGGTTGCGCTTCGAGACGCCTCGCTCCTGTTCGGAGAGGTCACTGGAGGGTCTCTTGTCCTCCGTGCGGCGGTGATGCCGTGCACAGTACTACACAAAGAGGTCGATACGGGCAAGTACCGCGTGCTACTACAGTTTCCACAGCAGGCGCTCCCGGGCAAGAGTGGGGCCGCCCCGGTTGAAGTCGATGGGAACACCGAGCACGTCGCAGAGGCCTACATTGATTGCGAGGCCGACGCAGGGATCCAGCGGACGTTAATTGTCCCGATTGTCGTGGACAAGGATCTCCAGCGCAGGCAACACATGGCAGGTCTCGTCGTCGCTCCCGCCGGCTCAGGCTTGGGGGCGGAAAGCGCGGGGAGGGAGGTCTATCGAAGGATTGGGTTCTTCCAGTTCCCCTCTGAGATGGTGGAGAGGCAGGGCCGAGATGTGGAGTTGCAAGGCTATGGAGTAATATCATCAGTAGAGATCGAGCTCGTCTGAGCAGTGCCCCAACAGCCCGGCGAAGGAGCTGTCGTAGGTTGTCGCTAACACTGTTACTTGTAGTGTTTTTGACCACTTAGCTTGACTATGGCATGGGGCGCCGCACAGAGCCAGCAAGACAGAGTGTGCATATACATATCGTAAGTACCTGAAGTCATCGGGAGCGGAGACGTAAACGAAAAATCACGATCGAAAAACGAAGGTATAGCATCGAATGGGAGTATGCGTGGGGAATTCAGCTGAAGCAGGTTGTAACGGGTAGCGTGTATTCTTTCCAATCAAACCAAACGCGTGAGCGATACTCGAAACGAAGGACCTTCTGCATACTGGGTAAAAGGGAATGAATATACGAGGCGCATGCCTCAGGTGGGTCGTCGCAATGTTCGATTCGAATCGTGAGCTGCTCCAGGCCGGACAATAACTCCGGGAGCCGTAGAGGGAAATCAACTACCTCTTCGCCCGTGCCTATGATCCACCGGCAGCATAGGTGATCGGCCGCTTCGTGGTGTCGCTGGTCAATAACTGTCCTCAGAGACCTGGGTAATGCTGCTCGGCTTGCGGCGATTGCGTGGAGCCAAGGTAGTCCGAAAGGGAATGATCTCATCGAGCTTGGGAAAACGATGATTGAGCGCAGGGCCGGGAAGGAGTCCCTTAGGAAGCTGCAGAGCACCTTGGGGTCTATAGCAGCAAACGGGTAAATCATACGGTTCTCCTTGATATTCTATCACACTGCCAGCAGGCATCCCACTTACCATCAACGCAAATCTGTAGCTCTGTGACAGCATGGCCGAATACACTTCCACGGAGTGCGGAATGTTCAATGCTCGAGCGACGTGTCTGTTTGAATTGTGGGTCGCACTGAGCAGTCCCGGACTGAGTGCAAATGAAAACGTATTGGCTTACTTTCAGGATGAGACTATCCAGTTTGAGGTACGTGAGTTTCCTGCATGCTCGTAGATGTTCGCAAGTTGTAGTCAAATGCGCGGGTCCTGCGGGGAGACGGCGCAGGAATGTAGTACAGCCATCCGCGTGCAACGATGAGAGGTTCGGGCAGGCCCATACCACGTCCAGGAACACCCTTGGCGTATAAAAACTACAACCCTGCAGCCACAGGGCAGCGATATTGGCAAAAAATGGAAGACGCATGCGGAGAGCTTGGAGAGGCGGTCCGCCATCGAATCGTATGTCGGTACACCGCAAGAGTTGCAGATGGGGGAAAGGTTGTATGAAAAGCTCGCCGGCCGACTTGAGGTCGAGGTCCGCGCCGGCATTGTCAGGACCCTTCAGCATGAGTGTGGTGGTGGGCAACTCCATTGGTGCGGTACGAATGGCCGCGGTGAAAAGAGAAAGGTTGTGCTCTTTCACAATACGAGGAAATTTCCAGAGGAGATGCTGAGCCCGAACGCGCCATGCGCGACATGTTAGAGCACATGCGTACAGTGCATGTTGCCCGTCGGTACCGCCCAGGTAATCAGGAAGCACATCCATGATGGCCTCCCAGAGCTCGATGGGCAAACGGCAAGACTGCATGAAGGGTGTGTGTTTTGACGTAATCCAAAGGATGATGTCGGTAGAATATCTGCGCATACAAGATTCTCGATGAGTTCAATGGTCCCAACCCGAATACGCAGAGCCATACGGACGGAATATATGACCAACGACAATACACTGCTCACCCCGGGTTGGTATTTTTGCGTATGGAACGGTCGACGTAGAGCCGCAGGACAGTGGAGAGCTCGAAATCGGAGTGTGGAAGAGCGAGGGGATCAAGTACACGCCGCGCTGTGGCCATCGATCCCTCACAGTGCTTGCACAGCCTCCAAACTTCTCAGGCTCTTCAATAATCCTCACTGCAATATTACACGAGCCTTCTACGTCTACGACGGTACAGAAAATACTGGCCAAATATGTATCCAGTGGCATCCTGCTATGCTACCTGTCCAGGGTAGAAGCCCTTCACATGCGAGGTGGTGATCTCCGGATAATACCTCGGCCGTCCCTGCGAGAAGAATCGCTGACCATCACCCGGATGAGAGAGAGGTTGTGCAACGACTAAGAGCTCCAAGGATCCTATGCTCTCCGGGGCTATCGCATGACCATCGACCTAGAGCGTGTTAGATGTCATCTGCGAATATAAGAGTCGATGTGCATTGAGGTATCACTCACCCTACGAACTCGCCAACTCAGATCCCGCCGCAGGTATGGCTTCACGCTCTCCGGCTCTAGGGATTGCAGAGCAGCATGCTTCGCGATAGCGTCGTTGAGGTGCACGAAGCCCTCGGTCACAGCGTCCCCCTGCCGACGACAGTTCGCGCACCGCGCCGGGGCGCTGTTCACGAACGCGTGGTGCGCGCCGACGTACGTGGCCGCTGCGTACCATTCTTGAGGGTCCTCCGGCACGTCACCGAGGAAGACGAGGATGGCGAAGCTGCGCCCGACTTCAAACTTCTTGACGCGGATCCGGACGGACCACTCCCACAGCGTATGGGACGGCAAGCTCTGGATGCGAGAAGGATCAGGGAGCAGGACGATATAGCCAGCGGTGAGCTCGTCGTCCTCTGCGGGGACCTCGAATATGGACCAGGCATCGTGAGGGAGTTTGGAGATTCGGAGGGTCTGCTGGAAGGAATGCGAGACTTCATCGACCCAGGTTACGCTGTGACGTCGCTTGGTCGCCCCGGGAAGGAGATAGTGTCGCAACCTTTGAGGTGCGTAGAGCGCGTTGATAACCTCGGCGACATGCTGGGCGACTTCAACCGCGTCCTTTGAACCCAGATTGTTGAACTCCGGATACGAATAGCCCAAGTGCGTTGGGCAAGGTCCGCCTGCTGCGCGGGATGTCCAGAACGTGCTCCGTCTGCTCCTGAACGGCGTGAGTTCTACAGATGCCGCTTCAGTATGCACATTCCACGGCTTCATAGGAAGATAGCATACCGGTATTCTCATCGATCGCAGAATTCGACGGGATGGTGAAAGTCCCACCGGACGCAGAGGCCTCGCTCACCCCGATGTTTGGGTGAAGGGCAGCCCATAGCGAGAGCAGGCGATCGACTTGAGCGTGGTGTAACATGAATATAGGGTCGAAGCCTGGTGAAGGGCCATCAGGGTTTGGCTCATTGAGAATGAAATGCTACGCCTTACCAGCATATGCGGGATCGCCCATGTGGCCGGGGCCGCCTACACAATTGTGGATGGCGTCATGTATGGCTTCCAGACTGTTACTCGTGCTGTCCCCGTCCCCGGGAGCGTTGCAACTGAAGGAAGGCCATGTGTGCGTGCGTGTAAGCAGGTTATACACCTTCGAGGTGAGGTCGGCTTGGTTCGCCTGCAGCATCCTACATGCGAAGACGTTAGCCATCGCGATGTAGAGGTCTTGATGATGATCTTACGATATCAGCGCCTCCACATCGTCCTTCGCCCCGGATTTCTCACTTGTCGGATGACGGACCGTCGATGGCCATTTCGCGAAAGGGCCCGCGAAGCTCGGGTCTACAGGGTCGAAGCGATAGCGGAGCAGGGGGTTCTTCACGCGGGCCCTCCGACCGTCCGAGGTGATGATTGTGACGCGCTCCATGCTGATAACCTCTGGCGGTGGCACCGCGTTTGTGGCCCAGTCCCAATACGGCTGCCGGAGGTCTGCCGCGGCCTTCCGCCAGGAGTATCCCTCAAATACGTACTTCCTGGCAATCTGAATGGCGTGTTTCTGTAGAATTTGCTGTAGATATTGTTAGCTGCATCGCGTCAATAGGTGTTCGTTCATCGCTAGCGTACCTCGTATAACACCACGTACGGCCGGTGCCACGTAGGGAAGAGTACCGAGCCATGGGTGCAGTAGCCGGACGCCTCCGCTTGCGACGCTTCTCCGACGCCATCCCAGGGAACGTATGGGAGCCCATGGATTGCGCCTATTTGGAAGAACGACTCTGGGTCGTCCTGCGGCGTGTCCATCATGACCTCTAAATCAAATGAGCGTGTCAGCCAGAGCAAAACGCCTTGGTACGCTCAACGCTACACGTAACGTACGCAGTGCCTGGATGTATAGCGAGAACATCTTCTCGTTCTTGATGAAGTCGCTAATTTCCAAGCGGTTGGGGGCCATGGCCCCGAGGGTCTCGCCGCCTAGACACCCGGTGGTAACAACGCTGTTCCTGGTCATCCCCGATAGATGTGTCAGTTTAAGGTGAAGTTTAGCAGTGGATGATGAGGCGAGTAGGGGAATGGGGCGTTGCGCTAATCCGCATCTGTGAGTAGGCTTATATAGCCTTCCTCCATCCGTGTCGCCACGGACCCTTCCGACTTGAGAAGGCTCTCAAGCTGGTCTCGGCGAGCGTCGTTCCACAGATCTACCGTTGCGATTGGCAGTGAATTAGAGCGGACTACGTGTCCCTGCGCACCTTCTCCGGAGTGTTTGCTTTGAAGCCAGATGGGTTATGCGCATCTCTTCAGGGCCTCTGCAGCTCGGCAGGCACGCGTACGGATCTATAGCACCATAAGACCGTTCGCCCAATGGCGAGGGGTAGGCGGCGTCCTAGACGTCGCGGATCGGTCCGTGGCGAAGGTAGAGAGTTGCTAGTATACCGGGGATCGCCAAGTCGGTGTTCTCGCCACGCTGAACGATCGTCCCGATGGCTCGCATCGTCGTTGTATACAATTTCGTGCGATCTAGATCCGCTGGCCCGACCGATTTAGGGCGCGGGGGCGTTCCATTCCGAAGGGCAGGCCCCGTCGTCCAGATTCGGTTCCGATCGAGCCTGGGGTAGTGGCTGTGGCGAGAAGGAATGAATCCGACGGGCACGGGGAACATCGCGGTGATGTGCTGTCGGACGGACTCAAGCCCGCCTCGATCTCACCCTTTGTGAGTTTCGCCAAGGAGTAAAGCGAGCAATGCAGCCGAGGTTCGTTCTTACGGTGACTGTGGGTAGAGCCGTCGTATCAGTCAAAATCCTAAAGTGGACTGAACGAGGCATTTTCTACCTTCTGCTAGACTCACTGCAGGTAGGGCATGACCACGCGATTACTGACTGCAACGCGAAGCACCACGGGAGGAGCGGCGGCGCTTGCGAACCCAGTCAACATTCGATGGTCCCCTGCTCAGTACAACCCTAAGAATCATGACCTCTGATGTGGACAAGTGTGAACGCTATTGTTGAGGCGTAATGTATAGATGCTTACCTATGTGTTCGTTATCGTCGGGTACGATGTCCACGAGGCTGTAGATCCACGCATTGTATTCTGAACCCGCAAAACAAGGCTGCGTGCGGCGTAAGTAGTACGAACTCCTAGATTCCCGGAAGATAGACGAGGTTGCTTCCAGATCCAGACTGTAGCAATGCATCCAGATGCAGATGAGAATAGTGGCGTAGTGGATGGCCAGCACCGGCCCAAATTGAGAAGCCTAAAGCTAAATGTCCATCCTCAGCACCACCAGGCGCCAGGTGGAGTCGGCGACTATGTGGGCGATCGCATGCCAAGTCATGGCAGTTTGGGTACGCGCAGGCACATCGAACAGTCTCAATAGTCAAGCCCTATAGGTGAGAAGGAATCAGTCCGTTATGAATTATGACCGTCGTCAGTGTACGCACCAAGCATGTCTTCGTTGCAATCTTGCAGAGCATCAAGCTCATAAGGCGGATTAATAGACGTGCATAACGAAAGGTATCATGTCGTACATACAGTAGCAACGCGTCATTATCCAGATCATACCCTACCACGGAACGGAACAGAATGGCAGCCGCCACACGAAAGCGAAAAGGAAAGCATCACCGCGCACAGCCAGCTCAGGCTCACTCGTACACTGCGGCATCAAATCTCAGAGGCCCACCACGTCGACCTGGTCCCCGTCTTCCAGGTCCGCCTCCCCGATCTCGGTCTCGGGGTCCATCTTGTCCCCGTCGACGCTCAACGCAGGAACCTTGGCTGGGGCCGCGGCCTTCCCGCGTCCGCGCCCCTTCGCTGCAGGGGGGTTCGCGGGGTACTCAGCTTCCAGGCCGGCCTTCTTGAGGAACCCGCGCACGATCGCGCCGCACTTCGTCGTGGGACGCACGAGCAGCGTAATGTTCTTCCCCGCGGTCCGCTCGCTGCGGACGACGAGACGGAAGCTGTCCGCGGGTTTCTCCTCCTTATGCTCTTCAACAGCAGGCGCGGCGTCGTCGGACGGTTCATCAAGGAATTCTATGGAGGAGGGCGATCGAGCACGGGAGGGAGAGCGGCGCGCGGCGTCCTGGGTCTCGGGAGGACCAGAAGGTGCCAACGATTCGGAGCGCATCCGCTTGTTCTCCTGGAGGTACTGGAAAGTGTTCTTGTCGCAGGCCTCTGTAGAGGAAATGGATGAGCATGATGACGTCGCATGTGCATGCTATCAACAAACCTAGTTCGGCTTCGGCCCAGATCCCTATGCTGTGTGGGGTGGATGAAGGGAACACCCGCTTGCCATCGAAAGACAGGACCAGGTTGTCGATACGTATACTCGCGAGGTCTGCAATCTCGGCGCACAGAGGATGGAAATTATCGTGCTGTATGGAGTCAGTACAGTCGCTCGTCACAAAAATTTGCTAGAGCGCCTACCCGTTTCTGCACCATGGCCCAGATATCTGCGCGACCGTTCGGATTGAGAGGGTGTGGTTTCCAAATGATCTTCAGCTTGACAGTCTCTGGACCACCTCCCTCGCGCACCGGCGTGCCTTCCTGCCTTTTCATGTCCAGCTGGACGCGCCGCGCGATAGATGCCATCTCGTCGTCTAGGACGATGGTGTCAACCGATTCGTCGGCGAAGTCTGTAGGTGACGGAGGTCGAGGTAGAATTCCGACAACTTGGCTTGGGGCATTGTCAATGTGGATAGACGACTTGCAATGATTTGCACCTACTTGACGGTATCGCGCGCACGCTGCAGAGCGAATTGAGTCAATGCAGGCGGTGGGGTGAGAGAGCGCGATCGGCTGCGGGCACGTCGGCCATTGGGCTTGGAAGGCGAATCCTCAATTGTAGAGTTCTTCTGTTTCTTAGGGGCAAGGATGTCCTCGTCCGAATCAGAAATTCTGACGCAGAGTATAGTCAGTTATATGACGTTTTTACACTTGCGCGAACGATCGCGCGCAGAGGCAGCCTGTCTCCAATGAGAGCTATGCGCCCTCATATACGCATATACGCATATACGCATATACGCATATACGCACTCCAAACTGCCATCGCGGATCGCATATAGCCAGCTCGCGCCCGCCGGCGTAATGAAAGAACTTACTCGAAGAAAGCCGGATCCCTCTTCGTCCAGTCAGGAAGGGTATCCTGCTTGTTTGACCGTCTCTTGGATTTCTTGTTACGCGCCCGCGGCGAAGAGCCTTCCTCGCGCTCAGAGCCTGAGCTATCCGAGCCATTCGCTTTACGTTTGCGCTGTTCTTGTTCTAGATTTGGGTTCCATAGGTATGAATTTGATGCGCGCGCGAGGAGGCGATCTGTGATGTTGACATACCGTCAACGCGCTTGTTGATCTTGCGCCATGCTAAAGCCGTGCGCGTCTGGTTGCGCATAAAGCGCGCGTCCATATCATCCTCATCTTTCTTGGTGGAGACGGCGGGTAGCGGTGGTGGGGAGGTGTTTGTGGCCGAGGAGGGGCCAGGAGACGAGGCGGGGGGCGGGACGGCGGTGTCGACCGGAGATGTGGCTGCGGCAGGCGCGCGAGCGCGAGGCCGGGGTCGTGGTTTGGGACGCGACGACATCGCGGTAACAAATCAGAAGCTAATCGTGGGAACTTTCGTTTTCGCGGGGTTTTGTTCTCGCACGTGCCCCAGCGCCTGTTTTTGCGGCGCGCGCCCGAGCTGCTCGCGCTAAGCGCTTGCACTTGCACTTGGACCGTCACACTGGCGCGCTCTTTGACTGTATCTGCTCTGTCTGCTACTCTTCTCTTGCTGACCGCTACTCTCTGTTTGGATTGTACACATCTGGGACATGGCTGAGCCACCAGTAATCTTCAAGCGCACGAAAGCGAAGTCCGCCCAACGCGCTCGGGTTACCACAGATGCAGAGGCAGCCCCCACGACCGCAACAGAGGCAGACGCGGAGGAGTCACCCAGTATAGTTGCCGCTAAACTCAAGAAGAAGACGCGAGCGAAGGCGCGGTCTACGCTCAGCTTTGGAGGTGAGGAGGAGGTACGTACCAAGCGTCGCGCAGTAAGCCATTTCTGACAGATGTGGCCTGTGCAGGAGAGCAGCGGTGAGGTGTTCAAGCTCAAGAAGTCGAATTTGAGTAGGAACCTCGCGCTCAGAAACGAATCACCGGGGTATGCACATGTTTCTTACGCGACGAGCGTATGCTGGCGTTTGGACTTCCATGTAAACATCTCATGTCCACTATTTCGTTATTTAATACATCCATCCACTTGAGGTCGTTCTCGCAAGATGTGCATGGAAGTTCAAACGCGGCATATGGGCGTGACTTCAATCACCTAGTGCATACGCTGATAACTACGTTTACATAGTGTTGCGGCTGCGCCATTTGAACCGACTATAACACCAAGGTCCACGGGACCCACGTATAATGCTGCATACCTCAACGAACTCAAAGCCAGCACACCGAACGCTCGTCCTTCTCTGCCTCAAGAGGACATTGTCTCCTACGATGCAGATATATCCATGGATGTTGACCCCGCTGGCCAATTGTCCGGTTTGACAGGTAAACCATGGTCAGTTCGCACGTGTTATGCGTCTCACCCGATTCCTAGACGAGGTCGAAAGTGAAGCAGCGATCCCATCTGCATCGTCTATCCAAGCAGCCAAGCAGAAGCGCGAACGGCTACGTGCGGGCAAGGCTTCGGGCTCAGAAGACTATATCTCGCTCTCCCTGACAAAGAGAGATGACTATTCGAAGGGCCCTCATCCAGACAGCCGGCTCGTCAGGGAAGAAGATGAGTTGGGCGACGCGGATGATGGTAAGTCTACGCTGAATTGGTTTTCCCTGACCTCGCTCACCGAGATGTCTCCCAGAATTCGCGGAATTCACCAGCGCCCAAGAGCGTATCGCCCTTGGCAAGAAGTCGCGGAAGAAGGAAGCCGCAAAGCGGCGTGCGGATATGAACGAGATGATTGTCGATGCGTTCGTTGCCTCTTACTATCTTACCTGAGTGCGCCGTGCTGACTTCTACTATCAGCGAAGAGGAAGACGAGGAAACTCGGGAATGGGAACAGGAGCAACTACGCCGAGGAGGCCTTCGTCCGGAGTCGGCTGAACCTGCACCCAAGCCGGTGTACAAGCCCGCACCAGGTATGCTCATCCTTCCTACCGATATTGCATTATTGACGAATTTCCAATAGTTCCGGCTGTGACCCCTATCCCTACGATGGGCGCTGCGATGGCACGGCTCACGAATTCTATGAGCAAGTTGACAGTATCGCACGCAGAGCACTCCGCTGCGATGTCGAAGCTCGGCGAGGAGCAACGCCTGCTCGAGGAGCGCGAGAAGGAGATGCGCGAGATGATCGCCAAAGCCGAGGAGAAGCGCAGCTGGTTCTCCGCCTTCCGCGAATGGGTCGAGAGCGTCGCGACCTTCCTCGATGAGAAGGTCAGTCTTTTAAAATCTCATAATTTATCTCTGAGAGTATACTGACGCCCTCACAGTTCCCGCAACTCGAGAAGCTCGAGGACGAACACATATCCATTATCAAGGAGCGCGCGGACATGATCGCCCAGCGGCGCAAAGCCGAGGACGCAGACGACCTCGCTCTCTTCTTCGGCACCCCGCCCCAACTGCAACCCAAACCCGACGAAGTCGACGACCTCGGGCGCGTCGTCCCCTCCGCCAACCCCGCCGCCTCCCGCGCAGACCGCACCGCCGCCCGTGCCGCCCGGCGCCTGCACCGGCGCGCCGCGAACCAGCAACGCCCGCCCGAGGAGGAGGGGTACTCGACGGACGGAGAGCTGCCCCTAGGGGACGCGGACGACTATCGCGTCGCGATGGGGAAGCTCGTCGCGGACGCGCAGGCGATCATGGCGGACGTGAAGGCGGAGGAGTTCCGGGACGCGAGCGCGGGCGTGGGCAAGTGGTTCGGGGAGTGGCGCGCGAAGTTCGACGAGGTGTACCGCGGGGCGTGGGGCGGGCTCGGGATGGTGAGCGCGTGGGAGTTCTGGGCCCGTCTTGAGATCCTCGGCTGGAATCCGCTCGAGGTAAGTCTGAAGCTTACCCCAGCTGTGTGGTGTATGCATGTATTTGTGACGGTTGCTCATCTCTTCGTCCGCAGCGCCCCCGCAGCCTCGACGCGTTCAATTGGTACAGTGCGCTCTACAAATATTCGCGCCCGTCGCTTGGCGAAGATGAGGATGACGAAGACGAGCCCGAGCTCGGGCCGGACGGCGACCTCGTCTCTGCGATGATTTCGACCGCGCTCATTCCACGCATATGCCGCATCATCGAGAGCGGCGCACTCGACGCGTACTCCGCCACGGACGTGCGGCGCCTCGTCGACCTTACTGAGCAGGTCGAGGCGTCCGTCGATAGGCAGAGCCTCAAGTTCGAGGTGCGCTTTCCTCTCTTCTTTCTTTTGCGTCAATTGTAGCCGACCTTGTACTCGCAGATGCTCTTGAAGGCCGTCTACACGATCTTCAACGAAGCAGTGACCGCCACAGAGACCGAGCTCGCGCCATTCGTCGCGCTCAACCAGCCGCGCTTCGACCCCGCCGCGATCCCCGCGCGCCGGCGTTTCCTCGCACGGCGCCACAAGCTTCTGCGGAATCTCCTTCAGTGGCGGCGATATGCGGGCGACCGGTATGGTCTGGGCAACTTGGCGACACGACTCGTTGCGGGGAGCATGCTCCCCGTTGCGGAGACGGGCTGGGAGGTTGGGGGAGAAGAGATCATGCGGAAGGTGCGTCGTTCGTAGTCATAGAACGCCGTTGCCTGACTGATTCGTCTTGCGTGTTGGGTTACAGGTCGTCCAAACGTTGCCGACGGAGCTTGTGCCTCCGACTCTGCAAGGTCTTCGCGCATAATGTGTATACTTCCGTGCGTTGGGCTTCAGGTTTGGCACGTGCATATCTGCATGCAAGAAGGAATGAGACAGCCCGTAATGCTTGAACATTAACATTAACAGGTATTGTAACGATACACCAGGAGCGTTTTCTCATAGCGAAAGACTTCATATACATCCCAGACTTCTTTGTGCTCCCCTGCGTTTCTACGACTCCTCTGACATCCCATCCGCTATCGCCGGTTCATCGCGGCCCTCTTGCTTTACACAGATGCCAGCTGGTTGACCGACGGGCCGTCTATGCCCGATGAACATCTCCATCTCTCCGCAAGGCGTGACGGCCTCGTCTTCATCCTCACTAGTCTCCTCCCCATCAACCACCATTCCGGGAGCAACGCGGTCGTCTGCGACAAATGCATTGCTGCTGTCGCTTGCCGACTCTCCAGGCTGAGGACGGCCGATGCCTGTATGGACAGAATAACGTATGAGAAGAGCGTGTACAGCATCGTGTCATAGAGCTCACCTAAGCTCTGTGGTGAGGCGTGCGTTTGAGCCAAACCATCGCCAGTCTCTGTCGCATCCTCGTATTTGACGAAGGAAGACGACGCGCGACCTGCGTCCTGTACGTCCTTCGCCCCCCGAATTCTTTTCGTCAGCGCGACGAGGTCGGACAGCTGCATCTTGTAAGAGACGGGGGTCGGCGGATACGCCGAGCTAGGAATATCCTCAGCAGCAACCGCAGATGATTCGGGCACGAAGGCATGCGGTGGAGCCCACAGGTCTGGAGGCACGCCAGCCGCACTAGTTGCTACCGCTTCGCCGTGATAGTACGTCGAGTGGAATGGCGGCGCCTCGATAGCGGAGTCATCTCCAGAGCCGTTGAACAGACGATAGAGATACGCGCCGCCCAGGTTGAGAGCCTCGGAAGCGGCGGGAGCCGGTAGAGAGAACGCAGAGGGAGGCGCAGACAGAGGCGGATTCGAGTCGGACATAGCTAGAGCGTGTCCTCCGCTGGGTATATGCAGGTGTTCGAGGTCTGAAAAGTGGCCCCTACTGTTCAGAGGGCTAGCGGTATGGGCATGAGCGTCAGAGAGGCCAGGGCGAGCATGCTCCAGAGAGTGGGGATTTTCGGTAGACGTCGAGTGTGGCGACAAATGTGCAACCTCAGTCACAGAACTGTCATGGATTCCAGAGGAGAGCGTTCGGGCGGTCCCGTGTTGCGAATTCCACGGTTCAAAGCGCAGAGGGACAGTAAAGGAGGTTCCAGGAAGAGCGACCTGAACGAGGGCAGCTGGGGCTTCAAGTTCATGGGGGGCATGGGGGGCTGGGGCCTGAGGGTCTGAGGAGGCTTGAGGTATTTCACGAGGGCTCGCATGAAGCGCTTCTTGATCTGACCTGGAGAAGGATGTATGCGGCGACAAAGGGCCTGGGAGGTCCGGGACAGCACTACTTCCACCCCAAAAGCCCATGCCATAACACAACAAACCGTCGCCAGAGCCAGTAGCGTCCGAAGCAGCACCAGTATCAGGGGCGTTTCGCCAGAGTGGATCGTCGGACTGCCACGCATATACAGAAGTGTGCGACTCCAGCGACGTCCCCGAGTGTGTTGAGCCGTCAAGTAACATCGTCTGAGCACCGTCGGCGGCACCAGAGGGGTCGGTGGGGTCGTACTTCGAGACCCGCGGGGAGATCTTCCTCTTCCCTCTGCCCCGCGCCGAGCGTTGCCTCTTGATCCATCTATGGATCCACTTTTCCTGCCTGCTCGTGCCAAGCCGAGCGACGCGCTCTATCAGTGTCCCATGTCAAGGTTTAGAGAAAGACGCACAGTCCAGTCTCCCGCGAGGCTTCCTTGATGTCGTCTTTGGTCGCGTCCTCGCCCGTGCGCGCATACATGGCGTTGAGGATGACCAGCTGGTCGGGGGTTGCAACCACTCGTGGTGGGAGACCCGCCGACGACATAGCCGTCCACGGACAGCGCATGGTATACCTCGGAGGCGGCGGGAGGGAGGCGGTGGACATTGGTGCTGGTGGTCAGAAACTCGGAGAGGTTGGTTGTCGAGGACGGCCTGTATACAGCTTCGGTGCATGCAAAGCCGAACGGCATCTCCTGGCAATCGCTATCCGAACCAACACTTGCTAGCTGCCATAGGATTGACATTTTGACGGCTACTAGTCGGCTACTTGACAATGAACGTGCGGAGAGGTCGCGTCGAAGACGGACAGCCACCGTTCGCCCCACGGCCGCGGACTTGCTCCTCCGTGTGGCTGTGATCACCCAGGATGAGTATCTCCACAACGCCGCCAAATCCGGACGAACGACACGTGTGTGTGTGCACAGGGAGACACGAATACCCAGCACATTGTAGCGTACAGTACAAATACAGCGGCTCGAATCGAGGTCCCTCGCCTGCGGCAAGACTAGCCAGCCTCTCTGCCGCCCTCCGTCCGTCCCGCGCCAGAGGCATGCAGCTGTCCGTGTGACGGCAGCTTCTACTTTACATCTATCACGCTTCGCAGCTCTTACTCGGGCCTCAACAGGACGGCTACCACCTACCCGCCATCCGCCCCACGGCCCACGCAACGCCGCCACCGCCGACTGGCACGAGCAGCACCCACACGCCGACGTCCCAGATGAGCCGGCGCCCAAGTCGGCGACGCTGCAGCGTGCGCTCCTTGCGTTGTAGCAGCTCGTCGTGCCGCGAGTCGCTCGGCTCGAGGCGCGGTGCGTTCGGATTTGGCGTCGCCGGCGGGATCACGATCGACAGCGGTCGCCGGAAGTTGTGGATTGTGATGTGAATGAACGCTGGCGGATTGTGGCGGCGCGGTCAGTGAACACAATACAAGTCTGGAGACGAACATAGACGTACCGGGCACTACGAATGAGCTGAGGAAGGCGAGGATGAGGATGACATCGCTCCCGAAGCGCGTTATGTGCGCTGGAAGGATCGCGAGGCAAATAGTGATAATGTAGATGAGAACCTTCGAGAGGGGGAAATTCGTGCTTCGCCGGATAGAGATGGGGATGGGTAGCGCAGGTGTGGTGACCAAGATGGAGGGGATGGAGAGCAACAGCGCGGCGGCGCTGAACACCGCAGACGTCGATTTAATGCTCGTAGAGGGGATTTGCTGAATTCACCGAAATTAGTTCTAGCTCCATGTGGCCAGTATAAGAAAAGCATACCGAAGGTGTAGACGCATCGAAGAATGCGAGGGGCAATACAACTGCTACAGCGATAGCTATAGACAAGGCAGCCAACAGCCTGAAAGATTGCGCCCGCCTAGGCTTCGGGGTCATCGGTTGCGAAGTGCCTTTCAGGGAAGCATACAGGGGCACTGTCCACCAGGTGCTGAAGGTGAACGCCACGACCGCTAGATTCCTGTGAGTGACTGGTAGTGCAGGGCGCAGATCGAATGTGACTCACGTATTCCCTGCCATAATTTACCCAAAGTGGCAGAGTCGCCAACCGGTACAAGCATGTCCTTGGCATGCATATAAGCCGTACAAGAGAACCACGCAGCGTACGCTACGATTGAAAACCAAGAGGCGTACACCACCCCGCGGGATTCGAGAGACCGCGAGGAGTACAGAGGGGCGATGAATGCCGCGAACACGAGCGAAGTGATAATCCTAGACGGAACGGCGAGGGCATCCGGGATGAAGGGCAACAAGCAGTCGACGGAGACTAGCGTTTATTGCGTTAGCGGCAAGCAAAACACAAGAGGTGCAGGAGGGACATACATCGGAGATAGAGTGCAGCAGTAGACACCCTAAGTGCGCCGACAAAAAAGCGGACGAGCTGGCGAAGAACCGACCGCCGGCGCTCCTTGCCCCTTCCCCGCGCGAACGTCTCCAGCACGATCTCTTCCAGGTCGGCGCGCCGGACATAGCGCGCGAGCATGTACCAGATCTGGCGCGTGAACGCCGACAGTACAGCGAACACCACAACCGCGAGCGCACCAGTCTTGCCTAGGACGCCCGCCTCGGGCACGAGGAGCGCGCCAAGCTTGAGATACGGCGCGAGGAGGTACAGGAAGACAGAGACGGAGGAGAGGGGCGGGACGGCGGAGCCGCGCAGACGGTCCAGCTGGAGATCAGACTGGTCGAGGTCGAGGTCGTCTGCGTCGTCGTCGTCGCTAGAGAACCCGAAGGAGGTGTTGTTCGGGGTGTCCTCCGCGTCGGATACGAGAATGAGCGCGGCAGAGGAGTCGAAGCCGCCCAGGGGGGATTGGCGGCCAGACGCAAAAGAATCCGCGCTCGTTGAGGAGCGCGGGCTGCCCGGAGGAGACGGCATGGCGAGATCGGGATGCTACAGGCTACAAGTTGGCTACAGGGGGACCGGGTAGGGTGCGCGGGGGCAGCGTAGAGATGGCAGAAAGGAGCGGAGGGGGAGCAGCTGCAGAGCCAGCCTGCGCGAGGACAGCGCTGTCGGCAGCGTCACGGTCGGAGGGAGGGGGAGGAGGATGAGGAGGAAGCCAAGCGGAGGAGCAAGGCAAAGCAGGGATCGGAGAAGAACGCCTTGCGCTCGCTCTCAAGCTCGCGCGCGGCGACTGCGCAGCGTCCGGGGACCCAGTCCAGATCTTGTCCCGACCCCGCGGTCCCAGGGGGGCGCGTGTCAGAACCCCAACCTTATCTCCGCGAGCTGTCCGCGACTCTAGAATGGCGGATCACATCTCTGACGGTCACCCAATCTATGATCTCCAAGTGCATTCATCTTCAAGTGTACTTGCGGGCTAGCCTACTACGCCTTTTCTAATCGCAGAAGGTCAACAAGACGTTGCTGGAGTGTTTGGAAACCCAAGGTACGCAAAGTGACCCAGGTTCTTGACGATATTCGTATTTGAAACCCCTTCCCTCGGAAGGTGTCAAACGCGTCTACTTAAATAGAATTATCTTTGCTGGGGGACTCCGAGTCGGACTGGCCGCTCGGTGTCACACCCAGAACAAGGCTATACGAGGCGCGAGAACTTGATAGTGCACCCCTGGTATACGAATGGACATAACGGAACCACGACAGAACACGGGATGGAACACCGTGGCATACGTGTGAAACGGTGAGTACCCCGAACCGCGCCATCAGCCTCTTTCCAGCCTAACATTGCTCCGTTGAGGCTCTGTTTCATTGGGACCCAAGGATGAGTGCCACCGCCTCCGCTGACCGCGGCGTGATCGTGCAACGGGTGTCCTCTGGATATCTACAGCTCGAGACCGTCAGGAATAGCCGCGGCGGGAGTAACAGAAACAGAACGCACGATAGGAACCCGTGAGACGCCTGGTATTCGACCTTGATTGGACATCCATTCTCGTCCTTTGGCGGGCCAATGTCGAAGACCTGCAACACGCTCGCTGCGGTGAGGAAGAGCGCTGCATCTACGAAGTAGCGGCCCGGGCAGATCCTGTACGTCGGTCAGTACATCACCATCTTTGACGTCCAACACAAGCCGCCAACTTACCTTCTTCCCGACCCGAAGATGAGGGTTGCGGGATCCAACACGTCCGGGTTCAACTTCCCGTCTTCGCCTATGAACCGCTCTGGGTAGAACTTCTCAGGCTTAGGGTAGATGTGTGGGTCGTGCATACATGCCCTGGTGCACCGTATTCGTTAGTATTCTAATCCGTGTACGTTCCAGGTGCCCAGAGACAACACATACCAAACGTTGGGAACGACAGTTGTCCCGGCGGGTATGAAGTACCCGTTTACTTCGTCGTCCTCCACAGTCACATGGGCTATGTTTGTCGGAGACACATTGTGCCAACGCAAGGCCTCCTTTACCACGGCGTTGATGTACACAAGCGCGTCCCGGTCATCGAAGTCAGGAAGCCGGTGGGCACCGACAATGGCATCCAACTCCGCCCGGGCCTTCTGCTGCACCTCCGGAAAGAGAGACAGAGCGAGGATGAGGCCCTCGAGGGTTGAGACGGCCTATGGCAAATATAAATCACAACGTCAGGTACACAAAACATAGCAACTCACCGTATCTGATCCAGCTATTGCAACAATGTTTTGGTCAGCAGGACATCCCGAGTAGATGTAAGTTACACACCCTCGACGATGATGGCCGCAACATTCCTAGCGACTTGCTCTTCGCTCTCCGAATCGTCTTTCGAGCCGCTGAGCGATGTCTGTATCCCACCCAAGAGCTCCGCCACTATCGACGGTTCATCTACATCAGCTTTCGCCTGCGAGAACGGCACATCAAGCATCCACGCGCACGGCGGGTTCGACTCCGCAAATAATTTGTGAAAGCCCGCCCCGGGGAACCATGCGGGGAGATACTGGATGAGCGGGAAGTGTCGAAGGAGAAATTGCATAGACACGGTGACCTTGCGCAGGCCGGAGAAGGTGCTATCCACGTAACCGATCCGTGCGTCGTCTTCGTCCTCAAGGTCGATTCCGTACGTGATTTTCATCATCGTCCCGATGATTTGGCTAAAGAACGCTAAGGTTAGCGGCGCACACAAGCAGAGCCACGGGCTGAGACGAAGCTTACTATTGCAACAACTGCTTTATCTTGCCAGGGTTTTCCAACAGGCCCGCGAGGAGCTTCCACGTGAAGTCGCGCTGTATCGGCTTGTATTTGTCCACCTTTCCCGGGTGGAACTGTTGCCACAGCATGCGCCGGTGACGTCTCCAACGTGGGCCATACTGCATCATCGCGAAATCGAAGTCATGGCCAGCACTATGAAATATGGGACCGCGAAGAGCTGTGAGGCATCCTCTGAGACCCAAAAATGCGAAAAAGGTGTACGCACAGTGATATCAGGGGTGTCTCCACTCTGTTCGAGGTGTTGCTGGCGCGCTTGTCGAGTAGGTCGTGTATGACGCCGGGACTTCCGAGAACGACCATTGTCTCACCCAGAAGTTCAAGGTAAACGATTTCCCCTGAGAGGTCAGAGAATGCTGAGTGGGCATATACACACTGTCTGAGCCAAACAAGGTGCTTACCGTATTTTTCGCACAGATCACGCAAACCGTACCATGGCTTCCATGTGGGGATATCGAGCATGTTCCCGATAATGGGCCACCGCTTGGGTCCAGGGGGAAGCGGCCGGCCTCGCTGTCGGGCGCGCCGTTGTATGATGGAACGCTGCCAGAGAAAGACGCAGACCGACGCCACGAGAACGCATGCAAGGGTAAATACAGAGCTTAGTGGGTGTGGCATTGCTGCCAGGAAGTGAGACTCGCAGTGCGGGACAGGTTAAAGCCCATGAGCACTGGTGGGAGCTATATAAGCCAGAACCCGGCGCGCCTGTAAGGTGACAGGTTGACAGATGTGTTCCGCATCAGGCCTGTCGAGGTTACAACTTGGTCTGTAATGAGGAGTCAGAAAACGTAGAACGTACAAGTTCTCCTTGAGCTGTACGTTTGCTTGGAATGACAGGCCCTTCTGACTGGACCAGGAAGTAGATTGACTGACCTTGTCCCCTGACGTACAACAGTACCCGTCCTTTCTAGAGTACATGAGACGTGTGGCTTCAAAAAAATGTCTTGAAGCCCCCAGTCAAATCCCCTGCATATAACCCGGGTCACGGTAGCCCTGCATTGCGGTGCCTCGACTGCACTTGCCTCGGAATGTGTGGTGTTGGACTGCGCTTCACATCAATCCACAGACCAGTATCTCCTGGATTGTGGTTCGCTCCTGTATGGAAGCCGGATTAGAACTGCCAAAAACCACATCGGAGTGGTACTCCCCGGAGAGTCTAAAGGTCGTAGACACCCCCCTCCATGCTTCTTATGAATCTTATCCCACATCGCGACAGATTCAAGCCTCAAACTTATCTTCGCGAGCTGTCCACAGCGGATTGCATCTCTGACGGTCAATTTGTGATGTCCAACTTCGACCTCGCAGTGCCTTCCTTTTGACGACGTAACACGGAGCACGGGAACTTTCCATATCTTTCGTACTCATACAAATGGACATAACGGAGCTGCGACAGGAGAACGCAGTAATGACCGTCGCCTGCGGGAGAATGTCAGTTCGCCGAAACACCTAACATTGTACAGTTGCGGCCCTGTTTTCTTGATTCCCAAGGATGAGGGCCACCGCCTCCGCTGACCGAGGTTTGATCGTGCAGCGAGTGTCCTCCGGGTATCTACAGCTCAAAATCGTCAGAGGTTACCGCGGCGGGAAGACCGGAAATATTACGCACGACAGGAATCCGTGAGACGCCTGGAACTCGACCTTGATTTGACGTTCATTCTCATCTTTTGGCGGGCCGATGTCGAAGACTTGCAACACGCTCGCTGCGGTCAGGAAGACAGCCGCATCTGCGAAGTAGCGGCCCGGACAGATCCTATACGTCGGTCAGTCTATCACCATCTTTGACGTCCAACGCAAGCCACAAACGTACCTTCTTCCCGACCCGAAGATCAGCGTCGCGGGATCCAGCACGTCCGGGTTCAGCCTCCCGTCTTTGCCAATGAATCGTTCCGGGCAGAACTTCTCAGGCTCTGGGTAGATGCGTGGATCGTGCATGCATGCCCTAGGACATCGTATTCGTCAGTATTTTGACGTGCGTTCGCTCCAGGTACCAAGGGAAACCACATACCAAACGTTGGGAACGACAGTCGTGCCTGCGGGTATGAAGTACCCGTGAAACTCGTCGTCCTCTACCGTAACATGAGCTATGCTCAGCGGAGACACGTTGTGCCAGCGCAAGGCCTCCTTGACAACGGCGTTGATGTATACAAGGGCGTCCCGGTCGTCGAAGTCGGGAAGCCGGTGGGCACCGACAATGGCATCCAACTCCGCCCGGGCCTTCTGCTGCACCTCCGGAAAGAGGGACAGAGCGAGGATGAGGCCCTCGAGGGTTGAGACGGTCTATGGCAAATATTCGTTACAAGGTCAGCCACACAAGGCAGAGCAACGAACCGTGTCTGATCCACCTACGAAACAGTGCTTTTGTTAGCAGGGCATTTTGAGCGAAAAGAAGTCACACACCTTCGACGATGAGGGCGGCAACATTTCTAGCGACTTGTTCCTCGCTCTCCGAATCGCCTTCCATGCCGTTAAGCGAGGTCTCCATCCTACGCAAGAGCTCCGCCACGATTGGCCCCGCCTCTTTCGGACCATACGGTTCAGCTACATCAGCTTTTGCCTGCGAGAATGGCACGTCGAGCATCCACGCGCATGGGGGGTTCGCCTCCGCAAGCACCCTGTGGAAGCCCGCCCCAGGGAACCACGCGGGAATATACTGGACGAGCGGGAAGTGCTGCAGGAGGAACTGGACAGGCGCCGTGACCTCGCGCAGCCCTGAGAAGGCTCTGTCCGCGTAGCCGATCCGCACGTCATCTTCGTCCGCGAGATCGATGTCGTACGTGATCTTCATCATTGTCCCGATAATTTGGCTAAGAAAGAAAGAAGGTTGGTGACGCCCACAATTTGGAGCAGAGCCGCGCGCGAAGACACTCACTATTGCAGCAGCTCCTTCACCTTGCTGGGTCTCTCAAGCAGGCCCGCGAGGAGCTTGCGCGTGAAGTCGCGCTGTACAGGCTTGTAGCTGTCCACCTTTCCAGGGTGGAACTGTTGCCACAGCATGCGACGGTGACGCCTCCAGCGTGGGCCATACTGCATCACGGCAAGATTGAAGTCGTGGCCGGCGCTGTAAAATGCCCCGGGGAACTACACGTAAACGTCTGAGATCAGAGTCCACGAAGGTGATGGACGCACAGAGGTATCAACGGTGTCTCCACTCTGTCCGCGGTGTTGCTTGCGCGTTTGTCAAGAAGGTCGTGTATGGCGCCGGGACTTCCGAGGATGACCATCGTCTCGCCCAGGAGCTCGAGGTAAACGATTTCTCCTGCAAAATCGGAGTATTGTTAGTGGGCACAAACTAGTGGTCATACACGCTATCTGAGGCTAGCAAGTACTCACCGTATCGTTCGCACAGGTCGCGTAGCCCATACCATGGCTTCCACATGGGGACGTCGAGCATGTTCCCAATGAAGGGCCACCGCTTGGGCCCGGGGGGAAGTGACCGGCCTCGCACTCGGGCATGCCATCGTGTCATGGAGCGCAGGAAGAGCAAGAGGCAAACCGACGCTGCAAGGGCGCAGGAAATGGTCAACAGAGAGCTTTGTGAGTGTAGCATTGCTCTTCGGAAGCGAGACGTGTGCGGGTTGGGGTCCATGAACACCGGGAGGAGCTATATAGGCAAGCCCTGAGCCTGTAAGCTGGTAGGTTCATAGAGCTGTTCATAGATGCGTTCCGGATCAGGCTTGTCGAGGTACCGGCTTGGTCTATAATGAGGAGCAGGAAGCTGGCGAGACGTAAAACGCCCTCCTTGAGCCTTACGTATACGTGGAAATGATGCGCTCTTCACTCACCTTGTCCCCTGACGTACAACAGCACCCGTACGTTTTGGAGTCTATGAGACGTGTAAATTCACAGGAGGCCTTGGAGCCCCCGATCAAATCCGCCGCATATAACGGTAGTCGTGCTTCGCAGTGCCTCGACTGCTCTCTACTTGGAACGTGTGGCGAGCTTATTGGACTCAGGCGCTTCACTTCGAGCCACGGTTCAATATCTTACGGGTTGTAGTTCGCTCCTGTATGAGAACCCGGTCAGAACTGCCAAGAACCACCGTGCGGTGCCCACCGGAAAGCATAGATGCCGTGGATACCCCTCTTCGTGCTTCTTATGAGTCTTATCCCACATCGCGAGAAAGTGCAACGTTCACGAATAAGGTGTTAGCTATCAGTATACAGAGAGGCTGACTTAAAGCGGAGAACAACACAATCCTTGATCTGATATCGTTATGTTTCACAGCGGAGTCTTCACATCGGCATATCGTGGTTTGGGTCAAGAGATTCAAGTCGTTCGTAGAGTTAGGTTTGCTTTACATCAGTTACACGGCCTCCTCCGAGATCTCCTGCGCATGAGAAGTCTTCAGCAATGCAGCAGCTTCCGGCGACCGAGGTTTCACGGTGCATCGGGAATCTACTGGATATCTGTAGAACATGTAAGCGCATCAACCTAACCGCGGATGCGGGGTAGGCATACGAGAGGAATCCGTGGGACGCATTCAATTCGATCCTTATGGGGTTCCCGTAGGCGTCGAGAGGCGGAGTGATCTCGAAGGTGTGCAGCAGCGAGGCGACAGTGATGAAGAGCGCAGCGTCGGCGAAAAATCTTCCGGGACAGATCCTGTGGGCGAAAGGGTTCGAGTTGTAACATCATACGTGCAGCGAGTAATGGCCCACGTACCGTCGGCCCCATCCGAAGACTAGAGAGGCGGGATCCAGAACATTAGGGTCCAACTGCCCATCCTTGATGAAACGATCTGGGTTGAACGTGTCCGGGTCAGGATAAATCGCCGGGTCGTGCGCGCAGCCCCTGTTGGTCGCAGTGATATGAGACAGTGGGTCTTGTTGTCGGAAAGGTACGTACCATACGCCCCCGATGACTGTCGTGCCGGCGGGAATGAAGTAGCCGTGGAACTCGTCATCCTCCACAGTCCTGTGCCCAACACCGAGCGGGAGAACATTGTGCCAACGCAATGCTTCTTTGACAATGGCGTTGATGTAGACGAGCGAGTCGCGGTCGCTGAATTCGGGCAAGCGGTGCGGGCCTACGACTGTGTCTAACTCGGCTTGCGCCTTCTTCTGCACTTCTGGGTGGTGTGAGAGAGCGAGGAAGAGCCCTTCCACCGTGGAAAAGGTCTGTCAATAAGAATGAGCATGGATATTCAGAAGAAGCGTGCCACAGAATCTCATGACTGACCGTATCGGAGCCACCTAGAAAGTGAGCGAAATGATGAGTCTATGAGCTACACAAAGCGCCGGTCGCGTACCTTCCACGGCCACGGCGGCGACATTTTTTGAGATTAGCTCGTCTTCCTCCAAGACCTCCTTGGTCTGCGTGGTTTGCCCAAGTCTAGCAAGCAACTCCGAGACAAGGAATGCGCCTTTCGCTCCCTGCTCCTGTAGATTATGGGTCGATCGAGCGTTTCTGCGTGCTATTTGTAGGAATATCTGACTCACCACATTAGTCCTCGCCGTGTTAAACTCGACGTGAACTAGATGGTCACTCGGCGCCTGCGACCTTGTCAGGGTTCGGGCGAAGCCCGAGCCAGGCATCCAGTCAGGTAGGTGTCCGAGGACAGGCAGGAACTCGAGCAGCATCTGCACGGAGACGGTGAGCTCCCGCAAGCCTGCGAATCCGACGTCGATCATCTCGATACGGTCGTCCTTTTCGTCCACGATCTCGGCGTCATACACGACCTTCATCGCAGCAGCAGAGAAGTTGCTAAATAATGAAATGCGGCGTCACGCTGTGTTCAGTAACTGGGCATCAACCTCCGGAAAGAGATGAGACTCACTATCGGATGAGGTCGCGGAGTTGCGTTGGCTTATCGAGGAGCTTGACCAGGAAGTCGCGTGCGTAGGCCTGCTGTATAGGCCAGTAGCTCTCCGACACTCCGGAGTGGAAATGCTGCCAGAAGGCTCGCCGGTGGCGCCTCCAGTACTGACCGTACGGCATGAACGCGAAATTGTAGCCTTGTCCCGCACTGCAGCGTGTACGTCAACTCTTACCGCTGATGGGAGGTATATTTGAAGGAAAACACGCACAGCTGTATGAGGGGCGACACTGTCCTGTCGGATGAGTTGGCGGAACGCTTTTCGAGCAGCTCGAAGATGACGCTGGGGCTTCCGAGGACGAGGATTGATTGGCCGAGAACTTCGAGATATGTGATTTCACCTGAGAACAAAGGTGAGCGAGGTGAGGTAGGTCTCGAAAGCCTAATGCGACTCACCATATCGCGCAGTCAGATCGCGGAAACCGAGCCACGGTTTGAACCGCGGGATGCTCAACAAGTTCCCGACGAGGGGGAGCCTCTTGGGCCCGGGAGGGAGCGGCCTGCCGCGTGCGCGAGCCCTCCAAGAGATGACAGAGCGCAAGTACAGCAAGACGAGGAAGCATATTGCGAAGGCGCAGGGAACATTCATGAGAGAGTGCAGGGGGATCGCCATGATGCTCGGTGTTGTTTTGGGGTGCAGTTAAGCTCTTCAGGCGGGTGGACGTGCGTGTTTTATAGTAAGTCCGGTGAGTGTCCGACTGTTGTTGAGGCCCTCTAGCAGCGCATTATGTTAACCAACCGGAAGTCACTCGTGCCATAGCAGTACAAATTGAGGACACGCGGGTGTGCGTTCTGTCCATGTAGCTGCCGGTGTTCCATGCATCGGCCAAACTTAGGCGGCGATCCTCAAAAAGAGAGAGAGGAGCCGCATCCGTGAAAAAACTCAACGTGCTCACTGATTGTGACGTATGTGCTGTTGCAACCGTCCAGTTAGCTCTTCCTCGGCAATCACTTATGAAACGCACTCACTCACTTGGAAGGTGCCGCCAGCTGAGGACCGTAATGGCAGTGGGCAGCATACACAAAAAAGGACATATCCTATACCGACCAACCTACAAAGAAGCCGAAGGATGATAGTATATTCTCCTCATCCAGCGCCGCCTTCTCGTCATGCCACCAGAGTTCCTCCACTCTTCTAGTGGATACGGGTGCGGCATCAGCCAGGCATCGTTCGTATACACCCAGCCACCTAAAGAGCGACGTGAAGTTTGAGTCAGGTCATAAGAACGGTATGGAGACTGCCCACCTTCGTCTGCTCCTCCCGGGCCGATCCAGGAACCCTCTATATCGGGCCGCCAGTCCTCGGTCTCGACGAATACCCAGCCTGCGCCTAGGGAGAACGTGAGGTTGCTGCTGCAAGGGATGGATGTCAGACAGAGTTCGCCCTAGAGCCATCCTGGGCGAAAGACGCGAGGAACGTGCTGACCTTACTTCGCCACTCCCGTCATCGGACACCCCGCTCCATCCATCCCGTCCACGAGTCCACGCCTTGCGTTCCCCCGGCTTTAGGTTCGTCTTGCTCCAAGCCCCTTCCGTCGTCACACTCTCCTCGGAGCTGCCGTTAGGCCCCGGGGCCCAGCGTTCGTTCTCCCACAGCTCGACTTCGCGGAGCTCCGTCCGCCAATGCTTGTCCTCCAGGTTATCGTCGTCGACGACGCGCAAGGCACGGAAGCGCATCGCGTTCACCATGTGACGGAAGCCGGATTGCAGTGTAGGGAAGAGTGTGTGTTGCGTGAACGGATGAGTCAGGAAGAAGGGGGAAAGCCCGAGTACCAGGCAGGTAGCGCGCATAGGAAGCATGTGCACCACGGGGATTAGAAGGAAGAAGGTAGCCAAGCCGATGGAGAGAATGACCGTAGTGTACGGAGACGAGTACGTCAGATACGGCACGAACTTCGCCGCGAAGTCATGGGCATCGGACCTATCAACGAATGAGAGCGGGATGTTAGCGATCCTAATCCGTATGTGCGATTGCCATGAAAGCTTACACCGAACCCATAAGGTTCTGGATTGCCTGCAAGTTAGCGAGCCAGTCGGCGCTGCCCTCGGCGGGTTGAGTGGGCGGCATGGGCTGGGTCACTCTAGGCGGCGCGTCAAGGTTCTCTCCTTTACGTATTGCCGGGTGTGTGGCGAGGAGAACACCAAGGATGACAGCATGGGGCAACAAGAACACTAGCCGCGGGAAGTAGCCTGCAGAATGATATATCGTGTAAGCCGCAGCGCACTGGAGTGGTACAACATTTGCCTCACACAGAAATGCGTAGGCTGCCATCCACACGACGGTGTACTTCCAGCCCCTTTTCCAGAGAATGATCTCCTCGATTCGATCCTGAAGCCAGAAGACAGGTCCACTCTTCGCGACGAACTTGCGAAAGTTCGTGGTCGTGATAGGTATTGATAATGGGTCTCGTGTGCTGAGCAGACGCGGTGCACCGTTCTTTGCTCCATACGTATGCGGGGTCGAAGGCGCATTGGTGGGCAACTGCAGCGCAGACGTAAGCAGCATGGAGGTCAGGTTAGATCCCGTCTTGGTGGGCGACATGGGTTGCGTCATGGGCATTGGTGATGCACTGCGGACGGGGGAATGCTCTGGCCGAGGAAGAGTGGTGACCACCTTGGGGGCAGGGCGGAGGTCATGGTGGGAGTCGGTCGAGCGGAGACGTGTGGCATAGGATGGTACTTCGACGTAGTCAAGAGTGGCCATTGTCTCCTGGTCCTGAGAAAGTGGGGGCCTCAAGCCAGAGTGTCTGGCACGCGGTACACGAGTGGTCCGCACGAGAAGTTGAGGCTATAGGAAGACAAGTCGAAGCGTGGCCCTCCCAGTTTACAGGGTATCCTCTTGCTGGTAGGTATTCAAGACTAGCTCAGAGTCAGAAGTCGTACGTCGTAAAGAGGTCGTTCGGGTGCAGAGCAGGATGGTGGTCCGACATAGACTGAGCGCTGCCGCAGAGTGTGGGGAAGACAGACATGTGATTGGCGCAGCGCAAGACGCGCATGAGGGGCTGCGACGCACTCGTCTGCCTTTACGCTTCCACCTTCCACCAACCTCCTGGCCTGAGCCAACTCTTGAGTCTCCCTGGTTTCTTCTGTGGCCGCGTATTCTATGACCAGCTAATCCCTGAGGAAGCCGCCAACGTTTGACTCTTGTGGCTGCATGGCGATACCACTCCCTTCTCCCGAGTCTCTAGCTCACCGTGCTCGCCTTGCTGCGTTGTTCTCCCAGCTGCGTCCAACCCAATTTCGCGCGCCTCTGACGAGACTACCTGCACATCGCATTCCAACATTATGGACGCTCTACCGAGGAGTCCTGCGCGACGCACCCACGGACACTGTACGCCCCATTCCACTCCAATGCACGAAAACTATCATCACGAACCACTTTCTTATGCATTCTCTGTGAAGATCAGGGGGCATATGCGTGACTTCTTCCGCGAGCGCAAGTGTGCGCGTGAACAAGGAGACGTTACACGGTATTTGAGGACAGCTTATGCGGTATGTTCAATACGCAGGTTTCTCTCTAGAGAAAACACCTTACCAGTAACATGCACGCGTAGCGATGGGACGTCTTCCAAAAGGTTAAGGCGGGCGACAGACACTTCGATGCCGTCTGCGCGCGTTACAGCAGAATGATCCAGGGGGCAGCCTTGCAAGCAGAGACCGGGGCTCGCTTCCGAAACGAGCTGGTAATTCACCATTTTTCTGCAGGGGGCCATTCCGTCCTTACCCCCCCACCGCAGGCATGGCAGGAACGCTTGCGAACGCGGCCCGTTCTGACTGGTGCATACATCAAACCTACTATACTCCACGGGCCCCTACCGCGAATGCGGCCCCAGCCATTACATGTCACCGGCATGATCGTCTGGCGGCGGAAAGCGCGCGAAAGGCGGCTGGCTAAGCAAGAGCAACTGCAAGAGCAGATGAAATATCTCGACGCAGAGAGCGAATTTGAGCGAAATCTCGCTCGAGGCTCAAACGGCGCCCCATTTGAAGGCGCCTTCGACGTCTATGGCGACAGCTGGCGTACGCACCACGAAACTGACCCCAGTATTCGCATATGCTGACGCATCCTCTTCAGGCGCACCCATAACGCATGACCTCCAGGACATTAAACGGTCCTTCGACCAAGGGCGGCGGCGGTCACGGATGCCCTTCCCCCCTGCGCTGCTCGAGCAGATCAAGTCCGCACGGCGCGCGAGGATCGAGAACAAGACGCGCGAGCGCGAACGGGAGCGGCGGGGAGAGATGACCAATCGGCTGCTCAAGCAGATGCGTGGGCGGCCGCCCGCTCATAGGCTTGCGCTGATGTCCCTGCGCCAGCGACGCATGGATGCGATCGCGCGTGGGGTGAGCGAGGTCGGGTACGTCGGGCAGGTAAAGCGTGCGCTAGGTTTCAAGCTACGGAATCCGGACGCGTGGAAAGCAGAGATGGGTAAGCCGGAGAACAGAGAGATGCTGGATCGGCTGGCGAAGGAGGTAGAGGAGGAGAACGCCCGGCGCGAAGCGGAAGTTCCTACGAGTGCAGGCTAGCCTCTAACGAGAACATACCCTCGTACCCCATACAACATGCAGCATATAATGGAACTTAATTGACGGCGTCTTCACGCGCTCTTCGTCCGGATGACGAACAGTCTGGAAACTACTACAGCGCATGCGCCACCCAAAAGCCTCAAACTTTGGCCTGTTCAAGCTCTAGTGAGTGCCGCCGATGATTTTCGTCGGACGTGAGCCTTAATCGGTCGGACATCAGGGTGTCAAGTACAAGACGCAGAGGAACCCTTGCAAGGTGGCCGGAGCCCAGCATGGTGGCGCGCGAACCGTGATATTGGCGCAGGTTGGTGTTGTGGGTCCACTGCCGCGGGTTCTTTCGTCAAACTTGACATCACCATGACGCATCTCCTACCTTCCTCTCCCGCGCTGCCAGTATAAGAAGCAGCCTGGTTCCGCAGCGAGACTACAGAACCACACAACGACTCACTCAGCGCCCTGTCACACCCGTTCAACCATCTTTTCTCTTCGAACCCTACCATTTACTGCCATTATGTCGAGCACTCGCCGCCAGGACGTTGCGGATCGCACAGTCATGACCGACGAGGTAAACACCTTCAAAAAGCCCTTCCAGACGGTAGACCGTCCACACGTCACCGAGCGAGACATCCATGAAGAATACATGCAAGACCCTCCTCATGTGAGTTCACGCCTTGGTTGTCTTCCTTAGTCGCAACGTGCTGACGTGCGTGTCTAGAATCAGCCTTTCGAGCGCAAAGGCGGTGATTACGGGGGCCAGGGTTTGAAGGAGGGCGCACGGGAGGAGACCGACCCGAAGGAGGACGGTATTCTGGGGGACCAGGCTACGGGCAAGGAGCTGAAGCAGTCCGTGTTGGGGTCCTTTGCAATGGAGAGTTCTGTCCACCCAGGGAACCCCATATAGGGAGCCCGGAGGCGCCATGCGATTGATCAGGCCTAGGATAGAGTAACATGTATCACTAGACGGATGTGCAAATTTCATGAATGCTTGATTATCGTGCGCATATATATGTCTTTGAGACATTGCGCGGTGGAGTATACGGCATAGTGAGGCTTAGTCGGGATTCGCTAGATGTTGTGAGCAAAAGAATACAAATCAAACCGACCAAACCGTACTGTGTGTCACCTCCCCCGCCCCGAGAGGCGGAAGGAACACCAGTAGTAAGTGCATTAAGGGGGAATCGAACCCCCGGCGGGTCGATGGCAACGACCCAGGTTACCACTACCCCATTAATGCTTGCAAATAAGCGACGTCCGCTGCATCCACTCGACCTTCCCTTGCCACTCTCCTTGCCTCCACAACGCCCAAACAGCCAAATGGTCCGTGCGCGCCCATCCTCCGGTATATAGCTCCCCGTCGACCATCATGAATCCTTACCACTCTGGCCTTTTGGCTTAGATCAAGTGTAGTATCTGTTCTTAATAGTTTAACCACTATTATGGGGCCACCGGCCCCATTATTGGTTATCTAATTTTTGCCGCCCCTGTCCGCTGGGCTCTGCTTGCAACCCGGGGGCGCGATGACCTTGCCACTGCAGTATCGGCTTGTGTCGTCGGGGGATCTGTTTGGTCTTGTTCTTTTTGTTGCGTGTTTGTGACCGGCCAGTTGGCTGGAAGCTACGCGGTTCAAATGGAATGAGAGCAATATTTGTTTGGATGGTCTTCTCCATGATTCGTTCAGTCGAACTGTGTCTACACGCTGAATACATAGAGGTGGGTGCCGGTTTACACCCGTTGCTAATTACTACACCGCGTGTATGAGCTTTCGCATTTATTTCGGCGTCCGGTGAGCAGAATTTTCGGAGCGCCCGTGCAGCGGAAGAGGTCCCCGAGGTGCCGCGTCTATGAGCGCTTAACATGTCCCGACGCACGCTTGCGCGCTCTCTGCTTGTCTGTTGCCTCTGCCACCAGCTTCCACCATGTCCTCCACAGACGCAAGCACGTCTGAGAGCCCATCCTCATCTACGTCCGGTGCGCCCGCCTCGTCACCGAAGCGCCTCGTACACCAAGTCGAAACGACTGGGAGCTACTGGGGCGACCTCAAGGAGGCCTTCAAGGTGCGCCCACGCATCTACCGCGCCCGCGCACAACCAAGACGCTAACGCAGGCTCACCTAAGGAAGAGAGTCTCCGTGCGCGATGACCTCTCGCACATCAACGAGATACCGTGCGCGCGCAACAGCCTTTTGAGCGGCATCGCGAGTGGCGTCGGGATTGGGGTCATCCGCGGCATGTCCGCCAGTGCGTATCTGCTCGTCACACACATCTTATTCGCGACGGTATAGCTGAACGGGCGTGCGGCAGGCGTTCTGGTCGCGTCAAATTGGGCTGTTGGGTCGTTCATGCTGATTTCCCTTGGCTCATGGTGCGTCGCGGTGCGCTATGTCTACATCCCGCGGGGAGCTCATGAGACGTTTGGTGGGTGGACAGGACGATATGCCAGCGCAATAGGGAGGAGGAGCGACGTCGGCTGCAGCAGGTCATCGAGGCGTTGCCGAAGCGGTACGTCAAACCGGAGGAGGGCACGTCTACCAGTGAGCAAAAGTCTGCCTGAGATGCATTACCAGCACTAGTTGCGTTGCACACGGACCCTCAACCTCGAGGGATGAATCGCTTTCGTGCCGCGGTCTCACTCTTAAGCTATATATCTAGCATCCCGAGCCGTCTATACCTGGCGAATGCAGACGTAGCGCAGGAATCCAAGCTTAATCACGACCGCTGGGCGCGTTACCATTATATTCCTACAGGTCCACCAGTATTCCACTTCTAAGCATAGGCCGTCTTGTTCCTTCCAACCACTACAGCCACTCCGGGTGACCCCAGACCTCTTTACTCCAATTCTCGACGAGTTCGGGGTCCTTTCTGTACTTCGCCTGGAAGTCGGTGAAACCGCCCCGGAGGACGAGGACTTGGTGAGGAATGTCCTCGCCGTCTCCCTCCAGCTGATCTCTCGCTTCGGCGTAGATCTACATCGACCGTCAGTCATACTGTCCATGAATGTCAGCGCGCAGCGAACGTACTCGTGCGGCTTTGGGGCCACTGAACACAAAGGCAAATTAGCGACAGTCGCGACTAGAAGAAAAGGAAGAGGCACACACCGTACTTGCGACAGCGCGCAGTGGAAAACAACGATGGGCACGTTCTTGGTTTTCTGCACGAGGTCGTTCACCTGGACATAGAATTGATTCGAGGGCGCGTTCTGCGCGCCCTTGATGTGTCCACCGATATAGTCGTCGTCGCGGACGTCGATAACGCAGTAGTCTTTGCCAGAGACCTTGTCGCTCTTGATAATCGCAGCGAGCTCCTATGCGCGCGATGAGTACACGGCACAAAGGGTTAGCAGCACGTATACGCACATCTGCGGTGATATATTTGAGCATCGTAGCGCGTAGGGTTAAATTAGAGGTGGCGAGACCGCGACGAGTGTCAAGAGCGGTGCGAGTGCAAGGCAGGCGCGCTGAGGAGCAAAGGGTGCGAGAGAAAGGGAGCAGAGATGCTGGAGAGCGGGAGAGAGAGCGAGGGAGCAGTAGAAGGCTTGCTGCGTGGGTACCATATCGGGAATGGGACACCAGCAACGACGGGAACCGCGTGGAAAATGACCGAAATGAGCCGCCGAGGGGCGTCAGCGATGACATGCCCAGTGCGCTCTCAGTCTCAGCGAGAGGCACGCGCGGAAGACCGGGGCGAGAGCGCGAGCTCAGCGCGGACTGAGATAGCTGCGAGCTGGGCGATTGGGTGTGCTCAGCGCAGGAGGGGTGCCGGGGCCGTTCCGTTGTTACCGCGACCCGCTGGTGCTGGCGGGAACGAACGCGTCGTCGGAGCGCCCGCGGGTTCTAGCGGCACGAACGCGACCAATCAATGTCGATTGGGCGCGTTCCTGCGTACGTATCGCGCAGGCGGTTGGCTGCAGCGAGGAGGGGGTGCATGATGGACGAGGAGATGGCGAGCAGCTGGTGGCAGCTGGCGTACGTGTGTTGGGGGGCGGCGGAGACCACGAACGTGAGCTGGCCAGGCGCGTGGGCGCGATCCGGGATTTCCCGGCGCCTTAAAGCGTCGCCGCGCCCCAACGTTTCTTGCCAACGTCACTACTCCTCTCGCCATGTCTCTCCCTCAGCCCGTCCCCCCGTCCTGGAAGGTACGAGCTCGTCGTCGTCCACGGTCTCTGCGGCGTTTTCTCATGCGCTCGACGCGTCCAGGATCTCGGAAAGTCGTCCAACGACCTCCTTGGCAAGGACTTCCCCATCAGCAACGTCCAGCTCGAAGTCAAGACCGTGACGCCTACCAATGTCGCCTTCAAGGTCTCTGGCGCCCGCGACGCGAAGTCGAGCCTCATCGGCGGTGACATTGAGGCCAAGTTCTTCAACAAGCCCCACGGCCTCGTCTTCACCCAGGGCTGGACGACCTCCAACATCCTAAAGACCCAGGTTGAGATTGACAACCAGATCGCCAAGGGTGTCAAGCTCGACCTCCAGACCGCGCTCACCCCCAACACCGGTGCGAAGTCTGCGCTGTTCACCACCACCTACAAGCAGCCCGGCCTCCACACCCGCGCGTTCCTCGACGTCTTCAAGGTGCGCGTCTCCGCGACCTGATGACGTGACATGGCGCGCTCACCTGACCTTATTTTCCAATCTGCGTGTTCGCATTCGCCAGGGCCCCACGTTCACCGCTGACACCGTCATCGGTCGCGACGGCTTCCTCGTCGGTGCTGAGGCGTCGTACAACGTTACCGAGGGCAAGATCACGAAGTACGCGACCGCCATCGGCTACAGCGCGCCCGAGTACGCCGTCACCCTCCACGGTCTCGGCAACCTCAGCACGTTCGCCGCGAGCTACTACCACCGCGTCAACCCCGACGTCGAGGCTGGCGCGAAGGCCGTCTACGACACCCGTGCGTCGCCTTCGGGCAACGTCGGCCTCGAGGTTGGTGCCAAGGTCTACCTTGACGCGGCTGCGTTCGTCAAGGCGAAGATCAACAACACCGGTATTCTTGCTCTCGGTCAGTATTTCGCGCATATATGCACCTCTTACAGGTCCTAACCAACTATTCTCGCAGGCTACACGCAGTCGCTCCGCCCCGGCGTTCGCGCGTCGTTTGGTCTTGCCCTGGACACCCAGCGGTTGAACGACCCCGCGACCCAGGGTGCCCACAAGGTTGGCGCGAGCTTCACCTTCGACGGTTGAAAACCCTTTATTTTAAGAGGGAGAGTTGGCGTATCAGTTGTAATCATAGCTATAGGATCAATGCGTAATTCGCTCTGTAGTGCAATGCATGACACTGATGACGGCCTGCTCCGAAGTTTCGTGGTCAGATCTTGCGTGGAGGTCGAGCACGCTCCCTTCTGCAATCCTTTGTGTAAACGGCGTACTATGTTTTTCTGGTGGAAGCAGTCCTTGTGCCGGTTATAGACATATCTCCAGGTACCTTCTCCGCTCACGCAGCTATAGACGTTGTGCTCAAAGTACCGTAAGCCCTCACGGTGTAAATGAACGCGCTCCAGCCTTCCCGACATCTCCCGCCAATCCGACCATGTCCGGGAAAACAGATACTAGGAGCCTCTTCCAAACACCCTTCGGAAACGTCATCCAGATGGACGGCCGCGCCTGTGATAGCATGAGCATACGAGTGGCACTACGAGCTGGTATGTGACTTGCCTGGAGGAAAGTAATGTACGTTCACGATACCGCCGTCGGGAGCCTATACGTGAGAAGAGCCCTCTTGTTAACTCGGAACATCTTGTTGGGCGTACTGAGCCTCTGCATAAATTGCGCAGCGGTACTAGATACCCAACTAGAAGAGAACGGTCAACATGATACATGTTGATGATATCTGGACAAATGGCTCAACCTGTCACGAAAGGAGAACACTGCGCCTCCTGGCCAGGACAGCTCGTCCCGCCTGAGGTTCTCGGACGGTTTCGGGTGAACGAGGCCTTCGTCACTCCACACTTCAGATGCATCTGAGTCGGGAGCAAAGAATGAGCATGGCTCGATTGGGTGTAGCTAGTGTAGCGCACTGACGTACGCCGAGACTCACCAGTGTCAGAGGTATCAACGTGCGCGGCGACCTCAGTATAGGGCATCCGCCGGGCTGCCTGCTTCCTCCACCAGCATGCATCGTATTTGGACCACTTAGGTTCGGGGACGATGAGCTGGAGTAGTTCTAGGCGATGGACACGCTGGAACCTTTTGAAGATGCCGACGAAGGGGGGAGAGAGCACGTTCCTGAGGAACTGTGTCCGCGTCATACTTGCGGTCGCTGCGCGTGGTTCGAATTGCAGAGTGACCTGGGCGAGCGTGCTGTCTTGGTGAAGACTCATCCCAAGAACCGTGCCGACGTATAGTGAGAAACTGGTGAGGTCCTCGGAGGTCCATGGGGTAGAGCTTTTGACGAGTCGCCACGTTAACTCCTGAAGGTTTGGTAAAGAGCGAAGGTAGGGGACCTGATCTTCACTCAAGGCAGGTCAAAATTCGAATCGGCGACCGTATGTGGTAAGGGTTATGCGCTTACGATTCATTTCGATTGTGTATATCTCCCCCCACGACGTTTCCACCCACGACAACGTGAGGTAGGTTATATTCGCCCGAGACATCCGCACGGAAGGGAGCTCGTCCTGGAGAGGAAAAAAGCCTATATTGAGATGTACCACGACGATGAACGATAGGTCGCTCGCGACAAGAATTGAATCGACTCACTCCTACGACGTGTAAATCCGTGAGCTCAAGGCACACCCTAGGCCTCTTCTGGACGATGTTCTCCAAATTTATACTGGGCGTCCCTTCAAACTTGATGTCGATCAGTCTGAGGGTGCGCAGATGGCGAAAGGCCCAGACAACACGGAGAAGGTCCGGGAGAGTCTTGAAGCATGCGCCGATGATGTTGAGCTCGACTATGCGGTACTGCGCGGCAGTCTCGTGGTACCGATGATGCAGTGCGTGCCAAGGAAAGTGACTGAGTGTAAGGATCCGGACGTTCCGCAGGGCGCGAACGAGGGCGTCCTCGGCGAAGGGTATGTAGTGGTCCTTCATCGGCTTCTTCGCGCTTGTGAGTTTGAGATCGCGCTGAAAGCGACTTGCCGGTGCGCGTATCTCCAGCGCACCAGTATGATGCCCTTGCTCCGGATTCTCCTTTAACGGCCGCCCGAGAAAGAGCTCCTGCACAAACTCCGCAAGAAAGGGATGATCGGCAATGTTTTGAGAGACTCTTTCGAGCTGGCAGCGCTCCTGAAACCAAACACAGCGATACAGATTGAGACGACTGCGGGGAAGCCAGTTGCGGCAGGTCAGCGCGCATGCGCGGAGGTCATTGGGGTGCGATGGGAAGTGGAACCTGTCGGAGCGGCCGTAGCCGACGAAATCGATGATTCGCTCGCAGACTTCTACGGGCAGTCGGCACTGATCCATCTCGTCGTCTCTGTGTAGGTTGGCGGTGGTGGATTGTTGTAGGGGCTTTGGATATGTTGATGTGCTGGAAAGGAAATCCTAGAGACTCGTTAATAGACGTTACTTGCAACGGGGGCTGACTTGGGGGAGTAATGCTATACCACCAGTGACGCAAAACACATCCTCGCCCACGAAATGGTCATCGTGATACAAGCGCGGGCTCCACCTGAGTTGATAAAAACGCGCCGGAAAAATTTGTAATGGGTAGATGGTGTGGATGGGCAAGAGACTGGAGGAGAAGAGAAAAGGAGAGGAATCCCGGGGAAGGATAGTGCTTGAAGGGACAGTACTGCCCGACGGCGCCACTCCAACATACAATATTTAAGTTGAGCATGAAGCTTCCTGCACAGGTTGGTGGAGCCTGAGGCCTAGCCTGAGGCCTGAGGTGCACATGGCCCCCGGCGGGAGTTGTAGCCATGTGCGCCCCTCATGACCTCACTCTTGTACATGTTTTGTATTCCTATCTTATTAACACTACAGTACAGCCCCTTTGAGACATAAGATTACACATAGACGTACTTCTGCTCTCAAGGTTCATCAAGCACCAACCGGCTGCTCGGTGCCCGCGTTCTCGCCCAATCCATTGGCATACTGGAACTGATCCGAGTTCTCGTACTGCGAGGACGAAGTTCAGTACAGGTATCCGTGGAGAACGAACGCAGTGACAAACCTCCCACATATCCATCGCGACCTGACAGCTCTCCCGAACAACGCGCGGCGCGTCCGGCTTCGCCATGTACTCCTTCAAATACGGCAGCACCTCGGGGGTAGCGATGCCCCCAAGGGCCTCCGCAGCCTCGTGCCGCACCATTTCAGACTCCCGCGAGTCTTGAAGCACTGCGAGGAGTGCAGGGACGGAGTGTGTGGAGAGCAGCTGGCCGAACACGAACGCGATCTCGTGCTTGAAGAGCGCGCTGTCGTCGGCGAAGCCGGCGGCGAGTGCATCTACTGCGGCGGGTGTGCCGATATTCCGGAGTGCGAACATCGCGCGGTACCGCTCGAAGAGGGAGAGGGAGGTGTCGAGGAGGGTGGCTCTGAGCTTCGCGACGTTCTCGGGTGAGGCGTCGTTGGCTGCGCCCTGCCCTGCGAAGAGTCCGGAGCTTGGAGGTGCGGGGTCGATGGAGGTGTAGGTTCTGAAGTCCGTATGAGCACACACGCGTGAAGGTAATTTGGAGGCAAACTACGTACTGCTCCGCAGCATCCGTAGCCCACTGTAGAGACTTCTTGCCCTCTTCTGAGTTGTCCCACTCAATCTTGGCGAGCGCGATCTCGCAGGTCTCGCGCACGCAGCGCTCGGGGTCGTTCAGGTATTTCTTGAGGATACTTATCGATGATGGGGAGGAGATTGCACCCAATGCTTCAGCCGCCTGAACAAACAAAACGCAGCGGTTAGCACCTCCGGAATGTTCTCCTCCAGGGGAAAGCAACTTACGAACCTCATGGCGGACCATCGGATCCTCCTTCTCCTCTGCGAGCACGGTCTCCAGTATCGGAATGGCCCTCTTGTTCTTCATTTGTCCGAGGCAGTACGCAAGCTCGTGCTTGAGTAACGCACTCTCATCCGCGAAACCTAGGAATTCAAGTCAATACTCCGCATAAACCGATCACCGAGCGTGCATGCCCACCTTTTGAGATGATATCGACGGCCTCGTCGTTTTTGAGCGCCTTGAGCGTAAACAGCGCTCTAAAGCGATTGTGCAATGGCACATTGCCCGGGCTATTGAGCAGCGCGGCCTCGAGGGCGGCGAGGGACGAGGAGGACGCTTCAGCCACCATGGCGGTCGGGAGGGAAGATTAGAGATTAGATTGAGCGCTTGCGCGCAGATCGGTGCTGTAAGAAAATTTGGAGATTAGATCAAGAACGCTCGATCGGCGCGCGCCTGCCCCTCCGTCTCGCAAAGTCTCGCGGAGGATCTCAGTCTGGACTGCTGCCATTCTCCTCTCCTGCCGCTTTCCTTGTCCTCGACGTCCGTCTAGCTTCGCTTGTACACTGCTTAGTAAACTGGATCCCATACATCTGGTGACTGTATCTGACTCCGATCTACCGCTATGCCCAAGTCGAAACGCTCAAAAATCGGTAAGGACGCTCTGGTGCTTGTTCTGCGGGAGGACGCGGGTTAACGGTCGATGCAGTCTCGTTGACCAAGGTCGCAAAGAAGACAAGAGAGGACAAGAACGTGTTCCTACAGGAGGTATGTCTCACTCCATACACTCGCGCCCGCTCGTCCGCTCACCAAACGCGGTAGATCCAAGAAAATGCCGACAAATGGCAATACTGCTGGTTGTTCGAGGTCGGCAACATGCGCAATTCGCACCTAAAGACCGTCCGGAAACTATGGAAAGAGTACGTTTCCCTCCTCCTCCTACGCCGTCTCTATAATTCACCAACCACGCGTCTTCAGCACCGCACGGATATTCTTTGGCCGCGGCGCGGTCATGGCAAAAGCGCTCGGCGCAACGCCCGCAGAAGAGCACCGGCTCGGGCTGCACAAGCTCGCCAAGCAAATCAAGGGCCAAGTCGGGCTCTTCTTCACCGACACTGCCCCGGAAGAAGTCGTCGACTGGTTCGCGGACTTCCAGCAGCCCGACTTCGCGCGCACCGGCAACCGCGCGACGCGCGCGGTCGTGCTCCCCGCGGGGCCCGTGATGCAGCAGCACGCGACGCCGCCCGAGCCGTTCCCGCACAACGAGGAGCCGCAGCTGCGCAAGCTGGGGCTGCGCACGCGCATGGACCGCGGCGTGCCGACGCTCGACGTGCCGCACACGGTGTGCGAGGCGGGGCGGGTGCTCACGCCCGAGCAGACGCAGCTGCTGAAGCTCATCGGGATCAGGATGGTCACGTTCAAGGTCGGACTGCGCGCAAGATGGGAGGCGGAGAGCGGGGAGGTCGTGCAGGTCGAGGGCGAGGCGGTCGAGGCGGACGCGGCGCCGGAGGAGGAGGTCGAGGCGGCGGAGGCGGAGAGTGCCGATGCGGTGATGAGCGAGTGATGTTGTATGATTTCTTTGCGCTGTTTTCTGCTACTGTCTGTTGCTCTACTAGCATTGCATCATCCAGGTCTTTTCACTGGTACGCCGCAGTCGGTGTATCGCGAACATTCGTCAATTCCGTCAAGCTACACCATCATACATCCATGGTACCCTGTCTCGCGACTCTCTACTCCTCATCGAACACCAACGCCCTAACCTCAATCGACTGCCTGTGCGGCGCATCGCTCGGGCTCGACTGGTCCCAAAACGCGGTATGCGGCGTGAGCCGCGCGCGGTCCGTCTCCGAGTCGTAGCACTTGATAAACGTGACCTCCTCCGGCGTCTGCTGCGCGAGGTGCCACCAGCGGTGCGCAGGGTTGTAGCGCACGCTGAACGTCGCGCCCTCGCGGTCCGGGTACAGGTAGCGCACGGGCACGAGGTCGTGCTGCTCGTCAAGGAAGCGCCAGTCGCCCACCGCGAGCGGCTTGTGGAAGACGGGGTTCGCGATGGGGCGCCAGACGTTGATGAGGCGCACGCGCGACTGCAGGAGGCGGTCTGCGTCGTCCCCAAGCAGCTGCCGCACGCGCTTGACGGTCGCTTCGTAGGTTTGGTCGATGTGCACGCGTTCCTGTGGGGCCAGGGTGAGTGGGTCTCTGGGTCGGGGGCGGGCGGTGCGTACCACAGGACCGCGGGTCTGGTTCCTTGGGAGCGTGCCGTCCTTCTCGTGGTGACGCCTGCAGCCTGCAGCATCAGTACGCTTTCTCGCGAAACGCCGGAGACTGCGGACCTGATAGTATGGTCGAAGATGACCACTTTCTTCGCCCCAGACACGTCCTTGAGCAGCTGCTCGATCTCCTTGTAATACTCGCCCCGGATCTTCTCCTCGTCCACGAACTCCTTCTCGGCGCTAACATGGCGCGCGAACTGGAAGCCGTTCACGTCGAGGCTGAACTTATCCTCGCGTCCGCGCGCGTCGTTGATGACGACCGGGCGTGGGTCGTCGCCGAGGTTGTGCTCGGGCTTGCCAGGGGGCGGGGTGAGGTGTATGTAGCGGTACGGCGCCTCGTCGCCAGTAGGGGCGTAGTAGTTGAGCGTGGCGGGGACGTCGTGCGGGGTGAGGACGGAGGCGATGGCCATTGCTGCTAGTGGTCGCTGGTGAGTGTGTAGGTGTGCGTGCGACCAGGAATGCTCGCGGTGGGGCACTTAAGTATACCGGCGGGGCGTCCAGGAGCTCGAGAGTCTCACTAAGCAGACAAGTATATTAAGACGCAGTGGTGAGTGAGTACGCCTCTTCTGCCCGAGGAGAAGCTTGAGTTGAGGTCTGTTTTGTCAGGGATCTATCATCACCGAGTAGGCAACAAGTGCCGTCATGAAGTCCTCAGTTTGCGCAATCGCTCCCATGGGCAGGGAGTACGGAGGGTCACATGAACGATATCTAACCTTGCTGGTTCGCATCCCTGTATATGTGCTGCGTGTAGGATAATTTGACTTTTTATGCATATAGGCGTTGAGAGAGAGGCCACAGATTGTGCCGCTGGTCTGTACGTTGCTTAGCGCGATCGAGGGAGCTAGAGAGCATGTCAATTGTGCGCATCCGATGTGTGGATTGAGGTGGCTGGTGCGGCGAACTGGCGGCGGTCAACGAGCTAGACTGATCACGGTAACGAGCAGTACTTGGGCCTTGCAAATTGTCTGCTGCATAGGGCTGCAGATGGGCACGGCGTTGGGAGGAAGAGAGAGCGGGATGGCTAGTGGCAACGCTACCATGCGATCGGCGTTCTCGGCGCAGCTCCAGGGTGACCTATGCTGCGTGACGGGACGCGTCTCGTAGAACGCGTCACGCGTCATGATGGGTGCCTCTTTGGCGGGACCGACACCTTCACGCAACCACGGCGCACGGTGTAGTCGGGCAAACTCAACAAGTACTCTCTTGAGACCTACTCAGTTGGCCTCTCGGGAGAGATATCATCCCATGGTGTCGGCATTCGTTTGTGCCGGAGGGAGTAAGTGCGCATCGTACGTAACGACACGTTCAACTTAGACTCGGAGTCGCAGACACGGCAGTGAGTATTCTTTCGGCAGGAACACTCTGTCGCGGACCTCTACACCGCCAGCACCGAGCCGACGATCTCTGGCAGCGGGTGAGCTTGAGGAACTTCGAGATTGGCTAGCTTATTCCATGCGTAATCCTTTCGGTCCCGAGACTTTGCTATACCATGCTTCGACTCGGACTTCCATGTTATCATTGACGTGCAGTCCTGAAGTCCTTCGAGCTCGTAGCGGGGGTCAGGTAAGTGCACATTATCTACTTCTGGCTAGTGAAGTGGAGCTCATTTTTCAAATGAATATATAGCCCAACACTTTCAAGAACGTCTAAACGTTCCGATGGGACGGCACTGTGGCCAATGGAGGAGCAGGACCTGTGCTCCGCAAGTTGAACAGGACTTTGGCGTCGTAAATGATCGCTGTCAGGCAATCGATCCTACCGAAAAAGAAGCAATCCCTGGACCCATTCCGGGACGGCATCGCCGTCTGGAATCCGTCGCCCGTCTCCGCCGAGCTGCAGCTCAACATGCCTCCCGCCCATCCCGCCACCCTCGCCGTCTTCTCCCAGCCGTGCCATGCGTTGCATGTGTCGCCTTCATCGTCGATACTGCGCAGGTTTGAACTCCGCGACGCCCTGCCACCCCGTCCGCGTCGCACACGCTCCCGAATACGGACAGGCAGCGTCGTTGGAAAGCTCGATCGTGCGCGTGAACTTCGACAGAGCACACTTCTTCTTTTAATAATGGAGCACGTCCGTCGATCTCCCTCATAAGCTGGCACAAGTCCGCCTCCATCCCCTCCACCCCTCCCACTCCCTCTCTCTATCCCCCTCATCTATACCCCCCTCTGCGCGATACCCTCGGCAAGTTTTCTTTCCGCCTCTCTTACACAATGCCAAACCCCGCTGCTCTAACGTACGTGGACGTCGGTGAGCTATGAGGTTCGCCTTGTGTCTAACTATATGCGCAGATACGGCCCCATCTTTGTGGGAGTCGTTTTCAACATCCTCCTCTATGGTATCATGATCACCCAGACATTCCTATACTTTACGGTCTATAAGAAGTGAGTATCGTGCATCTGGGTCTAACGATCGGCCTGACCTAATTGCTTGCAGGGACCGCACCTGGATGAAGATCTTCGTAAGCCTTGCCCTCAGCCTCGCTTCCTCTCGTGCCAGTGTCTGACTCTGTGGCGGGCGTGTAGGTCGCGCTTCTCTTCATATGCGACACCGTAAATTGTGCCTTCGACATCAGCTTCCTTTACATCCCGCTCGTCAACAACTTCGGTTTGTATCCCTCTTGTGTAGTATAGCACGGATTCTAACCTTCTTTGACAGGCAATCCATCATCGTTGATGTATGCTACCTGGGGTATGTTCTGCCAATGCCCTCATATAGATCACACGACTCACCCGTTTGACAGTATTTGCCACTGGTTCGTACCTTTGTGTATCGTTCACCGCGATAATATGTTGACCGCTCGAACCGTCTCAGACCCGGTTATGACGGTCAGCAATAACTAGAGTCGCCCCACTAATTCATAACGCTGATTCAACCTTCAGGCGTTGATTGGGGCCTTGACGCAATGTTTCTTCGCGTGGCGGGTGAACGTGCTTACGCACAGCATCCCTGCCGTCATATTCATCTCATTCTGCGCACTCTGCCAGCTCTGTAAGTCCATTCGATTGGTTAATCACGCAATGGATGGATATTGAATCACGTACAGGTGGTGGTCTGGGCACATCCATCGCGGTGGGCATGATCCCGGAGTTCGTTCACTTCCAGAAATTCGAGATCATTGTGATCGTCTGGCTCGCTTTCTCCGCTGTCGCCGACTGTGCAATCACTGTCGCTCTGGTCTGGCACTTGGTGAGCTGCTGCCTAATCCCCCTTCTTCTCATTCTAATGGAATCTTCGGTAGCGGAAGCACAAGACCGGCTTCGTGGCGACCGACGACATCGTGAACCGCATCATCCGCTGTAAGTCTCCCCCATAATTCGTCTTGTATCCGTACTTACCGCCAGGGACGTCGACGCGCAGTGACCGTTCAGACCGGTCTGATTACTGCCTTGTGCGCTGTCATCGATCTCGTCCTCTTCCTAGCTTCTGTAAGTCGATCGTACACTTTGCGTTGCTCGTCTCTTACGCCGGGGTCAGCCTTCCGGACTTCACCTCGTCTTCAACCTTCCCCTCTCCAAACTCTACACCAACTCCCTGATGTCCAGCCTCAACTCGCGCGCAGGCTGGAGGTTCGGCGGCTCTGGAAACGGCGAGACTACCGACGACGACATGACCAGAAACGAAGGCAAGAGGAACACGCATCTCCGAGCAGAAGGCACTGGCCGCCGGGTGAGCATGATGGTACGCTTCTTTCTACGCCAACTTCAAAGCGAACACTGACAATCCGCGCGCAGACCCCGAATCAAGTATACATCGACGTCGAGTCCCACGAGATGATCGACGTCATCGACACGAAGACTCTCCCGTCCGACCGGATGGACTCCATGCCGAGGAGGCACTACTCGGAGAAGGGTGGAAAGCTCAGCGTTGCGGGTACCTCGGACTCGTTCTGAGCTTTCGAAGTCTGGTTTGCAAGATTAAGTTGAGGCCCTCCAAATCGGGGACATTGGCGAATTACGCTGCACTTTCTATTCTTTCTTTCTATGTTTTGTATTCCACCCTATCGCCGAAGTCGGCTCGCTCATAATCCTGTATCTGTAGCCTAAGCAGAATCTAATCTGTGAACTACTTGTCTGGCGGGCGGAGACGCTCATCCGAGTCGAGTCGATGTTTCGGCGCGTATCCTGTTCAGCGCTCGACAATCGTCTCTCTCCCTTACCTTGACCCAAGTGGTACGTCTTGCCCGAGTCTCGGCTGAAAAACCCGGTGCACAAGGGCCAAGCAGCACACGTCGGGCTCACGGTCATAAGCCCGTTCCCTCAAGTTTCACAGAAGGCATGCACGCTCGGCGCTCCGCTAGACGCAATCAGCGTTCCTGGCGGTGCTACACTCATCATCATCACCACGACGCCCGATTTTGCAAATAAGTATAGCGTTACAGCCGACCTCGACCATTTGGATGTCGTCGACACGTCCTCGTCGTGCTCTGCGACGTGCTCTGTGCGCGACTCATCGTTTGGGATCATGTTCCGCTCCATACTGCCAGTGTTCCTCTTGGGTCTTGTGAACGTCGCAGTCGCAACGCGTTTCGACCCGGTGAACGCAAGGCAAGTGCAGGACGGGAACCCTGCAGACGACCCGAACAGGACCCCCAGTCCGCGCATAACGCGTCCCACCCATTCCGAGACGTGGAACCCTCCGGATCTGAAGACCGTGACATGGTGCGTCTCCCGAACGGATTCCTGAGGGCACATATGCTGACTTCATACTGGTAGGGATAATACTGGGCTCAATGTGACGGGTCTGAACGGAACCCTCTTGCTGGGCTACTTGGAGAAGAACACAACGCGGTTCGTATGGCAAGGTCCGCGCCTCTGCATTTAGACAGGCATTCACACTGGTCGCTTCAGGGACGATCACGCTATGATGAACTATGCACAGACCAACCCCTCGCGCAAGGCTTCGCGCTGTCGGACGGCATCGTGAACGTCCTCGTGCCCGACGTGCCCAACTGGACGTCGTATTTCCTGACGCGTGCGTCCCTAGCGTTGCCCGTCTCTTTGCAGCGAGCTGATAGGTCGCTATATGTGCAGTACTCGGAGACATGAACAACACCAGCCCGCTCTTCGCGATCATCCGCGACGACAGCTTGTCGGTCGTCACCCCACCGCTCCGCTTGCCCGCGCAGACGGCGACGACGCAGTCCGCCACTCTGTCGGCGAGCGACATCACGTCAAGTGCGGGCGCGACCTCTGCCAGTGTCACTAGTACACCGGGGTCAACTTCAACCGCGTCGGCTGCAACGCCGTCCGCAAGCAATAAGCCCAACAGCGCTGTGGCGAGGACTTACGGAGCTGCGCTACGATCCTTGACCGTCGCGGTCGTGCTGGCTGCATGGGTCATGTAGTGGTGGTGTGTCGCTGCCTATACTAGCTAGAATGATGCATTGATCTTTCTCGGAGTTCCCCCATCTTCATGAGGACCTATCGCAAGTCCCGCGTTGGAGCAGCAGTAAGTGAACTAAAAACATGGCGCAGCGGGTGCCCTTGCGCCCGTTGCAGGCGGAAGAATACCAACTCACACAAACTGCATTAAGGGGGAATCGAACCCCCGGCGGGTCGATGGCAACGACCCAGGTTACCACTACCCCATTAATGCTTGCAAATAAGCGACGTCCGCTGCATCCACTCGACCTTCCCTTCCCACTCTCCCCTTTGCCTCCACAACGCCCAAACAGCCAAATGGTCCGTGCGCGCACATCCTCCGGTATATAGCACCCCGTCGACCATCATGAATCCTTACCACTCTGGCCTTTTGGCTTAGATCAAGTGTAGTATCTGTTCTTAATAGTTTAACCACTATTATGGGGCCACCGGCCCCATTATTGGTTATCTAATTTTTGCCGCCCCTGTTCCCTGGGCTCTGCTTGCAACCCGGGGGCGCGATGACCTTGCCACTGCAGTATCGGCTTGAGTCGTCGGGGGATCTGTTTGGTCTTGTTCTTTTTGTTGCGTGTTTGTGACTGGCCAGTTGGCTTGGAGCTACGCGGTTCAAATGGAATGAGAACAGGCTTCGTATACTTATTTGACAGACAATACGTTCTGCAATCTTTCAACTGGAGTCGACGTCGTGATTTGAACCCCGTAGAAGTTTCGAACATGCTGATGCATATTTGGATATACTGTACAGTGTGGGTTGTTGAAAAGGCGGGTTTTTCGCTGCTTCTGCGCTTGCCACCCAGTGACTCTGAGCAGAACTTGCGGAGCGCCCGTGCAGCGGGAAGGCTTCTCCGTGTACATGGCTGTACATGGTCGCCTGTGTAACAGAACCTTGGAAGTTTAACGTTAACGCTCGAGTATTGGTGCCCTGACGCTGGTCCTCCGCACATTCACGCCGTCCAATCTACGGTACCAGCACCCTTGGTAAAATCTCACATTTCTCAGATGATAGCGGCCCATCCTGCTACTAGTCTTTGGGAGAAGTCCCTACTCTAGAGAAGGTAGGATTCGGACTTCGAAGGTCCCCCGTGGGAATGCGGACTTTCAATTTGTTCACGATCGCTACAGACGGCCACCGCGACTCTCCACCTTCATCACGGTAACGCTTATACAAGCACTTATAAGCATTGTGAGTGTTTTGCCTACTGGCTAGCGCAATCTGACGGGGCTAGTACTAGCGTTAGTGTCGAGCTCCCGATTCTACTGGATTCAGAGTGGTCTGCGACTCCATGGACGCCCGCGCTTGTCAACCCAACTTGAACACCTTGGACGAGAATTCGACATCGGACAAACCCCTGGTCCCGGAACCTTTCTCCGACTTCCCTGAAATTTTTGCAGGGAGTCTAGCCGACGACACAACCTCATTCAATGGCGACGCTCCTCTCACTGGCAGATATTCCGAGAACAAGAGCGGGATTCTGGAATTAAAGAAGCGACATCTGGCCAACATCACTTTTCTGGAGGCCATCCGCAACTCCGTCCTCAGTATCTATCATCTTCCGACGGAAATTCTATCGTACGTCCTACTTACCGCAGGGCGGGCATGGGCTTCGACGGAGGCTATCGGGATGCTGCACGTGTGTCGACATTGGCGGTCTATCCTCATGCATACCTCCGAGTTCTGGGCAGACATGGTCGCCTTGCCGGGGATAAGATTCGCAAATGACAAAAACAATCTCTTGAATATCCTTCTTGCCCGCTCTGGCTGTCAGCCGCTTCGATTGTACTTTCCCCTCCGAGAGTTCATCTTCGGGGAGCCGGAGCGGGCTCTGGCACCGACTCTCGCGGCACACATGCACCGGATAACCGACCTCACCATGTGCTTCGCATTGTCTACCAAAGATATCCAATCGCTCACGGACGGGCGCCTTTCGGGCCTCAACACCTTGGATCTGTCTTGCACCTGGATGTGTATTGAAGAACAAGTCCCGTCCCTCACGCACGAGGGCCGTTGCGCAGTGGAAGCGGCTCTCCCTCGTCTCCGACATCTCATCATCCCATCCTGGCTCTTCCCGTACTTCTCAGTTCAGTCAGTGGAGCAGCTTCATATTCGTAAACCCCTGCCATGCAGCGAAGGACCTCGACCTGAGGATCTCCTCGACGGTCTCATCCGCTGCTCCGGGCGGCTTCGCTCGCTGAACATAGACAAATCCGTCTTACCCAACAAGTGGCCATCTCGCACGGTCCCATTCCCTATCCTCGACGAACTCACGCTGGAGGAATCGTCTTCGGAAACAATTGCGTCTTTTCTAAGGCTCGTTCGTCTTCCCCCTACGACGCGCATCGACATCCGCTGCCCGCAGCCGGACTGGAACACCCCCGCGCTTGAGCGGCTCCGACATGCTCTCCCACAGAGCATCAGGGCGACCTCCGTAGACGCCGCCGACGAGCTTCGCATCCACCATCGCGCAATGTCAGAGCCTGGCGTGAAGTGGGTCTCCCCGGCCCGCTGGTGGTACGAGGTGGGCATACAGACGTACCAGGACACCCGTGAGCTCCTGTCAGTCACCTTCTCCAGCCTCGTCGCGACGGAGGTAGCGCCAGATCGCCCGCGGCCCATAACGTATCTCCCCCGCTTGTTCGCTGGGGTCCACTCGATCACGACGCTCCGCCTCGACCACTATGTAGCAGGCCCCGGGGACTCCCCGGCAATCTTTAAGGTCGTCGACGCGCTGCCGTTGCTGGCCACGTTCCCCCGCCTCATCCGCCTCAGCCTCGGGCCGCCGCGAGGCGATGTGCAGTACGAACGGTTCGTCCGCGCGCTCGCAGCCACGGAGCCGTCCTCCAGCGGTCCGGTCTGTCCTGCCTTGGAGGAGCTGGCCGTGGTGAGGGACGGGTCCAATGCCAAGTTGGACATCGAAGTCGAGGCCGCGCTCGGTGGCCCGGCAGCTTGCATAGCAGCTGCGCTAGAAGAGCGCCAGAAGCGCTTGGGACGTCCGCTTCAGTCCTTCGTGGTGTCCTTGCTTCCCCTGGGGAACGCTTGCTATTCCGTGCCGACGGACGTCAGTCAAAGAAAGCGACCCTGCGAGTACGACGAGAAGTTGCTGGAGGAGGTGCGGGTCCTTTACACGGGGCGTTTGTCCCACTGCGTGGAGAACATTAAGGCGGTGTGGTTCCGCCCCTGAATATTTGAACACGATTGCAGAATGCTTTACGAGATTCCCCGTCGATGTATTATATGGCGTGCTCTACCTGTACCGATATCGCTCCTCTCGCTCTCCCTTTCTACCTGTCTTGGCGAAAATGTGCGATCTACAGTTACATATACCGTACGCGTCTGGTGACTCGATTATATCCTTGCTGCCGGTCCTTGGTGTTGAATAAGCTTTAAGCTTGATTAACATAATTAGCCGCCCTAAGTATTTCGATTCTCCAGTCGGCCAGACGCGGTCTCCCCGAGCCAGACGACCTCTGCACTCGCCTTCGTACTCTAGTCTCCATCCTTATACACCAACCTTCGCATAGATCTGGTGCTGGGGCTTAACATTATTGGCGACCTTGCGGTACAATCTCGACATCTTGCATAGAACTGCCGCTTCTCTGGCAATCTTGCCCCAGCATGCCTCTTCAACACAATGGCTACTCGGCGTATATCAAATGCGAGGGTAAGGAGCTCGAAGTATACGGCGTAAGTGTGGAAGATGAGAAGACTGTCAGCTGCTGGGTCGCAAGTGAGGACGGAAAGGTAACGTCAGTTTATCGTTGCTTCGTTGGCCCTGATGCTGATTAAACGTGAACGCCTGGTCCCTGGCTCCGGGTTCAGACCTTCTCCATTCACTGGGGCGACGATTCGTCGAAGACCTTCATGGAAGTGACGACACGCATTGATGGGCCCCGCGTGAATGTATATGCCCATAAAGCCAACAGGGAAGGCTGTTTCATCGGGGTGCGCGAGGGTACCGATAGAAGGCGAGAGTTGGTGTTCGTTCCGCTAGTTGTAACAGGTAAGTGACGGTTTGGTGTATACCCCCATAGTCGGAAGCACAATGATTTTGTATGACAGACGATGAAACCGTAGCGAACACCGGCGTGAACGAAGAGCTCGGTACCATACAAGTGGAACTCAGGCGTGTTGAGCGTTGGGAGTCCACGGAGAAAGCGGAACCTCGCCGATATAAGGGCGATACAGAGTTGCACAGAAGGACGGTCCACGAAAGGAGCAAGAAGGCTGGAGTCCACACGGTTGGGTGCGAACCCACGTCGGTTCTGGCTCGTGAGGCTCAGGCTTACCACCAGTGATCTGCCTTCAAGCTTCGGGAATTCGATATCCGCTCCCCTCAAGCGCACAGTTTCTCGCGCTGTCGGACGTGAGAAGGAGCCCTTTGTGGTATTCAAATTTCGTTACCGACCTCTAGGTGCAGCATGTACATAGTCTTGTTTCCGAAAGGATGCTCATCTGTGCTGTAGAACTCTTACGAGCGAATGGGATCGTCCCGCTTCCGAAAGGACATACACAGAGCCAGCAATATCCTCTAATGTCTCAAGACCTACTTGGAGCCGTAGATTCGAATACTCGCAAGCGGCGGCGCGACGAAGGTTCGGACGAAGCAAAGCCCAAGCTCCCAAAGCACGAAGTTGAGGACGACCGAGAGAACCTCATTTTCCTCCGAGTACGCTTCTGCTGGGCGCGACGCAGACCGGCACTGATGAAAACATCCTACAGGAACAGCTAGCGATGCTGCAGAAACGCGTTGAGGAGATGGAGGCTTCGCAGAAGTCCCGGGAACCGGCGGTCAAACGCGAGACCTCTCCTATCCGTGTTCCATTCTCCGGCCCTGAGGTCATTGATCTGACCTAGCAAACGTCTAGCCCATATGCATGTTCCGCTCATATCTTATAATTCCAGTGTAAAATCACCTCCCTCGTAGGTCGATTGCTGAGTAGTCTACGTGTCTCACGCTATTCCTCCCCCTTGATGTCGTGTCTTCCACTACAGCCCACCTAATTGTCTAATATACCTGTTTTAAGCGCGCTTGCCATATCCCGGCGTACATCTTGCCGATACACTTACCCAGACGCCGCTTTTTGGTAGTGAACTCGGATGACAAGGAACAGACGCTTATTCATATAGCAGAACCCCAGAGGTGCGGCATGCCGCATGTGTACAGACCTGCAACATCCTTGTGACCACGTATTTCTTGGCCATTATTGTCTGCGGCCTCATAAGGCGTCAAACATCCGGAGAATCCACCTCGATTGCGCGGTATACGAGTACATGATCCAAAGGAAAACGAACGAGTGCAATGCGACGAGACGATGCAGACCAGCCACCACTATATAGGAAACAATTTACATGAGCTTGCCGTTTGTGTACCCGCCGTTCACGGGCGAGCTGTGCCCGGTCTTCTTCAGCGCCTTGCGCGTCGCGAACAGCGCGCTGTCGATCAGCGACGCGACGGTGAGCACACCGCCGACGATGGCGCATGTTCTGTAGAAAAGTAATTAGCGACTTTTAAAGGCGGGGACGGTGACGGGGGAGGACGTACGAGGTGAGGAAGTGTGCGAAGGACTGCCGTGTCTCGGCGTGGACGATGCGGAGCGGGGAGATCTCGTAGTTGAAGAACGCGCCGGGGATGCCGCCGTTACCGTGCGCAACGTGTACGCCGGTGGGAGTGTTTTCCTGCGAGCCCTTGTCCAGGTCACGCTCGAAGTGCGTAGCGCTGTACTGGTGAGTGTTGATCTGCAGATCCAGTCGGCGGTTAATGTGTGCCATTTCTATGGTAAATCCGGCAACTTACAGTCTTGCCGCTCAGGGTCCGGAACTGGGTGGCGACGACCTTGAGGAAGTACTGGAACATGTACTGCTGCTTGATCGTCTGCGGGAGCGATGTCAGTACGCATTCCCAGGCAGATGCCGCGTTATACGTACCCGGCCGGTGGTGCCGTCCAAAGGATTCGCAGCAATACCGAGGCGCTGCTTGAGCTCCTTGCCGAGCTTTGCCTTCGCCAGATCCCACTCGTCATCACCCTCGAAGGCGAGGTGGTGGATCGTGTGGGTGAAGTCGTGGCGGTTGCCATCCGTTTTCAGGTACGGCACAAGCTCGTAGAGGCTGTGAGAGCTCGTGCGGAACGAGCGACCGGGGGAGAGGTGAATGTTGCCAACGACCTTGTTCACACGTACACGACCAGCGATGTTGCATCCCTCGGTCGCCTGCTCCTTGAGCTTCTCGGACCAGCCCTCTTGCACGCACTATAAAACACCGTCTTGAGAACGAAAATTCGTGGGCTTGATAGAGAGGCAGTTACCTGCTCGATCGAATCTGGCCGGTTGAAGCTCCATCCACGGTTCACGTATGCCTGCCGTACGTCCTCGCATGTGTTACAGCAGCCACCCTCGGGCTCGACACCGCCGTAACAAGACCCGCAGTAGCCGCCCTCGCGCTGGCTGTTGATCTTGTCCAGGTCGTTCTGGAGCTCGGTGATGACCGTAGTCGGGACGGGGAACCCACGCTCGTCCATGCGTGTCTTCAGGATGTTGTGTGTGATGTCGGACTGGGTCTCACCGCTGATGTCCATGACGTCCAAGCTAAGCACTGGGAGAGTATGAGCAATCCTGTCCGCTGCGCACACGGGATGAATGTGTACTCACAATAGCAAGGCACGCGGGGGAACGTGACGTTCATGTTCACAGTCAGCTTTTCTCCTCTACTCCTGTCGACCACGATGGAGGTGTCGACATTGACGCGACGGTAGTCGAAAAATTCAATTGTTGTGAACGAGGTGATAATTGCCGCGGCAATGAGGGTCACTGTACGCCGGGCGCCTTCAGTTCCGCGGCGCTAGCGAATGACAGCAGATGCTAGTGAACTCACAGAGCGCGCCAGTCCGTGTCTTGACCTTCACGTCCTCCATCGTCTATGTTCACACATCAGACCCGACCTACGTGCAGAGCTGGTCACAGAAGCGGCTGCTGACCTTACCGAAGGCATCTACGCCCTTGAGGGCGCTCAAGAAGCCCTTTGCCATAGTGTCCAAGTGTCCGTAAACGCGCGGCCAGCAGAAAGAGGAGAAACCAGGAAGAAAGAGAGTCTAGCGGGGCGGTCCTCCGCAGCGGTGGTGGTGGTGGGTGTTGTCGTGAAGGGCAGCCAGGGCAGCGGACGTGGAGGCCGGGCCACGGACGCGTCCCGCCAGTAATTATGGGTGACCGGGGTGACGTGTCACCGCCACATGATCGAGCCCGTCGTGGCGCGCGGGGCAGGCGCACGCAGCAGCCACACTGCTGCAGCCCCGCGTGCGCATCGCGCGCCCCTCCATCCGACCATCTCCCAGAAATCAGCCGTTCCATGTTTCCGTACTCTACGCATGCAGCCCTTCCAGAACGAGCACTACTACCCCCGAGCCGTCGCGCACAATGTCCGACATCCCCCCGAGCCCGCGAGCCTATGCCTATGGCTGGGCCGCTATCCGGTCCACACCCTGCTTCACCTTCCCGAGCAGATTCCGCACGCCGTCCTTGATGCCCTCCGTCTGCAGGCTCACACCCTCGCCGCTCGTACGGTACACTCCTGGAGCGGCGCCGCCTAGGCTCACGTTCACGCCGCCGAGATTGAGGTTCAGCGATGGCGCGTTCGTCGCCGAGCCCGGCGGCGGCTCGTACACCGATTCTGGGAAGTTCGTAGCCGCGGTGCGGACCATGTCGAGGAAACTATATAGACGTAGTCGCAATTAGCCTTCAAGGTCCTCCCTCGATCAATCGAATCACGGGAGTGCGGGGGGACCCACCTCGAAGAGTTGTGGACGCAGGTTCCGCCGAGCAGAAGGCGCGTCCCCGCTGCCGCGGATGGCCCGCCGGAGGTTGCCTCCTGGTTCAATAGCGCGACCACGCGTGCCTCTGCATACGTTGTGCCGCCGATCATGAAGATGATGACGTCTCCGGGGCTGGTGCGGGGTACTATTTAGTAAAGCCCGCGACTCTAGGGTGATGCATGCTCACCGTTGCAGTCCAGCATTTGGACCCGCGCTGTCGAGGAAAGGATGTGTGGTGTCTCGAAGCCGACCCCTGAAGAGGTTCTCGAGAGTTTGTGAAAGATGCGGGGTATGTTGCATGTATACGTTCTCGACACCCTTGAGACCTTTCAGCGCGGAGCGGCCCTTGGCAAGCAGAGATTCCGCCGAGAACAGGTCTTCCTGGCGCTGATCCGAACCGGCGATGTTTAGAAGAACATATACAAGCTAGCACGAGCAAGAGTGAGCCTTTAGGAGTCTTCTCGGAGAAAACCCCGTGCTTACTTTCGCGTCTTCTCGCGAAACGCCGTTCTCCAGCATCAACGTGATGAGTGACGCTACATTCTGCGGTTGCGTCTTCTGGTACCGTAGCGCGTACAGCATGACCAAACGTAGCTTGTACAAGGTCTGTATTGCTGGATTCGCCACAAGTCCTTGCACACTCTAGATGGACTATCAGCATTTCCGCTGTGGCCATTTGTTTAAAGCTCACCCTCAGGTCGGCGCCGGATCCCGTCGCCAGGCCCTGTTCGACCTCGCCGAGCTCCAGCAGCTTGTCCCTCTCAACGAGCCGGCTTAGCTCGCCGACCAGCGCGACGTGCTTGCTCACGTTCCCGCCAAGCTTTCGGAACTCAGGGTACTCTTCGACGAATCGCTTCATGTCCGTGATCGAGTTGATCGTAGACGGATTGTGCGCGAGTGAGTGTGACTGGTACGATTGCACGTATGACTTCAGCGCCGTGCCGAGGTCACCAAACGTCGCCAGATGGTGTGCTTGGAAGAATGGGTCCGTGGTGGTCGTCAGCGTGACTTCCTTTCACGTATGTGAGATGAGCGTCGGGATATTAGTCAGATTAGACGACATACCTTCAACTCCGGTCGGATATCAGGCACCAGACTGAGGTCGACGCGCCCGTTCTGAACGCCCAGTAGCTCGTGTACCATTGCCTGGTATGTCCACTGAGAAAGAAGCGGCGTGACAGGATCGCCCCGTCGGTCCAAAATAAGGAGCAGTGGCGGTACTTGTGTCAACCGAAAGTCGAACAGCTGGGCCTCGGACTGTATGCGGTGCTGCCCTCATGCTCGTCAGTCACACCGCGAAGCACACATACCTGCACCAGCGACCTACCTGGATCTCGACGCCGAGTTTCTTCGCCATCGGGCTGCTCTTCTCGTACCGAATGACGGGCTTCTTCTTCAGGCTGAGCAGCACGGCGGTGATGCCCTGTACTGCGCGCTCGAGCGCCTTGGGGTCCCATACGTTCGGGCTGTTGCCATACAGTGGGCGTTCCGCAGCCGGCGCGTTGTTGAGTGAGAACAAGCATGGGAGGACGGGGGAATAGTCTGCAAAGTATTCCTTGAGGGTGCGCATGAGGAACGGTCAGAGAAGAACACAGGGGGAAATATGTGCAGTTCGGTAGCCAATAGCGCCCTTCCATGAGAGCCTACGGTGTGGCTGTAGAACGTAGAACAATATAACCTTCCCCGGACCAGAGCAGCTGTGCGCATTCGGGTGTACTGCAGGACTTGAGGGGAATGTGGACAATAACACTGACCTGTACTTCGCGAACGACTTCGTACTCGTCAACGTCCGCAAGGCGCTCAATAGCGGTCTTGCTTAGTATGTTGCTGAAGTCTATACCCACAGCGTGTTGAATAGTCGGCCAAGCCCACACGGGAGGAGGGACGCTCACTGACAGAGGTAGTATTCGCCGTACTTGGGCTCGCGCAGCTCCGCCTCGAGGGCCTCGAAGCTCTCCTCGCTCGGCTGCAAGAAACAGATGCACTTCATGTGTGCCATGCGTTCGCGTTTCTTATTGTCGATCTTGTCCGTAAGGTACACCTGGTGTGAGAGGAGTATGGACTGGGTCGCGGATAGCGAAACTATAGGTGTCTGTTCGCTAGCATGTTAGGGTGTAGCAGTGCACGAAACCTATCTTTGGGGCATACCGTATGGTTGTCGAGCAGGAGTACCTTCATGGAAGATGGTGTCGAGACCATCTTCGTTATGTAGGTCTCCACGGCTTTGACTACGTCCATGTTTGCGGGCGTGCCAGGGGGAGATCACTGGGTTACAGCCTGTACCGTCGAACTAGATAAGGCAGTCGCAGGTGTACACTCGTGGCAAGGCAGTCGCAGTGGATCAGAAGCGAGAGTGGGGAACTGAATGAGGTGGTGGTGGTGGTGGCTGTGGACGAAAGCTGCGGAGGCAGTAGTCGTGAATTCACGCGACGCGTCTCGGCGTGAGCGCGCCTCTCGACCAGCTTCCACCATGACATCGTTCTCCGCTCCAGACCACCACCGCTCGCAAGTACTGCTGCCACTTCATCCTCTGCCACCCTTCCTGCCACCCTTGCCTTGACCCGCCGTAAATGTCGTCGCAGGAGCAGTCCGCACCGTCCTCGTTCATGCGCGAAGAGCTCGAGCGCGCCCTCGCGGAGCACTCCTTTGCGATCTCCAGCTTCGAAGCAATGTCGTCGTCACCCCTCAAAGCGACCGCCCGAGTAGTTTTGCTGGAAGGGGATGCTGTCGTTGTGTCACTCACGAGCCGGGGGTATCAGGTACGTTGTTACACTGAGGATCGGACTGGCCCCTTGCCCGCTTCAGACTCACCCGGTGCAGCTACATAGTCCGTCCGAAGCACCCATGGATCCAGATCATGATGCGGAGACCATCTTTGAAACGATAGAGCAACTCTTGCAGACCGTCAGCCCTGGGTTTGAGTCTGCGCAAAGGAGTGCTCTCATGGCGAAATTGGAGTCGCTCTCGGACCTTGCTTAAAGTCGGTAAACCTGAAGTTGGCTTGACTATGGTGGTTCTGTATTAACCAACTTTGCTGCAACGTTACAGAACTCCCTTCATGCCGTGTTTGATACATTGGACCGCCTCTCACCTGGCTATTGTACAACTAGTCTACCCGCGAGGTATCATCTACTCGTCCTACGAGACGCAATCAAACATCTGCTGCGGCCGCCGCCTTGATGGAACCCGTCTCCCTACGCCTGCGCAATGCCTCTCGGTACGCTTCGTCCGTGAAGATGAAGTCCTCCGACCTCACTTTCCGTATCATTTCATTCACCCAAGCCCTCTCCTCTTCATCCCTCAAGCAGTTCGCCCACCACCTATCCATGCTGCTCCGAATCGTCTCGGTGTTGATTTGGCTGTTTTCACTCTGCTCAGCGAGCACAAAAAGCAGAAATCCAGCATTGAGCCGCTCGAGGCCAAATTCAGACAGGCACTTCAAAATCCGAGAAATACGGAGATTGTTGTGCGGTGCACCTGTGCAAGTCCACTGTTGGTGGAGGTTGCAGATCTAATAACAAGAAAGCACTTACGAGTGAGGTTGCGGTACCGCTCTTGCCAGTTGTCCGCTCGGCGAATTTCCCCGGTCTCAGGCGAGACGAGCTGCATGCCGTAGAAGTGTAGCATGGTGCTGTAGGAGCGCAGCAGCCGTTCCCGGACGACGAGATCCGTCTTCAGGGCAGCAAGCTCGTGCTTCTGCAAAGGCTGCGCCTTGTAGTTCATCCCGTACTCTTGCAGAGGGAACCTGGGCGGCGAAGTGAGCCTCTGCGCCACCGATAAAACAGATGACATACAGCCATTGGATGTATCCATGTTTATACTCAAGCTTTTCGTAATCCGTCTTCCATCTATCAGAGAGCTTACTATGCGCTCTACGATGCGCATTACTCAAAACCTACTGTTCGTGCAAGTCGTCGATCAAGAGATTGTCTGGTTTGCAGGGCTGTTTGTTTGTGTAGAATTCGAGGTTGGCGTTGAGACGGGGATCGTCTGAGATGTCGGGGTAGCCTTGTAGGAACTCCGTGATGTCTCTAGGGAGCGGCATGGCGGAAGAAAGACGACGAGTAGGATGACAGACGGCAAGTCCTCCGAGATTAGGGACAGAACGACGTAAAGACCAGCGGTGGCTACTTGGAATTCGAAGCGCGCGGAGCATGAGGCAGACGCGTCTCACACAAGCGCTTGTCGCGTCTTTAGCGCTGCCCGGTAACGTCGGAGTTACGTAGAGGCGGCTATACAATACCCTTTCGGGCTTTGAACATGCTTGCGGAGTCGTCAGTTTCGACAAGCCGTGGGAGTTACACGCGTCTGACAGCCACAACCGCGCCAAACGCGTCGAGGATGCTACTACTGTTCTTGGTCTAGTACGCCGACATGCCAGGACCCACAAAGTCCATGCCATCTGCCTCCTCCTCCTCAAATCCGGTATCCGATGCCCTTACAAGTTTAACACGAGCTGCCTCTGTAGCGGTGTGTATGTCTGTTCGCTTTCCTGAGTGTCGCACTGACGAGCTCGAACATTCCGTCGGATTAGTTCAATGCAGTACAAGAGCAAGCTCAGACAGACGTCGCACAAGCGCGAGCCGAACGCGATGATGCACTCAGGGTTGCACAAGAAGCTAGGCTAGACGCCAAGGACCTGGAACTGCGAGAGGAGGGTTGGAGAGCCGCGGTGAGTATGCCTTGCGCCGTTCATCTACTCTCTACTCACCGCTAGGTCTGTGGGGTAGCTAGACAAGTCTGACATGACGGTAATTGCAAACATACTTTCATAAGCCTTGGCGTAAACTCAAACCGCCCTTAACAGATCAAGCACCAAGCGGACACGATCGCACAGTTGCGAAACGAAGTGGACCAATGGAAGACGCAGCTCACACGTCTGGAAGAGTCTTCGCGGCAAGAGATTGATGACTGGAAGGAGCAATATCGCAGGGCAGAGCACGAACGAACCCGTCTCTCAGCCCGCATTGATGAGCTGATCACTGGCCAACTAGCGGTATGTATAGTTGATGCAACTAGCAGCGTACACCGCTCATTCAACCCGTTCCAGTGGAATGCTGCCGCACAAGTTTACACCACTCCATACGCCCCCCGAATCGCATATACCGACATCGCAGAAGCCTCTACATCATCGTCCGGCCCCAGGAGGGCGTCAACAGTATCCCACTCGCGCAGGCCGGTGGGCACCCCGCACGGAGGCGGCCGTGCACACCCAGACACCGACGGGGCTCCTTCCACCTCGCGCAAGCCCAGAGTAGCGGGCAGAGCGCATGCAGAGCGTGACCCCCAATCCAGGTCTCGCGGGGGCTCTCCTACACGCCTGATCACAGGTCGGCGCAAGGAGCAGGTCACCGTAGAGGTCCCGAGGGCTAGCGGCAGCAGAACCGCCCCCCGCACATCAATTGTGCAACATCCTTCGCCTCCGAGCCGGGATTCCCAGGTCTTTTCCGCACCGCGGCAGCAGGTCATTCGCCGTGTCACTGCGTTTGTCGACGTGAAGGAAGAAGAGTCAGACGGCGGGCTCGACGATCAGGGATCGGCACGCTCGGGCTCGGTGTATGAGCCTGATGACGTCCCGCCAATTCCGCCAAGCGGTAGACGGCAACGTGCCTCACAACCGACAGTCCGGAGGAAGAAAGTCCTGCCGGACTGGGACGAGGATGAACAGACACCAGACGTCGGAGACGATGCTAGCCAGTTTGAGGAAGACCCCGAGCCCGAGGACGAGGAGGAAGACGACGAGCTCTTGCTAGGCCCTAAGGTGTGCCTCACGTCTCTTCACTCATCCATAACGCTTACTCCTCCATCTACAGAAGAGCAAGCCGTCGGCTACCAACGCAAAGCAGCCGCGTGTACATGGTGCAGCCAAAGGGCAAGGGGCAGCAAAGAACCTGAAGCGCAAGCTTGACGCAAATACGAGTGTCTCTTCTGGAAGGGCGAGTGCTGCGAAGACAGCTAAGACTCGTTGACCGGCTCCTTGCGTTCGCCTCCCAGGACTCTGGATATTGTATAACAGACCGCATATCTTCACTGTACTTGTGCATCGAGTCGACTGTCGCTTCGTGCTGAATGTCGAGAGGCTTGCGCTATCATACATACCGCTCAAGTCCAATGATAGACTGCATATCACAATTACATATGCATTAATGGGGTAGTGGTAACCTGGGTCGTTGCCATCGACCCGCCGGGGGTTCGATTCCCCCTTAATGCATCGGTTGTTGGTGTAATCCTTTTATTTTGTGCAGGTTAATTTTCCACATGCCACACCATTGCTAGCCCATACTGATCCGAGGCTTTGCAACATTCAGTGACACTCTTAATAGTATTGAATACCCCTCAGACTCTCGTACAGTCGCTAATCAATTGGAGATCAGGCTCCCATAGATGCCTCATCGCACCAGAAAAGCTGACCACAGCTCGCCAACACCGTAACGTCCGACACAAAGTCGGACCGCTCGCTCGGGCGAGCCCCCATACCAAAACACCGTCCCCCGACTCCAGTCTCCGAGGGCCCGCGCGGTCATGCCGCGAATGAGACGCTCCACCGCCACCCGACGCAATCACAGACGCACTGCACGGGCCATCAGCGCGGCATGCTGTTACATATGTTCAGCAGCGGCGCCGATCCACCCGCCGCGCCCTGGCGCCCCCAAGACGCGCCGCCCGCCGAGGCCGGGCGTCGCTGCCGACGGGCCACAACAGCGATGGTCGCGCGTGGGCGTGCGCCCGAGGCTCAGGTCGGGCCGGGCTCCGAGTGCCCGGGTACCCGAGTCCGAGCGCTCCCGCTGCGTTCCCGAGTCGCGAGCAATACGGTGCTCACCGGAGGTATCGGGGTATCGGTGATCAGACATTGCATGCGGGGCAGACTTGAAGAGATGGAGATGAAGCAAGAATGCGGATAGTATACAGTACAGGTGCCGATCGTAACGGTACAACAACCTGGAGACGCGCCTAAGACCAAGAGAGAGAATATGCGAGACGGCGATGCAGTGCGTGGGCGGTGAAGTAGCGTAGATGTAGGGTACGGTGGGCGAGCGTGTGGGGGGAGGGGAGGGGCGAGAGTAAGGTGCGTGGGGGGTTATACGCGATAGGGGAGATGCGGAGGGGTGAGTGAGGGAGAGGTATATGCAAGATGGTGGGGAGGTGGGGGTCGTCGCGGGGGGTTAGGGAGAGCGAACGAGAGTGGATGAGGGGGACGGGAGGGGCGTGCAGTCGTGGCTCGCGTGAAGGGTCGTTGTACTCGTTAGACGTTTTCGACGCCGGCGATGGGCCGCCCGCGTTCTTGGTTCCGTGCACGCTCATGGTGTGCGCGTGCTTTTGCGTCACTAGAGAGGTTGCGACGCGGTCAGTTACACCGTCCCGACGTTCTCAGAGCAGAGTAAAAATAACTGACGGTCTGTTCAGCAGGCTCTCCGCGCCGGTGAAGAAGAGGGTGTCGTAGACAAAGACGCCGACTGCCGGAAAACCATTGAGTTTCTAGGCACGCGAATAGCGGAGGGAAAGCGGGGAGAGAACGTACAGAGGGCACCGATAATGGGCGCAATGACAGGACACCAAAGCCAGTAGTGGCTCCGGAACGTGAAGACACCTGAGCCGTACCCAACCATAGCGGTCAACAGCCGAGGGCCAAGATCACGCGCGGGGTTAATGGCGTATCCTGGAAGGAGAGCGGCCGTCAGCGAACAGTTTGAGTCGAGAGCACGATGGGGTACGCACCAGTCTGCATTCCGAGGGAGGCACCGATGCCGAGAATCATGATGAACAGGACGAGGGGTGCAAGGCCCGGAGGCGGGGGGCCGTTCCGCGCGTCACCAATAGCACACACGACGATAAGGAGGACGGCGGTTCCCACGAACTATACAAAAATCGTCAGTGGGGGAACGGTGGGAGACATTGCCGAATACGGACCTCGTCAAAGAAGCATGACACCGACGTCATGTAATCCATCTGCACAGACGCCGGAAATAAGCAAATGTGCGAGGCTGCCCGGAGCGCGGGGTAAACGTACTGCGTAGGTGGAGAACAGGCCAGCCGTGCCAGGGACGGTGCGTATGTGCCGGCCGCCCTCGACAAGGTCGATCGCGTGGATGTAGTTTGCGTAAATGATACCGGCACCGCAGAGACCGCCCATGACCTGGGCAAAAATGTAGGCGGGGACCTTGCGCCAGGGGAAGTCGCGGAATGTCGCAAGCGCAATCGTGACCGCCGGGTTGATGTGTCCGCCAGAAATGCCGCCAGAAACCCAGACACCGAGGGCGGTACCGACCGCCCAGCCGAAGTTGAGGGAGAGATAATCCTGTCGGCCGAAATGAGCTTTCGTACATATTGTTGGGAGGGAGAGCACTTACACCCTTGGGCGAGGAGGCTACCCTGGTGTCCGACGAGAGGACGACCTGGCAATCGACACCAGCACCGAAGATGATGAGAATCATGACCCCGAAAAACTCGGCGGCGGGTTCCCTGATGTACTCGCTATCGGGAGGTGAGTATACCTTCGTAGCGGACGAAACATAGAAAGCGTACCGGTACTTGGACCACCTGTTAGGGTACCGGGTGTAGTGCTCCGACAGGTCCTCGTCGGAGCCAGCAAAGGAAGGGGGAGAATCTCTGATACCGACGTGCTCGATGCGCTCGTGGTCCATGTTCTCCTTCGAAAAGCCAGAGCCGTCGGAGGGGGTGAGGGCGCGCTTGTGAGACCGGGACGACATGGTGAGGGAGCAGGGAATAACGGAGCGGTACAACAGAGCCGGGACGAGGGAAGGATGAGGAGGAGGGGGAGATTAAATAGCGTCGGGAGGAGGAGGGAGAGGGAGGAGGAGGGACTGATTAAACGGGAATCGGGTGGACCTGAGGAGATTGGATCGGACGGGAGGGGGCAAAGGCCGGGGCTGGGGACCCCACCTGGTGATGCAGCCCGGCGTCCGCTAGCACTGGAGGAAAATGGAGAGCGAGCGAATCCCATGACGAGAAACGGCCGAGTTCTTCGAGAGCCGTCCTCGACTGGGCCATCTGAGCACCCGCCCCCATCAAGCGCCCGTCCCGGCCACCTCTCGATCACCGGCTCCCTCGGCGCGATCATCCGCGATCGAGATCCAGCGCCACCGCTGCGCCTCCGCCCGCGACGCCGACGCGCTCTTCTCCTCCTACCCCGCCTCTTCCCCATGGTCCATCCCCAGCATCCCAATCATGCCGCGTTTGTACACCCCCTGTCTCTCCAGACAACCCTGAACACAGCCATGCGAGCCATGGGTCGTGCCGCACGCGACGCGCAAGTCTCCCAAACGTACACGAAGGATCTTCGCGGCAAGCGTAAACACTTCGCATTCTCCTGATTAAACAAGCTTTCTTCGCGATCTTCGCTGCTTCATCTCTGTACGCTGAGCTTCATACGCGCATCATGCACGCCGAACAGCTCGTAATTGCACCGCGACTTTGCGTCGACCACCGCGCGCAACTGGATCCGAGTCCGACCCGAGTTCGATCACCCACACTCTGTCTAAGGCACGCGATTTCTGCTCGAGACAGGCCTTCCCCTGCTCCCGCGCTCATTCCTGTTCCGGTTCCTGCACTTGACCTTTTTCTGGACGACGAAATGCTCGTCTGTTCCTTCCGCGAGCTAATCCGTGCGAGCCTGTCGCCTAAACTTCAGCCCTCGGGCTGTCCAATACGCTGGCCGGGGTTCAGAACGGGGTCAGAACGCCTCCTCGAAGCTGCCACCTCTCAATTGACGTCGTATGGGGATACGCGTCGTTGTCTGTTTTTACGCTGATAACACTCTTCTCAGGTCTCGGTCACTTACCCAACGCGTTGGTCATGGGTACACGCTCGGCTTCTGACGCACACGTCTGTTCCGCCACGGCCACCCGACGCCCAGCAAGAATACGTACATGCCACGGCTGAAACTCAGTTCTGCTTCTCCTCGTGGTCGGCTTAGCCCCGTTGAATATCGCGTCTGCGCAAGCGGTTACCGCTGCTCGATCATGCCACCAAGATGTTACGACTAAAGCTGGCGATCAGCAGGTAAACTCGCAGGATGCTGCTTCAGGTCTGCGCTGCGCTTCTCTGGGTCTGAACGTCGATGGCCTTGTGATGATTGTACGTACCTGATCCTGACCTCAGGACCACCTCGGACGACTGCGGATCTCTGTACCACCTGGTTGCCCGGCTATGTGAGAGCAGCTATTTCAATCATGTCTCGCCGTCGTAATCTGGCCCTGAGCTTGTTCGGAGGCCGGGCTGCTGACGTAGTGCGTGTGCATACATAAGCCTCCTTTCGCGCTGGCCGCCATAACATGAAAGAAACTGCTCGACGTCGCGTCCAGTACATTCGACGTTCCTGCTCGTCCATGTGATAGCGTTCGCAACCTTAAACCCCAATGTGACGAGTCTGGACAGCACAGCCGTCGTGGCGTAATGGGCGCCAAAGAGACGAATCGCGCAGCGTCGGGCGCGGCGGCGGCTTTGTACGAACACCCACTACGACTCCGCCTCACGACCTACTCGACCCAAATACCCTCTTGAATTAATCTCTAACTGCCAGAGAACCCCGACGCGATGTCGATGCTAGACAAGTTCCGTAAAGGCGCGGCGAAGGCGGGCATTCAGGCATCCGCGTTTCTGAAGGAGGGGGGCAACAAGATTGCGAACGAATCGCAGCACTTTGTCCAGGGCTTCTCCCTCCCCGGCGAGGCGGAGAAGGCGGCGAAGATACTCGAGAGCTTCCTAGGTGCGTCAGCCGTGCTGTCCTACCGTAACAACCTGATGACGACGGGGGGTATCTGTAGCGGATCCCGAGCACCCTGAATCTGCCCTCAACGCCATCCCCAAAGCCGTTCTGCAGCGCGCACGCGGTAAGCTTATATGCTCTCCACCCCCAATCCCACCCATTCATCCAGCTCCGGCACAGGTCTTGCCATCTTCTCCGTCGTAAAGGCAGGCTTCGTGTTCTCCGGCAAGGCGGGCTCGGGAATCGTCATCGCACGGCTGCCCGACGGCTCATGGTCTGCACCGTCGTGCATCGCGACTGGGGGCGTCGGCTGGGGCTTGCAGATCGGTGCGGACATCACCGACTTCGTTATCGTGCTCAACAGCGAGGAGGCCGTGCGCGCGTTCGCGATGGGCGGCAACGTCACCATCGGCGGGAACATCAGCGCCGCGGCGGGCCCCATCGGCACTGGGGGTGCCGTGCAAGCATCGCTCGCGCATCCCGCGCCCATGTTCAGCTACTCGAAGTCGAAAGGTGCGTTACCCGTTTTGTTGTTCTCCGGGCGCAGTCCGGGTATGGCCCAAGACGCCAGAGGCGCTGACGGCGTGACGTCATTTCGCAGGGCTCTTCGCGGGACTGTCGCTCGAGGGAACGGTGCTGCTCGAGCGCAAGGATGCGAACCGCGACTTTTACGGCTCGGTTGTGCCCGCACGCGACATCCTGAGTGGACGGGTGCCGCCACCCGAGGTCGCGTCGAAGCTATACGAAGTTATTGAGGCGGCGGAGGGTGTCGACGAGTCCGGCCTCCCGGAGAGCGCATATGTGCCGACCGCGACGGGTGACCACCTCGATATTAGGCATGGCGGCACGGTCTTCGACGCCGAGGGGCACTGAGCGGCTGGGCTAGGAGGATAGGAGTGCGCACCCTGGCCTTGACATTCCGGGAAAGGCGCGTGCGGGGGCTGCGGACGGCTCCATTCTGCACTCGGGACCTCGGCGGCGGGTGCGGGGCCCCGCCTCCAGACTGTGCGATGCGTGCGGGGACTGGGGTGGGGTGTCATGGGAGGCGGCGCGAGCGCAGACCAGCCACTACGCCGCGCTGCACACGGAATGGGAATGACCGTTATGATGATTCACTGTAATGATACAAGCTCTCTGATTTTCTGACCGCATCTCCGGCCCCTTGTCTCATCGTTTCTTGGCCCCCGGGTTGCTGCTCTCCGCCCTGTACATATGACCCCCCGCGTTGGTTGCACTATCATACGGACATGTTTGTTTTTCCCGCTCGACATGCATCTACTGCCGCCAGGGCGACCCAATATTGCACGGCGGCAGCGGGCCTAACAGGAACCAACCTGCCGCGCGCGCCACGCACTTGAACTTGACAGCTCGGGGCACAGCTCCCGCCGCCCGCCAGGCCCCGCCGCCCTCACTGACAGGCACCGGGCCCGTCGCCCTCGCGCCCGTGTTTATCACGACGACACTTTATGTCAAAGCTCATTACGGCTCTGACAGGCCCCCGGATCACGCCAGCCTGGGCGGGCTGAGCGTTCTCGCCGATCGGCCGTTTCGGACGCCACCCGTGCGCGCGTCGGCCGCCGCCACCAGTGACCAGGCCGCTTGTTTCCGAGTCGGACGCGCGTGCGCGGGTGGTGATCGCGATAGGGAGGGATCGATGGGGATGGGTCCAGAGAGGTCCAGGGACGCGGGTGGCGGCGGGCGTTAGACTCAACGTGGATGCGGATGCGGGCCCGCTGCTCGTTTACATACCGGGCAAGGCACGCAGCGGGAGGATGGCCGAACCTTCAAGATTCGAGTTTCGGGGAGGGCGGCGGGATTGGACGCCGGGTGGGCGGTATATCACAAGGTCGACGCAGGCGGCAACAGAGCTGAGAGCAAACACAGAGGGAACAGACGTCGAGAGCGGATAAATTAGAGCATGCAACACTGGTATGTGCAGATTCGCGACAGGGATTCTATGTAGCTGGTAAGTAGTACGTGACAAGATGTCCGTCCAGGGCCGGGGTAAACAAGAGCAGAGACAGGTCTATCCAGACCGATATAGATACAGTACAACACTGGGAGGCGGGTATCTCTACACACCCGCCTCCATGACACGTTTTCGACATCGACAGACGGCACTCAGTACCGCGCGTCCCAAGGATTCGAGTACGACGGGTTGTACCCCTGCTGGAACCCCTGCTGCTGTTGCGCGTACGGCGGCGGCCCACCGCCCGCGCTCCCGACGAGGTGCAGGTCGTGCGCCTCTGGGGGCGCGGGCTCGTGCAGTGGCTGGTACATCTGCCCGGGGCGGAAGAACGCCATGCGCTGGCGCTGGTTACGGCGCCGGTAGTAGCAGCACGCCCCGATCGCGAGGAGGAGCACGACGCCCGCGGCAACGCTCAGCCCGATGATGAGCGGGAGGCGCGCGCGGATGCGCTCGGCGAACGTCGCGCCCGTGGGGGTCCACGGGCTGTTCCCGCGCACCTTGATGAAGTCCGCGTGCCACTCGGCGGTGTCGTTCGTCGTGGAGAGCAGCTGCACGTACGGGTCCGCGGTCGTGTCGGTTGCGCCGTCGACGAAGTCGCCAAAGTTGATGTACGTGTACACGTTGCGCACTGTGCGGGGATGGGGATAGGGGCGGGACAGGCGCGCGTGACGGGGTTAGCATGGGGATCGGCGATCGACGGTGGAGGTGGGGAATGGGCTTACGGAAGGCCATGCCGAAGATCATGTCGTATGTGGCGCCGTCTGGTGCTTGCAATGGCTGAAACTGCTCGGGGAGTCTGAGGTTAGTAACGTCAACGCCGGTCTCGGGGAATGAGCACAAACCGCGCCGAAGCAGATGGGGTTTCCCTTTCCGTCTGTCATGTTGAGGTCGATATTGGTGTCCAGCGGGTGCATTGGGTAGCTGACCCCGGCGAATTTGAAGGTGACGTTCACCTCCTTGTCGCAAGGCAGCTGCCAGATCTGGCCATCGAGCGAGGCGACGTTAACTAGTTGTGCACCCGGAACGTTCGCGTAGAAGGCTTCCGCAACACGACTGCAAGGTAGCGTTATAGTCAGACTGTAGCAGAGGATCGAGCGTGCACACGTACGGAGGGACTTGGGGAAGAGAGTATCCAGTGTCAACCACCACCTGTTCGACGTGAGGCTTGAGAGACGACGTCGGGGTGCATCGTACTCACTGTTAACTGTTTGTCGTTCGACGTTGAGTCTACAGCCGTCTCAACATTGTACTGGTCGATGACGTTGTTCCCCGCTGGTCCGATGATCCCGTCGGCATCGAGCAGGATTTGCCAATGCTGGTTCCCAGAGTTTGACTTCGCCACAGTGGACACTGATAGCTTTGGTTGGGAGGTCACGCTCTCGTACCCAGGAATAAGCTCCCCTACAGTCAAGTCCCCGTTCGGCGGGTCAGTTGGGTCGCGTATCCGCCCCAGGAGGAATGTGATGTAGTTCGGGGTCGATGTGTTCTGCCTGAAGATGCGGTCAAGCACCGGGTCGCCAGCAGAGTTGGAAGCGCCGATCGCGGCTTTGACTTCGGACCCAGTGTTCGGACCGAGCCCAATGAGACCGCTACCTGCGGTGTGTGTCGGGGTAATAGGAGCATTGACTACATGCAGACGGAGGATCAGTGACGGGTGGTGGCTCATAAGACTAATGACTGACTGTAAGCTTGGTCGGTTATTGTGTAGCCAGCAAAGTCTAAATCGGCAGTATCGACAGAGCCTGCGGTCGTGTGCGGGGTTAAGACAGCCACGGGCACACCATAAAGCTGCAGTTGGTGCGTACCTTGTACCCCATCAACAGCATACTGCACTTTGGCTGCCTTGCCAGTGTCCTTTGAGTTTGGGACTGTTCCGGCCACCCAAAGATCGGAGCTGGGCAGTGTAAGTATGCGTCGCCCAGAATGGCATCATAGACCCGCGAGCATGTGCTTACCTTCCGGTGTCTATTTGCACGGAGAACTTCGAGCCCCCGAGGGTGATATCTGTTGTGTACTGGACATCGCCTATGTTTCCTACGGATGTGTTCCCGGCGACGGTGGCTCGCGCGCCGAGGCCGCCACCGACGCGTTTCGGTCTTGGCTGACCGTGTAGACTGAGGCGAAGAGCACTTGCGAGCTCACTTGAACAGAGGGCAAGAGAGAGGGCAAGAGACGTGGCCTTCATGCTCGTGGTGGAGTGCAAGATGCGGAGGGCGCTGGGAAGCAACCGGAGAAGATGCTGTCAGTGTCGGGCAGGACGGCCGCGCAGCAGCTGCCAGCATCACTACTGGGACGGTGTGGCGGTGGCCAGAGACCGCGCCTGCACTGGTCGGCGTGCCATTAATAACAAAACAAGGCCGCTGGTGTGCCGGCCACAGAGGGAACGAAACGGCGGGCGTCGGTGTCCATGCAGACTCCTCGCGCCGTGGCCAGAATGAGAGGCTTGGACGAGAGCGAAACTCGACTCGGACCGAGGGTGATGAGGAGAGATGGGTGGATGACCGTAGCCGCGTGAGACTCGGCGTGTGGCCCATCGCCGCGGCGCGCAAGAGCAACTGCACAAGGCCCGAGCTCGCTAGTCCATCTTCCTTCCCCCCACCACAGCCCACTCGCGTTCTCTGTCAGCCTCGGTGCGCCCGCTCTCCTCTCCGACCCTCGACGCCGCCCGCCCCGGGCATTCCATTCGTTATAGCCTCAACAGACCGGATGCGGTCGCCTCTTTCTGTCTTTTCCCTTCTCGTCCTCCTCGCGCACCATGCGTACGCTCTCCGCTTCGATGTAAACATTCGCCAGCGCGCTGCTAGTGTCCTCGCCGCGCGCGCAAACCGTCAGAACACCACCCCTATCACGAACACGCGCAACTCGGAGTACATTGCCAATGTTACTCTCGGCGGACGCCAGATCCCCGTCCTGTTGGATACGGGCAGGTATGTTTCGTGTCACTCTGGTTTATTTCAGGCCATAGACGTCTTCGGCGTGCTCTAGTTCCGATCTCTGGGTCACCGGTAGTGTTCCGAGTGCGACAGACCTCGGCAAGTCCGTCTCATTGAGCTATGCTGTGGGGAAGGCCGCTGGTGAGCTTAAATCTGCGCGCAATATATAGTTTGATATTGACAGGTCGCAGGCGATGTATACACCGCCCAGTTGGACTTTGCGGGCTATACCGTCCAAAACCAAGCATTCTGTGAGTGCCCCGTTTCAACTCTCTTGTTTCCGGGCGACTCGGAGTCGTTTGGGTTACTCGATGGGGGCACAGAGATGGGGTATGGCTTCGCCGTCTCCGACCGTGCATTACAGACTCTTGCATAACGAGCTGCGGAAAATCATATACAGGGTCCTTGACGCGCTTTATACGAGGCGCTATCTCCGTACGCAGGGCGGTTGCGGATCGTATACAGGGGGACACTCTGCACGTTTACGCATCACATGCTCACATTCCGTTATAGTGCTCGTCGAAGATACTAGCTCATTCTCTGTTGACATCACGTCGCAGGGGTATGCTGGTCTCATTGGTTTGGGCCCCAACACTGGGTCTGTTATCCGCGACAAAGTCGACGATGCGAGCGGGGCTAGTGTGCTCGACCGCATATTCTCCCAGAACGCCACCGCTGCCAACTACCTCACCATCCTTCTGAGCCGCGAGGGCGACCCTGAGAGCGCCACGGGCCAGCTGACGATCTCGGAGGTGATTTCCAACTACAGCAAAGTTCTGGACATGCCGAAGCTGTCCGTGACCAAGGTGCACAAGCTCACCGACGAGGACCAGCACTGGCAAGTGTACACGGACGTGAACGGCATCATTGGTCCCGACGGCCAGCCGATCGAGGTCGACTCGATCGTCCCGAAGGCGCCAGACGGCCAGCTCGTGGTCGTGTTCGACTCTGGATTCACGCTCCCGCAGGTGCCCCGTGCTATGGCCGACGCGATCTATGGTCGTGTACAGGGCGCGGAGTACAACGAGGCGTCCGAGATTTGGACCGTGCCGTGCGACCAGTACATTCCGTTGACCTTCAAGTTCGGAGGCAACGAATATCCTATCCACCCGCTCGACGTGTCCAGTGATGACTTTGCCATGGTCAACTCCCTTGGTAACCCTGTATGTGTGGGCACTTTCCAGCCGATCACGTCGGCCTTCAGTCTGCTGGGAGAGTACGACATCATCCTGGGCATGGCCTTCCGTACGTATGATTTTTGTGCATCTATGGCCGTTTACTAAAGTCTACCGTTCACAGTGCGCAACACTTACACGCTCTTTGATTACGGTAACTTCATGGAGGATACCGCCAATGACCGTGGAGACCCCTTCATCCAGCTCTTGTCTGTCACCGATGCTACTGAGGCCCGCCAGGACTTCGTCCAACTCCGGCTCAACGGTGTGGACACCACCAACGACACGGCGCATGCTCTTCTCCCCACCTCCCAGATGCAGCACTCTCCTATTTCGGAGGCAGAAAAGAAGAAGCAGTACGTCGGTTCCAGTGACGTCTTTCCGTATCTTGCTGATGACCGTCAACTTCGCGCAGATACGAGGAGATGATTCTTAGTCGCTGGCCGTACATCTTCGTCGGCTGCCTGGCCTTTGTGATCATCGTCGCCGGTCTCATCACCTGGCGCTGCTGCGTTCGCAAGCGCAAGCAGCGAGAGGCTAAAGCAGCAAAGAACCGCCTTCTGGTCCCCAGCGGGCAGCGCTCGCCGGGGGCGCAGCCCATCTCGTTCGACCGCCTCGAAAGCGGAATGATGCCGAACAACATGGAGATGCATGAGAGCAACAAGACCGGGTACGACTACGACTACCGCCCCTCGTTCGCGTCAAGTCGCACTCGCGTGTAGGCTTGCCCTCCGCGCTCCCCCATCCCCGTCATCCCCCGTCACTTCCGTGAAGAAGAGGCTCGGACTTCGAGAAGTTGTGTTACTGCCCGCATACCTTACTCCCCCCTCCCAGCTGTTGTAGCTCGACTGTCGCTCTCCCCGCCCTCTTACTCCGCCGATCTTGTATCATACTCGCTGCACCCCAGCACCCACTTGGCACCCCCTCTTCTTGTCCCACACTACCCCTCTAGCCGGCTTTATGTCGCGCTATCCGCCAACCCGCCCACTAACCTATTGGTTGGCGGCCCTTTTACCCCTTCGCGCTGCCTGTGGACAGGCCTGCTGCTAGTCTTACGTTACCCGAGCGTTGTGCGCGTCCTCATCCCCGCCTGCCGTTCTTCTGGGCATTTTACCCATTTTTCACTTATCAGTTTTTCAGCTCTCTGGGATGGTCGTGTACAACATAGTTAACCAAGGATCTTCTCGTCGGATCTCCGCTGCTCGACAGCGCGACGCACTGTACATGAATGAACCAACGAGGATCGAGGGGTGCATAGCTGGAAAGCAGCCGCCCGCATGTGATCGCGCAGTGCGCGCGTGGCGTTACGTAAGGACATAGACGGCGCGTCGAGCTTGTGGCGGAGCCGATATCGACTTAACCGGATACCCACCACTCACTTGGACTGCTTGTGAGTCTCTACCCTCTGCTACTGCCATCCTCCACCACACACTCGCTGGCTTGACTAGCTATATACCTGCGGGACACCATCATTCTTCTACGGCTCTGAATCACTTGGCATGAAGGCGGAGTACATGAAGCTGGCCAAAGGCGGCGCGGGCCCGTCCCGCCACATGGCCAATATCGACTCGGACGAAGAGGAGGAGCGCAAGGCGCTCATTGCGCCCGACGAGCGGAAGTTCGACGAGGACAAGCCGTACCGCCCGACCGACGAGGAGGACAACGCGGAGCTGGAGGTACCGCCCCGGTCACGGCGGCGCCTCACCTGGATCGTGCTCCTGTTCTCGCTGCTGCTTATCAGCGCAGCCATTCCTATACGACGGCTACTGAGCAGCGGCGGCAGTACATCGACTGTAGCGACGGTGGGTTTGCTGTATAGCAACGGCACACATGAGTTCAAGAAGAGTGCACTCATCGTGTCGATTGACGGCCTCCGGTATGTGCACATGCGCGCGTTCGACACAGCGGGTCGTTGGCAGGCGTATTGACTTGTATGATGCAGGGCGGATTACCTGGACAGAGGGCTGACGCCACATTTGTTGGCTATTAGCAAGGACGGGCTGCGCGCGAAGTCCATGAAGCCTGTATTCCCGGTGAGTCGTGTAGTGGTGGGCACGGTAAGCGTGGTTGCTGACCCCACACTTAGACTCTAACGTTCCCGTAAGTGCCACGTTAACTTTGATGATGACGCTGTCTAAACCCTACTTTGGGAAAGCAACCACTGGGCATTAATGTGAGTGCGCACGTTCGTTCAGAATTAGCACTGCTCCTAACTATGACTACGCTAGGACTGGGCTGTACGCGGAGTCCCATGGTATCGTCGCAAACGTGAGTATCCTGGATTACCAGCCCCACATACAACAATTTCAATCCATGCGCCACAGAACTTCTGGGATCCCTCAACAGGCCGCGAGTTCCACTACAACAGAATAGACTCTTCTTGGAACTCCTCTTGGTGGTTTGGCGAGCCCGTCAGTCAATCGCCACCGTTCAGCCGCGATCGAATCATGTTAACATGTCTGATGGTAGATGTGGGAAACCGCCGAGCGCGCCGGTGTGGTAACCGCCAACCTCATGTGGTATGTCACTTCTCGCTTGTAATAGGGTCCTTGAGTTGAATGAGGTACAGGCCGGGCCCCCCAGAAACGCGCATGGGAACATCTCCGACTTACTTCGTGCCTTGGAAGGTAGGCTTGGAACTAGGCGTTGATGGGCTCTGTTCCTGCTCACATGCATTCGATAGGACAAAGTTTCTCTGGGCACGAAGCTCGACCAGATTCTCTCCTGGATCGATTTGCCACTTGAGAAACGTCCGCAGTTTATCATGGGTAGGCACAACTCGATATTGAGGCACATGTCAGGCTGTTCAATCGTTTGGTCTAGCGTATGAACCGTCCCTTGACCAAGCCGGTCACCTCGCAGGTCCAAAGTCTTCCCTCGTCAACGTAAGACGATGCACAACCCCCACTTCCGGTGCAGAATTCTGATGCATCCTCCGCTTACAGAAAGTCTTGAAGCAAGTGGACGTATTCGCACGGGACCTGCATGACGCCATTGAGGCTCGCAATCTTACCGACATCTTTGACATCGTGTTTGTCAGTGACCATGGGATGACTGACATGAGCCACCCGGAACTTGTCTACGTCGATGACATACTTGGCGAAGGATTCGAGCGAATCGAACACGAGGACGGTTGGTCACAGATCTCGCTATCCTCTGCTTTACGAGCTGACGTCGATCTTCGTACACAGGCTGGCCTGCAATGGGACTGCGGTTCCAATCGAAGGCGGATGAGGCGCGCTATCTGGCGGTACTCCTTGAGGCGGCAGCCGCGAGCGGCGGCAAGTTCGACGTCTATACGCACGACACGATGCCCCAGCGCTGGCACTTCGCACACAACGAGCGCATCGCGCCGATCTACGTCGTCCCGCGCATGGGCTATGCGCTCACAAATCGCATCGAGAACGGTGCAGGCATGTCCAAGGGGGTATGTATAGTCCATCTTGAACCCGTAATATGGGTATATTGCTTACACCCTGCCCCCCTCATAGAACCACGGGTACGACAATGACTACGCCTCCATGCATGCGATGTTCGTCGCGCACGGGCCCTTCTCGTCCGTCGTGAAGGCGATCGAAGCCGAGCGCGCGAAGTCGCCTGTGCGCCGCCTCGCCGCGCTGTCCGGCCGCGCTGAGGGCGCGGGCTGGCACTCGGTCGTGGGCGACGCATACGTGATGGAGACGTTCGAGAACGTGCAGATCTACAACCTCATGATGAAGCTGCTCGGCATCGAGGAGTACGCTGCGCCGACAAACGGCACCGCGGGCTTCTGGGACAAGTATTTCTGAGGGCGGCGGTGGTCGCTGACGCCTTTGGCCAGCTATGGGGACGGACTGGGGTTCTGTACAGTACATATTTACATGGGTATAGTTAGAGCACATCGTACTATGCATCCGTGGGTAATCTCGTAAAGCATTCTGCAATCGCATCAGGGGCGGAACCACGCCGCGCTGATATTCTCCACGCAGTTGGACAAACGCCCCGTGTAGAGGACCCGCACCTTCTCCAGCAACTTCTCGTCGTACTCGCATGGCCGCTTTCTTTGACTGACGTCTGCCGGCACGGGACAGCATGCGTTACCCAGGGGAAGCAAGGACACCACGAAAGACCGGAGCGGACGTCCTAAGCGTTTCTGGCGCTCTTCTAGTGCAGCTGCTATGCAAGCCGCCGGTCCACCACGAGCCGCCTCGATTTCGATGTCTAACTTGGCATCGTGTCCATCCCTCACCACAGCCAGCTCCTCCAGAGCGGGACAGACTAGGCCACCGGAAGACGGCTCTGTGGCTGCGAGCGCTCGGATGAAGCGTTCGTACTGCACGTCGCCTCGCGGCGGTCCAAGGCTGAGGCAGACCAAGCGGGGGAACGTGGCCAGCAGGGGGAGCGCGTCGACCAACTTGAAAATCGCTGGAGAATCGCCGGGCCCCGCGACGTAGTGGTCGAGGCGGAGCGTCGTAATCGAGTGGACCCCGGAGAACAAACGGGGAAGGTACGTTACGGGCCTCGGGCGATCTGGCGCCACCTCCGTTGCGATGAGGCTGGCGAACGTGACTGCCAGGAGCTCGCGGGCTCCCTGGTACGTCTGTATGCCCACCTCGTACCACCACCGGGCCGGAGAGACCCATTGGACGGCAGGCTCGGACGCTGCGCGGTGGTGGATGCGCAGCTCGTCGGCGGCGTCCACGAAGGTCGCGCTGATGCTCTCTGGGAGAAGATGTCGGAGCCGCTCGTGCGCGGGGGTGATATAGTCCGGCTGCGGGCAATGGATGGCGATGTGTGTCGTAGGAGGAAGACAAGCGAGCCTCAGAAAGGACGCGATTCTCTCCGAGGACGAATCTTCCAATGTGAGTTCGGTGAGGACAGGGAATGGGACCGTGCAAGATGGCCATTTATCGGGTAGAACACATTGGTCAATGTTCAGGGAGCGGAGCGGCTCTGAGCAGCGAGTGAGGCCGTCGAGGATATCTTGAGGTCGAGGTCCTTTGCCGCACAAAGGTTTACGAATATAAAGCTGCTGCACTGACTGAACTGAGAAGTAGGGGAAGAGCATGGATGGGATGGTAAGGTGTCGGAGACGAGGGAAAGCGGTTTCCACTGCGCATTGGTCCTCGCGCGTGAGGGACGGGACTCGGTTTCCAGAACACATCCAGGCGTAAGTCAGATCCAGGGTGTTGAGGCCCGAAAAACGCCCGTCCGCGAGCGATTGGATATCGCTGGTAGACAACCCGTTGCTCAAGAGGAGATCGGTTACCCGGTGCAAATGCGCCGCAAGAGTCGGCGCGACAGCCAGATTCGGCACCCCAAAGATGAACTCTCGAGGGGGATAGGTCAATCGAAGAGGCTGGCATCCAGAGCGGGCGAGAAGAATATTTACGAGTTCGCGTTTGTTGTTTGTGAATGCGGTCCCACGCAAGGCGAGCATGTCTGCCCAGAACTCGGAGGTTTGCATGAGGATGGACCGCCAATGTCGACAGACGTGCAGCATCCTGATGGCCTTCGTCGAGGCCCATGCCCGACCTGTGGTAAGCAGGATGTACGACAGAATCTCCGTGGGAAGATGATAGATAGTGAGGACGGAATTGCGGATGGCTCCAAGAGAAGAAATGTTGGTTAGATGATGCTTGTTGATTTCTTGGGTCCCGCTCTCGACTTCGGAAGATCTGAGCCTCAGAGGAGCGTCGCCATCGAATAAAATCGTATCTTCAGCTGGAATTCCTGCACAAACTTCAGTGAAATCGGAGAAGGGCTCCGGGAACAGTCGTTTGTTCAACGTTGAGTCGTCGTCTAGGGTGTTGGGTTGCCAAGCACAGGCGTCCATTAAGGCACAGACCCCTTCGAATCCAGTAAAATCGAGAGCTCGACACCAACGCTAGTACTAGTCCATCAGATCAAGTTCAATGCCACTTGAAAAAATGCTGAACATGCTCACAATACTCACAAGGGCTCGTATGAGTGTTATCGTGATGGAGTGGAGAGACGGAGTGACCGTCTGTGGCAGCGACTGTTTCAGATCCTCACCAAATTGAAAGTCCGCATTCCCACGGGCGACCTCCGAATTCGACCTTTTTCAAAGTGAGGAGTCCTCCCAACGACTAGAGCAGGATGTCCGCTATCACCTGGAAAGTGTGAGATTTTGCCAGGGGTACTTGTACTGCAATGTGTGGGGGGGGGGCGTAGATGGATACAAGGGGTATCGAGGATGGAAGACGGCGTGCAAACTGAACAAAGATATCGAAACAATCGGATGGTATAGTAGTAGAGAAACGAAACAGGGCGCTCAGCTAAGAAACCTATCTGACATCATATATCGATGAGAGAACAGGGTCCGAGCTCTGACAACAAACATATCACAGAGAGAAACAAGGTCATGTGTCTGGCACTCCTACCGGAATGTCCATGACCGGTCGCAAGGCAGAACGTCCTTCCAGCTGGCGAGTCCACCGAGACGTCGTCTAACGACTGTTGACGGAAAATTTGTCCACAAGAGCCTCCAGGCGCGTATGAATGACCCTCTGGAACTTCTCCGCGAGTGCCGTGTCTCCCTCATAGGAGTAGTACGGATCCGCGCGCAGGTCGATTTCCAGCGTCAGCGCGCCCAGAACGCGACCAAAGACCGCACGCCGCTGTCCCAGGACGAGCGCGAGGACCTCCGCCAACGCCTCCGGCTCCAGGAAGGCCTCGCGACCGAGACCGGTGATGGTCAGCGCCTCCAGGGCGGGGCAGGCCACCGCGCCCGCGGTCGAGCCCGTGCAGGCGAGCGCGGAGACGAGAACGAGGCCATCCGCGGGATGCGTGGGGCCGAATGTCGTCGCGGCGGCGTACGCAATCGTGAGACGGGCCAGGTGGGGGAATTTATCGAGGACGGATAGCGCCTCTTCCTGCGATATCCCGCTGTCCCGCGCACAGTCGAAGGTGGCCGACGTGATCGTGTGTGTTTGGTTTAAGACGTGCGCGATGACTGCTGGAATGGTCGATGCCGAGGCTCTCCGAGTCCAGAGTCCCAGGTACAGCAGCTCCCTCCCATCGGTCAAGGTCCTTACATCTAGCGCCGAATAATCGAGTGAGATGCGAAGCTCTTCAGGGCTGGCGACGCCAGGATGGCCACCAAGAATATCGCGAAGGGGGACCAGGGGTGCTACGCTCTCGCATAGGATACTGATGGACGACGACGGGGGTATAGTTATTGCCGCTAAAAAGGATTCCACAGGATCAGGGAGTGCGTCTTCGACGGAGAGTTCAAGCAGGGCGGGTAGGTCCAACGGCGAGCAGTGTTCCGGGGGGACCCAGCCCTTGGTAGGGAGTGTGAACTGGATGTGAAGTGACGCTAACTGACGAGCGCAGCGTCTCAGAGCGCGAAGGAGAGCTTGTGGGGTCGAAACCGCTTCGTTTGAGAGCCAGGTTAGACCGTGGTTCGACGCAAGGACCGAAAGGCTCGTGATAGAGGCGACCACGAAATAATCATCGACAAAACAGGGAGACAACTCCAGGTGCCTGAGACGCGGGAGGCAAGCGTCCGCGCACTTCTCCGTCTCCTCCTCAAACGCCGGCGGGGTCGAGCTCGCGCCCCCAAGGGATATCAGGCGCAGACGCTCGAGATTGACGAAGTTGCCTTCCGGGAGCAGCGTGTAAAATTGGCCAAATTCCGTGTTGGTGCAGGCTATAGCTAGGTCGACTATGCGACACAGATGGGGTATCATGAATTTCGAGGAATACACATCAGGGGATGCTGCCCGCAACGCGAGCGGGCGAGAACTAGAGAGGAGTAGAATAGCCTCCAGGAGGTCGGGGATGGCCCACACCTTGGGGAGGGAAAGCATGTCGACCCAGAACTCGGATGTCCGGCCCAGGATGGCGCGCCAGGAGCGACAAACGTGCATGAGCCTGATATCGCCCATCCCTTTCGGACTGATGCAGGCAAAGACGCGCATGAGCACTTCGGGGGGAAGGCGCTGGTTGATGGGGGCGGCGGCATTGTAGATCGACTTCATAGCGCGCGCATAATCCTGGTAGAGTTGCTCGCGGGCATGAGCCCACTGTTGAATGTCGGGGAGAGGGTGCTTGTGGAGGGTATACACATCTTCATCGGGAATACGAAGGGGTGAGCCGGAGCAGAAGATGTTTCGGCAAGCCGCAGAAGGGGTGTCTATGTTCATGATTACGTTGTTCCCCGATGGCTTCGTGCTTCGCGGGAGCTTGGAAGGCGCGGACGCTCTATACTAGTCTGGACACTGATTGACAGATTGGCTCCTGTAGTGTTTCAGTAGGATGATCAAAACTAGTGGCACAGTACGTACCTCTAGGACACAGACCCTAGGTTCCAAAACGTGTCCCCTGACGCCGCCGCGGAATCCGAGTGTGGGTTCGACTCGGAGACTGGTGTCTGATCCGTGCCGTCCGAGAAGTCGGAGCCTGAGGTTCAAGGCGCGGGTATATTCCTATCACCGACGCTTTGGAGGTGGAAAATGTTCCTCCGTGCTGAGACAGCAGCGACTATGAACGATTGAGCCAGAGTCTAGGTGCATACAGAGGTAGTCGAAGAGTGTTGTGGTGGGGGACCGGGAGAGGTGGGATTGTGGGCGTAGGTGGGCGCTCTACGCGGCGCGTCATCGACCCTTCCGGTTTCGTTCGTCGTGGAGGCGGCAGCAGTCTGGCACAGACCCCGGAAACCCTCGTTCACTCCGGTACTCCCTCCTCCTCCCTTCTCGCTGTCTTCCTGGCAGCATTTGCAGCATCACTCATATGTCTCTATTCCGCAGTCAACAGCTTCTACGAGTACAGCATGGCTTGACAAAGTCCGAACTCTCTCTGGCAGGCCCCACCGACAGGTGAAGCTGAGAATGGTCACCGTCTGCAAGCTTCAACTTGAACTATCAGTACTACTATTGAAGAGCCCCCTTGACTTCTGCTTGCGCCTCCGGAGATCCTCTTAGTCACTCGCATACGCCTAAAAGCTGGCAGTTGCTTTTGGTAGCGGCGAGTCTACAGCGAGTAGGTCGAATAACACATCCGAGTCCGAGGTACGCACTATTCGAATCTCACATCCCTCCCGTGCTCGCCATGGCCCTAATGATCTAACTTTAAGTCCCGCCATACTACCGTAGGCTTACCGCTATTCATAGCATCTGCGGGAATTCCACTGGCGCGGAGCGCTGCATACGCAGCAGCATTCTCTACATCTGTCATCGAAGCCAAGCCTGCAAGCCCAATAGACGCGTCACGACCACGAACGTGCGAGGAACCCCTAGCTTATCTACACCCTCCTGCGATATGCTGTGGTTTATACTTTGCCTTCGATATGTCGCCGCTCTCACCTGCTCAAATGGGCCCGAGTCCTGGGCTATGTACGGGAAACGGGGAAGTGCCCTCCTGTGCTTGCTATACATAACTGCCGCTGCTTGCACCTCGCTCTTCGTCACAAACCTGGACCTTTGGACGTCGATTCCCCCAGCACTCCTTCTCCGCATGGCCCCTTCATCTGATCATTCATTAGCCGACGCTTCGGGCTCACAGATCGAGGCACTCGAGCAACCTCTCCAGCTCAAGCTCGACATCTATGCTGCTGAAGGTCGCGCGCGCGCTCCTAGCGTAGACTCTGGCTATGGGACATCTCCGAGCTTGCGCTCGTCACTTGGTCCGGCGGTCTGGCAGCTGTACGAGGCGTGGAAGGCCGCGGACGACGCCGCACAGCGTCTTCCTGCCGAAGTGCAGGCATTGGAGACGTGCCAATCGCTACTGCGCGAAGCGAAGGAAAGACGTGGGGCGGTTCGGAATACGTGAGGCATACGGCTCAAATTCGACGAGAGCGATCACTAACACATCGCATTAGCGTGCAGCCAAAGCGCAGGCTATCTTCGATGTCACTCCCCGCTCTAAGGAAGCGTTCCATGCACTCGGTCGCCCCCGCCTCTACGTACCCCACGGACTTCACGGCCTCCGCAGCACCATTCGGCGAATCATCCCGCACCGTGGAGCAGCTCGAGACGGAGGTGGATGAGCTACAACGCTCGGTAAGTGCACATCATACATCCTACTCTCGTCAGCGGCTAGATATATGTGTGCAGGTTGCACAGACGCGAGTAGTCGCGGAGCAGCTTGATGAGTGCTTTGACAAGTTGTTGCTTGTCCTCGATGGTGGATGCCCCGTCTCGCCGGAATCGCTGCGCAGCCCCAGGTGAGTACCAATAGCTTTGTCACCCGGAGACCTTTGCTCACATATTCAACTTGTAGTATCATCAGCACCTACTCTGGACCCTCCCAAGACCCAGATCTGTATCGGCGAGCACGGAAGACCGTCGCAGCGCGGGACGGCATGCATCTTGTCGTACGTGTCAACCACCTGTCAATACTTTACACGTACTGACGTATCACGATTCGATAAGACACTTTCCACCACCAAGGCGCTCCAGCACGCATGCCGCGCTGTACAAGCTGCGCATCACCTGTACCAGGAGGCGAAGGAGAACGTAGACCTTCTTTGTGGGCCGAACCGGAGCAAGCTCGCGGTGATCTTCTCCGACGAAGAAAGCCGAAACCGAACGTACCTCGGTAAGAGCTAGTTGGCAGACCACGCCGCCGAAGCTCTGACACCGCCGTGCGCAGAGGCCGCGACGCGCGCACAAGAGGCGCAGGCCTGCTACGACGAGTGCCTGAACTCGTTGCGGCCGCATTGGGACCTGCTCACCCGCCCGGAGCTCGAGGCGTACGAGAATCTTCACAACACTGGTCTCCTCCAGGCCGCGACGCTGTACCGACTTATGTACGGCGGCCCTAACTTCGCCATGGGCATCAAGCGTGCGTAGTAATAATCCCTGCCAAATTTAGGGCACCATCTGACATGCGTGGTTTCTCCCGCAGAGGAGGTCCAGTTCATGATACAGCGGCAGCATGAGGTGTTCCTACAGTTGACCAACTTCGCGGCCGGGGTGCAGAACTGCACAGCGCACTGCGAGGCCGTTGAGCGGGAGGCGCGTGCGAGCCGCGATGCCGCTCGCAGGCAGCTGATCGCGGTGTATTCTCAGGTAGACGAGGATATGGAGAAGGCTTTAGTGAACTGACGCGGGCGGTGAGCCGGAGAATAATTCATGTAGTCGCACCTCAGGAGCCATAGTAGCTAGATGTATGTAATACATAACTTTTATTCGGAATACTGGCTTTTGATAGGCCGTCGTTCAATATGGAGCTATGCGAAACACCTCAATAGACTTTTACCATCGCGTTGGTTGCAGCAATTCGGCCAGCCCTGCAGGCCATGCGCAGCGGGGACTGGTACGAACGTTCGTCGGTAACTGCGGCTCGGAGTTGTACAGCGCTTATTACCGGCCTTTTTCTCACACTCCGCCGAAGACGTGTTTCTCTCGAACAGGCGTAGTTAACGTTCACTCGCCCATCTCGATTTGCACCGGTCAGTCAGGACTAATCATGGACGATCCTATTCCATCTGCAGCTCATGGTATGATACTTGGGACTGTACATACCAAAACACACATGGCGGTGTAGATGTCCTCAGTCCGGCTGTTTCCACCCCATGGCACCGTGACACCACGCCGCCTTCTCTCATTAGCGGCGTATCTCTCTTGGTGGGCCACGTATATTCCTACCACGTATATCAATCGCTGATTGACTTGTGCTAATTTGTAGTAAATACCTGACGGTTGCACTGCGTCCAGCGGTCACCACCTGTATGACGGCGCCTTGTGAAATCTACTTATCAGGTCGACAGTTGAATCATATCAACTTCGCAGCGCAAGGCTGAAGACCTGCAATTCGCTACTTTTCTGGTCACTGTCGATGGGCGGTCTAGGCATGCATCATGAAACCCTAGAAGGCCGTCTCACGTCGTGGTTCGATCTGACAGGATATAGATGGTAACTCCCGCATGCAAACCTACTCCTTGACTGCCTTACTTGATGAAGTCTCTTTGCCGCAGCCTCTCCAAAGTTGGATGGCGATCGACGGGGAAAACTATAAGCTCTGTACGAACTCTTCGACTGGAATGCCCTCTGCCGCAGACGCACCCTGCTGCCTCGCCTATCCCTCCTGGTGGGCCGCCCTCAATACCACGCATTCGCATTCGCATCCACCTCACCCTCTCGCCGTTGCTGAACTCCTACTATGTCGCACATAGAGTCCCTGCTCATACCCCTACGAGCAGCAAAAGACGCATCAGCCGTGATACCCGTCCCAGGGCTGAGCCTTGCGCTCGAGCTCGCTTGTAGCATCGCCCAAAAGGCTAAGGTATGTCAGCCCGACAACTATCACGATATATGCATAGGACTAACGATGCTTCCTTCAGGATATTGGAGACTCGCACGATGCTTGCAGGTCGCTCGCTGAACGAGCGGCGTCCTTCTCGCTGGGGATCTACAACCAATTGAAGGAGGGTGTTACCGACTCCCACCCGGTTGCGACAAAAGAACATGTCGACCTACTACTCCGGTACATTTCTGTTACCTTCGTGTCCTCTTTTACTTAACATATCACGCTCCGCTCGCAAGGACACTGCGCAATATCGAGGGCGTCATGGAACGCCGGCACAAGATGCGTGCTCTCAGGTTCCTACTAGGGTACACAAAAATTGCAAAGGAGGTCGGAGATCTCGCTACCCGACTCGACGATGCCAACAATAGATTCATGGTAAGTCTAGCGTTTACATGTGCCATCATAATACCAAACACGTCGTGTTCCCAGATGCAGACAGGTATCGACATCATGAATAGCATGGACACATTGATGAGCACGAACGGCCGAGTCCTGCAGCACGTCGAGGACTCCGCGCACGTAGGAGCTGTCCTCATCAGTGAGACAAGAAGCATCCGTGTTACCGTCTTAGATTTAGCGCAGCGCCTCAGTAACAGTGCGACGTTCGACGGCAGGGTGAGAGAACCTAGTATACGCCGCCGCTTACTGTGCTAAATAAACACTTGGCTCCTAGTTCCGACTCTTCGCCGAAGAAAACCTCGACCTTATAGAGCCCATCCACGATGTAGTTCCGCGGCAAGAAGACGGACAAGCTCACAACTTTCGCATAGCCTCGCCAGTTGAGCCGTCGGGACGCGTCATCCGTTACCGTGCAATCGTGAGGGCGGCTGGCGACCTATCGGGCTCGCAGGTCATCGTTCATACGTACCTCGAGACCGACCGCTTCGTGGAGGCGATCAAATCCGGCAAGCTGACTTTGTAATCCTTGCTCTTCCACACGGATCTGTGCAGACCGCTTACCTCCGTTCGAAGCCATCCGTACATCTTGAGGATATTGGGTTACTCCCGTATTGGTGGCCCAGGCGAACCTTCGTACATTGTGACCGAAGGTACGCCCGCACTGTCACGAATATCATCGAGTCCTGCATTGACCAGGATACATAGACTATCACTGTCCGTACGAGGATTATATCCGTCCCCTCCATGGAGTAAGCAAGCTTCGTGCATATCTGCAACTGGTATGTATCATTGACGCTCAATTAACCTTATGCAGCTAACGACCCAGCCTTAGGCGGCGGAGATGTGTGTACGTGACCCCTTGCCCAGTTTCCGATGTTAAGAGGAGCTCGAGTGCCTAACTGTTTTATGCGTAGATGGCGGTCGACTACCTTGAAACGATGGGGCCGCGTCATCTACTGGCTCAAAGCGAGTACTGGGTATGTTGGACTTCTGCATAGAGCATGCTGTACCCACCAACAATCATTTTGTTCATCCAGACTTACGGCGTACAATACGGTTTTGAGTGGGGCGAACTCGTATTCGATCACCGCTATGGAGGCCGCGTGAAATGGGCTCGGAATTATCTCATGCTGAAGCCAGCGAACAATCGTGAAGTGAGTATCACTTCGGGCCCTGCACTGTTTCCACGCTCAACATGAATCCGCATAGGCGTTCATTCCCGCTACGTATGCGAAGAGGATGCGCGTACTAGACGGTACGCAACTTCATGTGGCCGGATGTGTAATGACTGACAATTCTTTCAGTTCTTCGTTCCGTTGCCAAAGCGAGCGCAGGCGCTGTCGTGCACTGTTGGCTATCTCAAGTTTTACTCGACCTCACGGTGAATATTGTTCATATGCCTGGGCGCATGTCATGGCAATGTTGGCAAGAAGCCCGGGATCTGCCTCGGTATACGCTCGGAGCGTGGGTGGGACGTAACGACCGCGGCGAAGATTGGACCATCGTGTCTACCCAAAATATGAAACTCGAAGTTGTCACAACCTTCCCGGAGATACCGCAGGTGGTTCCCTGGCTCGGCCCATCCCCGGATACATCGCAAGGAGAGCACTCTCTCGACCAGAAAATGAGGATGGTCAAACCCTTCAACGTTCCCGAATCGGACCGCGGCGAGATGTGCGTCGACGTGGAGTTGGGCACGGCTGGGACGAAGTGGAAGAGGTGAGTAAGAGCAGTTTACACGCCGTTTACGCTGCAATTCATTCGCTTCGGAATTTCCTCGCTCAGGTACCAGTTTTCCTGTATTCCCGTGGGCACGACATTTCTCTTTGTGCAAGTCGACCACATCATGGGCCATGGCGACGCCGTTTCGAAAATAGTAGGTTCGGCGCCGGATCTATCTACTGTAGGATTCAAGAGCATTGGTTTAGGTGCGTCTAGTATATATCTTGGTATCTGGACCGCTTATTCAGGGCATCATGTAGCTACGGAGGTCGTAGAATACATGGAGACGGCCGCCACGGGAATTGGCGTTGGGGCCGCACAGCAGGCGCCCCCGCCGCTTTGGTTCTTCCTGTTACAATACGACGGCAGCAACCAGGATGTGACTCGCGACCCCAAATTTCCACGAGGATTCTGGTCATCGGAGAGGCAACCCACCTCCATCCCGGAGGACATCATCTTCGACACGACACGAAGGTTCGAACACATCCGGAAGAACACCAGTGCGCGGCTTTCAATCTGGAAACAAACAATTGGCGACCTTGCTTTCACGACCCAGACAAAGTACGCCCTAGCTTTCATTGAGAGCTCGTTTCTGGATGTCGAGCTGACGTTGTGTACTACGGCAGGTCGTACACAAGGATCCTAGGGCCCGGGGAGGACGAACTAATGGCTCTCAAGGAGCTTCGAAAGCAGCATGGCTACTATTCTACCGGTAGCCCCTACGCTGGCGACTCGCATGACGCGGATGCGGAGCGCTTCTCCGTGCACGACGGCGACGAGTCGGATGACACTGACAGTGAACACGACGAGTACTTTGACGCCAGCGACGGTGACTCGGACGATGAGCCCGAACAGTACTTCGACGCAAGCGAAGGCGACGAAGACCCGGTCGTGGTACGATATTCTGAATCCACTCACGGAGCCCAGGACGGCGCAAAGGGATTGGATTTCGATGACGCGGAAGATTCGGGATACTACAGCGCAGAAGAAAACTAAACCGGCGATTCGGAAACCATTTGTCTTGAGGTTGTACAGCTGTATGTTCGAGGAGCAATGTTCGGTGCGTTCGGCCATTTCCACTTGCAGTTCTCGTGATGGTTGATCAATCCCACAGCCGGTCTGTCCATGCACTCTATTTGGCTTCTTGAAACGATATCCAGGCTCATTCGGGGCGATTTCACTTTGTCTTGTGCCCTTTGCGACGGTGCAGGACTCCGAACGGTCGCGCTGGTTGCCTTCGTCCGATGTCCCATCTGTATTTGTTTGATTTGCACGATGCACTTATTCTTGACAGTATTGCAAACCCTATTTCACACGTCGCGTCTCCATAGATATCTTAGGCGTGTAGTTGTATGTGTGAGCAGTAACTGCCAATATTCGCTCGCAGAAATCGATCGACCAGGTGAGCGCTGGCGCTAACTTGACCCACGACATCCCGATCGAGCCGAACACGATCACGAGCGCGTCAAACGCGCGCGACGCGTCGTCGAAGGATCGGCGACGGTGTGGCGGGCGCGTCCGCCAACTTGGCTAGGATACTCTTGATCTTGGACTCATCGGCTAGCTTCTGTGTATTCGTACTTACCTTTCATTTTTTTTATTCAAGCCATACTAGAGCGCTCGCGCACACACCGCTCGAGTCTCGACACGCTGCTTCATCGCTCCCCTCAAAGTCTGCGGTATAAGCGAGAAGGCTTCAAGTGGCAGAGATTCTATGCAACATTCTGCGGCCCTGTCTCCCGATGTCTCCTGAAACGATAGCACACGCAAAGTGGAGACGTGTCGGGAGGAACGATCTCGAGCCGAATAACACATTCGAGATCGACGCGCCACCTCGCGCCACTCGAGAAGCCTCCGGCCACTAGGTTTGCTTCTCAGATGGTTTGTTCTTGTCCTTCACATGCTTCGATTCAGTAAATTTTGGAGGCCGCTGTAGCTCGGATCGGAGCACAGACCGGTCAGTACTGGCTGTACATAAAGCCGAAACTTTCTCTTTGCAATTCATGTTGTTCCCCCCTCAGGCCTCAGACCTCCAAGTGACTGTTCACGTTTAGTCCGCACGCTCGCCTCGTCTTGCACTCGGGGCCTCATGCATTTGCATCATGTCTCATCCTCCTCAACACAATCATCTTGTGAACAGGTACTGCCTCGGACCGAGGCGACCTCAAATCAAAGATACGACATCTCTGCCAGACTCCACCGAGAAGATTCCCTTTCCACCAAGCAGAGTGGTATGTCTCGGACCGTCTTTGTGTTTCGCAACTAATAATCACTCTTCTGCCAGGTACTGGCAGTGGTAGTCTCATTGCATCCCGGTGGAATCGGACCGTTGGGCGCCAAAGTGATCATTAATGCGTGGCCAATCGTCGCCCGAGCACTCTGCGGCCGAAGACGCTACGAAACGCCATCAGATGGGATGGGCGAGAAGCCAATGGGATCAAGTATATCGCTGGATGCCGCTTACCAATCGCCCGAAGCGCGCTCCCAAGATAGAAAGGTACGCTTGGGTGGGAGCGGCCCTGGCAACGCTAAGTGTCTCGAGGATGATGCACTCGGAGGCTTCGCGCAGTGCCTCGTTGCTCTGCCCTCGTCTCTCGTTCTCTTTCCCCGGGCTCGCCTCTTCCTTCTCGCTTTCTCGCCAGTCCCGCTTTTTATGCTGGTGTGTCGGCAGTGCCAGACGCACGCATAACTTTTCACTCGTTATCGGCAATGGCGTCGAGCGTCTTACCTGTCCCCCAACCGCTGGCCGAGGCTCCCCCGACACCGACAATGACAGTGACAGCACCGACTGAGGCCGCCACAGAGGCCAGCACCACCCAGGCGCAACTCGACGAGCCACCGCGGCCACAGGCAGGCCCGCTTCCGTCGAAACGCGGAGAGATAGGCTTCGTGGAGGGTTTACATGACCGTGGGGACACCGCGTCCGAGGCAAGTGCTTCGACCACTTCCCTCCCCGCCCACCACCCTGCCGACCGAGAGGGCCCGGCGGCGGCGGCAGCTGCAGCCGCAGGTACGAACGCGTTAGCAGCAGCAGGGTCAAGCACGCCCGCGAACGCAGCTCCTCGTCCTTCCTCGCCAAACGGATCCACAGACACTGCCGGCAAACGCAGTTTCATTTCATTCCTTACACCGAAACGAATACCCACCTATGGCGGGCTCCGCCTCACATCCCTCGCCGTCCTCATCTTCCAAATCTGCTTGTTCGGTGGAACACTCGCCGGCTGGGTGATCCTCGTCCAGCGCATGCAGAAGACGAAGCCAGCACCCGCGGTGGAGAGCACTGACGCGAACGACGGAACTGCCGGGTTGTCCGCAATCTCCTCGCAGATCTTCGTACACGTTGCGTTCGGTCTCACTGCGCTCGCGGAGCTCATATTCATCGAGCGCTCCGTGTTCCGACTGCGCGCGGAGCGGTACGCGCACATCCACCCGGGCGAGATCCTACCTCGGTCGCGTCGGCCGTCGCGCGAGGCTGCACCTGCAATGGCCTTCGCCCCATGGAACCGGCCACCACTCCCGACGTATGCTGCTGCGCTTGCGCAGAGCGGCGTAGGTACTGGAGACGTCGAGGATAACATAATCGCTATACCCCCTCCTCCGGCATACGGCAATACCCGTGGCAGTACGCTGCTCCTGGCCGGATTCATCAGCGACGCTCTGCGGTCGCAGCGGTCTCGCAACAGCGCAGCGTCGGCGGCGAGTCGTGCTACTCGCGACAGCGGCGTGAGCGGGCTAGCACCCATGCAGGAGCGCGACCGGCCGAAGAGCTACATGAGCACGGACCCGGAGTGGGAGGAGATCTGTGACGCGGACCGAGCGTTGCGTCTGGAAGAGACTCTGTCGCAGCTGCAGGACGGAGAGGGCGAGAGGGCCAGGCGCTCCTAGGTTGGCAGATTTGTGGTTGGTCTTGACCCCCATGCCCGGCGCTCAGGTTTATGCTGACACGCGTGGTTTCGTCATCTTGTAGCTTTGTTTTTCTGCTCGGACAATTCGCCCCCACTTTGCTCCGCCGCGGTCGTGTATGTTGTCATTGTAGCTGTCCCGCTGTGTCCGATAATCGTGCCATGCGCGTCTGTTAGGAATTGCGGCCGTGTGCTCCCAGTGGCCTCAGCGTCCCCCGCAGGTTCTGCCGCAAAGAAGCGCACCTCCCCACGTTCCCCGTGGGCGATCTACCTCCGACACCCCGCTCCCCGCACCCCGGAATCGCGCAGCGCGGCTTCCGATCGGCGTCCCTGATGATTCTGACCGTCCACAGTGAGTCACAGCTGCTCGGTGGCGGACGGTCATTCGTCGACGAGGTGGTCCCAAGACCGACGTTTTCGACGGTTAGAATTTGCAATGCTATCACTGCGACTTGGCGGCGCGGGGTTGTGAGAAGCAGGAGTTTCTGCATAGGGCACTCATCGCTCGAAAACCCGGAGGTGTCAGCTCCGTATCGATGCATCGTGCGACGTGCTCTACTTGCATTGTCTCACTTTCTCTAGGCCCACGATGATGTCGTCGTCAACGTCGCGTATTCCGAACGTACCCGCTCACGTACCACTTATTCAACACCACTCGAGCATGGAGTGAGGTGCACGGGCGGGCAGGCATTGCGCCCCTCCCGCCTGCGGGTTTCTTACCAAGTTGAGTGGTCAAGATCGCCGCCAAGCGGCCAGCCACTGATTTCCGACGTTGCGGTCGAACAGCGCGCTCGATCACCCACAGTTGGTTGCAAACAGTTGACAGCGGCTGTCTGGTCGCGCGAGTCTCGATCACAAGGATCGGTCCTCGCGCTGCATGCCTCCGTCATTCGTGCTGCCCATGTGAGCGATATTCTGCCTCCTGTTGCGATGGCGGTGGGATATGGCGAGCCCAGCGCGCCCTCATGACTGAGTGTACGCTGGGCAATCGTCAGCCCCGTAGTTGGCGGGCTTGGAATACGTTCGCTTGAGCTGAACACTGAGAATCACGCGGGGCAATCAGGGGAGGGCGCTTCCAACGCGTACGTCAAGATGCGACGCGCTTGACGCACGCCGCGCTCAAACGCGAGCTCAGCAAGGGGTCCGCGTCGCCATCGCGCGGTGGATCCGGCTACTCAGGGCGTAAAAAGCGTGACGATGGCCTGGATGGGCGATCGACCGCGAATCTGGGGCGGTACCGCCGGCGGCTGGGTGCCCCCACGGGGCGCATGTGTTTCTCTCCTCATTCCCCGCTGTGGCGGTCTCGAGAAGGATCAGACGGTAACGCGTCTGATCGGAAGCCCTCGAGCAAAAATCTGCGCGACGCTCCGCGCTATGCCTTCTACGCTGCCCCGCCGTCGGACCCAGGGCGGCCCCGGATTGGCCTGCAGCGCGCCATGCTGTCACGTTCTACGCGCCTCGCCGCGCCGTTGGACAGCGCACGCGTCCGCGCGACCGCACAGAGGCACCGGGAAAACTACAGACAATGGCGGGGCGCCCACGAGAACATACGCGCCCGACCCTGCCTAGAAAAATACGCTCGATGCGCGGCCTCGTCCTTGCTCTCGGTTGCTCGAACGGGACGTGTCGTTGCAACTTTCTCGGCCGACTCGCCCAACTAGGCAAACACGCGCTGCGAGTGCGCCCGCCGGACGCGCCCGTGAAGGCCAGGTCAGCCGCCTTCCATGTGCAACACGTCCGCCTGACCGTGCGGACCCGACGCATGGTATGCAACGGCGTTCGTCATCGGCTCCGCTGCAGGTATGTGCGCGGTAGCTCGCTCGGTCCGTGTGCAATATAAATACCGGGCAGGAAGGGCCCTGGTCTTGCAGCGACTCGTTCGACGTCGTCAACCCCCGTCCCTCGCTCTCCTCCAACCTCGTCTGACCACGAGGCACCATGCGCTTCACCTTCCTTGCTACCATCGTCGGCCTCGCTGTCGGCGCGTTCGCCCAGTCTAGCGCTGCGGACGCGTACGTCGCCTCCGAGGGCCCCATCGCAAAGGCTGGTGTCATTGCCAACATCGGCTCCGGCGGCTCCAAGTCGTCCGGCGCGAAGGCGAGTGTTTTGTGTCCGTGCATATGTGCGTGAGGATACTGACACGTAATTCTCTTTGACAGTCCGGTGTTGTGATCGCCAGCCCGAGCACGTCTAACCCCGACTACCTCTACACCTGGACGCGCGACTCGTCCCTCGTCTTCAAGGCGCTCATCGACCAGTTCACCTCCGGGGAGGACACCACGCTCCGCAATCTGATCGACAACTTCACGGCGTCGCAGGCCCGCCTCCAGCAGGTCTCCAACCCGTCCGGCACCGTCAGCACCGGCGGTCTCGGCGAGGCCAAGTTCAACATCGACGAGAGCGCGTTCACCGGCGGCTGGGGTCGTCCCCAGCGCGACGGCCCTGCTCTCCGGGCTACCGCTATCATCACCTACGCCAACTGGCTCCTCGACAACAGCAACTCGACCTACGTGACCCAGACCCTCTGGCCGATCATCAAGCTCGACCTCGACTATGTTCAGAACAACTGGAACCAGACTGGGTGAGTCCTGCCGCCGCTATGGCGGGATCACATATGCTAACACACGCTCGGTAGCTTCGATCTTTGGGAGGAGGTTAACTCTTCGTCGTTCTTCACCACCGCCGTCCAGCACCGCGCTCTCCGCGAGGGTGCCACCTTCGCCGCACGCATCGGCCAGACCTCGGTCGTCAGTGGCTACACAACTCAAGCTGCCAACGTCCTCTGTTTCCTCCAGGTCAGTAGTGCCGCGCTGCCTATGTATCCTCACGCAGCGTGTTGACACCTCCCTAGTCGTACTGGAACCCCAGCGCTGGCTACATCACTGCTAACACTGGTGGCGGACGCTCCGGCAAGGACTCCAACACCGTTCTCACCTCCGTCCACACCTTCGACCCCGCCGCGGGATGTGATGCCAACACGTTCCAGCCCTGCTCGGACAAGGCGCTCTCCAACCTGAAGGTCTACGTCGACTCCTTCCGCTCCATCTACAGCATCAACTCGGGCATTGCTGCCAACGCTGCTGTTGCCACCGGCCGCTACCCTGAGGACAGCTACCAGGGCGGTAACGTAAGTATCCCTGCTGCTACTGGTTCCGAATAACACCGAGATCCTCATGTGTCTGCGCAGCCCTGGTACCTCACGACCATCGCGGTCTCTGAGCAGCTCTACGACGCACTCATCGTCTGGGACAAGCTCGGCAGCCTCAACGTCACCGCCGTTTCCTTGCCGTTCTTCCAGCAGTTCTCCTCCAGCGTCGTCGTCGGCACCTACCCCTCGTCGTCCGCGACCTACACGACGCTCACCACCGCGATCCGCACCTTCGCCGACGGCTTCATTGCCGTAAACGCCAAGTACACCCCCGCGGACGGCGGCCTTGCTGAACAGTACGGCCGCGCCAGCGGTGCACCCGTCTCCGCCGTTGACCTCACCTGGAGCTACGCCGCGACCCTCACCGCGTTCCACGCGCGTGCGGGCAAGACCTACGCCGGCTGGGGCGCCGCCGGCCTCGCTGTCCCCGCCACCTGCTCGACGAGCGGCAGCGGCAGCGGTGGAGGTGCCGGCACCGTTGCGGTCACCTTCAACGTGCAGGCGACGACCGTCTACGGCGGTGAGTGTTCGGTCGACGCACGCTCTCGCAATACTTATGCTGACAACGCCGTTTGCAGAGAACATCTACATTACCGGCTCCGTCGACGCGCTCCAGAACTGGTCGCCAGGCAACGCCCTCATTCTCTCCGCCGCCAACTACCCCACCTGGAGCAGTACGTCGCGTTTCCTTGCTGTACGCCTCCGAGAGGAAGCGATTGACAATTTGTTCCCGCAGTCACCGTGAACTTGCCCGCGAGCACCGCCATCCAGTATAAGTTCATCCGCAAGTACAACGGTGCGACCACCTGGGAGTCCGACCCCAACAACCAGATCACCACCCCCGCGAGCGGCTCCGCCACCCAGGCCGACACATGGCGGTAAACCACCGCCGCAGCGACGTGCTCGGCGAAAACTCGGGGCCCCCAGGGGCGCACTGTAGTGGGTTGTGTGCGCCCGGGAATGCCTGGGACACGCGGATCTGGGAGATCGGATCCGTCGCAAAGTAAATCGTGGGGGATCGACCCCTTGTACAAGCATTATAGCTAGTAGTAAAAAGCTACCGTACCATATATGACATATATGATCTATACCCATTCCCAACAAACGTCAAATGGCCCGGCTATGCATCGTAGTTGCCCGTTCTGCAAGGCCTTGTGAACTGTGAACCCGCGGAACACGATTGCCGGCGTGGGATGCGGTGCACTGCGGTGCGGGGTATTGAATTGCGGGACTCGACTGCGGAGAGGCCCGTGAGTGTGTGAATCTCTCTGTACGTTTTGATCACCGCGAAGCTCGCGCGAGCCAGGAACCGCGAGCGAGTCGGGTGTCACACATGAAGATGTTTCCTTGTAGCCTCGCGGTGGTGCTAATCTGACATTCGCGGAGCCAAATTTTCGGGGTTCCTACAGCACTTAGCGCAGACTACTGCGACTATGTCACACACGAGGCATTGGGAAGGAGCGACGGTTGCATTGCAGTTGCGCACAGGTATACTCGCTCAACGACCCCAATTGCTGTGGGGGAACACAGACTACGCAAGCTGGGCAAAGCCAACAGCGCTCTTGTCAACCGAGAAGACCGTGTACGCGCTCTTCATGAAGCTGTGTCCCAAAGTCAAAGACCTGCATGACGTGAAACAGAGGGCGGAAGTACTTACGTGTCACCGAGCAGCCAGGTGTCCTCCCCGAGGCCGAGGTCTGCCCCAGCCAGACCACCAACGCACAAGGTCGAGCCGACGTCCGTCAGCCCTGCGTTGAAGCTATAAAATAAGTTAGCTACCTCCTTCCAACTTGCTGCGCGACACTCGCGAGACCATACGTACTCGTCAGCGCTGATTGTCCACGTCTTTCCACCCCAGCTGAACGCAACCTCGGGCACCGCGGCACACGGGACAGCCCACAGGCCCTGGTCAGCGTCAAACACCTGTGCGTCCTCAACTGCGTCCCAGAACGCCTTCGCAGCGGCGGGCGGCGCGTTGATGATAGTGCTCCCCGAGTCGATGACGGCCTCGAAGTCGGAGGCGACGGCCTTGCCGCCCACAGACACCGACCCGCCGCCGATCTGCCAGAAGCCGGAGAGCTTCGAGGTGACATTGTGGAACTCGATGTCCCCAGTGTAGAGCGCGGGGTTTGTGCCACCGATGAAGAGCTCGGACCCGTTCTGGTCGAGCTTGAAGGCGAACTCGCCGCTGGGAGCGGCGCCCTGCGCCATGGCGGCGAACATGAACGGTTGCTGTGTGCAAAGCGAAGTCAACGGCGGTTATTAGAAACAACGTAGAGCTTGTGCGCACGCCACCGAGACGAGAGAGCGCGGGGAAGCCGAGACCGAACACTCCGTCCGCAGGGTCGGACGTGAACTGGGCGGACTCGTTGGTCACGGCGGCGAAGACCTGGTTGGTGACCGTGATGCCCCCAACCGTGACTGTGAACACGCACTGTTCAACAAAGGGCGATGGCAGTGGAAGACCCCTGCGTACCGGTGTCCGTGTAGGGAAGGCCCGATGTGGTAGAGCCATCTCCGTACTGAATGGAGAATGTGCCGTTCTGCTTGCTGCCGGACGACGACGCGGAGGGGTCATACAAGGCGTGGCTGCCGCAGGACGCACAGGACGCGGCGGGCACCCAAAGGTCGGACGAGCCAGTGTCGAAATCGAGTGTGAAGTTCTGTGGGGGGTTGCCGATCGTGATCGGGCCCGTCCACTCGAGGTCGAACGACTGGTCCGTCAACGGGACGGCGCCGCGCTTCCCGCTGAGCAAATGGGTGGGCAGCGTGGCGAGCGCTTTGATCGAGGCCCCGAGAGGGAGTGCGTCGTCCCCGAGGTTCTTCTGGAGGTTGATGAGGTTTTGGCGGAACTTGCTGTGCGAGTGTGAATGAAGTACTAAGTAGTCAGAAACACCGTCGGTGTAAACAGAATGGGGGTAACACAGTACTTCTTCTGCCTGACGAGGTGCCTGACGGCCCTTTCATAGTCGAAGACGCCGTCTGCGCTCTTCAAGGAGCCCCGCTTCTGCAGCGGGACGTGGATGCCGTTTGTAACGGATGACAGTGTATCGTCACGGATGATCGGAGTTGCCGAGGAAAGGAGTGCGAGAGCAACAGTAAGGAGCGTGGTTTTGCAGAACATCCTGGTATAGCGCTAGCGTGAAAGGGTATGGTGAGTGAACGTCCAAAAGGTAGGGAGAAGGACGGAGAGAGAAATTGGGAGCATGTTGCACAGCACAGCTAGTTATATGTCACTGCTTGATTTTGCAATCGATCTAGCGACGCCGGCGAACCATCGCTTACTTCGCTAGTGGACCCTTGAATGTTGATGCGACATTCCTGCGTTACCGGGGTTCTTCCAAGACTAAATAGCTTTATGTGCGTTTCGCGGTACGTCATTGCATGCAATGCCGACCATGGCTTGAACGTACTAGTGTAAGCTTCTGTGAACACTTCAGTTGAGCTCTACCAACACAACCAAGGCGTACAGCCAGTATATCCACATCGCATTATGCTTCGCGGTGCACCTGCGCTGCGTGGTTTAGCCTACAGCCTGCGAAATGATAAACGTCATACAGTGTTAGGCGAGCGATCGAAGCGATCATACCCTATGACGGTTTCACATGGGCGCGCCAAGACCCTCTTGACTGTCTTCAATGCTTCCAGGAGGAGCCGTTCAGCGTCAGCATAGATTCTCTGAGGACTGTATAGTCAGCGTGTAAAAGAATGCGATGGAGGTGAAGCTTTAAATTTGAAAACTGGTGAAGCAAACATTGATGAGCTTGACGAACGAAATTCAATAAGCGCTAGGCGCCAGACGAGATTCGATGTTCAGCAGAGAAAAGTAAGGGTATCATCACAGGAGATCTAAGGGAGTGTACAACAAGGGCAAGTGTTACAGAACATACGAAAATCCATAGCGCTACAAGAAATACGACTGCTTGAAATTTGAGCGAACCCTGAGATTGTGGCCCGGGTGTGAGTTTCAAGCTTAGGCCAGCTTCGCAAAGCCGACCGCAGTCTGGTTGGTCGAGAACACCGTGTACACATTCTTCATGAGGCTATCATAATGATCAGCGCTCTAGATCAGGTTGAGGTGCAATAGGGCCACTTACGTGTCTCCGAGCAGCCAGGTCGACTTGCCAAGACCAAGGTCTCCTCCGGCGAGCGCGCCGACGCAATCCTCAGAACCTTGCTCGGTCATGCCCAGGTTGAAGCTACAACATCTAGTCAGACATCTGTACGCAGCAGCAGCCAGTGGGGACACGTACTCATCCGCGCTGATCGCCCAGCTCTTCCCGCCCCAGCTGAACGCGACCTCGGGCGCCGACGCGCACGGGAACGAGTACAGGCCCTGGTCCTCGTCGAACACCTTCGCGCCCGTAACCGTCTTCCAGAACGCGCTCGCCGCATCCGTCGGCGCGGTCATGATCGTGCTCCCGGAGTCGATGATGGTGTCGAAGTCAGAGACCGCGTTCTTGCCGCCGACGGAGACGGACGCGTTGCCAATCTGCCAGAAACCCATGTTCGTGTTCGAGACGTTGTGGAACTCGACCGCGCCGGAGAAGAGCTTCGAGTTCCTGCCGCCGACAAAGAGCTCCGAGCCGGACGAGGCGAGCTTGAACGAGAACTCGCCGTCCTTGACCGCACCCTGCTTGACTGCGGTGAAGAAGAAGGGGTCCTAGGGATGGAGGAGGTCAGCGTATGAAGCGGACAAAGGCGCAGAAAGGGGTACGTACGTGGTTTAGGTTGGAGAGTGCGGGGAACGCGAGCCCCATGAGGCCATCCGCAGGATCTTGAGCGAACTGAGAGGACTCCTGAGTTACGGCAGCGAAATACTGGTTAGTGACCTTGACGCCGCCGACGGTCACTGGTAGGACGCGATGAATAAGAGATAGCCCGCATTTGACGACACGCTAGACTCACCGGTGTCAGTGTAGGGAGTCCCAGAGGCGGTAGACCCGTCGCCGTAGCTGATGGAGAACGTGCCGGTCTTCTTGCTGCTCTTCTTGGACTTCGACGGGTTGTACAAGGTCTTCCCACTGCAACCCTTGCACGAGGAAGACGGGACCCAGAGGTCAGACGAGCCCGTGTCGAAGTCGATCACGAAGCTCTGCGCAGGGCTCCCAATCCCCACCGTGCCGGTCCACTCGATGTCCTCGTTCTGGTCCTTCAACGTCACCGCACCACGCTTTTGGAAGTTTGCGGGGACTGTCGCAAGGGGCTTAATCTCCGCGCCTTCTGGGAACGCCTGTCGACCAATGTTCTGCTCAAGGGCAATCAGATTTCGGCGATGCTTGCTGTGGCACATGAATGATTAGCCTTGAGTGCGTAGCAATCTCACGGAAACTCACTTCTTCGTCTTCACGATCTCTTGGACCGCCCTCGCGTGATCAAACACGCCGTCGGAGTCCTTCAGAGAGCGGGGCCTGTGAAGGGGAATCCGGAGCCCTGCCGCGGGGGCAGGCTCACGGGCAACTGGGTTCGCAGAGGCCAGAAGGGCGAGAGCGACGGTGAGAAGTGTGGCTTTGCAGAACATGGCGTGGATGGGAAGCAGGTGGAGAGCGGAGAGCGAAGGTGAGTGAGGATGAGACTGGAAAGCAGGAGTGAACCTGTTGACGTTACAGTCCATGTCGACCTGTCTATATATCTCTGTGGTGTCCGCATGGACACCTGCATCCTCAGCATAACTCCGCGCCTGACATGTTGCATGGTTTACTGTCAACGAACCGGGATGGCAGTCGTTGGTGCGCAGCCACCCATCCCGGGTTCGCGATGCCCTTGGCACATGCTGTATGCTTTTGGAGGCATGTGTGAGCGGAACTACGCGCCACGACGGAGAGAGCACTTTGCCCATGCACTGCAATGTTGCAAAATAGACAGAGAAGATGACTGTCTCCTGGGCGAGCACGTTGTTCGGTGATTGCATCCTGTGCATCTGCCACCGCTCAGGATGTGCGGCGGCACCGCACACGCTATCGATGTACCTTAACGCGTCGTTATAAACATGATGAAGCCCGAGTATGCTCTGTATTCTCATTTGAGACCAAGCCGAGGGTTTGTCCACAAGCTTCCTGCGGCAGACGGGGATGCGAGCCGAAGCATCTGCTGTGTCAGGGACTGCAGACGAACATGTGCGAACAGAGTTGCGACCAGAATAACAGATGCAAGGTGTTGATACGGCAAGTAAATGATCGGCAGCGTAGACCTCAAGCCTCGAGGTTGAACACGGTGGTGGGGGTAGGAGGACAAGCACTGCATGTAACTCATTGGCGCCTATGGCGCGCGTGCGCTGCTCGCGATCGCGACCACCAAACGCGTCTTCGCGTTTGCCACCATCTCGGACTCGACCTACTCTCTGGCTTCACCTTGCGCGGTCGGAGGCATACTGAGAGGCATATATCCTATCGAACTCAAGTCTGATGGCGCCGAAGATCGAATACTACTGTCCTTGTCTCGCGGAATCTCCGCATCCGCCACTGCCGCACCTACCCTCGTCCTCCTACAGCTTCCATCCTTTGCACAACCTCTTCTTTTGCGAAGAGTGCGATGCCGTGAGGTGCAACAGATGTGTACTGCTGGAAGTCAGTGGCTACTACTGTCCGAACTGCCTGTTCGAGGTACCGAGCGCGAGCGTGCGTGCAGAGAAGAATAGGTGAGCATGATACAGTCCAAGGCTCTCGCTTCGGAGGTATCTGATCTCCCCAGAAAGATGCGCAAGAAACTGCTTCATGTGCCCTAATTGTCGCAACACATTGACCGTCGTGCCATCCGACCCGCCAGACAATGGAGACAGCAGGATGTCACCTATCGTCGCGACCGCGCTAGGGGAGCCCCCGTTCTTCCTGTACTGCAATCACTGTCGCTGGGACTCCGCAGAAGTGGGAATCACGTTTGAGAAGCCCACCGGTCTCGCAGGTGCGCCTTTCACTTTCTGCAAACTCAATACACCAAAGCTAACCGCGCCCGCCCATAGCGCAGTTGCAGAAGTTCGAAGACTCCGCCCCCGAGTCGCTCGAGTTCGAGCGGCTGAAGGAACACTTTGAGCCCTTCCTACGTGCATCCTCTTCCTCCGCGCTCCCGAGCGCCGCCGCCGCACACCACGTTCACACCAACCCCATCACAGCCGCCGCGTCGTCGGCCCTCGCGCGCGACATCCCCGGGGTCGGCAAGTACAACCCGCTCGCGCGCTCCCGTATTGGACGCGACAAGAACGCGCACCGGCACGAGCTGCCCGACTATAAGAGCAGAGTAGAGATTGCGGGCGCGGCAGCGGTCAGCGGCGAAGCGGACGTTGAGTTCTTGCGGCATCTTGAGACGATCAGCGAGGTCGCCTCACTTGAGCAGCGCTGGACGAACAGCTGGGTGTCGTCGTTGCGCGAGAGGTAGGTTATATGCGCCCTTTACCCTGGCACAGCTGACGAGTATCGGGTTGTGCGGTTGGCAGCGACCTCAAGCCGCTCAGGATACCACTGCAGTCGAAGAAGTCGAAACGATGTCCGTCGTGCCGGCACATTCTCATCAAGCCAGAGCAGAAGGCGCAGTCTGTGCGGTTCAAGATCAAGCTCGTCGCCGCGAACTACCTGCCCGCTATCGCGGTCACGCTTCCGCACGCGCAGGCAGCACTCGAGATGATGAAGCGCTCGTCAACTCTGGGCAAATCGACTTCGGCCGCTGCGGCCGCAGAGGAACAGCAAGCCGCGGGCTCGCTAATCGCGGGGCACTCGTATTCGTTTCATCTCGCGTTCACCAATCCGCTGTACGACCCTATACAGATCCGGCTGGCGAAGGCGGTGCCCCAGGGCGAGGCCACTGACGCGGAGAAGGCGCGGCGGAGCACCTTCCACATCCAATTGCCGAGCAGCGCGTTCCCTGTCGCTGCGTTTGCCGAGGCGTGGGAGTACGACGACGATGAAGAGGACATGTTTGGGCTCGACGACGATGGGATGGAAGTTGCCGAGAACACCAGGGGAAAGAAGTCGAAAGATGGCAGGGGGAAGACCCGCTCGGTAGGTATTGTCGAGCGACGGGCGAACGTCACAGTCGTCAGCGGGGAGGTTTTGATACCCAAGGAGGCACGGGGAGATGTCAAGGTGAGCTCGGGGCTCGTGCCTCCGTGCGTTCGATCCGCGATGGCTGATAGACGGCACATCGACAGTTCAACATGTTGGTTTCTTACACTTATCGGTCCGACGACCCAGAGCCGGGCGAGGACGCCGAAATGGGGACGCCTTCGCGGTCTCATACCACGACCAAGGGTCCGGAGATGAAGAACTTTTCGTTCTACACCGTCGTCGACTTGGGGTCGATTATGTTCCGGGAAGAGCCTAGATTGAGTGTAGATTTGTAGGCTGGTTTCCTTCGCGCAATAGGAAGCCAGTGGGGTGATCTTGACCTCTTCAGTATGTTGTTGTACATGTAGGTGTCCACGAGCGCGTTCGTTTCTTACGCAAATCAGCCGCATTAGTTGAGTTCAAATCGCAGCGCTCAGGTTTTGCGATGTGATACTTCGTTTACTTAGGGTGGGTTCGTCCGAGTCGCTCCCAGAGGTGATCGTCCTGGTTCATCTATGTCGTGCAAATTGAGTGGAATTGTATATCAGATATCTGGGATGTTTCCTCTAGGTAGATGGTGTATACATGAAAGCATGATCACCGCAAGCTGGCAGGAGGCAGAAGGAGGCGTTCTCGAACTCGTCTGAACTCTAAATAGACGCCCATTCAGCGACAACGTAATGGTCGTTCCGTTTCCGGCGGCGCAGGTTCTTTCAGGACCCCCGAAAATCCCTATATGAGCTTACATCCGGTCAACCCACATTTTGGGCCATTTTCGGGGGTCCAAAATGGGCCAGTTTTCGGGGATTTTCATGTAACTTGCGGCCGGCTACGCCGGATTCAGGGTTTTTGGGCATGTAACATAGGGTTTAGCGCCCACCAAGCGCCCGTTTCTCTTATGCTTCCCCGCCGCTCTTTACAGTGAATTTTGCCCGCGCCGCCCTCGAGCGGGCGGCCCATTCGCATTTCCTGAGACCCTGACCGGGAAGACGTCTCCGCCTCCCGGCGGTGGTTGGGGCCCTTCCTCCGGGGGTGGCCCGGGGACTAGATTCGGGGGTGTCCGCACGTAAGCCCCCGGCCGGAGGGTAGCTTTCGGGGATACCACCTCGGCCTCCCAGACCCCCCTTTTCGGGGATTTGCATGTAACTTTACGGGCCCTCCGGGCCCATTTTCGGGGATCCGGGGATGTAAGCTCTGGGTGGATTTTCGGGGGTCCTGTTCTTTCTCTCTCCTTCGTCATCGTCACTCACTTGGATCGCGACCACACTGTGTACCACGTTTCGCATTGATGCTTATGCCGATGCTTTTTAGCGGTCCCTTACCACGATTTGCTGGGTTTGAAGACCCAGCGCAGCGGTCTAGTAGGTACAGACGGTGAGGTACTGCATTATCCAGGTATCCACCCTTGAAGGAATTTACGCAGCCGGGACACACAGATCGGGGCTAATATCATGTCGCTTAATTTCAGCACACGTGGTAATTGAAACATAGACCTTTCGAGATAACTGGGCGGGCAGTCGGAAAGTTGGCTTAATCTTCGGGTGCCGTGACCTTGAGTTGAACCTCACCTTACAGAAGTATCCTGCTGAAGCTTACGAAGGCAGCAGTGAGCACTACACTGGCGAGCAAGGGATGTTCTAACCTATTGCACTTTGATCTGGGTTTAACACAGAACAATGGAGTGCGACAAGAGGTGGACTTTAAAGGAAATCAAGCGATCAAAGCGTCGTGGCTAAACCACCCTACGGCATTCATTGTCCTACCCCGCTGGTCAATCCGATCCCGTATAAAAGACCGTCGCTTGGACTGGCCGCTGTCACTCACCCTTGCTCTTGTACCGCTCACTGCACTCCGTGGAAACCCAGCCACATCAGTCATGAAGTCAATCAAGCGCACTGTCCAGGATCTCCTACACTTACAACCGAAACTCGTGCCGCTGATATTGCCCGGGACCAAGGCGTACTGCCGATACCCCGGCTGTGGACGCTATTTCAAGCCTATCGACGCGCTCGAGGAGTTCTGCTCCCGTGAGTGCTTGCAAGACTTCAATTGGCAACCCCCCGCGCCGTGGTACCCTCCGCCGAAGTCTGGTCTTCTCGGACAAGGCTGGTGGAGACGCGGTACTAGCGTCGGCGGGCCTCCTCCGCCTCAGTATCCTCAACGCGCGGCCACCATACAGCTCACGCCTATGTGGAGCCTTCCCCAGCCGAAGCTCGAGCCTCTTGACGCAGGCCTTGCCAAGTCTTCGAAGCGCCGGAAAGACAAGACCGGGCGGGCTGGCCATCAGCACTCCCACTCCCACCAGGGAACATTTCGACCCACAGCGGTTCCTCCCCCCGTTACATCTAGACATAAGGCAGCACCTCCTCCCGCTACATCATCCAGACCTAACGCAGCACCTCCGCCCGCTACTAGAGCACCTCTTCCTCCTCCCCCTCCGTTTATCGGTCGCCCCGCGGTAGCTCCTGCGGCACCGACTCTTCGTCCGCGCACCCGGGCCCACGACCTCCCACGCCCCTCTTCTTCCAAGTACAAGGCCAGGCCCCTGCCGCCCATCCAATGCGACCGCCCGCTGCCTCCCCTTCCGCCGCGCGCACGCCGTCTCTCCGCGAGCGGTGTGATACTCCCGCCTCCATACTCGCACTTCCACCCAGAGCTGCTGGTACAGGAACGGCCCGCTAGGCCCCGCCACCACGCTCCCAGCCGTCGCGGCCCTCGGCCTCGGTCGAACTCGTTCGGCGGGTATCGCTTCCCAGCGCAGCCGGGGCACAGCAGCCGGCGACACCACTAGACGTCGTCGTCGGTCGGCAGCCGTACATGTGCGTTTCTCGTTTCTCGTTCCACCGTTTCAGTCCGCCATATCTAGTCTCAAAGGCGCGATACACCGTTATATCTTCTTTTACGCCGCGGCGATCCAAAGAACACACTCCTTTTCGTCTTGCTTTCCGGCTCTCCACATCCACACGCTCGTTCTCCCGCTCTCCACATCCACGCTCGTTTCCACGCTGTATACATTGTATCGATAACTTGTTACGGATCGTGTGATCCTCGCCGTCGTCCTGTATTTGTATGTACCACAACATCTAGACGTCGGTGGATGCTCAGTGTCCATTATGCTGTCTCTCAATACACTTGTATCATATTGAATCGCTGGAGGCATTTAGCAAGCCAAACCAAACGATGCTACGATGCTCGTTGAAGTTAGAAAGACGACAAGTCATGCCGATGGACAAAGCTAAAGCTCTAGATCACTCTCGCTCGGATTGACGAAATCACTGTGGAAAGAAGACTAAATTTGCAGCGTAACTCAACATGGTCCTGGCAGCGCGTCCGCCGCCAGTCCCATGCCCTACGTGAACCGAGGACAAAGGAGAGACCAGTAAAGACTGAGGGTGATGTACACCAAATACACCGGGTCGTCTGGGCCTCCGGCCCTCCAAGCCACATACACACCGTCGACCGGCGACGGAATGCGGTGGGATGAAGGGACGGCAGAAGACGGGGGCGTCATGTTCGCACAGCGCAAAGCGATTGGGATCCGCACCCAGCGGGAACGCCCTGGCGAAGGGTGTTGCACGCACCTGCATTCACGGTGAGCTCAGGAGTGGAGAGCTCAAGATAGAATGGTACTCACTGGGGTACTCTCGCGGGAGTGGGAGGGTTCCTCATCGCTGACGGTGACTGGCGGGGCCACCGTGCAGCGGCAGGATTTTCTGGAAGGCGTGCAGCTTGGGATAGGTGGGTCCAATGGCTGGGGCCGTTCGCGCGGTCTCGGTGGCGGGAGAGTGGTTCCGTCAACGAGCCGCTTCGCATAGCAGGGGACGCAGTATTGGGAGGAGGCAATTGGGGGGACCTATTAAAAACATCGATACAGATGCGGGCGATGCCTGGATAGGGGAGTGAGTAAGCGAGCTGTTTTTTGGAACATCGGGGAGACGTACCGTTGGTGAGAATTCTGAGAACCGCAGCTCCTTCGTGGAGCTGAAACCCCGCGTCGTCTTCCATGCACGGAATATGGCGCGGAGGGGCATCTTTCACGAAGTCGGAGCGACAAGAATGCACTCTTGTCGACCCGAGTTTGAGTCTGAGTGACGTGTGTCAATGAGTTGTAAACATCATGGGGAGAATATTGTACTTACAAGATGCGGGAGGGAACAGTGAGCATGTCCGAGCGAGCTTGGAACGCCGGAAGGGACATTGAAAGCGTCCTTCTAACCTTCGACCGCCATATGCATGTACGCACATGACGTCTAAGCTCGACTAGAATCCATCAGGATCACACTGTAGAATGATGCGCACACGACAACTCACAAGACACGAGGTGATCCTGCGCTGTGCCAGACTATCTTGCGTGCGTCGGAGGGGAAAAGCGAAGCGCGGACGAGAAATCCGTTCAAGTTCGCGCGGTGAAGAGTACCACGGTGTTGTATCTCGCGCTAGCAGGCTTGAATGCAGGCACTTCTTGGGGGAGAACAAAATGGTGTTTGAGCGCGAGGGCCGCGTCGCGAGGACTGTTGGGGAAGATGAGAAATATCGACCAGCCGTCGAAACAAGGTACGTACATGTTCCTTGTGATAACAACCTTGGGGAAGGGTGGGTTGTAGGCTCAAGAAGAGAGAAAGATGAATAATCGTTGGGAGCATGTCGCTCTGGAAACCGACCGCCAAATTCACCCTTGGGGATATCGAGACTAGTCGCTTGCGAACGCAACGACGGTCGAGATGTCGGGCTTGGAGAGGCGGTGGAACACGCGGAACAACGGACGGGCGCGCATTAACTGAGCGATGGGTGACAAATCTATCGCGCCGGCTAGCGCATGTCGAACGTTGGAAAAGAGTGACCAGGACGAACGGGTGACCTTGCAGAATGCGCCGCCTTTGGGAGACCATGAGCACGGATTCCCGAGTTGCAGTTGCTTAGAGGGATGTATCGAGGAGGTCGAGCTAGGTGCCAAGCCTAAGAGACCTCGTCGACAGTTGCGCAAAGAACAGAGCGCTGAAGGCCAAAGAAGCAAGCCTCCAGGAAATTGCACCAGTCGGGATCGCCAAGTGTTGTCCAAGGCTGAAACGCGAACTCGAGCGGAAGCCAGCAGTGATTGAAACTCGAAGAGCAGTACTGATAGACGTCGACCGTCGAACTTGCCTAGGGTTCGGCGGTCAAGTGAAGCGTCGTAGCAGAACATGACGGACTCTTGAGTGGTGCTAGCGGGGCTTGACGCAAAAGACCGAGTGTGCCAGACTGAGCTTGACGAAGTCTGGCGTAAAGGTGTACAGAGACTGTATGCGGTGAGCCATCTATATCTATACTCACCAAGATGGGAGACAGACCTTGAAGGCGTCTCAGCCAATCTAGGGACCAGGGGGGGGGGTCTTTCAACTCCCCACGACTACCTCTCGTCGACATTCTCAGTGACATAGTCGACGAAGTTATTGCCCATAAGATCCTCGTCGAGCGGGCCATTGTGCCGTTAAGGCTTCGACGAAGGAGCGTTACTACCGCAACGAGTCCATGCACCTATATGACTTGTTCTACCGAGCATATGCCGGAAGAGGTGGGTGGTATCGGAGGCTTTATTACCTCAGACGATACCACGAGCCGTAATGGGTGTATGAATGAAGCCGAGCAGGAGGGATGGTGGCCGTTGAGGTGTGAGAGACAAGGGACATTTCGCAACGCTTAAGGCAGACTATATAATGGAGGATGCGGTGTCTGAGGCTGGCAAGAGGGCTGACAGTGGGCTGACAGTGGGCTGACAGTGACCGTGGTGGTTGGCGTCGCAATCGAGACTGTCCTTCGTCCGAACTTGCTGACTGGAGGATATCTACAATCTCTCATCAACACGCTACTGAAAATACATGGTATCAGCATATCCAACACGCTCAATAGTCGACCAGGAACTTACTATCATGAATGTCTGTCCTGGGTGTTCGACGGCAGCGATCTGAAAAAGCACGACATAAACCGAGTCAAATCATACGGTGCGGTGGATCCCGCGACTGCCATTCGGGTATGGCCCGCTCCACAGGTATATTTCATTATCGCTTCGGAAGGCTCGCAACACTTAATCGAGGCACTTGTGCAGCTGAGACTTGAGTTCAGAGTGGGTGATGAGGATGATGGTGGTGTCCATTGCCGACCAGTTGCCGAGCGGTGCCAACCAAGCGCCCACACCGTCGCGGAGTGATCCGATTGCCCAGACGAGCACTTGCGTCTGCTCCTCCTCGCGCCCTACGAATGTCGGTGAGCACTCTACCCAGACATCCTGCCTTCTCCCTCGAGGGATGTATTCCGAGAGTCCAGGCGGGATGTGTGGATCTGAGTGTGTCTACATTAGACGCAAACGCCCGCTAGATTTGTCAGCGTTTATCATACCGTCGACAAAACCATATGGTCACCGGCCGTGAGTGGTCTACTCCGCGAGTCCCACCTGAACAATGCGGATTTCCAGGGTGCATATCCGTCTATGCGATCCTCGCGAACCAAGCCTGCGCGATATCGCGCTTCGGCCAAAGCCTGAGAGATGTCAAAGTAAATCTGGCCCAAGCACTTGCACCCTAGCTAGACAATAGGTGCGTCGATCCTTAAATCTTCGTGCTCAAGAATGCAGCTACCGAACGCTTTGGATAGGGTCTAGCGTATCCAGGTATCGTGTCTAAAATCAAGGCACCCGCTTTGTGGAGTATGATTGCGACCATTGTCCTACCGTCACCTCGCTTGGGCTCTGCTGCAGCCGGCTTGGATACAGCTTAAAAACAAAAACGTGCTACCGCACACGCATACCCCGCAGTGGCCGTTCCCTCCTTCCCTCCCTTCACCCAATACCCTCTCTTGTCGTCTTCCCGGCCGCGACCATGAAGACACTAAAAAATCTCTTCTCTTCAAAGCGCAAAGAGCGACTACAACCTGTCCACTGCCGGTGCTGCGGCAAATCCTTCGAGCCGGAATTCGAGCATCAGCCATGCTGCTCGAGTGCATGCGTTCGTCGATACAATCACAGCAGTGCTCGCGTTAGACGTCCGCACGCCGAAGCCCATCCTCCTCGACAGCCTGTCGGGCGCCCACAACACACCCAGGGAGCACAACATGTTGGTCACCACTCTGCACGACCTTCGGCCCCCCCTGGACATACGACGCGTCCTCCCCCTCCCCCCGCGGCCCCAGCGTCTGCCCAATACTACCATACACCTGCGAATCTTCACCCCCCCGCATATGACGGAGGCGTCGTTCCTCGCCCTGCGCCCCATCATAACGCCATCGCTGTCTACCCCTCGCGATATCCAGCCGACCAGGTGCAGTATCCTACAGGATTCACACCCCCACCACAAACCCTCTCGGCGCTGCCTCCACATGTCTCGCAAATGTCCCGCACGTCTTCGAACCCGGCACAGCCGCGGGCCCGCCCACGCCCTCGCAGGCAGGACGTCCCCCAGCGACCGTCGTCCGCCGGGCACACGCCCGGCACTGCGCTGAAGCCGCTACCAGTGTTCACGGATCCGTGGGTTGAGAATGCCGCGCAAGATAGCCACAAACGCGACGACACTCACCGCCTCCGCCACCCATCGCGGAAGGATGTCTCTGAGGCGCGCGCACCGAGTCGACCGCAGGCGATGCCGACTGTGGTTGCCCCCTCTCCCGCCCGGGCTCAGGCGATGCCAATTGTTGCTCCTTCACCCATTCGAGCTCAGGGGACGACAACCATACTTGCACCTTCGCCCATTCGGCCGCTGAGCTTGCGGACGGTTGCTGGTAGCCGGTTGAAGGGGTTCGGAACCCCTGTTCTCTCCGAAATCTCTTCTGAATCAAGTGCCAACGACGAAGAGCCTCACGGGGGCTTCTACGACGCGCAGGGGTACCCAGTGAAAGGACTTCAGGTCACCGCCGACGACCAGGCGATCGAGTCTCCTTCCAGTGCGGGATGGAAGACCGCGTCTACGGCGACTCTTGTCCCCACTCCCCGCTCGCGTAAGCATGAGGTGCGCACTCCAGCATACCAGTGCGGCAATTACGCCCTATACCATCCTGAAGGTTCCGTGACGCCTCGTCCGAAGGCGGCGACGCGCCGCGCGCCACGCCCGAGGTCCAACTCGTTTGGTGGATACTAGTTCGCCTCCGCCTTGCCGCCAAGAGATCCAAGCAGCGCTGTCTACCCACTCCGAACCCCTCCCCTCCACCGCCCCCGCGCCGCGCCCGTCTTCACGGCGGCCCACCGTTATGTTGCATTTGCGACACTGATACCGCGCCATGCGGTTCTACCACACTCCTTTCCTTATCACGTTTCTCGCATTCCGTTCGTATATTGTTTATCTCTATCAGTATCATAAGTACCGCCATACGTGTACCAGACGCTCGTTCATCCGCCCCTGCTGTGTATCGCCTATCTGCTACATACTGTTCTCGTCTGCTGTCGCCCGGACTTTGTTGTCATCGCTTGTAGCATAGTCGCTGTTCATTGTACGTACTTACTTTGTAGTTACCCTATAAGACCGGTGTTTCGGAAGCATCGCGCGCGTTACGTTCATTTCAGCGCGGCTTGTCATGAGGAGGATCGCGCCGATAGGCCGGGTGTCAGGTGAGATAGGGAGAGCTGATGAGGCCCGACCGAGTCCTCTGCCGTGACCGTCGTGCAGCGCGTCTGCCTCGCCGATAGTGCGTGTCCGCCGTATATAACACCGCGCAGCCCGCCACGCCCGTCTTCGACCTCGACAGCCATGCCTGTTTCAGACGCCATCCTCACTCAGATCCTCACCCAGCTCGAGGCGCTCCAGGTCTCGCAGCAGACCTTGGCAGCCAAGGTGCGCCCACTACGCACTACCGCGATCGCGCACGTTTGACTAAGGGGCATACGCAGGTCGATGCGCTGACACCGCCGAAAACCCCCTCGAGCGCGCCGCAGAGCAGCGGGACGCCCGCCACCAGCGGGCAGGCAGCCGCGGAGGCGATGATGGCCATGGAAGCGCCGACTGCGTCCCCGCACTCCTCCCTCATCTCGCCCTCGACCTCGCCCGCGACCGGCACACTCTCGAACAATGAACGCGACAAGGAGCGGGAGAAGGTGCTGTACACATCGCGGGTGATGCTCACCAGTAAGTCGCGTCGCGCCGCCCCTGCCACCTCCTGTCTGGGCTCACCACTCGCGCCATAGCGTACCCCGACCAGCACGGCATCAAGCCGTACCAGCTGCAGTGGGGCGCGGCCGAGGCTGCGACGCGCGGGCCTATCATCTGCTCACGGCTGCCGTCGACCATCAAGCAGCGCAACGCGATTGGGGCGCACTCCGGGTCGTACTCGATCTACCGCGCGCTCGCGATCGCGATGGGCACGCTCGACCCGACGCACAAGCCGGACTACAGCATGACGGAGCCCGCAGTGTCCGTCCCGCCGCAGCCGTCGTGGTCCGACCCGACGAAGATCGTCTCGTTCGACCCGTGGGGCCATCTGGTGCCGCAGGTGTACAAGCGGGAGCTGGAGGAGCTCGGGCTGGACGTACGTCCGAGCATCGCCGTCACGCGCGCGCATATGAAGCTGTCCGAGATCGACGATACCGTGCGGAAGGGCGGGCTTACGATTGACGGCAAGATTCTGCTGAAGAGCGCCCCCCTGGTCAACGCAGACGGGACGCAGAGCTCAGAGGACCCTGGCGTGGAAATCGCTATCAGCAAGGCGGCTGTCGAGCCCGTGTGGTATCTTCCGGGTGTCGCTGAGCGGTTTGGCATGTGAGTGACTGCCTACGATTTCGGGATTCTTCGAGTTAACCAAATGTTCAGTTCCGAGGCCTTGTTGCGTCGCGCACTCTTCGAAGACACGGGAGGAATGTACCCTGAGCTCATCACGCGCCCAGATATCAAAGTCTTCCTCCCTCCGATCGGCGGCTTGACAGCATATATCTGTATGTTGCTCTTTGAAATGTGGCCACACGCGTGGATCCTGACTTCAATCTAGTTGGAAACCCTGCATTCCTATCAGACGAGTCGAAAGAACTCACCCTGCGTGTTCACGACGAGTGTATGCTATACATCTCGATATCTAGTCGTCTCTGAAGCTGACACGTCTCTGCTAGGCAACGGTTCTGACGTCTTCGGCTCGGATATTTGCACGTGCAAGCCGTATCTCATCTATGCGATCGAGGAGTGCATCCGAGGGGCGCAGCGTGGTGGCGTCGGTCTCGTCGTATACTTCCGCAAGGAGGGGCGTGCTCTCGGCGAGGTCACAAAGTAAGTTTCCGCTGCTCGTCGCTCGAGTTGGGTGTCTTACTAATATGCGACCATAAAGGTATCTTGTGTACAACCTGCGCAAGCGTGGCGGCGACTCGGCGGACAAGTACTTCAAGGCGACGGAGCTCATCGCCGGTGTGAAGGACATGCGCTTCCAGGCACTCATGCCCGACGTGCTGCACTGGTTCGGTATCAAGAAGATCGACAACATGGTGTCCATGAGCGACATGTACGTAATTCGTTTACCCCTCCTAGAGGAGGATCCGCTCGGCATGCGGGCTTACGCTGCTTTTAGGAAATACGACGCTATCGTACAGTCCGGCATTCCCATCCACAAGCGCTATGATATTCCCGGTATATTCGCTCTCGGAAACACGCTGCCCCGGGTTGCGCTGACAGGCATTTTGCAGAGCATCTTCTGCCTCCCGACTCGCGCGTCGAGATCGACGCGAAGATCGCCGCGGGCTACTTCTCTCACAACAAGATCATCACGGAGGCGGATTTGGTCAAGACGGTCGGGCGTACGTGGGAGGAGACGGAGCACTGAACGGACATTCATCACACATGGTATCCAGCTACATGTACATCACGGGTATAGCTTGTAGTCCTAGTTGTACTGTAATCACGGAGGTGTATTCGGAAATCAGAAGTTCATACAATCCTAGAAGGTCATTGGAATATACATTGGTCAGAAATTTACTAGTCCTTCTCAGGCACCTCCTCATCGTCAGCTGGGATCGGCTCCTCGATGTCGACCTCCACGCCCATGACCTGGAGCTTCTTGATCGCCCGCTCCGCGGCAGTGAACCTGACCTCGTCTTCGCTGACCCGACTGCGATACGACGCAGTGACGTGGAGGAGCTCCTCCTCGTCCATCAGCACCGCGCACTTGACCTGGCCCTTCTCCCTCTCAATCTTGTACTCGACCTTCTTCTGTGGGTCCTGCTTCGCCGCCCAGATCGCGAGGCGTGACACAGGGTGCAGCACGTCTACGTCCTCGATCACCACGCGCTCGATGACCTGCATCAGCCCAAGGCTCCGCATCACCCCCCGCACCGCATCCAGGCTGCCCATCGAGTCGACGTACACCGCGCCGAGGATGCTCTCCACCATGTCGCTGATGAACTTCGGCGCCTGCAGACTCGTCAGCGCCGCCCACGGGTAGATGCGGTCCTCGCGGAGGGCCTGCGCGATCGCGGGCCCGTGCTTCTCGAAGCGCGCGAACGTCAGGTTCTGGTCCTCGAGCACGCGGTGGCTCGAGTGCAGCAGGCACTGCCAGAGGTGCACCTTCTGCGAGTCATCCGTGGTCGCGAGCCCGCCCCCGAGCGTCCACGTCGGCATGACGGACTCGACGGTTACGGACGTGCTGAGGCAGACGTATGCGAGGATGTGCGAGTTCACGGCGGCCTCCTTCTTGATGTGCATGTACCCGGGGGAGTAGTTCTTCCCCTCGGCGTGGTAGAGGTAGTCGGTGACGACCATGTCAAGTGCGGAGTCGCCGAGGAACTCGAGCCGCTCGAGCGACATGACCGCCGAGTCGCCCTGGTAGCTCGCGTGCGTCAGCGCCTGGACGAGGAACGTGCGCCGCTTGAACTGGTAGTTGAGCATTTGCTCGACGAGGGCGAGCTGGTCAGGCAAGTCGACCAGATCCTCGACTTCGTGCATCTCCTTGATCCGTTCCGACAACTTCTTCCACGAGATACCGAGGCCGAAACGCGCTACGCAGTCGATGGCGAGGTCGAACCCGCCGTGTTCGTAGGCCGCGCCGATGAGGGACTCGACGACGTCTGCGAGCATTTTGGTAGACAGCTCCTCGGCTTTCTTTTTCTTCGGTTTGCCGTCCTTTCCGACTTTGGCGTCCACCTCCTTGACTTCCTCCTTCTCCTCGACGAGTTCGTCAAGCGGACCCTGGGTAGATGAGGCACAGTGCGGCTTCCACTTTCTCGGGACGAACCGGTCACGGATGATCCACTGGTACAAGCCCTTCTTGACAGCTTCCTTTGCCAGGCTCGAGTTCGCGACAGCATGATCCTTCTTCCGGCTCAGGTAACCTTCGTGCCAGAGCGGGAACTCGGCGTATAGCTGGTTGCTGCTAGTAAACTTCAGCACGGTGTCGCCCAGCGTCTCGAGTCGCTGGTAGTGGGATAGCTCCTGCGCGATCGGAGCGGTGATCGCCGTCAAGAGGAGGGGCAAAGGGACACCAGCCACGGACGTCGTGCGGAACAGGTTGGTCCGTAGAGCGTCCACGGTGAGTGCATTCGCGAGCCAACGCAGGATAGACGGCAGCATTAGGGCATACTGCACTTCATCGCGCGAAGCCAGCTCGACCAGAGCATATTGAGGGTGGAGCAGGAAGAGCGAATCATCTGGCGGTGGTTGTATCCTGCGATCGGCGTTCTCAAGCGTGAGCGGGATCAGGAAGTTCCTGCGTCTGGGAAGCGACTGGACGACCATTAGCGGATAGGATATCTGGAGGTCCGGATACATGGCGTATTGCTCGCGGAACGACTCTTCTTCCTCGGCCGACAGCGGCTCGTTCCGCCATCTGAGAAGTTGTAGGTGCTTGTCGAACTTGTTCATGCCTCGCACGATGGCCAAGTCTTTCGGATACGAGAAGCGCTCCCCGAATGCAGCCGCATTTGCGACAAAAGGGCTCTCACCCTGCGCAGTAAGCCCCTTCGAGTATCGTTCTGTCTGCCATCGCCGGCGCTCCTCCCATGTGCCCTCGTCAGGCCACGATGTTGCGGGGAGAAAGAGGTAGGCGAAGTCCATCATGTCGCGATCCATGCGGGAGCCGTAGAGCATGTTGAAGAGCCTATAAGTGTATTGCCTAGCACGCTGGATTTCCTCTTCGTGTACAGGTGCCGCCTTCGCGGACGAGATGAAGACCGTGGCCTCGCCAAGCTTCGGGATATACAGCGTCGGAAAGTCCTCCTGATTGAACGCGGGAAGTGGTCGGCGCGTCAGCATACGCAGGCCGGGCAGGCCCTCGACGGTCACTTCGTGGGCGAACCATTCCGAAACATCCTCATATACGGACCAGGGATCCATCTGGATAGCGACGCGTGCGGTTCCCGCCCGTTTAGCGACCTCCGCGAGCATGGCCTCGACTTCCTCCTTCTTGTCCGGCTCGATAGCAGTGCTCAGGGGCAGTAGGTGGTTATCGAGTAATCCGGCGTGGTACAGCTCCAGGTATGCCTGATACGCGACGTGTTGCTGAGCCCTGCGCTTCGAGCCGTGTATTTGCGGAGTGCTGAACTTGCGCAGGCTGGTGTGGTGCATGTGAGCATGGGCCGTTGTAATGGAACGTGTTTGCTTACTGCTTAGGAAGGGCACGTGGAAGCGAGACGGTCGCGCCCCAAGGCCCTTGGTATGGCATCCTAGAGGGGTTGGGGAGAGAATGCCATCCCTCGACGTAGTCAGGAGGGTCCAGCTCGTAGATCGGAACATGGCTCTCATGGCCGCCGCTAGGAATCACTGCACAGAAGTGGTTCAGATGCGGTATGGCAGAATGCAGCGTAAGAAGAGCGCTACGATGATGACATCAGCAACGGTGGGCGAGGTGAACAGGAGATGCGAACCATACCCTGTCGAAGCAACCTCGAACTCGACATAGCCATCCATGTCGTCAAACGCGTCGTCCTCGTCCACGGGAACAATCGCATCCCGCCGGGGGTCGTTGTACGCCAACATCATCTGCCTTTCAGTCGCCTCCCATTCCTTGACCTTCTGTGGTCCGGTCTCCTCGAACATGATGATGAAGCTGCTCCGCTTTCGCCGCGCTCGGCCTCTACTCTGCGCCCACGCTACGATGTTCGGAGGCGGGTCGAAGCGAATAACGCTTCCGCACGCCTGGATGTCGATACCCTCCTCAGCGACCGACGTCGAGACGATGAGGTTCTTGTCGCCGATCTTGAAGTCGCGCAGCGTGTCGGCCTGGCTCTCATCCAAGATGTTGCGAGTGATGTCGAGGAATGAGTGCCGCTTGAAACTAGAAGACGAGCCAAGAAGACAGCCAATGCGGAACAGCTGAGCCGTCTCGGGGATGCGCTGGAGGAGTTCGGCAAGAGCAAGAACGGTGTCCCGACGGGTGACAAAGATGAGACCACTGTAGTCCTCGTCCCTGGAGCGGAAGAGCCCCTCCTCGACGACCAGAGAGTCTACGAGGGCGCGGACCTTTGGGGAGACTCCGCTGACGATCTTGTCGACATCGGAAGGAGGCGTTGTGACGTTCACTTTTGAGATGATGCTGAGCAGATAACGCTTCTCCTTCTCTTGCCAGGCGGACATGATATTGTTGTAGGGGTTCGCAGCTACCTTAGCGCGTTCGATCACCTTGGCCACATACCAGTCTGCAGCCCATGGCCCAAGCTCCACGCAGATCTCTGCCGCAGCACGGGCGAAGTCCCGGAGGCCCTTGTGAGTGAATGTGTCTTCCTTGTCGATCGCCTTGGACAGCTGCTGGTCCAGTCGGTGACGGTCGTCCGTGGGACGCAGCTTCGCCAGCCTTGAGCGTAGAGACTTCACGTACGGGTCATTCTCGATGTCCAGCGCGTCGATGACGGTTTGCAGCGACTGATAGTTGGCAGATGGAAGGCCATCCCAAACATGAATGGGAGAGGCGTAAAGGACGTGCTTGAACTCGGGCCGATACACATGCTCCGCCAAATTATCACGGTGCTTGCGGGCGGAACGAATGGTGCTATCCAGGTTCTTCTCCAAGTCCCTACAGCGAATGTGAGCCTCTTCGCTTATAGTTGAAGTTGCATATACCCTAACCTGAAGGCTACATCGACGTTGCCGCCGTAAATTGGACTTGCAGTCAAGCCGAGCACAGCGGGACGTACGCGGTCCGTCGGTCCAGTGAGGTTGGTGCGTGACGGGAGATTCATGTAGAAGTTCTTCATGATCATGCTGTAGGGGTGTTTCCCGGTAGCATGATGCGCTTCGTCGAAGACCATGAGACCGATATCAGTGCCCAAATCAACATATGCCTATCCCCGACGTTGAGCTGTGCACTAGTATTTGAAAGAATGTATACGAGTACTTACATGATGCAACGCGTCAAGGAGCACTTGGGGAGTTGTGACCATGATTCGGTGCGTAGCGAGAATCCTCCGCCACAACGACGCATCTTTCCACTGGTTAGGCTCAGAAGCTCCTGAGACGTGCCCCACGGATACAGGAATAGCAGTCTTGATGACCTCGTATTGTTGGTCGACAAGAGCTACCGTCGGCGCAATGAACCACGAAACCTACCCAAGCACTGTCGTCGGACATTGTACCGTGAACCTGGTGTAGAATGAACGCACCTTCCGTGAATGGCGCTCTGCTTCTAGCTTCATCCTCAGCACGGCGATGTGCGTCTTGCCGGAGCCAGTATCAAGGGCAATGATGAGGTTGCGGTGTAGACTCTCCTCCAGCAACTCTTGTTGATACGCACGAGTATGCACTATTGGGGGCGCGCCGACACCGGGGTCGTCATTCTCGGGGGTGGCCATCGCAGTAGGTACACGGGACCGGAGTAAGGAGTTGTTGATGGGTATGCGCGTATGTGGCTTAAGGATAGAACTTAAGAGCGACCTGCACGAGTGGCTGGGGAACGTAAACAAAGCAAGTGGCTCAGGGGCAAACGCGACGAACCTTGTGCGGAGAACAAAGCCGATAAATTCAGGTAGGCACTTTCCTTCGTGGGCGGATGCACCAGGTAGTGGCTGCTGGGTAGCCTATAAAGCTCGTCCTTGTAAGTCGGTCCTACCCTGTCCTACCGCAGCATGATCAGATAACCGCTGACCAGAGACAGCTGCAGTCGAGTTCATTTATGCCATTCATCGAGATGCACATGATACGAGTGAATCCGGAAAAAGAAGAAGGGGGCGCAGACGGCGAGCATGGTCATTTCATCGTTGCAGCGGATGGCAGGAAGCAAGGTGCACGCAGACGCCTTCCGCGGCGCGCGCTACGCGTCAAGCCGCCGACTCGTCGCAGCGCGCTGCACAAACTCCGACCACAACCACGACCACGACGAACGACGTCTGCGGGGCTTGTTCCTGCCGCTGCGCCGCTCCCCCCATCATACCACATGTCTCAGGCCATTCCGCTTTCCAGGATCACCACCCCGCACAGTGCCAGTCCGTACGTTGCCGCCCCCGACAGTCCAGGACAGGCCGAGATCCAGAATGTCTTCGGATACGAAGAGCCGGATGAAGCCCTGAACATCTCCCGGCCATGGCAGAGGAACCTTTATATGCTAGTGGAACAGCCAACATCCTCTCAGCCAGCATTCCTAGTCCACCTCTTCACGACTTTCCTGATTGTCCTCTCCGCTGTGGTTACCGTGCTCGAGACTGTTCCTGCGTTCCACTCTATCTCTGGCAGCTTCTGGTTTGGACTGGAAACAACACTAGTTGTGCTCTTCACTATAGAATACACTGCACGATGCATCGCTCACGCCACATCCTGGATGAGGTTCTTCAAATGGGTCACTTGTGAGTGTATATCATGCCTTTAGCCTCGGACCGAGCTTACTCTTTCCTCGCCCGTAGCTTTCTTTGGGATCATAGACTTGCTGGGTATACTACCATATTATATTGAAATCGCGCTACAGCAAGATACCGTGAGTTCCTTAGCCTATACTCGTTACCGACTTTCCTAATTCCCGTCCCCAGTCCGTTCTCTTCAGGTTCACAATCCTGCGTACTTTTAGGCTACTACGTGTATTTCGACCATTCCGCTATAATAACACCATACTTCTGCATGTGTCCTTTCAACTCGTCGGATAGACCCGCCGCTAACCTTCATCCTAGCACCATCGAAGTAATGTTTCTGTCGTTTCGGCGGTCACAACATGCCCTCCTGGCCCTGTCGTTCTTCGTCGTCATGGTGCTAGTTGTATTCAGCACGCTCCTGTAAGTGCACATTGCTGAGCTTTGTGGCGTCGTAACGAAGCGGATTTGTGTTAGTTACTTCTGTGAGCGGGGAACATGGGACGAGACATTGGGAACTTTCCTAAACTCGGACGGCGATCCGAGTCAGTTTGCAGTGCGTACCATCTGGCTTCTGGCTTCTCTTTGCTCGCATGTATTGACGTCCGTCGTAGTCGATCCCAGCCGCAGGATGGTGAGTCCCCCGCGAATATATGCTGTCAAGCGAATCTAATACATGGAATGGACGAACATAGGTTTGTCCTAGTGAGTAAGTATTCGTAGTCCCTTCATGCGCGCTCATGACCTGACTAGTTTGTTTCCAGCTATCACCACGGTGGGATACGGCGAAATCACCCCCCGGTCCTTCTTGGGACGGCTGATCACCCTCCCGTTGCTCGTGTTCGGTTTGCTGCTGATCGCACTGCCTACATTTGTGCTCGGTAGAGAGTTTAGTCTTGTCTGGGAACTCATGGAAGAGAACCAGGTTCGTTACGTTCCCTCTGATCATAGAGCCCCTCTGAACCATTGCGCCGTTGCAGAAGGCCCACGACACAGAAGATGTCGCTGAGGAGATCATGAATGACCCCCTTGCCTCGCCTATGCTCAGCCGCTCGCGCTCTGTTCGGGATCTCGCATCCACAACCGGTCTCTGGCAGCATGCCCAAGAAGAGCTCACGCGCCCCCGCAGGATTGCGAGCAATAGCGGGACAGGGGCGAATCAGGCGGAGTTGGTTGCGCAGATCGCAGAACTGCGGGAGAAGGTGTACGAGCAGGATGAGATGCTGCGGCGAATCATGACGGCAGTAGAAGGACGCAGCGCGGAGACGTGGCCACGCAGCAGGTAGCACGAGGGGAACTTTTGGGCTGCGGTACTTTGGACAAGGACATTTGGGTCACTTGTATTATGCACCACCTATGGTTGCTTGCAGCCCACCTGCGCCTACTTGCTGAGCGTTACTGTGGGAGACATCTATGGGCAGTCGAGGATCCGCGTCTGGAGCGAACAAGCATGCGTTTAAACGGATCAACGCCTCCGAAGCACGGGCGCTCCGCTCGCAATGTTTGATAGCCACGTGGCTACGTGCCGCCGCTTCTTGTTCCGGGCTCCGCTCGCAACGTTCTGTCAACTGCTTGTGTACTGCTAGCTGAGCCACGGGATTTGCGGGTCTGCACTCCTTCGCACCATGTCTTCGTCTCGAGATAGGTCGCGACTGAGGGCACACGATGATCCTGAACTGGTCGACGATTTGAACGATCTCCTGGACAAGCTGGACATGCAACTCCCGTTTACTCTCGAGACCACGTTCGACTTGACGCCCTCGCTCCTCCTGGGCATCCTGGAGTCGATCCTGGAGTCGCGACTTCCTATCACTGCTGCCATACGCGCCTCGCGTGACTTCGCGAGCAAAGTCCAGGCGATGAAGATCTTCCTCGGCGTGTTCGAGAGCGACGTGCTCGGCGGCGTGGACGTCGGCCTGAGCGACATCGACCCGCGCAGGCTCGCGGCAGGTGAGGAGGAAGAGGTCATGTTCGTGGGTGAGCTACTCTGTTGGCTCGGCAGGCAGCGCGGCATCCTCCCGCCAGGTGCGGGCCCGTCCCAGGAGGACGACTTCCCGCCATCCTTGCCCAAACAACAGCGTGCCATGTCGCCCTCTACCCATTCTACCGTGACGAGCGGGATCCACTCCAACCTTTCCATGATGCCGACAGCCTTGGCAGAAACCGATACGACCGTCATGTCCGTCGCCTCCGAACCCCTCCCTCCGCTCGCCCAAGCTGCACTCCCAGATCTGCCAAGTCTCCCGCCCGTACCCGACCACGCCGCGAGTGCAAGCGGCAGTGGCTCGCTCCGGAGACAACCACGGTGCATCCACGAAGTAGACGATACGTCGTTCCTCGCAGACTTGAGTCTGGAGAGCAGCACGTCCGTATGCCATTGCACGACATCCGACGCCGAAGACGACCTCCCGGCCACTCCCAAGTCCCCGCCCCCTATCCGCCGCGCCGGCTGGATAAACCACGCTGATGAGAAGTCGGAGCTGGACTTCTACCATCGCCGGCGCGCACCTTCTAGTGCCCCGGCCACCGCGGCGCGGCGCGTGCATTCATCCCCCGGTCTCACAACGCCAGCTCCGATGCGTCCCAGAGAGAGCACCCTCGGGAGCACGCCGAGACGCATCATCACCTCGCACAATGCACCGACGCAGTATACCCTCGCGCTGCTCAACGAGCGGGCACGGCTGTTGGATGAACTCGCAAAACTCAAGGCGGCCTCACTTGTGAAGTGAACCTCGCCTGAGCCCCTTATCTTAGTTTGGTGCGTGCATTCAACGTGTAGTCGGTTTCTCCGATCTCATATGAAGCTTCGAATTCTGCAGGCATAGTTTTGGATGTGCCGTGTCGTGTTGTCTCATTCTTCGCTTTCACATCTGCTCTCGAAGTTCCGTCTTGCTTTCCGATCGTCGCAGTCTCGTTCTTGTATCTCACATTCTACTCCCCTTTACATATGTACCCACCGCGCCATGTACACAGTGCGCTTATTTACCGGTACGCAAGCCTACACAATTTTCGGCGTATGTTACTGAGCGGTTCATTTGCCCCTTCAGAACCTCCTATGCTTGGGTGTAACCCCGTTCGTCGACTTGCAATACATCAACACAGTATTGCCACAATGAATCTGATGCTAGATCCATCTCCGGCACTCGCTAACACAGCGGAACAGTTATGACGCAGTTGTGTACTTCGCCGCATTGGGTATAGTGCGTGATGTATGATCGAGGACCGGGCCATCACAGTACTCATCCTCGATCGAGCGTAGAAGTTCACATGCATGATGCCGATCGTACTACTGCAGTACGGCCCCCTACCCACTGTGGCGCAACTTGAAGAGAATTCATGCCACCAGATAGCGTGATAGGACGGTACGTTTCGGGCTTTTATTAACAAGATACCTACACAGTTTCGCCGCTGTACCTATGCGTTTGTCGAAGTCGTCTTGGTCCGACGTGCGTGCGTTCAACTCGCTCACCTCGAGCTCCCGGCCATACTCATCCGTCGAGGCATATCAGCGGCACGATTTTCTAGCGCACAGACATCCGAAGCACGATCTGCGCCTCCCCAAACGGCTCGCACCTTCCGAGCCTACCCGGCATAGCCTACCACACGGCAGAATTCCGGTCCTCGCGCACCCGCCGGCCCTCGCGCACTCGCAGTCTCGCACGGCCCTCGCCCTTCTTGTCTTCGTCTTCCCCTTCTCCCTTCTCTCCCGGCACCCCCCAAATGCTATTGCCCGCGCTCGCCAAACGCCACATCGCGGTGCACCCCCCGATCGCCGTCGGACGATGGCCGTGCAGCTGCCAACAACCTCCCGAGCGCGCCCGCGAAGCGTCCGCATAGAGCGTCGCGACACAGCGAGACGTGGCCGAGTCCCGGGCTCGCTGGATCCTCGGCCCCCCCAGCGCCTGCGCGGGCGGTAGCCTGTTTGTGCGGGAGGGCTCGCGCGGAACGCTAGAGGAGGGAGGGGGCGTTGAATAGCCCGTGCAGGGTCGCGAGGGAGGGCGACGCGCGCACGCCGAGGTAATAGGTATGCATATGCATACGGGTTCTCGCCGCGTCCGGACGTCGCACAGGGGCAGACTCCCCGCTCATACTCCACGGTGGCACTGACTCAGGCTGCTGCAGTAAGTCTGGAATCGTCGCCGGAGACACTCGGGGCGCGGGGTAATGCTGGGCCTCGCTGCACCCGCACAGCAGCACGCGGTGGGCCTGCCTACGCAGCTGCGAGGTGTCTGCGGTTCCGCGCGCTGGTGCATGGTGCGCGGCATCCTTGCATCTGCTGCATACAAGACCCGGAGAAAGTGCGGAGGCGTGCTGGTGCACTGCGCCGTGCGCATGCTCCGGAGACGCCAGGGCGCGCGCGCGGCGATACTGCGACGGGGAACTTGGGCTCCAGGTTCCTTCCAGCGTACCTGCTGCAGGTGCTTGCGGTAACAATCCACCTTGCGGCAGAGCAGGTGGTGTGCCGCAGCGTACGGCCGCGCGGGGTGTGGATGATTGGCTGTCCAAATGCAGACAGAGGAAGTAGGCTTTAGACTTGTGACCCGCCGCAAGGGGACCGCGCGGGAATCGAGATCGCGTGTGCGTGGGACCAACGGCCGACAAGTGTGTACATGCTAAGCCTGGATACGGATACGGACGACGGAGCAGAGGTAAAGTCCGATTGCCTCTAGGCTCTGGCGCGAAGATGGTGGCCCCGTGAGTGCTGTGCGATGTGCTTGTGCGGCGCGGGTGCGGATGGCGCTTCCGGACGGGCCGCTGCATGAAGAAGCCCGCTTCATCGATGCAGCGCAGTGGTAGCACTGTACATACGCTGTACCGCTATGTATGTTCTGTCGCTCGGCGAAACGTCCGAGATTGTACCCGCCATGATCATCAGGGTAGTAAAAGATTGATGCATACCCCATCTTCCATCTTCCATGCACCCATGCATGTACATGAGCATGCGTATCCGGACCTTGCGCGCTGAGCAACCGCCTTGACATCCGGACAACGCAGGATAGACGCCCGCAGGAAGCGCACACGGGAGGGCACCCATATGCGGATACCCCGCGCAACCACCTCCCATTCGGCGTTCAGACTCCTGCCGGAGCCCGAACCTTGCCTATGCTTAGCGTCCCCGCCATGCGGGGGAAAACGCCCAGGCCGGACGCGGGAATGCGGGGTAGATCAGCGCAGTGGCGAGCAGGACGCGGAGAAGGGCTGGGGCTCGGACTAACCTCGCGGAAACCACGCGGGGTGAGCGGCGCGCTTGTCTGTGCATCTGAACTGCTCGGGGTGGGTTACGGGGTAACGTACTGGCCTCGCTGGGCCCAAGGGCGAGCTCGGACGGGTGCAAGACCGGTGGAAAGTGAGATGCCAGTGCCGAGAGGGGGGTCTAGAGCGCGCCTGCTGTACGACATAGGCGTGTAGCCGGTAGGGATGCGAGCGGAGTGGAGAGGGTTTGCGAAGGACACAAAGCAGTCGCGGCAGAATGCACGAGCGCGGTGAATGGGCAGGCACAGCACGGCGCGCGAGGTACGCTGCGAAGCGCAGCCGTGCTCTCCTCGCTTCGCCGCGTTACGGAGAGCAGGCGGAATGGCACAGGGCGCAGGAAAAACCGGCAGCGCAGAGCTTCGTCGACAGGGAATCGGCTGCAGCGCGGCGAACAGGCAACGAAGGCGCCCCCTGGAGGCAGTATGGCTGTAGCGTACGCGTCGGCGGGGGTAGGGACGCGTGCGGGTGCGTTTGTCGCTGGCACTGCGTCATAGGCGGCGCTAGGTCCCAGGAGAGGGGAGACTGGACAGGCCGACACGGCTCGCGAGCACACGCGCGGTCGGTCATCAGAACGCCCCAGGAGACCTAGATGGAGTTCTGGGCAGGGCGCGTCCACGCCGCTCGCTTGACCCCAGGGCAGCGGACGGTGTGGACGCGGACGGCATGCGCTTACCCCACACACGCCCGCACTGAACGTGCTCGTCCACCGGAATATCCTGGCACCGCGCGTCCGGGCACTTGCCTGCGGGCAGGAGAGCAGCGCCGGCCAGTTGTGGACAATCGTGGTGCATCGCACTGCAGCAGCCGTGCGCCCTGCGGTTTCGGGGCATGCGTATAAAGGAGGCGAGATTCCCCTGCGAGATCGGACATCGCCGCGGATGGCAGCGAGAGGGAGGCTTTCGGTTCGAGAGAAGCTTTGAGCAGCGCTTCGCGAGCTCGTCATCGCGCCTGTGGCTTCTTTGGACTGGGGGCGGGCGGGTCGCGGTCAGCCTCGAGCGGGAAGAGCGAGGCGCGCTTGCGGTCGCCCGCGCTGTCCTAGCAGGCGGCACGCGGGTAGCCAAGGGACCGCGTGGCGCGCCGCAGCGAGGTCGTGGTCGATGCATGTTCGCCCGTCGTATGATGGGCGCACGGACTTGTACGTCTGATCCCTGTGGAAGGGAGTTGCGGTTAGATTTCCTTGAGTCATAGCGAGGGGCGCCTATATGTACATTCAACTGCCATGTCAAGTTCGTGTCTCGCTGTGATTAGAGATAGACGTACCCGGAGTTGCCGCGGTAGAAGGCCTCGGTGTGTCGTTTGTGTTCACACAGCAGCGTGAACGGAGCGCTGGGGAATTACGTTTAACGTCATTACTGCGCAAAGAAAGACGATGGGTCAGGGGGAAGACGCGTCGGTGTGTGGGACGCGTTATCTATGGGAGTAAGCGGGCGAAATTGGACAGGGCGAGAAGAGATCAGCGTACAGCTGGAAAGGATCGAGGGCTATCGAGACGGCACGGAACGGGCTAGACCACGATAGCATCCCGTCCCCGCACCCACGCCTTGTACGACGGACTGTGCGGTCGCCGGTGGGTCAGGATGGAGTGGGTTTGGAACAGGATAACGCGGGGCATGAATGATGAGATACGGGGACGTCACCTAGCATGCTGGCACTCGGCTATGCAGCAAACATCCGACGCAAAGCGGCTTTTAGCGTCGACGCTGCCGCATCTTCCACGAAGTGTGGTGAAGGTCGATATGTCCGCCATGTGCGCCGTGCGGGAACGGACCGAGGTGCGGTGGCGGGCGGAGGCACTCTGCCAGGGGGACGGAGGAGGTCCCCATGGGGATGCCTGTTTGGGGAGGTGTGCCTGTGATTCTGGAATCTGGAGAATCTGGAGATAAGATGATCTTGTGTGAGCCGAGTGTTCGTCATGGCGCATCTCAGATGGCGGATGCAACCCGCCACGCGCGCCGCCCGGGGGCGTTCCTGCCCCGCAATGTATCGACGCCCGTGATAGCGCCCCGCATGGTGGCGCGACGGGTAGCCGAGCGAAACGGCCAAGTTGCTTGCGCCCTCGCGGCCAAGGCGGGTGCGAGAGGAGAATAAATTGCGAGGAGAGGGGAGAGAGCACGTTTGTGGCAGGACGGCGCAGTGTGCAGCCGGCGGCGGGGGGAGAGGATGGATCAGCAGCCGGGCGGCGGGCGGAAAATGATCGGAAATGGGGAGGGAGGTGAGGACGGTGGGAATCGGAGGGGGATTGGCCGGAAAAGGGAATGGGGGTCGGCGAGACGAGCAGGCGGTGGCGGAAGATGGCGAAACTTATCTGCCCTCCGTCGAGAGCAGCGTCGACGCCCGCGCGCACCATCGATCCTCGCACCCCCACTCGTCTCATTTTTGGCAGAAATTTTCGTAGGGAGTTCTTAGAGTGCACAAGAACGCGCGGGGCCCCCTCCTCTTTCCCCTTTCCCCTCCCCCGCAGCGCCCAGCCCAGCGCGTGAAACGTCCCGCGCCCTGACACTCCGCTGCGCCCATCTGCCAGAGCCACCGCCGTCTGCTGCTGATATCCGCCTGTACCGCTTTCCCTCGCCCTCCTCCTTCTCTTCCTCCGCCCACGCTCGAGCCCCTCGCTCTCCTCCCACACGCCCTCCTCAGCCGTCTGCACTCTAGATTCTGCCCGGATCATCCGCGGTCGTCACCTCGTCCCATCCATCCTGCTTCTTGCCAGCCGCCGCTTCGATCGTCTCTTCCACCGCCTCCCCAGCGCGCGGTAGCTGCGACCCTGCATCGCTGACACTCCATCAATTCAGTCCACGCGGGGTATCCCCCACATCCCCTCTTTGTCCACACCACCACCAATTGAGGGCTCGCCGTCCCCGGCCCAATCTAATAGATCTTCGCGCCCTATTAATCCCGTGCGTATCCGTCTATCCCTCCTCTCTTCCCCGTACTAATACCCGCCCGTCCACCGCCTTCCCCTCCCTTCTGCTCGTTCGGCCATGGACCTCTCCTCCCTCCTGCTTCACAGAGACATGGACGTAATGCCCCCCTCACCTCCTCCCCCGCCCCAGGCCTCAGAAAAGGCCGCCGCAAGGCCATACAAATGCCCCTATCCTCTGTGCGGACGCGCTTTTAGTCGTCTGGAGCACCAGGTGCGTGTGCCACTCGCGACCGCCGACAGCACAATTGCTTATCTTTGTCCCAGACTCGCCACATCCGTACCCACACAGGCGAGAAGCCGTTCGAGTGCACGTTCCCCGGCTGCGAGAAACGTTTCTCGCGCTCCGACGAGCTGACGCGGCACTCCCGCATTCACACCAATCACGATGGCGCACATTACTCCAGCGCAGCGGGCTCCAGCCACCCTGCCCACAAGACGAAAGGCAAGGCGAAGGTCGAGCATATAGCCGACGGTGGTATGGAGATCAGCGCTGGGAGATCTTCGGCTGGTATGTCCCCCACCGACGCTGAATTTGGTATCACACGCGGCTCGAGTATGCGTGTAAAGAAGAAGGCGAGGAGCCGCGCGAATAGCGACGATGAGGTGAGTTTTGGTTTTCCCCCACAAACACCCCTGTGCCTGCCCCTCGTTTGCGTCATCGTGAGCTGTTACTGACTCAGTCTTCAGGATGAATCATACGCGCGGCCGACGGCGATGTATCCCTCTGACCCCACACTCTTCGACTACCCGCTGTCGCATCCTCGGCCAGCACATCATGCCGAACACATCCTCCCCAACGCATCAAATCCCAATGCATTCTCCGCGCTATCGAGCGTCGCCATGGAAGAGTTGTACGTCCTTGAGCGTAGCGAGGCTATGCGGAGAGCCGAATTCGAGGTTCGCCATTTGGAGGCGCTAAGGCGAGCGGAATACGAGGCTCGGCATGCCGAAATCATGTCCTACCACGGCCGTGTCAGCAAGAGCGCGACCACCACGCCCCTCGGAACGCCGTTCTTTGCCGCCCAACCCCCACACAGCGATGAAGGCGGATACTTCAGTGTCTCGCGCGAACGCGACATGGGCCTAGTGGACGAGGAGCCGCTTACGGCTAAACACGGGCGGCGCCGCAGCATGGGCAGCTCGAAGCGCGACTTCCTAGCTATGCATCCGCATACGTCGGGCCACGTCGTGGACGGCGCGCATCATCACCCCCGGGTACACGCGCATACACACGCGCACCACGCTAATGGCCACGCAGTATGGTCGCATCCCTACCACCACCCAGCGGCGAACAGGCCTCATCTCCAAGCCGGGCACGAGGACTCGCCGTCGCCGATCAGCTCCGACTCCGACTCTATGCAACCAGCTCATTCGCCTATGCACGTCTCTCCGGCTGTGCCACATCATCCAGCATCTGTCGACCATGCTGTGCATCACCCCTTCGCGAACGGCGCGAAGCCCCCAAGCAATGCGGAGTTTTCATTTACTCCGTCGACGAGCCCATTCCTTGGTGGTCTGCGGACGCTCAACATCCATTCCAGCGGCCCGTCGCGGGCCCCTTCACCCTTCCGCCTCCCTCCGCCCTCGCTCGACAGCCCTGTGGACGAGTACGGGCACTACTATGACCCGCGCACGCGCAGGATCACGAGCGTGGCCGGCAGCCCACCCTCCTCCAGCGCTATCAGCGGCCGGATGGCGAAACGAGGCAGCTCTGGGGACCTCGTGTCGTACGCTGCCGCGCACGGCGTCTCCGTTGACCACTTCGCGATGCCTCCGCCGAGCTTCCACATCCCGTACACCAGCGACCGCACCTCGATCGCGTCACTGCCGACACCGCAACTGTCAAGCGGCCCCAGCAGCAGCGGGAGCAGTCCGCGCAGCCACGCGCACTCGCTCGCACACGAGGGTGGCAGCTCCTCAAGCTCGCGGGCACCGTCGCCCCCTCACCACTCGCGCGCGCCCGGCCACCACCCGCAGGGTCCCGCCAGCCACCACCACCACCACGCGCACCTCGCGCACTCCGTCCGCGCCGCGTTCGGGATGACGCCCATCCACCCGCGCCCGCGCGCGGGCCCCCCGGCGTCACACACGGACCCGACGGTGACTCCGTCGCATTTCGGCGGCTCGGGCGCAGCTTCTGACGCGCACCCGCTGTCGCTCCCGGCGTCTCGCGCGTCGTCGCCTCCGATCAAGCTCCCGCCGCTCAAGCTTCCGTCCTCGCCGGCGTCCCCGCTGAACCGCCCTGACGCGGGCGCTGCGGCTGCGGCTGCGAAGGAGACGCGCCGGCGCAGCCTCGACGGCGCGGTGAGCGAGATGACGCTGCACGAGTCGCAGAAGGTCGAGCTGCCGGGCTTCAGCGAGTTCGCGGCCGCCTCGGGTCTCGGCAGCAGCGCGTAGACGGGCGAGAAGCAGCCAGCCAGCCCGCCGCTGCGTGTGCAGGGTGCAGTTAATGTGGCGTGCGCGGCGGTGCGGCGAGGGGAGGGGGAGGAGGGGGAGGGTGGTGGTACACAAGACACATGGGAGGGGAGAGTACGTGAATCTGGGGGAGGAGTGGGGGAGTCTATAGACATGAGAGAGTATGAAAGCACAGTTCGACGTCGAAGGCCCGTCCGCGGGGGTATCTTCTCGAAACCGGAGCACCGAGCACCAAGCATCCAACAACCAACAACGCCGTGACACACCGTCACCGCACGCACCGCACCGCATCGTACACGCGCTCCAGTTCCGACCCTGTTAATTCCAGCGATCGCAGTTCTGCATTATTAATCTCCGCCGCCTCTCTGCTGCGCTGCGCTTCAGTCTTCCGATGCCCTTCCGCGCGGACATGGATACGCATAGACTACAGTAACACTGGACAATCCCTTCTGCCTGCCCCGGCCGCTGCAGCGCTTCTCGCCTCCCGCCTCCCTCGAATGCACGCCTCCGCGCCCCGCACCGTCCGCGCCTCCGGCTCCCGGCCTCGGCCCAGTCTGCACGCGGGCCCTCGTTATTCCCTGTCCTTCGCGCCTTCTCTCTCCCCCCTGCCCCCACGACCGTCGCACAGTAACGCTGCGATGACGATGGCCGAGGTTGTGCCCCCCCTCCCTACTACCCCCTTCGCGCCCATGCGTGCGTTGTACTTAGATCGCTGTTACGAACGTTCATGACCATAGATTGCGCTGTACTAGATCTTGCAGGTATTTATCCGTATGAATAGATGGTCTCTTGCGGTGAAAGTGCGTGCGCGGTGACCTCGGAACTTGAGCAGATGAGTTTGAGCAGTACATATGGACACCCGAGGCTCGCGGAGAAGGTAGTGAATATTGCTGTGCTCGACTGTGCCGAGGTTTTCCCGGGCAAGTACGATCGCGTACACTACGCACTCGTCAGCGGTCGCCCACCACCTGGCCATCCGACACGACACTGGTTTCGCCGTCCGATGTATGTGTATACTGTCGTGGACGATAACATACTCACTGGGACGGTCATCTAGCTCGGATTGCTAGATTAATCCCTTGTTGAATCATTGCCCGCCGACTTAGCGTTTGCTGAACGTTGAACAAAGATTCCCTGTCGCCAGTAAGACTCACAATTCGACAAGCCTGCACATTCTCTTCCTGATATAAGAATTGATCAGGATATACTCCTTCTACATCCTCGACCACCATACTCGACAGCCGCAGCTACGATCCTCTCCTTATCGCATTCTAGCAACACTCCCAACCAAGTTCTTCCAAGAACATCACGATCCCCAGTTTACGTAGCACCGCCCAATCCAATGACCACCGCACGTCCACTCATCATCGGCCCTTCTACGGGGCCCGAAGCACCCTACCCCCTGCACATGGAAGGCAAAGTAATCAACGGCTTCGGGCGTGGCTCCAAAGCACTAGGAATCCCCACGGCCAACCTTCCCGTCGACGAGAGCCTGACACCATGGATCGCTGATATCAAGTCCGGAGTGTACTTTGGCTGGGCTTCCCTACGCCTACCACCGTCGCATCCGAACCATCGAACGACATCGTCAGACACCTCCTCCCCGTCAGGAGCGCACTCCGGATTCAGCATCTATCCCATGGTGATGTCGATCGGATACAACCGGTTCTACAAGAACACAGCGCGGTCGGCTGAGGCACACGTCCTCCACGAGTTCGGTGCCGACTTCTACGGCGTCGAGATGCGGCTGTTGATTGTGGGGTTCATTCGGGAGGAGAAGGACTACGCCGACGCAGGAGCGCTGATCGAGGATATCAAGCTGGACTGCGAGGTGGCGCGCAGGAGTTTGGACCGCGAGGCTTGGGCATTGCGGGAGACGGGCAAGGGCACGCTTGATGGAAGCTGGTTGGTGCGAGAACCGGCAGAGGAGAATGGCGCCGTGGTATAAATATGAGAAATACAGAAGTGGTTGCCGGGAGACGGGAATGGTCCTATGCTCGTTGCAGGCTGCCCATGCGTACACGCGTACCGCGGTCTAAGATCAAAAGGACGCTCCTAACATCTCTTCTGGTGTTACAGGCTTGCTTGGACATGTTCGTTGATCCCTCCAGAATTTTGTGAGCACGCAATCCACTTTATTCAATATTTAAATCCACTCACTTGCCAATCAGACTCGAACATGGGCCGATAATAGTGCATTCTTGTCATTCTGACGGAGAGTACGATGTTTCTCACTCCCCATTCTGTGCATGGAAGGCGAAGCGACAGCCCTACGAAGGAGCTGCAGCGCTCAGATTTCTCTGCGCAGGTACGTCTCCTCGGTGATCCATAAAGCACATCGCCTGCTCACCCATCTATGCAGGCAAAGCCCGCATCTACAATTATGTTCCTAGGAGATCCCCACTCATTGCCCCAAATATTCCCTCATCAGCTCTGCTGAATGGCATCAGCAGACTTGTTTGTTGACGAAACCAAACTCCTATCACCGAGACCGCGAAGGGCATCAGCCATGGTATCCACCCCGGGCCCTCCCAGTGGCAGGCTGCACGCTCTACAGGAAATCCTGCCGCTGCACGGTGGCCTTGCCAGCCACCGCTAGCCATGAGAAACCTTCACGCCCTCGCGAGAGTACCCTAAGGACCCTAGGGCGTTCTCGCTGGGTATGGACCGAGACACCGCTTTGCGCTATGCTTTCACCACACCCTTGTGGTCTACCGTCCCTCCATCCAAAAAAAACCGTCGTCGGTCAGCGGTGTACATGTGGTGTGGAGGGATGGAGCCCCAGACGACCCGGTGTATCTGGTGTATATCATCCTCAGCCTGGCATTTACAGGTGTCGCCTTCCTCGTCCATGTAGGGCACACGGAGGCTGACGGCGGACGCGCCGCCAGGACCATGTTGAACGGTCACGGTGCAAATTCGGGCGTGTTTTCACGGCGACTTGGTCATCTGGAGGGGCAGTGGAATGGAGGACTAGGCACCGAGTCAGTACTCTCACCGTTCCTTTTTTCATACGAAGTCGTGTGGTTGCCAGAACCGCAACTACATGATAGTTTGGGGCCCTCGAAGGGTAAAGAAAGACGAATCGTTTGGGGAAGCGTATACGATCCGGGAAAAGTCATGTTCCATATTCTAATTCGAGATGCTCCATCCAAGAGACAGTATTAGTACACACAAGGTAAACCCATCCAAAAAGCACACAAGCACCACATCCCCCACACCTCCCTACTCCGTATCAAACACCAGCGCGCGGACCTCGATCGACGTGCGGCGCGCCCTCCAGCGCCGTCTTATCCGGAAACGCCGTATGCGGCGTCAACCTCGCCACACCCTCCTCGGAGTCGTAGCACTTGATGAGCGTGACCTCCTCGGGGGTCTGGTCCGCGAGGTAGTACCACTCGTGGCGCGGGTGGTAGCGCACGCTGTACGCGCCGCCCTCGCGCTCGGGGTAGATGAAGCGCATGGGGACGAGGTCGGCGTGCGCATCGAGCGTGCGCCAGTCGGACACCGCGAGCGGGTGGTGCGCGACGGGGTGCGCGATCGGCCGCCAGACGTTGATCAGGCGCACGCGGCCCTGCAGGAGGCGGTCCGCGTCGGCGGGGAGGTGGTAGCGCACGCGCGCGATGGAGGCGGCGTACGTCTGGTCGACGTGCACGAGTTCCTGTGGGGCGGGGTGAGTGCGCTGCCGGGGTGGAGTGTGCATTAGGCTGGGAGATGCGTACGGCCGGGCCACGGATCTGGTTCTCCAGGGTCCCCTCGCCGGCATCTTCGGGCTTGCGGCGCCTGTGCATGTGCATGTGTGTCCGTGGTCAGCATCCGCCCTCTGGCCGCACGTACGTACGCGTCGCGATACACGCCTGATGGTGTGGTCGAAGATGAAGACGCGCTTCGCGCCCGTGACCGTCTTCAGCAGCTGCTCGACCTCCCTGTAGTACTCCGTCTTGATGCGCGCCTCGTCGTCGAACGCGGTCTCCGCGCTTGGGGCCGTCATGAACTGGAACCCGACGGTGTCGAGCGTGAGCTCGTGCTCGCGCCCGCGCACGTCGTGGACGACCACGGGGCGCGGGTCCTGCCCGACGTTCGTGCGCGGCTTGCCCGCGGGCGGCGTGTGCAAGTATGAGTAGGGGGGTTCGGACGAGTCGTCTGTGGGAGCGTAGTAGTTGAGCGTCGTCGGGACGTCGTGCGGGGAAAGGACAGCGGCGGTGGCCATTGTTGCTGGGCGGGTTCAAGTCGCGGTGGTGTGGAGGTACGGTTGGTGGGTGAGGCGAGGGTGCCGGATAATGGTGGTGCGGGGTGCTGGGCCGTATATATGCTGTTTTACGACGACACCGCGCGTGAACATCTGCGCAATTACACGCTGGAGCGTAGCGAATTGCTCCTTGATCCCCGACGGGCTCTTGCTCACTCAGCCTGTCAAAAAGGAGAAGTACACGTTCCGCGAGTGTCTCTAGCATTTTGAAACGCACAGGGACAGCCCGAGCAGAGTTACCGGTATTCCTTGCTGATGAGCGACACCATCGGATATTGATTTCTAAGGAGCTGCGCTCTTTCAGAGGGGCGTCGAGTGTCGCCATATCAGGCTCTTATGACGGGCAGTGATGGGTGTCAATTTCGCGGGTTCACTCGGTGGTACACTCACTACCACAGGTCTGATTGCCGCGCTCCTCATACGGGTCCGAGGGAACATGGGCTCGAGGGAATCCGCCCGTCAACGCTTGGAGGGAGGTCAGCCGACACTCGTGTTCACTGCGTAGGCCGGATCCTATGGAGTATTATGCATCTGCCGATATCGCGAGAAACGGATATCGAGGGCGAGTGAGGGCTGCAGGGAGCTGTACTGCTAAGGGGTGAAGGACCGCTGCTAGCCTGCTACAATGTTGCGGTGAGAATGATGACTGTTCGGAGCCAAGCATCGAGCGCTTACACTATCCTACTCGTCTACTACCAGTACTCAGGGCTTCATCTACCCCTTAAGTACTCCTACCTACTCCTACGCGCGTCGTTCAAAAGCAGCAGCTTAGCACAGAAAGGCTGGCAAGTCACAACTGGCAACAGCAGTGCCATTTCTGGATCTACGATTCTCTTGTCAGCGTACCATACAGCGCTCCGCACAACTGGGTGGCAGTAATCAAATGGACCAGGCGATGATACTTGCTGGACTCGGTCAATGTTCATCCCAAGGGAAAATGATGTGCGAGTGGAAGTGATAGTCGTACCTGCATCGAGCTCAATCCGCATGTACAGCTGGCCTCGTTCCAAGTCTCCTCGCACCGCCACATGTACAACATCTCCATAGGCTCACACGACCGAGATGTCCGAGTAATAATAAGCGTTTCCAACGTCCATGCAAATAGACAGTTAGATACATGCAATAAGTCCATCGAGGTTGTGTAGTGTCCACACTCAGTCCTGCGCCGCCTCCTTGGGCGCCTGGTTGGACTGCACACATCCGCATTAGCTCGCCCCGTCTGAAGCATGCAATGGGCACAATTACTGACCTTGGACTTTTCGCGGGCATCGCCCAGGTCGGTCGGGCCCTTGTCGCCCTCGCCCTGCACAGTGCCCGATTTCGAGCTGCCGGGCTTCTCCTTCTGCTCGTGCTCGGTCTCCGCGTCGGCGGTCTGCCCAGGCGCGCCCTGCGAGAACTTCGCGTCGTGCTCCTCTGCGCGCTGTGCGTCCGCGGGCGAGTCCGAGTCCTGTTCGAGAGGCGGTCAGGACGTGCCTCCCTAAGCGGAGACCATGGGATACGCACGGACGCCTGCTTCACGGACGCGTCGACGTCCTTGGCGGAGGCGGTCGTGCCCTCGTCGTCGGTCACGGCGCCATCATCAGCGGGCGCGGAGTCCTGCGTCATGGGAGCACACACATGTCAGCGGGCGAGACCTCTAGGGCGGCCTGGACCTGGGGCAGGACTCACCGACTTTTCGGCGGGCTCGTCGTCCTTCGACGCGTCCGCGTCCTGCGGGGCGTTCACAGCGTCAACTCTTGCGACATTTACGCGAGTGAAGGCAATCACATACCTCAGCGGGAGCGGGTGCCTCCTCCTTCTTGATGAGCTCCTCCGACGGCGCGTGCGCCTTGGCAGCCTTGTCGTGGTGAGCGTCGGCGTTATGCTTGCCCTTTTCTTTGCCGGACGAGGTGAGGAGGTACGCGGCCTGCACACGAGCGCAAGTCAGTGTGACGGGAGCTCGTGCTACACCATGGTGCGCAGACGCGTACCGCAGGGCCGAACACGAGTGCGGAGCCGATCTACATAGGCACACTTGTGGGTCAGTCGGTGTACACATTTATTCACTTGGAGGCCTGACGCACCATCCAAGGAAGGTCGCTGCTTTGCTTCGCGCCATGCTCGACGCTGGTGCTGGCAAAGCGCCTGCCGGCGGGGCGAGCGGCAGCGCGTGCGCTGGCGGGTGTGCGGAGGGACGCAAAGAGGCGGCGGGAGAAAGTACGGGCAGACATGGTGCTATGCGTCAAACAGTGAAGGAGACGGGTGAAGGAAGGAGAGAAGGCGTGCGGGTGCGGGGGAAGGTGCACTGGCAGAGCTCGTCGGGCGTCGGACGGGATCGGTTTCCCCGCTCGGCGTCATTCGATGACGTTGTCGTTCATTTTGCGCAATAACGGTACCTTTTACGCATTGTACATATCCCGCTATGGGTGTACCTTTACAACGCCCGCCTAGCTCAATCGGATAGAGCGTGAGACTTTTACGGACCTCCTGTCCTCAGGATTCGGGAATCTCAAGGCTGCGGGTTCGACCCCCGCGGTGGGCTGTTATCTTTTGTTGAATGGTTAAAGGGTCGGGAAAGGTATATGAGCAACAACATCTCCTTGCGGTCCTCTTATACGTGTCAACCCATGTCAATCACCCGAGGGCCACTAATACCACACATGCATTTTAATGCTTTCAGGAAAATGGCCTCTGATAGTGTTTCTGACGACACCGTTTAGGCGCCCGTGTGTGTCTCCTCAAGCTTCCTCCGAATCACTCATGAGTCTCATCCAACACAGGTGCTTCGACTTCAAAAAATATCGCCCACAGGGTGCGGCCCGCCTGTATTGTGTCCGGTTTGAATTCCAGGACAGATATGCATGAAACATGCGTGGATTTTCTACGCATGACGGAGACATCGGCAGTACGTACACAACTCACACCCACTGCCACGGCTCTAGCTCCGTGGTACAGTCGTATCGGATTGAGTGCGGCCATAGCAGCGCATCTGATGTATGTGGTGAGTCTTCTACGTAACTGCCACGACGTGCGGGGTATCAGGTGCGCGCCCTGCGCAGCCCTCGGTGCGGTGGGCGATGATCCCCATAGACCTTGCGCTCAAACGACTCACCCGTAGCTACTGACGATTTATACCTGCCGATGAATCAGCCCGCACTGTACACACTACCTGAGGAGGTACTCCAGCGCATCTGTCGTGTATTGGCGACACGCGTTTACCCCTTCTACCCAACGGCCCCCCATGGGCTGGTGACCTTGGCCCTCACCTGTCGCTGCCTCAGCGAGATCGCGCTCGACGTCCTGTGGAGCACACTGCGATCACTGTCGCCGCTGCTTTGCACGCTGCCGGAAGATCTCTTTGCGTTTCTGCCTGTTCCGGCGAACGGGGATGGGGGATACCAGTATGAGAGGTATAAAGCGGTACGTGAAACGTGATTGCTGGGCGAGCCTCGTCGGACATAGATCTTACTTCCATATCCTGTAGGCCTTCCTGCGCGATCCCGTTCCGCAGGACTTCGTGCGCCTTGCGACGTACTCGATCCGGGTCACGGCGATTGACGCCAACGCCAGAAATCCCGCCTTTTGGGACATCGGGCGCAAGTTCCCCACCGAAGTCTGGGACGTGCTTCTCCGCCATGCGCCCAAGCCTCTGCTCCCAAACCTGCGCTTTCTCTATCATACAGAACGACCAGTTCAGGACGAAGAGCTTGTGCCAGGCCGAGGATTCTTCCATCCTGCAGACCTTCTCTTTGGGCCGAACCTGCGGGTGGTACAACTCGCTGGCTTGTGGATACACCCCCACCGGCCCACCAAGGCCATCCAGGCTCTTTCTCGTGCGACGCAGCTCGTAGAGTCGCTGCGTCTAGAAGCGAGGATAGGCCGTCCGTCAAACTATGCATCGTTGGCTTGTCCCGAGCTCCGTGGATTCGACCGCCTGGTCTACTTCGGCGGCTACTCTATAAACGTCGGCCCCGAAGCTCTCACAGCCCTGGGCTCCTTGCCGAGCCTGCAGGAGATGCTCCTCCACGTCGAGCCGGCGGACTATACCTGGGACGCCTTGCCGCATGGACGGCACACGAGCTTCTTTCCCGCGCTCACGAAGCTCACGCTGTACAACATCGCCTTCGAGTGGTGCGCCGCGTTCTTGAACACCCTGTCATCCGCCGCTCTTCAGCAGCTCCACATCCGCGTCCATGACCCGTACTGCGTCACCCCCGACGGCGCCGTCTTCGAGGCCCTCTGCGCCGCGATCGGTGGTCTCCCCAGCGGCGAGTCTCTGCACGACCTCGACATCCGTTCTCCACGCACCGCCGAAGTCGTTCTCCGGCCCGCGTACCCCGCGCGCCACATCGCCCCTCTAGCCGGACTGAAGAGCGCACTCCGCCGCCTGTACGTGAGGGGCCCGTGCCAGATCGACGTCGACGACGCCACCCTGGAGGCCATGGCGCGCGCGTGGCCCGATATTCAGGAAATCATGCTGCCGTGGGTGGACCACCCGGACCACATCGACGACACCATCCACGACGAGGAGCTCGAGAACAGCGAGCCTCCGCCGTACATGCCCCGCGCGACCCTGGCGGGCCTGGACGCGCTCGTACGTGGGTGTCCGCAGCTCACGCATCTCGCGCTCGCGTTCGACATGCGCTTCGTGCCGGAGCTCGGCGAGCGGGAGAACCCCGTCCGGGCGCCGGAGCAGGTGTCTGCGCTGAAGCAGCTGTCCGCGGAGGGATCGGTGCTCGAGGACCCCATTGGGGTTGCGGCGTTCCTTGCTCTTATGTGTCCGCGGCTGAAAAAGGCGGGCGGGGACGATTGGCAGGACGTGATGTGGTACTATTTGGCGTTCTGTCGGATACGCGAGGAGGAGAAGAAATGGGCGGCGGCGCGTGGGAGAGGTCTTCAGGGTGCCGCGTCGGCGTGATGCTGGTAAATGGGCACAGACCTAATTTTCCGTGTTCAAAAGTAGACTGTGGCCACCTTGTGAACTCTTTACGTCGTGGTGCCCAGCTCGACGAACGAGGACATATATCCTACATAGGAGAACAGGAACCACCAAAATCGTCGGCCAAACTCAAACCATTCTTCTACACATGTATGTGTACGTGCTGGTGATTGTGTCACCTGTCGATCTTTCTGTACTACTACTACTAGAGCCGCATAAACGTGGTTGGAAGCCTGTACGAGTCCTCACCAGATGCTGAGAATCAGTGAGATGTGTCTCGGCGACTTGGACTGAGGTATGATTGAAGGCGGGCGCGCATAAGTTGAGGGAAGCACAAACGAAACGATTACGCCGGCAGAACGGCTGTGGCAGCGATATACTAGAGGCGTCAGAAATGATAGAAGACCAAGGAAGACGTTTGCGAGCCTCGAGGAACGTTAGGATGGATTCTTGGGATGAGGCACAACTGAACTTCCCTGCTGGTGGCTGCTCGGTTCCGGGCTGTCGACCTAGCTCGGGGCCGATCCTACGGCGGCATCTGTCATCTGTGCAACGGATCAGCGCGCTCTTGACAACCAATTTTCTGGTGCGTCGCGGTGCGAGTACATGCAGTACGAATATAACGGTGAGTATAAGTACAACGCTGGTCGCTGCCGGAGAAAGAGAATGGCCGCGGTGGAGCAACGGAGCGCTTTTAATTTAGAGGAGGCGCCGAAAAAGGGAAGCGGGGACGCGGTGGCGTGAGCTGCGTTGTTCCTGGTGAGACGCCGGACGCGTCGAGGCTTGGGCGTGTTTGACGCGACGCGACGTGCGCCTCGTGCTAAGCGACCAGCTTCGCTTCTCACGCCCATGTTCGACTCGCCCTCTAAGCGAGCCATTGAACACTGATGCTTGTTCGCTGAGTCCCCCGTCCTCCCCGTCGTGTCGCCCGCAAGAGGTCCCACCGACTGTCTCTTCTTCCCCCGAATTCTGTACCACTAGCCATCCGCCCTTACGCCCTCATGCCGCCACCACAACCGCCCCAGGAGGCGACCGACATCTTCTCCATTTCTGACCAGGTTCTTGCCGACAGGCTCCAGTTCATCGAGGAAGTCAGTATCCGTTTGGTAGGTGCCCCCCTGGTGCAGCGCGACTGACCGCGTCCCCTTCGCAGATTGGCTTCGGAAACTGGGGCAGCGTCTGGCTATGTCGCCCAAAGTCGTCGACAGAGCAGCAGCTACACGAGACGAAGATTGCAGTGAAGCTTGTACATCGCTCAAAGACGTCCACAACCGCAGCACGAGTCAGGTCACTGTATGCGCCGTTCTCGCCTCTCGTCGCTTTATACGTGCTCACGCACGAAACGCGTTTACAGATGGAACGAGATGAAAGTCGTCCGCTCACTGAAACACGAACCCCACCCGTCTATCATCCCCTTCTACTCGTTCATCATCACGCCCTCGTATGCCCTTATCACAATGTAAGCCCTCCGCCGCAGTCGCCCTCTTCATGCCCGCGCCCGAAAGCGTGTCTGACCCGCGCTTCCCTTCTCCCAGGGCCTTCCACCCCCGCCTCATCACCGTCGAGGTCTCCGAGCCGCACGCGAAGGAATGGTTCCGCTCTCTCCTGTCTGGGGTCGAGTTCCTGCACAAGCGGGGTGTCGTACACAACGACATCAAGTAGGTCACACTTGCTGCTTATCGCGCTGCAACAAGCGATACTGATGCAGCTAGACCTGCGAATATTCTCCTCTCGCACGAGGACGTGCCGGTTTTCGTTGACTTCGGATTTGCAGAGCGATACGACGTCGACGCACCTGAGGCATTCCACAGCAACCTGTCCTACGGTACTCCTGAGGTTCGTGCATATTGCCACTGTTTACCAATCGTTACTGACAGACCGCCCCTCATTTCATTTGTGATTATATGCGCTTTCTTTTGGCGTGCAATTTGCTTCATACAGTATCTATCCCCAGAACGCGCACGCGGCCTCCCTCACGACACGCGCAAGTCGGACGTGTGGTCACTCGGCGTGACTTTCTTCGAGATCCTCGTCGGGCGCACGCCGTTCGAGCATGCCGAGGGCGAGACATTCGCAACCAAGGACGACCTCGAGAAGTACTGGGCGCGCACGCTCCGCGGCAAGTGGGTCGGCTCGTATAAGATGTCTAAGGGCGTCGAGAAGCTCCTGCGGCGCATGATCCTGCCCAACGCGGACTTGCGCTGCAATGCGACCGACGCGATGAAGGATCCATATTGGACTGCGGCTGCCGAGCCTGCTGTGTCACATCGTACGTGCTGCCTGAAACCCGCGTTATTGGTCGGGCAAAGCTGACGTTTCTGGTGCAGGGAAATCAGCGAGTGTGTCGCACTCGCGCCCGACTTCGCTTGTCCTCGACAAGGATGTGTCGAAGCTGCTTGACGTCCTCCCGCCGTGGTCGCGCGCGAACAAGGAGAAGGAGAAGGAGCGCACAAGGACCGAGAAGACCAGAGACAAGACCAAGTTCGCGACCGTCTCTGGGAAGGAGAACGTGCACGCAGCCACGGACGCGGAGGCAGGGCCTACGCGTCCCGGCCATGCACGCTCGCAGTCGCAGCCCAAGCTTCAGGTCTTCGAAGGTATGCTCATCTTCGTTGCCGCTTGTGCTGCTGAATCCTGCATTGCTAACGAATTCACCCTCAGCACCAGCGACGGCGCGCGGCGTCAACCAGGCAAAGCGTCAGAATGCCGGCCCGAGCGTGTTCTCTGCCTTCTCCCCCGTCAAGCACTCCCCGCCTGCACCCTCGCTCGCCTCCGCAGCAGCGAAGGAGAATGCTGGGCTCCCCGCAACCAAGGCGGCGCGGACGACACGCAAGCCGCTCGGCCCGCGGGCGCCCACGCCGCCCACCTCTCCCATGCACGAGGACGAGCTCAGGCCGCAGGCGTCCAAGGAGAATGCGCACCGCGAGAAGGAGAACACGAAGGACCGGCGCCGCAGCCAGATCCTCCGTGACGTCACAAGCGCGCGGAAGCAGGACGAGAACATGCTTTCTTCGTCTGTGAGCATGAACACTAAGCGCAGCGAGCGCGGCCTGAAGGCGAAGACGTCTGAGATCAAGGAGAGCACGAAGGCGGCGGACACGAGCGGCGGCTCGGTGCGGAACCGCATGAAGGAGTGGGAGCGCGAGCGCGAGCGGCTGAAGGAGATGGAGCGCGTGAAGGAGCGTGTGCGCGAGGTCGAGGAGGAGCGCGAACGTGACCGCGAAGAGCGGGAACGTGAGGAACGGGCGCGCGAGGCGGAGTGGGAGCGCGCCCGGCAAGCAAGCTTCGAGCGACAGAGGGAGCGGTCGCAGACGCAGGAGCGCGAGCGCGAGTTCTTCCTCCCGAAGATCAGCGTCGGCCCGCCGCTGTCGCCCACCGGCAGCGCGATGCCCATGTCGCCGCTCAGCCCGCTGTTCGAGGAGCCGTCGCAGCTCGTCGAGTCGCCTGTGGACCTGTACCCGAGCGCGCACGCGGCCGGGAACGAGTCCGGGATCAGCGTCCTGAAGCAGAGCCTGCGCATGTCGATGAGTGGTGCGGTGCGCCTGTACAAGTCGTCCACGCAGCTGCTCGGGCGGTCGACGCCCGCGCTCACGCTCGGTTCCGACAACGTGGACGACGAAGAGGAGTCGCGCTCCATGAGCTTGAGCGCGCGTGCATCTTGGGAGGACGAGGAGCTCGTCGCGAAGGGTGAGTCCGCTTCCACTTGCCATGACGCTGCTCGCACGCGGCTGTGGCTTACTAGGGGTTGCGACGTGGTAGCTAAATCGTCCCTTCCTACCGTGCGCCATGCAGTGCGTACCGAGCAGCTTGCTGCCGAGAACCGACTCGACCGGATGACGATCTGGATCCAGAACGTTGAGAGTGAGTTGTCCATCTTCATCCGTCCAGCCTGCTGTTGACTGACCGGGTTCGATTTGCAGAGGTCGTCGACGAGGCGCGCCAGAACTTCGCGGCCTCGACGAGCTCGGGACCACTCCCGCCGCTGCCTGTCGCGCCCGTCTCACGCCGCTCATCCTACACCAGCCGCTCTGCACGGGCAAACCGCATGCCACGCAAGATCATGGCCGCGAACCAGATATTCGTGAACGAGTATGAGTCCGGCGTGTTCGACCGCAGCACGCTCTCCGCCTCCGCGTCCCCGCTCCCCAGCCCGTCGTTCCTCAACACCATGAACTTCGCGGAGCACAGCCTGCCGACGATCCCGTCGGAGATGCCGAGCCGCGTCTCGCACGACAATGACGTTGAGCACTCTCGCTCGTACATGGGCGAGGAGCAGCCGGGACGGGCGAGCACAAGTGCGCTTGCGGTGCCGGAGACGCCGTCGCGGAAGCGGAGGGCGACGGTCGTGACGCGCTCGCCAGAGATGAAGCGCAAGACGCCGAGTCTGGAGATCGACACCTCCCCGTCGAAGCGGCGCGAGAAGTCGAAGTCGTACAGCGAGCTCGTCAGGCCCATCACGCCGATCACGAAGCTCGAGTTCGAGCTGGAGCGCTGTACGTACACATATCTTCTCATATTGCTGATGTATGCTGACCACTGCACAGTGGCCCAGCCGACGCCGACACCGCGGTTGTCCACCATGGTCGACAAGAACCTGTTCATCGCGACGTCGCCGGCCCAGAGGGTCACGATCCAGGAGCCGCGCTCCACACCACCTAGGGCGCAGAACGACCTAACGGCTTCGCCGCTCCACGTTGAGCCGTACCCCGCAAGGCCCGCCCAGTCGGGTATCACGATGGACACGCCGGCCAAGCGGCACATCGAGGGCGTTTACGACAGGTGAGCTTACCGCGCATAGATGCATTGGATGATACGATTCTGACTATGTTCTCAGGTTCCTCATGTCGACCACTGGCGTGAAGCGTGCCGGCAAGGGCTACCAGTCGGACAACATCGGGCCTGTCGGGAACGTGGCCCGGCCGCACTCGTCGATGGCGAAGCGCAGCCAGAAGTTCTTCACTGCGACGCGTCGCCCGATGCCGCCCCCAGTATCGAGCGACGACATCCGGCGTGCGTCCTCGTCTGTGGACGAGTTCGGGACCTTCTGCCCGTCAAGCAGCACCCCCGCCGTACCTGTCGGCGAGCACGGCAAGAACACGCTCGCTGGCGGCGTCCGCAAGGCGTTCAAGGCGATCGTGACCGGTAGGCCTGCCGCCGCGCGCGGTGGGAAGCCGGTCTGGGTTTGACACCCATCTCATTTTCCCGTGCCCTGTCATCTCTCCTGGGGTTCATCTCACTTGTGCGTCTGGACTCGTCCTTCGCAATGCTCCGGTGTTTATCCAGATCTCGTCTTCGCTCCATTCGATTCCACTGCATATATAGCTTGGCTTCGTCCCATTCGCATTCCTGCACATCACTTCACACTTCATCTGCATCGTCTGTTGCATTCCCATCCACATTGCCATCCCCGTCCCCATCGCCTTTGTCCCAGCCTACCCGCTCCGCCCATCTTGCTCCGCATCTCCCGTCGTCGCTATCTATGTCTCGTCAGTGCTTTCGCGTTATTCCAGTATCTATCGACGCTCCCCCATTGCACGAACCGCCACGGACCTCACGACTGGTACCTGCCCCTGCTCGCCTTACGCTTACGCTCTGATCACGCTTACGCCCATGTAGTTACCCTTACGCCCCCCCAATACGAAAGCGTTCCGCGGTCTGCGACCACCAAACTAAACATCCTCGGTCACTGAGATTTAAGTTGAACGCGAGAGTGAGTTGGCTGCGCGCTGATAATGATTATAAATGGCAAGAGAGAAGATGCGATAAAAATACAATGGACAACATGCAAGCGAGGACAGAACAGATATACGACGGGTCTAAGCTATGAGGCTTTATGATGGAGGCAGTACGCGATCTCGACGGAGCTGCACGGGCGGTTTGCTACCCTCGCCCTGCTTCAGACGCTTTGCGGCTGCGTCGTCTTCTGGGGCGTCGCCGTCGCGGGCGCGTTTCGCAGCATTGGCAGCACCGGCGTTTGGTGCGGCCCCCGCAGCAGCTACTGCAGCACCGCGGCCACCGCCTGGGGCGGCGCCTCGGATGCTGAGGCCTCGAGCTGGGGGAACGCCGCGGCCGCGTCCTCGGGGTGCGCTTGCACCTCCTGGCCTAGCTGGGAGACCGGCTTTCCCGGGACCAGCGGTAGCGGCGGGGGGAGCAGAGACGGGGGCAGGTGCGGTCGACGTGGATGCAGCGGCAGAGCTTTCTGCTGGGGGCGCAGCGATGGTCGGTGTGGGCGGAGCAGTCGCAGGGGCGGCACCGGGGGCGTTGCCTTCGATCTGCAGGATCTTGGCCTCGAGCTCCTTGACCTTCGCTTGCGCTCTGACGAGCTGCTGGTCCTTGAGCTTGGAGCGTGCGGCGGCCTCTTTGCGGCCCCGCTCGACGGCATCGGCGATCTCCTTGGAATGGGTCTCCTCGAGCTCCTTCTTGTGCGCTGCGATGGCGGCGTCGATCGCTGACTGTGCGTCTGCAGGGACGGCCGCGGCGCCTGCCGTCTTCACAGCGGCTTCGACGGCTGCCTTGAGCTCCTCTTCGTGCTTCTTGACGAGGCGCTCCTCCAACGCGCGCAGCTCTTCCGCATGCTTAGCGATGATGTCCGCGGAGGCTGCAGATGAGGTAGAGGCACTCAGTTCTGTGCGCAGCTTCTCGACCGCTTCAGCCACGGCGGCACGTTGTGCCTGTGCCGCACGCTCGTTATCTGCCATGCGGGCCTTGGAAAGACCTGCGATGCGCTCTTGGTACTTCTCCTGTGAAGAGATGAGTAAGGCGCTGACCAGCATGTCAAGGGTACTACGTACCCCAGCGAGGCGAATGTTGCTGATCTCTTCGTTTGCCTTAGCTACCTCCGCCTTCAGAGCCTATAGGAATCGTTAGAAAGAGATTCTGATATTAAACGAAATGGAGGTGGACAAACCTCAGCACGGGCGGCCGCATCCTCACGGGCCTGCACGAGCGCCGCTTTCTCTGCCTCCCACTGGCTCTGAGCGGCAGCGACATCGGCAGGGATTTCTCCCGCTTCTGCAGACCCCTCAGCCTTCTCGGAAAGGAGACGATCTCGCTCTGCACGCAGTTGCTCCTGCACCCAAAGTTAGATTGAGGATTATGGCATTTCGGAGCGACTTACCAGTTCGCCGACTTGCGAAGATACAACTAGATGAGCTGCCTTCTCCTGAGCAAGTAGGTGTTCGAGGTTCGCCTTCTCCGTGCGAAGCGCCTCCAACTCCTTGGCTAGCTCGGGGTCGACTGGGGCGCCGCTTGCAGCAGCCTCTTCGGAATGCGCATTGGCTTCGTCAAGCTCCTGGGTCAGAGATTCTACCCGTGCTTGTAGCTCCGTCGTAAGAGCGTTAAGTCGCTGGATCTCAGCGCCTTCGCGCTCAAAGCGGGTCTTGGCCTTCTGGTTGTTTTCTTTGTTCAGTGTCTTGAGCTTCACATGAGCCTCCTCAAGCACGTGGATCTAACCATAACGTGAGCATCGAATCAACACACAAATGTGCAACTTGACACATACCCTTTGCTCGTGAGCTGCAATCTCCCCTTTCTGAGACTCGATTGTCGCCAACAACTCAGCATTCTTGGCCTGCAGCTGGGTGATTTCGTCCTTGAGGGATTGCATCTCGGCAGGATCGATGCGGTCGTACTAGCCAAGACCTTGCGTGAGATCAAGCGAGGAGCTAATGGATTGTCCGACCTTACCTTCGTCAGAAGTTGTGTGTTGCGTTCTTGCCAGCGCCGGCTCTCGTTCTCAAGAAGCTTGATCTGTTGCTCCTTCGCTTCAATCTCGGCTTGCGCAACACGGAGCTGCTCCTTCGTAGGCTCCAGCTCGGACGATACTTGACGAAGTTCAACCTCGAGCTGGCGGGCGCGCTTCGCGTACGAGTCGCAGTCGCTGCGGAGAGTAGCATTGCTCTCCCGAAGGATCGACACTTGGTTGATCTTCTCCGCAAGCTGGCTGTGCTGAGCGTCAGACGCAGCGGATTGGACAGCACGTTCCCGCTCCTAGACAAATTGTGAATCCCTGACCAAAAGGTCAGATAACGTGACATACCTCTGAGAGAGCTCTGCGGGATTCGTCAAGGTTCTGCGACAGGTGGTCGATTTGAGTCTTCAGACGCGTGTTCTCCTGCTTGCTGAGCTCGAGCTGAAGTTCGATGATCTCCTTCTCTTTCCGCAGATAGGTTACCAAAGACCGAAGTTCCGTGAGCTTGGTGTCTGCGTCGTCGGAAGCCTCAGGTTCGCCAGAGTCGTCGGTAGACGAAGTTGCAGCTTGCTTGATACGCGCTGCATGAGTGCTGACGGTTTCAAGGTGCTGGTGCAGAAGACCATTCTGATCACTGAGGTCCTTACACCTGGGAAAGGTGAGATGCGACTTGATGTGGAAGCATGCCTTGCACGTACCTGGCTTTGAGATCAGCGATCTCCTTGTCGAGTGCTTCCCGCTGTTGTTGCCAACTCGCTTCTGAGGTTGCGAGTTTGGCCTGGGCGGTCTCAGCCGCAGCGCGACCCTCCCTAGCAGCGGCTTGAGACGTCGACAGCTGCTTCTTCAGGTCCTCGACACTCTTGATCGACTCCGCGTGCGACAGGACCTCTCTTGAGTAGCGCTCCTCCGCGGCCTATTCTTGTAATCAGCACGATGCGAGTCACTCAATGGTCGCACATACCTTGGCGCGCTCTTCCTGCTGGTGGATCTCGACTTCCCAAGTAGAACGATCGGTCTGTATGTGCTGCGCAGAAGTGCTTATGTCCACAATCGTGTCCTCGAGAGTCCTCTTGTCATCGGCCCATGCGAGACGCTCGGTGTCGAACTTCTGCTGAAGCTCGGTGTTTGCCTGAGTGACCTGGGCAAGGCGCTCCTCAGCCGCACCGAGTTTCTCTTGAAGAGCCTCAACCTCGGACTGAAGGGAGTTAGACCTCGACTGAATACCGGGCGAGTGTGCGGTGGCGAGGCTTACCTGGCGTCTCGTGAGTTCGGCCTCGGTTGCAGCCCGATACTCGTCGTGGGTGGCGTTGAGGTTGGCCAGCGCAGCTTCGTTAGCCTCACTGATCTCCCGGAACTGCTGCACGTGACTCCTCGCGGAGGAAAGGTCGACCTCAGCAACCTTCAGGGCAGACCTGAAGAACGGCTGTTTAGCATGTGCTGGTACGTAATCCGCTAAACGACATACCGCAACTCCGCTACCTCGGCTTCGAGCTGTTGCTCACGCGACAAATCATCGTCGGTGCGGGGTGCGATTCCGTTGACACCGCTGGCTCTCCGCTCGTAAACGGCGAGCTTCTCCTCGTTCCCTTGGAGCTGCCTCGTGAACTGCTCAACGCGGTCTTCGAGGTGTTTCTTGCTGGTCTCAGCAGCGATGAGCGATTCACGCGTCTTGCTAAGGTCCTGAGACTGTAGGGATGTAAGAGGCGTCGTTCGGGTTAGGGAATGAATCAACGTACAGCCTTGTCCAGCTTGTTCTGGAGCTCTTTCAGGTCGAGTTCCCGCTGCAAGGTGATACGGCGCACAGACTCCCGTTCTTGAGTAAGCTGAGTGCGCAAGTCTTGGCTGCAGATCACCGTCAGTCCCCGATGTCGTGACGCTTGTAGAAAGCGTGAACTCGTACTTTTGGTCATCGAGCAGCTTGATCTGGCTGTCCATGCGGCGACGATCGTTCTCGCCTGAACGCTCAAGATCGTTGTGCATCCGCTGGACGTTGGCCATCAGGTCGGCAAGGTGGGAACGCTCAGTGGCTAGGGTCTTATTCTCTTCCACAAGGCGGCCTTGTACGCTCTGTGTAAACGACGATGGAGATCAGCGAACACGACACTATCACTATGGCAAGGCAAGACTAACCTCCCAGATCTTCTTCTCTGCGCGCAAGTTGGCGCACTCGTTGCGGAATTGCTCCAAGACACTATTGCTCGCGATGAGGTCTTCAGACATGCGGTTGCACTCAATGTCGATGCGCGTGTACTGGTCGTAGAGGTGCTGGTTCCGCTTCTGCAAATCTTCGCTCTCCCGCCTCTGGATGATGATCTGTTCCTGAACCATACGTTGACGCTCTGGAAGGGATGTAAGCACGATGAACTTTGTACTCATTATATATGTAAGCAACTCACCTGTGAGGACCTCAATCTGAGCATTGGCCTTCGCGAGTGCAGTCCCCAGCCGCGTAGCCTCTCGTTGTGCTGCAAGAGCCTCATCGCGTAGGCGAGTCGAGTCGATACCCATTTCAGTGCGATAGGTCTCGAATTGCTTCTGCATCTCCTCGAGCTCCTTCGACGCATCAGAAGAACCCTCAGCAGACTGCAATTGCAAAGCACCGTTGACTTGACCATTGGTGATGCGTGCCACGGCGCCGCCAGACTGCTGCTGCCTCGAAAGCAAGCTGCGCAGGGTGTCCCGCTCCTTCGCGTAGGACTGGATGGTCACCTCGCTGCTGCGCTTGTGGCTCTCGAGCTGTTCCTGGAGTTGCTTGATCGCCTCGTGCGCCTCGCGGACGGCCTCGCCCTGCTCGCGCTCCAACGCATCCTTGTACTCCTTCTCCTCCGACTCTAGCTTCGAGCCGAGTTCGCGGACGATCTTCAGCAGCTTCTGGTTCTGCTCCTGGAGCTGGGGTATTGAGCGGAAGAGAACAAGGTTGTTGGTGATCACGGCCTCGATGTTCTCGGCCGGACGCGTCGCCTGGTCGTGTTCCAGTTCTTCGTCAGATGGTATTGAGGGGTCTTGGTGGCGACCGAGTTCCTTGAGGAGTGTCCGAAGCTGACGACCAAGGTCCTGAAGTTGCTTCTCCAGGAGCTCGTTCTCCCGCGTGCTCTTCGAAAGCTTCTGAGCGTTCTCTTCGGCTGTCGTGGCGAGAGAGTCGCGTTCGGAGAGTGCCTGCGCAAGCTGAGAAGCCAACTGTGAAGCTTCTGACTGCAGCCGCTCGTACTCGGAACGTTGCTGAGAGAGGATTGGTGCCTGCAAACAATGTTCGATTCAATGTAACACTTTCAAGGCTTGTCGTACATACCCTCTCTTCAATCTGAGCAAGTACAGCAGACAGAGTCCGATCCATGTGATCGTACTCTGCGCACTTTCGGGTGAAGTCTTCTTGGAGCTTGATGTAATCCGAGTATACCTCCGTGAACGACTTGCCGCCTCTCTGAGCACGGCTGGCCATGGCCACGGTGGGACTGAGTCCAAGCATGCCTTGCGTAAGGATATCCGAGGGAGTCCCTCCGTTGCGCACGGGAGTGGATAGCCCGCGCGCAGGGGTTGCAGGACCCCCAGGGGAAGCGAAGGACGGGATAGGGAACTCCCCACGGTCTAGCCTGTCCAGTACCGCTTGGAGCTCCTCAACCCTCTTCTCTGCATCCTCCGCCCGTTGCCTCTGGTTCTCGATCTCCTCTCGCAACACGGCCTCCCGCCTCTCTGCCTTGTCACCGATGCCGGCAAAGTCGTTCTCGAGACCGTCCACGATCTCCTTCGTCTGCTTCTCGCGTTCCTCCATCATCTGGATAAGGCGACGGAGGCCTGCCGCTTCGCTGGAGTACGTCGCTTCCTGTTCGGCCAGTTGGCCCTTGAGGTCTTGGACGCGGGTCAAGGCTTGCGTGAGTTGGTGAGACTGGGCCGTGTGTGCCGACTGAAGAGCTTTCAGCGTGCTCTCAGTAGACGCATGATTCTGAGCGAGGGAATCATGAGCAGCCTGGAGTTGTGCGAGCTCCGCATGCTTCGTGCGACGGTATTTGGCGAATTCCTCGGTCTTGGTGGCGAGCTCGGCGGCGGTGCGCTCTGCCTCGCCTCGCGCAAGTTCCAGTTGTTGAGTCAGAGAGTCGAGTTTAAACTGAAGATATGTTAATCAGGTGAGACGCGTGCAAGAAACAGTGAGCGTACCTTCGTGGATGCTTCTGAAGAACTAAGCTCCCGAACCTTACGTTCGAGGCCCTGCTGGTCTTGACGTGCCTGCTTGAGGTCTGCACGAAGCGTCTGGATCTCGGCTAGACAAACACAACATTAACTGGGTTCCGTACGCAAGCCAGACCAGACTCACTGTCGCGCTGCGCCGCATCCTCCTGCAGCCTACTGACGACACCCATCAGGTCGCGCTTCTCGCGTTCTGTCTCCTCGACGCGTTGTTTCAAGGTCACAACCTCAGCAGAAGACGACGTCTGAGTATTTGACACGGCATCGAGTCGTTCTTGCAGCCTAGCACGTTCCGCGGCTATGGGCACGCGGCAGAATTAGAACCCCCTGAGGGAATGCGCATTGTCACCACACACCTAGAGAGTCCCTCTCTTCCTTAACCTGAGCAAGTTCCTTCTGCAAAGTCTCCGCGCTCGATTCCAGCTCTGAGGTCGCGGTCTCGCGATCCTGCAGCGCCTGGTCCAATTCCACATCCTTGCGCTGAATGTCCGCACGCGCCTCCTCGAGCTCCCTTTGGGCACTTTCTGAGTCTGTGGCATGAGAAAGAAGCACTCTGTACAGTAGCACAAGCGACTCTGGAGAGGGGGTAGAGAGGTTCACGTCGGGGAGCAAGCTAGACAAGTGGTCGAGGTCGATGTCCTCGGGAATGTTGACAGAAAGGGTGGTGGGAGGTGCTGGAGAGTTCTCCCGCGTCGCAGACTCGACGACCGCCGCGGCTGCGGCCTTGCTTTTTCTGCGAGTTTTCATCATGACGGGTCGTGGACCCGGTGAGGGAGGGGAAGGTGGTGGTTAATGACGCGCCACCGAGCATTGTGCTCGGAGGCGTTGCTTGTCTGTATTTGGCAACGGCCTCTGGATTCAACAGACGCAAACAAGACCGCGTAGTGCCTCCCGTCACGTGCGGAACAGTGCTAGAACAAGTCCGCGTCGCGACCACCGTCTCCAGCTCATCCGTGTCGAACACCCACTCCGTTCGCGTCCACCTGTCTCTCCTTTTTACCGTCCTAGTGTCTATCTGAGTGGCCATGTCGTTCTTCAACTCCATCGGGTGAGCGCGCTCCGCCTGCATTTTGGTTGCATCGATGCTCATCGCTGGTCGCGAAGGCGGTCTATGCAACGCGCTCCTCGTCCACCGAGACGGTCGACTACGCCAACATCGGCGACCTTCCCGTCCACGGACTCTCTTCCCCCAACTACCCCGACAGGCACTACTACCCCAAAGCCGCTGTACCTGTGCAGTCCCTTCGTCGAAGCAGCCCTCGTGAAGGGCAACTTCAAAACCATCGTCATGCTTCCGAAGTATGCGGATGTTATGGAATGGGTTGCGGTCAACAGTGCGTCGTTTTCCTGGCCGTTCCATGTCCTAGGGATGCTCATAGACGTGATGCGTATCTCTCTCAGTCTTCGACTTCTACACAAACCTTAACCAATTCTATGGTGTCCTCGCTGAGTGCTGCACGCAACAGTCATGCCCAGCCATGGCTGCTGGCCCCAAGTACGCCTGCATTACCCCTTGCGCGCGTTCGCAGTCGTTTACCATTACTCCACAGTCTCAACTACACGTGGATCAATCAAGATCGGAAGAGCGTGCAACTGCCCGCGCCGACTTACGTCGACTACGTGATGACTTGGGTGCAAAATCTGCTTGACGACGAGAACGTGTTCCCGACAAAGTCTGGTGCGTGCCTCCGTCCGTCTGCCAGTATGTAAACACCTAACCATCGCACGTCTTCGATAGGTAAGGAATTCTCGCCGAACTTCCCTTCCACCGTCAAGCACGTGTACCGTCAACTCCTCCGGGTCTTCGCGCATATCTACCACGCGCACTACCAGCAGATCCTGCATCTGCGCAGCGAGGGCCACTTCAACTCTCTCTTCGCGCATTTCCTGGCCTTCGGCAAGGAGTATGAACTGCTCGAGGTGAAGGATATCAAAGGGCAGCCAGGCGTGCCAGTAGGGATCGGGGCTCTGTGGGAGAAGTGGAAAGAGATGGGCATCCTCGAGTCCTGAATTGGGGTGTGAGTTTTGTGAGGACATGGGTGGCAGGCGGAAGGGCGCAATGGGATCGGAGACGGCCGGTTCGTCATATACCACACGCAATGTTGTCTCAGACTGCTCTGGGCCTGTAACATACATACATTCTCACGGTCGACTGGACCTCTCGTTATAAGTAGATGCGACTACATATGCAAGGAGAGGGGAGAATCATCGAAGCACTCCGTTTGGGCCTAGTTGTATTCGGTGTAGATGCGTGTGAGACCCTGCCCAGAGGTGTGTCTGCTGGTTATCTGGAACGAATTCTAGAGCGCAGATGGGACGAGGGTATCTGCTCTTGAGGGGGTTAGATCCTGGGGATATTGGTCCAGTCGCGATATCGTCGTGCAAGGGATCGCCGGTGCGGAGAGACCAGGCACGGAGACGCGAATCTCCGCCACCCGCGAACAGGAAGTCTTCCTCCGAATCGATTGCAATGCCCTATAAAAGAAGGTCGTGAGCGTGCAGCCAACAAAGAAGATCGGCTTTGCTACTCACCAATCGGTGCTGGTAGCTCGAGACGTGACCGTCAAATTGTATCAGTGGCGTTGTGTCTCGCAGAAAACGAAGGTCATGAACCTCCAGCTGTGTTTAGTAATACTTGTAAGTAACCAGCAAGTGAAGTGATGATTTTACAGGCTCACTGACATCTCCGCGCATCGTCTCAACGAGTAAGCCATGTTGGTGGACCAGACGCAGATGCTGTACTGGTGCGCCACCCGTACGGTCCGCCTTGCTAGACATATTGACGACCGTGTCTGAAGCGGCACCTGGCTGCCGCAAGTCCCATCGTTCAACGACCCCGTTACGCATGCCTATATACATCAAGTTCTGCGCTAAGTCAGATAACCTGCACGGTTGTGTCCGTTCACCGACGTACCTGATTCTGCAGTCGCACTGAGAAGACATCACTCTCGCAGTGCAAACGGACATATTGGTCGCGTTCGGCGTCGACAAAACAGACTGCGCCCCGTCTGCCGCCTAGTCAAGTATGAGCTACATAGCACTCGTGGAAATCGGGTGTACTCACCTACGACGATTGTGCGGTTGTAAACATGCCCACACCAGGCATCGTTACACAGGTTGGTGGGGAACTCGCGCAGTAACCACAGACTACAATCTTGTCAGTCAAGAGTCGGTTTACAAGCAGCGAGCCTATTACGTACCCAACGGTTTGTGCACGAGTTACAAGTGCGCGTGCTGGTGAACCTAGAGAAGTTACGCTGCGAGGAAGGTCAGCCAGAGAGACGTAGGGGTAACCCGTGTGGGCCATACAGTGTTGTAGGCCCCGAGCTGGTGATCGAAGTAACCTGCGAATGAAGACATAAACAGCCATTGCTGAGGATCTTGGCGTTGTCAACATACCTGCGTCCCCAGGTAGAATTCACGCCATCTATGATCGGGTTCTTTGGAATTCATGGTATAGAGCCACCCAGAGCCACCACCAATCCACATGTTACTGTCGCCGGATTCATCCTATACATGCTCCAGTCAGCATATGCAGCTTTTCAATGCTCATTTAACATACCACCCTCGTGCATAGAGCCGACACTGTTTCCCCAACGTCAAGCGGAAAACGCCCATTGTTGTCTAATAGTTCGGATTCAGCGGAGCGTGCCGATATACTCGCGCTCTGTAGTCCGCTATTTTATCGCTTAATTAATGTTTGTCTGTGGTTGAATGCTCATGAACACTTACTGTATGCATCGTCTAAGACGTCCGCCGGACGATGCTTCTCTGAAGGCGTTCAAATTCCGCCAGGTGGCGGCGCTCTTTGAGGAGTATGCGAGGCCTTCATCCTCGCAAGGAGGATTTTCCTGCTCATCCCTAGCTAGCTTTCGCCTTTTCCGCGACTGTGCGGATTGAGCCGAGGGCGGTGCTGCCAGAGAAGTTGAAGGTGCGACTGGAGGTGTAGACGAAACAAGAGCTCCCGCTGGCCTGGACGAAAGAGGAAAGTATCGGTTCTTCTCCTCGTCCCAATACATTCCAGGGAGTTCTCTAGGCATGTTGCGATACGTTTATGTGGCTCCTGTAAGAAACAGAGTTGTATGGCCTGGTTGCTGGGGGAGACAGTTCTCATCGTACAGGCGCTCAAAATGGACGGCCGCCATCATGCCCAAATACGACTAAACAGGCCGTCCCTGGTCGTGACCGAGGCAGACGCATCTCCTTCAACACTCCCTTCATCGACTAATCTCTTCTCATTGCCCGCATCTGCTCGTCTTTCTGGATTGTGATGCTCCAAGAGAACCGGCCAATCTCGATGTGGTCACAGTGCAATCCTCATCAGCATATTGCAACCATCTCAGTTTTCACTAGCAAGAGTTGGTCTGATTTGGTGCCAGGCCCAGTTTGCGCAGTCAGATGTCTCTTTCGAAGGGATGATCACTGTCAGTGGCTTTGGTGGGCGATGACACGCTTACTATAGCGCTACGTCAGGATTGACGGTGAGTCTCCAAATCACTCTCACCATCCAGCGCATGGGAACGGCATCTCACTGCGCTTCTAGCGTATGATTGATGTTTAAAGTTCGAACCCCGGGGCTGCAGATAGCCCCGGTGGAAGCAGATATATGGCCATATAGACGCTGTTTCCAGTGCCCTCCTATCGCCGAAAGACTCACCACGCTGCTTCGACGGCGACTATGATGCTATTTACCCCTTGCGGACGAGTGGATAATCCCCCCATGGGCACCTCGTGATCGTCGTATGCCGCAGTCAGTGAGCGCATGCAGTTGAGTCAACAATGTGTATATCGAATTTCTCATATCGGCGTGGCGCATCGCACTAGATGTTACGACTGTGTCAGTGCCTCCGGTCTGCACGCAACGTTTATCAAGAGTTGGTTCAAATGGCCGCGACCCACGCCCGATTGCTGGCCTTCTCGCCTCCTCGGAGCCGCTGTCAAGTAAACTCGCGGATGGCGACTCGGAGATGGAGAGTCGTGTCAGTGCGAGTCTCTTTCCGAACGCGTCAGGGGGTGCGTGTCCAGGTCCTCCCGTGCTCCGCACAGTCCCTGCCTCGTGGACGGCGCTAGGATGGCAGGCGCTAATATTGCTGGCATCGCCATCCCGTCTTCTCTCGCAACGGATCCCACAGACTGGATTCTGTGCCTGATTGAGCGTCGTGCAACTGCATGCCATCTGTACCCTAGGCGTCAATAGCGCAGCTGATGATGATGGACGTTGACCGTATGGCAGGCGCGCAAAGTGCCTTGCTAAGTCCGCACCCCACAGCGCAGTTCGATATAATGCCGTTCATATACTCCTAATAGGTGCCGATTTGGAGCCGATTATCAGCTGAGGTGCTGGTAGAGGAAGGTGGGGATCTACAATGCGTATCGCGCTCGCGCCTTTGCTCTCTTCTAATGCTGAACCTTCGTTATAAACGCGCAGGCGACCAACAGCTGGCCCCCTTGAGAGGCAATACCAATGCCGCTCTCCAACGTAGCCCGTACCTCCCCGGTCTGCGAGATCACCATTATTCGCGCTGTGGCCCTGATAAACACATGGTGCGCCTTCAATTAGGCTTCCGGCAGCCTTCCTCGTCCTGATACACGGTCGCTGTCGTCGCGGGGCTAGGTACTGTGCATGCCATACTGTAGGAGACGTGACATCACTTCCCGGCGTCCTGCATGACAAACCTTATGCAGGGCGTCCGATTCACGATCGTCAAACCCCACTGGAGGGCTCAGCAGGTATGATAAGAGCAAGCTGACGGCCGATGGGGCATGCCAACTCACCCCGACATGACCGAACTGTCCTTCCCCAGTCTCACGTTGCTCGCCCTCGGACTCACCTACCTGCTCGTCGCCCGGTATATCCGGTCGGTCTTGAGCTGGAAGGCCAGGTCGCGGGGACGGCCACTCCCACCAGGCCCCACACCACTGCCCATTGTGGGCAACATCTTTTCCGCACCAAAGACGAAGGCTTGGGAGGCTTACCGCGATATGTCCCAAACGTATGGTGAATATCTCCCGTTGTTCATCCGCATCCCGCGACGATAGTGGCTAACGCCGTCGGCCAGGCGACATCATATCCCTCCAAATGCTCGGCCAACGGGTCATGATACTTGGGTCTGCCAAGGCAGCCCTGGAGCTCCTCGAGAAGCGGTCCGGAAACTACTCGGATCGACCGGTGTCACCTATGATTGAATTGTACGCCCCCTTGCTCGTCTCCGTGCTCGGGACCCTAATCGCGTATGTGTCGCCGCAGGATTGGGTGGGAATGGGACTTTGGGTTCATGCCATACGGACAGCCGTGGAGGCGACACCGCCGTCTCTTCTGGCAGCACTTCCATCCAGGGGTCGTCTCCAAATACCACGCCGTGCAGCGGGAGGCGTCCGCGAAGTTCCTCGAGAACCTGCTCGCGAGCCCGGAGCAGCTAGAAGACCACATCCGGTAGTACGTGCCACAGCCATCGGCGCAGAGATCCATCCGCTTACTGCGACGTTATTTTCGGACGTTTAGCGCGTTCGCATCGAGTGTGCTGAAGGCTGTTTACGGCATCGAGGTAGCCGAGCGAGGCGACAAGATAGTGGACACAGTCGAAACAGCGATGGAAGGAGTCGCCGCGGGCATGACCCCGGGGTCCTTCCTCGTCGAATACCTGCCATTCTTGCGCTACGTCCCTGAATGGGTCCCTGGTGCTGGTTTTCAGAAGCGGCTGAAGAGGTGGCGAGATGCGTCCCACACCATGGTTGACCTGCCGTTCGAAGAGGCCAAAGAAGCGATGGTGAGTGAGCTCAATTGCCAACCAGATCATTCAATCGTGTGAACATGTTACACGTCGCGAGTAGAAGCACAACGATCCTCGATCCTCGGTCGTTGGCACAATCCTGTCCTCTGCTACCCCCGGAGTCGATGAAGAGCTGGCGAAGAACGTCGCTGCGATAGCTTATGCAGGTATGCTGCTAATCCTCACACTCCTTGATCGGGTCGCTCATCTTCGGCACCTTCGCCGGTCCCAGGTGGTGCGGACACAGTACGTTCGGGCTGCTGTTTTTCATTGCATCCGACATGCCGCTAATGAACTCACCAGACCATCTCGACCTTCCAAACCTTCTTCCTCGCGATGTCACTCCATCCCAAGGTACAGGAGAGAGCACGCGCAGAGCTCGCGGCGGCCGTCGGAGCCGACCGTCTTCCCGACCTGTCCGATCGCGACGCCCTCCCGTTCATCGACGCGATCATCAAAGAGTGCATTCGGTGGCAAAACGCAGCACCCATCGGCCTCCCGCACGCAGTGGTAGAGGACGACGAATACGATGGCTACTTCATCCCCGCAGGCACAGTGACGTTCCCCAACGCATGGTATGTCCATACACCCCCTCTTGGCCCCCTAACATACTTACATCTCGGGTGCATTGCAATTTGCCAGGGCGATCCTCCATAACGTAGAGGAGTATCCCGATCCAGACAGCTTCCTCCCCGAACGGTTCCTCAAGGACGGCCGACTGAATCCAGACGTCAGGGATCCCGCGACGGTTGCGTTTGGCTTCGGCAGAAGGTGCGCGTGCCTACCCTTTCTGGTACTGTGCGGGTGCAGTGGCATACACACGTTCTCACGCGGTCTTCCCTCTTGGCGCAGGATATGCCCCGGACGGTACTTCGCGGACGCGGCGCTGTTCCTCAACATCGCGCGCGTGCTGCACGTCTTCGACATCAGCGCCCCGCTTGACGTCGCCGGACAGCCCATCCGCATTCAGCCGAAGATGAAGGACGGGTTCCTCTCGTGAGTGCCTCGTGTCTGCGGCAGCCTGGCCCGACACCGCTGACCGGGTCGTGGTATTATTATAGCTATCCTGAGGACTGCCGATGCTCCATCAAGCCGCTTTCCGCACGTGCGGAGGCTCTGATTCTGACCTCGCCTGCGAATGACGTCCCGTTCGAAACTTAGTCGCGCCGGAATTTGTTTGATGAGGCGACTCATTTCCTCCGCATAACTGCAAATGTGGCTATAGGACACCCTTTCGGTGTTCCGCGACGCGATGTCGCTACGAGTAACACCACGCACAGTCCATGCCAAGTTGAACCGCAGACACGATGATAGCTGTTAGATCTTGCATGGCCTCCACGAATCCTTGCAGTGGGACATTGTAATGTTACGTTCACGGGTCAGCGGTACGCAAATGCTATAGTAGGTGTAGGCCATCCTTTACCGTAGACAACCCACCCCATTTGCCGCCGTGCCCACATCGACCTCAACCAACGTTCGGCAGGAGCACTAAACTTGCCCATCAGAGCTGCCATCTGCATCTGCTGCATCACTTCTTGATGCAGGCAACGCATCCATTGCTCGTCCGAACAAGGCTCCCAGTGCTCAGCGCTCAGCCTTCATACGAGAGACGCAAGCTTAAGTGTGAGTTACATCATTTCTCACCTAATGTACATCAAACCTTCGGGTCTACGAAGTCAATATTGAGCCAGCAGACGCCCTTTCAGGACTTATAACGGATCTCGCAGCTCACATCCGGGACGGTCTGCCCCCCATCTCAGGCTTTCGGGACGCCATGCGGACAACATCGATATCGCTGCTGTCACACTCAAAGAGAGACGAGTTCCCCTACTGCACAATCGACAGCGTCCGTTCAATCATATGCTATACCAGTACAACACATACAACCTCTACGAATTCGACTACAGCGGCCAGTACTCTGCCCGGCGAGCCACTACCCACGGACGGATCGCTATCTGACACTACCCCCACGGCTTCCAGTACATCTTCCTCCTCCGTACTTCCGGGAATTACGTCCCCGCCCCTTTCCTCTAGTACCCAAAAGTACGTTTCCAACACATCCGATATTCCGTAAGCTTCCGCAAACTCATTCTAAGTATCACCATCCAGTAGTGGTCAGTCATCTTCGCAACCACCAAGCCTCCCTAACGCTTCCTCTCGCCGTCCGCCAACTTCCCCAGCCATCTCAGGCGGCATTGCTACTGCGGTAGCAATAACCACCCTTGCCGCCGTTCTGCTCTGCTTCTGGCTGCGACGACGACGAACTACCCGCGCACGCGCGCTGCTCGCGACGCAGAACGGCCAGAGCATCCCCGACATGACAACACACGACCAGACCCCCTCCGTATCTATCCTACCCTCGGCCGCGCGGGTTGCCCCCAAGTACCGGGCGGACAACGGCGTACCAGACTCGAACCCCACGCGCACGCATTCTCTTGCCGCGTCCGGCAGCTCGCGCGGCGCACTCTACGGCAGCGGGACGAGTCTCGATCCTTCGCCCTCGTCGCGCCCGCCCTCCTTTCAGGTTCATGCCAGTGGCAGGGACTGCGAGCGTCTCGGACCTGAGGCGCGTCCGCGCCCCCTCCCGCCAGTCCCCGCACCCCCTTCGACTGAGCACCCACCGGACCGCTCAGAGCCTGAGGGAGTGGAGGCGGCCTTTGCGATGGCTCCATCCGAGCTGGTGACGGAGGACGTGCATGGCGAGCGCCTCCTCCATTTTGCGCTCCCATGGCGCCTTGGGCAACGTATGTTGGCGATGATGGCGGGTGAAGACGTGCACTCGCAGGTGGATAGCGACGGCTCGGAGCCGCTGCCTGCGTACGAGCCGCGCAGATACTAGAGCCGCGATCCAATCCCATGCCGTTTGAATTTTTGCTGATGGGTGGCCCCTCGGATAACCTTCCTTCGCAAAATGAGAGATGCACCTCCGGAGGCTCCTTCTCTGTCTGGTATGGTAAGACCCTTTCAGGGACACCCGGGTAGTAGTCGTTGAGTTCATATGCTGACTGTCAAACCTGCACTTTCTCGGCCAAGTTGCTTTATGATTCTTTTGAGAGTAGCAGATGATACGTAGGTCACAACGAGACTGTTTGAATAGAACTTGTAGTGATAGGGGAGCTACTAGCGACGCGTTGTGTATACCCCGTGAAACCGCGACGACCGTCGGAGCAGTTTCGGAATATCGGGCCGATGTCCTCCTCCTCGAGTGCGTCATCCAGGCCAAGTCTAAGCGAGGCTGTGGGCGCCAGGCCACTAGCTCCGGGCCTTTTACCAACTTATCAAGAACAATCAAGAACACGACTGACGCGGCGCTGAATACCAGCAGTACATCGGCAATAGCTGCTGTACGCCCTACGTCGATCGACACACAGCAAGCCTCAACCCAAAAGAGAAGATAAGAACGTTGTATGATGCAATCGTCAACAGTACAAATACAATACAGACAGTTACAAGGCAGGTCATCGTAGGTCGTGTCGTGCAAACAACAGCAGGTCCTCAGATATCGACATCACGCGCGGCCGTCCGGAACACGAACGGACCCAAGCAAGGCCATCCGAACGGGGCCGCATCGGCAGCCACAAACTACTCCGGTATCGCACCCACGGAGCCCGGGAGGGCTCGCGCGACCGCACGACGCCCGCCGAACACACACGCGCATCCAGGCGGGACGCGTGCACGCCCTTACGCGGGCTCCGGCGTACTCCGCTTCTCGTCCACGATCTGGAGACTCGTCGGGCGCGAGCCCGTGTTGGAGCTGGGGTGGGACTCGTCGTTCTCGGCGAGGTCGCCGCGTCCGCCGCCCTCCTCGAACGCGGTCTTGCTTTTCTCGAAGTGAGAGCCGTAGTTTCTGTGGTGCGGAGATAGACTCATCAGACAACATTCCAACCGATGCGGATAAGGGGGGCACAACGTACTCAGGGCCGATGATGGTGATGATGAGGACGAACGCAGCGACGACACCGATGAGGATGCCCTGCACTGTCGCGTAGTCTGAGACGACCTTCGGCTGGCCGTTCTTGTCGATGACGGTCGTATGCAGGTTCGCGGCTCCCGCTGATAGCACACATGGGTAAGTGATCTGCAACACACCGATGCGCATACGAAAATAACTCACTGGCTTCGATTTGAGCAGAAGCAGAAGAGACCATCTGAAATGGACGCGTCATGGATCAGCAACTGCATACGCGGATAAGCAGCAAAATGAGGGCACTCACGTTACCGATCTGGTAAGCAACACCAGGGAAGGTGGCACGGAAGGCGGGAGGAGAGATCTCCGCAAGCTGGATGGGGATCTGCACGTAATGCAATCAGCACCTCTCACACTGAAGGGCGGAGATTATGGCTCACCACTCCCCACGCGCCTTGCACGCCGAACTGGATGCAGAACGCGCCGGCCGCAAGAGCGCCGAAGCTCGACGGCAGGATCCACAGTGGGATGAACGCTACCGAAAGGGTGAGTATATGCGCTCTTCTGCCGAGGAGCCGGTACACACCTCCAATGAGCAGCACGAAGATGCTGAATTCGGGCCACCGACGTCAGCGAACAGTCAAAAAAGTGGCTGACAATATCACGCACATGATGGTGAGACGACGACCGATGTACTGGCTGAGCCATCCAGCAATGGCGCCTCCACTGTTTCGGTAAGTCAGCCTGTGTACATTCCCCGGTCAAGCTATGGCGAACTCACGCGATGGCGCCCTGAACGATGCAGAAATGATTAGCCGCGCGCACGGGCCGTAGGCAAACTCTGGATACTCACACAGTTGCCAATAATAGTCGCGACGGTAGCGTTGTGGTCAGTGAAAAGCTTCGCCTGCGTCAGGTACGTCGGGTACAGGTCCTGCGAGCCATGGGACAGGAAGTTGAAGCCTGCGTTATCACGACCCTGAAATCAGATCCAGCCCACACGCCAAGGTCAATAGTACGTACCAGTCATGAGAAGGATAGCGTAAATGCACAGAAGCCAGTGGGTCTTAAGCATCTGCCCGGTCTCGTGCAGGAAGATTTTCGTCTTCTTCGTGGTTGAGCCGCCGCGCGCACGCTCGGCGGCCTGAGCGCGGAGGAAGATCTCGCTCTCGGGGAGGAGGAAGCGAACGAATGCGGCGAACGCAGAGATACCGGATGCCGTCCAGAACAGGCTGCGCCAGCTCGCCGAGGTTTCGGGGACAAGGGTGAGGTTGATGACCGCTGCGAGCAGGTATCCGACGGCATATCCTTGCTGAAGGATACCGGACGCGAGACCACGGACTTCAACGGGCAGGTTCTCGAGGGCGGTCGAGGCGGCAAGGCCCCAGATACCGCCCATCGCGATACCGAAGAGCGAACGAACGGCGAGGAAGGCGTGGAAAGTTTCGACGAATCCGGAGCCAAGTTCGAGGACCGCGATCATGAGGAGGTTGATGATGAGAGGCCATTTGCGGCCAAAGCGGTCGGAGATGATACCAAAGACGACCTATGGCAGGCAAAACGCGAGTGAGTTAATTGGGCCGGCCCCAGCGCGATATGGACGCAATCGATACTTACAGCTCCGACAGAGCGGAAGAGTAGAGTAAGCGTGATGGCGGTCGTCTGACAGCGTCTAGGTCAATTTGGGGCAGCGGTGAGAATGGGGTGGGGCACGCACGATGTCATGAGTGCTCCGGTCGAACTGCGTCTGCAGGTGGGCGACGCTGAGCGAGACGGAGAAGAAGTCGATGGCGTCGCAAGTCCAGGCAAGCCAGCTGTGGTTGTGGGCGCATGTGGACGATGCCAAGAGCGTGGAGTGAGAGATCGGGACATGGGGGCGCGACGCGGCGCGAGCCAAGGACGACGTACCCAGACCAAAAGTGACCCCACTGGACCCAGGTGAGGGTCGCGAGCACCTCGAGGAGCGGGCGGCCCTCTGCACGTTGTTCGCGGCGGGGGACGAGGTTGCGGAGGAAGTAGGGGGCCATTGGGAGCGATGGTCGATGGTGGGGGGACGGAGGGAGGAAGGAGCGAACTCAAAGAGTCGACGGCGGCGAACCATTGACGTTATATATAATTTCTGGCTGCAGGTGACAGGCTGATCCTGCTCGGGCTGGGGACACATTGAGTGACCTCGTCGGCGGGAGGGCCGGGCGCGCGCGCCGAAGGAGGCGCCGGTTATCTCCTCCATACCGATCTCTGATGGACCTCGCGTACCTAGCCGGGGCGCAGTGCGGGGTGTGGGGCCCCGGCTTCCTCCCTTTTCCGGCCGACCCCCGCCCGACCTCCATTTTCCCCGCCCATTCGAATCCGTTCGGTTTGCGTCGGCGCCACCTCCGTCGAGATAAATCGACGCTCGCTGCCCGATGTCGGAAGGAGCGTTCCGGGGGCAAGTCAGGTCGACACATACCGCCGTGTACTCGCGCACGGAACACGACAGGGCGGCGCATGCAGGACATCTGACCGCCTCCGGGCGCGGCGCCCCATCTGTTGGCTCATGCCATACGCGGGTCACCACCGCAACATGCCGCCGCATACCATCCAAGCTCCACAACCCGACTGACTTTTTCTGCTTCGGGTTCCCAGCAGGTTGACGCTGCCCGACAACCACGTTCGATACCAGGCGTCGCGCAGCCCAGTGAGAATAAAGAACTCGCCGCGAGTCTAATTTCGAGAAGTTTAATGGCGGTGCGAGCGCGGCGGCCGCCCAGATATTAGTCCTCGATATCGATGGCGGCGAACTTTCTCAAATTCGGTGCGCTTACCATGCACAGGCAGATCCCACAACCGTCCTCCGAATAGCAAGGGAAAGGGTTCAATCATCGGAGTCAAAGATACCAGCCCTCCAACGCTGCAGCTGACCCAAAAATTTTAAGCATCAGAACGCCTCTTGGCGGATACTCGCAGTGCATCTACCACAACGCGCCTTCGCAGATCGCCCACGCAGCTAACGACCCGCCCGCTAGGCAGGAACGCGCCGCAGCAGGCAGCGCGACTACCGCTTGCTCTTCTTCGACATGCTCCTCCGCGCCTTCTTGTCCGCGCCCTTCCCATCCGCCTGCGCACCGTCCTCCGCCTTGCGCTTCGCCCCAGCCGCCGCCTTCACCGACACCAGCGTCGACTTGCTCGCGCCGCCCTCCGTCGCGATCTTCGCGACCTGGGCCTCCGCCGCGCTCCAGTCCGCCGCCCCGTCCGTGATCGCGTACCTGCACACCCTGGTCAGCCCTCCGTATCCACATCCAAGTCCACCACCAACATCAAAGCATAAGAACGCCGAGCCGAGCACGTCGTCCCTGCGCGCCCGCACAACACAGGCTAGCCAAGCACGCCGAGCGCGCCCCGGATGCGGGGCCCCGCGTTAGAAGCGCGCCAAGACCTGGAGCCCCGCGCGCGCAACCAGAGCGGTCTTTGCGCGGCGTCTGCACATACGCAAACCCAAGGGCAAGGACGCGAGAGGGCGGAAAGCCGACGCACCCGGGGTTCCTAGGGCGAGCCCAGCCGGCGGGGGCGCACCAGCACCAAAACCATGGTTGGGGATTCGGATTCGGATGCGGCACAACTCACTTGCTGAGATCGAGCGCGTCGATCATCGCGCGCTGCTTCTCGCGCAGCGCGCGCGCCGCCTCGCCGCCCGCTTCCGCGAGCTCGTCCTCGAGGCTCGTCTCCAGCGGCTTCCACGCTGCCTTTGCGCCGTCCGCGTCGGTTCGAGTGAGTGCGAGCGCGTCTGCAGCACGCGCGTCGGGCATCTGCGCGCTGATCGCGGCCTTCTGCACGTCCAGCAGGCGTTTGCTGATCTTCTTGATCACCTTCACGAACAGCGCGAGCGCCTGCGATACGGGGAGCTGCAGCTCAGCCTGTGGGTGATGCGGGTCCCGGGCGGGAGGTTAGCGAGGTGAGACAGGGGGCGCGGGAAGATCTCGCGGGGCGTACCTCGATCTCCTCGATGGTCTTGCGTTGCATGCCGAGCGCGAGCAGGATCGAGCTCTGCACAGCGCTTAATCGGACTTCCGGTCCGAGGCGCTTCTCGAAATAGAGCTGCCCGACGGTGGGGAGGAGATCCATGATGACATGGTAGTCGAGCTGGTTGTTCGAATACGAGTCGAGCCGCTTCAAGTCGAAGGGCGACAGCATGAACGATAGCTCCGAAGCGCCAAGCTCTGCGAGGTGCGGTGCATCAGTTGGCTTGCTCAGAGACAGGACGCATGGAAACGGGCAGGTACGGACCTCGTGAGGGGTGGGCGTCGAGCTTTTTCACGCCGGAGTTCGCGGCCTCGAGCACGCTCAGGGCGGTCACGCTGCCGAACTCACGGAACTTGAACGAGAGCAGTGACAAAAACCGTCTCCGGAAATCTGTGCAGCCGTGTCAGTGCCTTTATCCGCCCACGGTCGTGCGAGAGAGTACGTACCCTTTGCGAACTCGCCAAGCCACTCGAGCTCCCCGTCTACCGACGAGTTGAGCCCCCGGACCATTACGCACGTGTGCTCGCCAGTCAGCTCGCTCTGCGTCTGTCGGAGGTAGAGGGGAATGTATCCCGCCCGCTTCCAGAAGCTGTGCATTATCGCCGGTGAGCATTCCATCCAAACACTGACACAAGCGAGACCTACCGGAGCAAGGGCGGCGTCAGGCCGTACGACACGCCGAGGTAATCGAGCGTCTCGGGTTTCCGTTCCGTGAGGCGTTGTAGCAGGGGCTGCATCGCGTTCGCAGAGCGGACCTTGGGCTCGTCATGAAGCAAGTCTGTGGACTGTAGCGAGCAAATTGAGCGCTACATAAACCTTCGGGCAGACAGGAACCACGTACCTCGTCGAAGCTGGCAGGATCAGGATATGACGGCTCAACCTGCGGCACCTCGTCCACATTGAAGTACTCCCCGCTGTAGTACGCGTTCAGTGCCTGCAGCGCGCGCGCACCATAGCCCATGTTCGCATAATCCGGATGTGTCGCTATCCGCACGATGCGCGCACCAGACAACAACGCGAACTTGTTCTCCTGGAACTGCTGGGAGATCAGCCAGGGGATCATGTCGCCACCAGCGCGGAAGCCGCGACTGAGGCCGTCCATGATCGCCTGTCTGCTGATGTTGCCCTCGAGCGCAACCTGGAGGACGACGAGCGGCTCGGGCAGGTGCGTCTCGTCGTCCTTGATGGGCGGTAGCAAGACGAAGAGGTGATGGGCGGGCGCGTCGGAGAGGAGCTGCAGATCGTTCGGCTGGTTCTTGTAGTGGCTCGCGACGTACAGTGCCATCATCCGCTGCAAGAACACCTCCGACGCCGGGTGGTAGCTGAAGAGCGTGTCGCGGCTCACGTAGAACAGCTCGCATTTGCTTGGGTGCGGTGTGCTCATGTGCGCCGCGCGCGGCAGTAGTGTGGCATCGAGGCAGAGCAAGCTGTTGAGCCACTTCTCGACCTTGTCCCCCGCAGCGTACCGGATGGGGGTCTCGAGCTTAATCTCGCGCAGGGTACGCGCTTTCGGCGCGGCTTTCGCGAGTGCCTTTTTGGAGGATGAAGCAGTAGCGGCGTCCTCGGACGGGGTAGCGTCTTTCGTAAGAGAGGGACGGGTGCTCTCGCGAAGTTGTTGGATGAGTTTCAGAGACAGGGAGCGACCAGTGCCTTCGTAACCGTTGATGGTCGACGCCATGAAGATGAGGTAAGGACCCATGAGATTGCGCACGAGAGGGAGGGGAATGGCGGCAGCCTCATCGATGATGACCAGTTCAGCCTGGCCCAAGACGTGAGCGTCCTCAGGTTGAATGTACTGCGTGTCTGTGGTGAGTGCACGCGTATTGAGAGAGGTGTATATGAGAATATACCTGAATCGTCTGTCGATGATTGCGGAACACGTTCACGCGAACGATCGCCTTGTTGAAGTCGGGGTTGGTGCTCTGCACGATGTCATAGTCGAGATGCTCCTCGTAACCAAGGACATCCATGCCCTTGAAGATGAAGTCGAACAACGTCTTCAAATTCTCCGGGCTCGGACTGGTAACGAAGATGTTGGAGTACCCATGCGCAAGTGCCGCAGCGATGGCAAGACCCAGAGCAGCAGACTTTCCACGACCACGAGCAGCAGTGAGCGTCACCGTCGACGAGAGCGTCTTCTCAGCAATGGCGTCCACAAACGTCAATATAGCCTGCGCTTGGTCTATTGTTTTCGCGAGCTTGACCAATTCGCCGATCGGCTTGGTGTCCGCGAGGCTCTCCTTCAGGTCCTTGAGCTCCGACTCCTCTTTGCTCTTCCCGCGGTCCTCCTCTATCGGCTTGATGTCCTTGCCCCGAGAAATCGGCAGAACGTTCAGCTCATCGTCTAGCACCAAGCAATCTTCGCAAGAACCCAGAGAGAGGATAAAACGCTCGTTGAACCGTGCCACAACGGAATCGTGAGCGGATGTCCGGTATCGTGCATGTACATCCTGCATTGCGAGGCTTTAGCATATAACTCGTGCAAGGAGAGTAAGTCAGACGCACCATGGTCATGGCATAGAGCTGTCGTAGCGACTTCATACTCTTCAGCATTATGACGACCAGACCGCCACCTTCTACCGTCTCAATCGTTCGCGCTAGCAGGTTGGGGGTAATAGCCTCGAAGTCTTGTAGTACGCACATGCCAAACGTCTGGCCGAGTATCTTTTGAGACTCCTTGTAATAACTTCACCGGAGTAAATGGAAATGTCGTGGATGCGGTAATGTCGCACTCACGTATAGCGGATGTCTGTAACGGTGATGAATATTTCGAAGGGGTCCTGCTCGTTGGGCTCTCGAGTGCCTCGCTTGATTTCCCTCTTGATTTTGGCTTCGCGCTTCTTCCGATGACTAGCAACAAAGTATTGAAGTGGGGTGATGAAAGCACCGCGAAGTGTTTACGCACGTAGTGAAGCCGAGCTCCTTTTTGTAGCACCATAGCACTGATGGACGTGCTGATACACGCGCTTGCGAGAGCAGGAAATGGAGGTTCACGATCTACTGCCATGTCAGCTCCGTCATCTCATCCTAAGCAAATATAATGCGCACCTGATCCTTTCCCCGGTCTCCTACCAGTACTATGAACGAGCGATGATTCTTCTTGACATTATTGTTGATTAGAATAGGAATGCGGGGGTCGAGTTGTTTACGCATCAGCGTAGGTCGTCAGGGGTGCACAAAAGCAAATCGCAAGTCGTTAATAAAGATATGATCGGTCAGGAGACAAGTGGATGGCCAGGGGTGTATGGGAGGGAGGGGAGGAGGAGGACGGGTGCTCAGGTTGCTGCAGCTGCCGCTCCCGAGAACCCGATCACTAGGCGCCGGAAAGTTTTGGCAGCGCCACCACGTGGGTGAAGCGCCCAAGTGAAGTGACCCGAGTCGTGGTCCTCCACTACGCCAACTGAAGTTCTACTGAGCACTACGACCTCTTGCCTTAGCTAAGTACATGTATGCTTTGTCTCGACGGAAAGCCCTGGACTCTACTGGTACTTCTCTTTATCGTATCTGCGCTCGTGATTCTTGTTCAGAAGTCAATATGCTATTGAACATTTGTTCCGGGATAGTCCGGGTGTGTGTATTCCACCAGTTGCGCTGAGCACACTGACAGCCAGTGCTTGCCTCAACATGCCGAGGACTATAACTTAATAAAAGAGGTACCGTATATCTATTAAACAGCTGCCTCGCTCAAAGTGCTGCCGCGAACGGTATAGTTCTGAAGCAAGAATAACAGTCAGGTTGTCATTCTCAGCAGCCGATCTCGATTTCTAGTCTGTCACGATCTGCAATCCAGTAGACGTACAAATGCGCGCATAGTATATATATTGCTATGTGATCTGACGAGAACTCACCAGCACTCTGCCGATAACCCGCCGCAACAACACCCTAGATGTGGCCTCTCAACATTTGCATCCAAGTTTGCGCTGCCAGTGATGGGGATGGAGATCGAGCGGAATACCACGATAGCGCTATGTCAGTATGTCTCACGGAAGATCATCGCGGTCACAAGGGTCTAACATCTGCGGGCGATAGTGACGGTCAAGCGGTGAAGAAAAGTACAGTTTACACTTCTACCGTCGGAATGGCAATCAAGGCAGTAACGCAGGAAAATACGAGCAGCTTTAGCTATCATCCAACCTTTTCACAAATTGTTACCGTCGATAATTGGCACCCTAACCCCCGCGCAGAGGCACACGGGAGACGGAGACCACCGCCAATTCGTACAAATGAGATCTGGGCATCCAGTACGTCGGACTTGACCGCACAGTCCCTGGAACTGCAGTCTTACCGGACGTTACAGAACCTAGGACGGCGCCCGTGCGGGAAGAGTCCCCAAGAACCAAATCTGCTCGCTGCTTTGATCCTCGGAAGATGGTCAAGAAGGCAGAGGTTACTGAAGGAGATTTACAACCCAGAAATCCGCGAGTCCAGCTGCACTCCCAGCCCATCTCCTACAAGGCTGCGCAATCTGGCACAGACCTATCCAGCCCGCATCCATCACCTTCTGCGGACATAGCTGCTACTTGGGTAAACGTACCCTTGACACCCATGCTCGATTGTGACTCCCCCCCAGACTCCACATCATTCATGATACATCGAAGGCCTTTACCGATACCCCCGAGTGACCCGAAGGTGTCGAGTTTATCACAGACAATTCCAAAGCCATCACCGACGCTCAAAAGACCATCGCCGAGGACACCTTCGCTTCCGATAAAGCTGGTGCCTCCGAGACCATTACCAATATCTCCCATACGTTTACTTGAAGCCTACGGAGATAATACCGAGGTATTGAATGCCACGGTACGTGTAGATGGTATTTGATAAGTTTTCGCTTAAATCTCCAACCCTTGTTGAATGTATGAACCCAGGTGGCCTCGCTCCAGCTCCGTATGTCATGGTACACATCTCGGAGTCGAACACCCGCCGTCTACTATAACGCCTGGTTTATGCGCCTGAGAAGTCCTCCATTCCCTGTGCTTAGCATGCCGTGCTGGTCGGCATGCTTCTCTGATAGTTGCCGGCATCGCATGCATGTTGTGTGTTCTTTCAGCCACACTGGCAGTGTAGGGCACTATGTCCGGGTGTGCTCATACCTATATTTCATATCTGTAGTTTTTGTTTACTCGATATCCCTGGCACGTCATAACTGCGTCGCCCAGTACTTGGAAGTACTCACCTTACATTCGTTTCTACTTCAGATTTCTTACGGCCTTCCCATCAGTTTACGCCGCAGCGCGGTCCATCCAGGCCTGTCGATGTTACAATCTAGTGTAATGTAAAGTGCTATACTTGTACAATACTAAAGTTCTTGCCATGGACTGCGCTATTCATTTCCCTCCGTACCACGACTCATGCTACTGTAGAAGACAACTGAAATTCACTCGCAATATCGTGATTCTTGACGACCCGATTTATGGCTTGCCCCAGCAGTCTGAGCAGCGCATCTCGACTCTGTGCTGAGGCCGCGACGCCCGGGTGGACCAGCCTTGAACAAATGGGCGCTGAACATCTTGTCTCCGGACGGCGATCCAGTTCATACTGCGAGGAAGGGGTTCCTACTCTCTATCACTCTGGACTCATAGCCCTGCGGCCAAATTCTTCCATCCCGGGTATTCACCGTTTCTCGCGATGTCGGCAGATGTGTAACACTGTGTAGGACTGCGCCTGCGCAGCCTGATCGAGCCCGGTCCATCGTATCGGCTGACCTCCCTCCAAGCGTTTCTTCTCCCTAAACTGTATCCTATCTGACTCGGCTGTAGGCTACAGCAATTAAGCCTATGGAAGTACGTACCTCCTCTCCTGAACAAGCCTGGGAATCTGAACTTTCTCTCTCGCGTCATAGACGTCTAGTATGGCGACACTCGAAGCACAAAAGAGCGCAGCTTCTTAGCAAGCAATACCCGACAGTTTCGCCCTTTGACATGGTACCCCGGTGACACTGATTGTTTCACAATTCACTCCCTTTGAGGGTCCAGAACCACTCGCATAGGGTGGGGTTTCAATTCACACCAACATTGGTGAGCAAGAATTTATCGGTGATTAGAGAGCGAGTTGCTACGCTCGAGGATCATGTAAGCATTGGCGCAAATATTCACACTCTGTGTCGTTCTAGGACAACATATATATGTCTTTGCACTTCTCACCTGAACGCCGTGTTTCCGCCTCTTCTAACCAGCCCTCCAACTGCACCTCGACGTTTCCACAGCCCGTACACTGTCAGCAATGGCCACCGCCGCCGTCCTTACCCCGCACGACGTTCCGACGACGCTCAACTACTACGCTCCGACCGATAACTCCACAGAGAGCCCCTATGCCTACGTGCAGACTCCGCCCGAGGGCAAGCCGCGCTCGAACGTTGGAAAGGACCCGCGCCCCGTGGTGATCCACGACGCGCGCGGGCGCGAGCACGAGCTCACCCTCGACACGAGTGGCTTCCAGTTCGTGAAGTACCCAAGTGCGGAGAGCGTGTTCGACAACGAGGAGCGCATCAAGACAGAGTACTACAAGGAGGTTGAGGAGCTGCTGAAGACGGTCGCGGGCGCAAAGCGCGTCTTCATCTTCGACCATACGATCAGGTTTGCATCTCCCCTCGCAGCCTTACAAAGTGGTCGCTGACAGCATATGATCGTAGGCGCCGCAAGCCCGGAGATGCTGGGGAGGACACTCCCGAGAACCGCGGTCCGGCCGTACGTCCCGTCGCTGCGACTAGCAAGAACGATAATATTCATCTCACCCGATAGGAGATCGTGCACATCGACCAGACCTACGACGCGAGCGTCGCCCGCGTGCGCTACCACCTCCCCGACGACGCCGACCGCCTGCTCAAAGGCCGCGTGCGCCTGATCAACGTCTGGCGCCCCATCGCGCACCCCGTCGCGCACCACCCACTCGCGGTGTCCGACTGGCGCACACTCGATGCGCACGACCTCGTCCCCATGCGCCTCATCTACCCCGAGCGCGAGGGCGGCACGTACAGCGTGCGCTACAACCCGGGCCACAAGTGGTACTACCTCGCGGACCAGACGCCGGATGAGGTCACACTGATCAAGTGCTACGACTCGGAGGAGGATCGGGCGAGGCTCACGCCGCACACGGCTTTCCCAGACAAGACGGCGCCGAAGGACGCGCCGCACCGTCAGTCCATTGAGGTGCGGGCGTTGGTGTTTGACACGGAGTAGGAAGGGTGCGAGACATTGCGTCCATCGTTTGGTGAATTGGTTCATGTGTGCTCGGATGTCTGTAATAATAATTTCACTGATTGGAGTGTGTTGCTTTCAATGATGGGTTTCTCTGTTTATGACATACGGATAATGCGGGGCTAATTACCTTCAAGCTTCAGGATTTGGCTGCAAGGTTGCTTGCAAGTCTCCCGCTTCTGCTTCGAGCGCGTTGCCCATTTCATTGAGGCGCGTATAGCATTAGACCCCGTGACCGCGTTTAAGTACCGTCAACTTAGCGCGCGTCTCAATAGACCGCGCGTAGTTGAACTACCACCACCAGCTGTAGCTAGTGTTTGGCTCAACAGAAACACGACGGAACATACTAACCCGGACTATTGCTGAATGGCAAAGGCCGCTGGTTCTATACCTACGCCGTGGGCACAAATCCACGCATGGCAGCCATCCTCATGAGCCCGCAAGTTCTACTAAGCTTGACGTACTCATAAAGGCTTGAGAACCTCACAGACTCTGGATCTTCTGTGTCATTTATATGTAGGTTGCACACTCAACGCATGTTCGCAACTTAACACTTCAATAAACTTCCCCTTTTCCGGATCTCCGTCGCGCAGGCCGAAGACCGAGAGTTGTCAATGAATCAGAAGACACAGACAGTGAGCTGGCCTTGAAGCTTGATCCGCTTCCTTCCCATTATCGCAGACGAGCTCCAATTTCAGAGCATAATAGAGCTCCATTGAGAGGATCTGCAACCGTCCGGGCATCCTGGGAGGCTTAGTCTGACTGTCGGTCCTTCTGAGGTTCTTCCACCCCTACAAATCACTCGCCTCATCATACCTATCGATCCTTCAGCGCTGGCCTGAACGCTAGCCGAGTCCGTATATGACGCGCCCCTTCCAGGCGAGCGGACTCGCCGAACGGAGGAAAGGGGGCGCGGCATCCATACTCCCGATCCGATATCGATGTATAACGCATAATGAATAGGGACCAGAGAAGTCGGCCTCGTGCCGCACGTTAGTCTTCGTAATGTTCTCCCTCCGTCTTCTGTTCCGCGGGAGCGCCGCCTGGTGGTAAGTCCGAGTCCGCGACGGCTTCGCGCGGCTGCTCGTCACGAATTTCGAGAGACTCACAGGTATTTCTTGTGCATGCCGTCCGGCGTGTGTGCTGCCGCGCAAACGTTACCCATGACCTCCACCTATGCCCTCGCATGTCAAAGGGCTCGCGTAGATTGCTGATCTCAGAGTTTGTCGGAGAGCGACGGACACCGTGAAGCTTCTTCTAGCGCTCTCGAGCATCGCTAACGCCGCCGCTCCGATTGACCCATTGCCATGATGCCAGTTAGGCCTGCGCAGAAGTAGGAAAACCGGTACGCACCGGTACTACTGAGCCTGAACCACTGAGAACCCGCCTTCCACCACCGCGGCGCGGTAGCTACATATGAATATGCTGCATTGATATGATATGTGTTCGATACAAGGATGCGAGGTATGGTAAATCAAGGAGCGTGCCGGGCCGTGATACTAGTAGCGATGTGCGGGCACGCCGACCCGCGAAAGACCAGAGAATATTACGGACCACAGGGGAGCTTACAGGTACGCAAAAGAGGGGGCGATAAATAGCGCCGTGCGCGCGCGAGGGACCGGTCATCCTACACGTCGGAGGTGCATACATATCTACAGGGCGAGGGCCAAAGGAACGATGGTGGGCATTACAAAGGATGGAATAGGTTGCGGGGGTCTATGTGTGCGTGCTGTTGTATGTGCAGGCACCGGTTGGGCCCTAGTGCCGGCGTGCGAGGAGGGAGCCGGCGGCGGGCTCGAAACCGGTGGGGACGGTCATTGGGTCGGCTTTGGGCGGACCGACGGTCATAAGGGGTTGCGCAGGCCGCTGGCCGGGTTTGCGAGTGCTTGCGCGCTGGAGGCCGCCGGCGGTAGCGCCGGGAGCAGAGCCCGGGGCAGTCGTGGACGAGAGGACATTGCGCTCCTGGTAGAGCACGTACGACTGCACGCACAATGTTGGGTTATTTTTGCGAACTCAGTGGAGAAAGAAGAGCGTTGACGTACGCGAGCAAGAAGAATTTTCTCCAGCCAGTTCTTGCCTTCGCTTTCTCCGCAGGAGAAAACATGCACGTAGTCGGCCGTGCTCTCGAAGAACGCGAGGCTGTCGGTGGACTTGACCGAAAACACGTACGGCTTCGGCGCCTTGTGCACACGCGTCACGTAGTACGCGTCGAAGTTGTTCAGCGAGCACAGGAAGGTCGCATCCTTGCCCTATAATGCCGATCAGCTATCTGGTCGTTTGCTTTGAAGGAAAGGACATACGGTATCGCGCTTGGAGAGCCACAGACTATGCTCTCTGAGCTCCATCCACCGCTTCTGCCACTTGCCGCGCTTATACTCGAACTGCACGTACCCGGAGCACTTCGGCGACGCGGACGGCATCGCCTTGGGGCTCAGCAGCGGCGCGAGCAGCGTCTTCTTGATCACGAGGAAGTTGACCGTCTTGTCCGTGTTCCACGACCCACACACGTCGCTCAGCAGCTCGAAGCTCCGGATCGGCCGTTCTGCAACGCAACAAAATACATCAGCAACCCGCCCCGACACGCAAGAATAAAGAGCGCAAATAAACTCACCCATGCCAAAGTCCTGCGAAACCTCCCACAACATCCACCCGCCGCTCCCCGCGCCCTGCTCGAGCGCGCCCTGCGCGTCGACCATCGCGAGCACGTCCCCCGCGCCCGTCCCGCTCCCGATCTCGACCTGGCAGAAGCGCTGCATGTTCCCGATGAACACCCGCTGCTGCCACATCATCTGGCCCCCTGCCTTCCCCGGCTGCGAGAATGTCGAAGCGGGCGGCTGTGCGGGCGCGGGCGCGGGGTGCGCCTGCGAGCTCAGCGTCGCTGCGCGTGCGCGTGAAACCGGGGAGGGGCCCTCGGGCTCGGACCGACGCTCGGCGCTCGGGCGCCGCGACGACTTCCCGGAGCGCACAGAGCGCGCACGGTCGAGGACGGACGAGGACGGTACAGGGACTGGTGCTGGGGGTGCGGTTGCGAGGAACGCGGGGGGCTCGTCGGGCCGGTGGCGGCTTGTCCCGGTCGCGCGGCGCTGCAGTTCGGATGCAGAAGTGCGCTCGGGGAGCGGCATAGGGGGCATCGAGAGCATCGCGTCGGCGTCGCCGGCGCGCGGGCGGTGGAAGGAGCGCATGGGGCGCAGACCGCGCGATGCCTCTGGAGCTGGGGGACGGGACGCCTGTCTGGACGCGCTCTGGTAGGTGTTCGCGTCCATGGTGTTCGTCCGTCCACGAAGGGACGGTCCCGCTGATGCAGACCCGTACGGCTGCTGCGGCTCACGGTCTAGCGAGGGGCGCTTCGACTGCGGGTACATGGGGGACACCGGCCCTGGGGAAGCTGGCGCCGCACTCGAGGCACCCTGCAATCCGAGCAGCTTCTTCGTGAGGTCTCCAACGGAGAACGGGCTGCCCATCGTGCTCGGCAGCGTCTTCGTCCTTGGCCGCGCAGTGGCCCTCGGGGGCGAACTTCCCGTCGCCAAGGGCGGCGCAGGCGCAGCGAACGCGGCGTTGATCGTGGACGACGGCACACGCGATTGGGGCTGCTGCTGCTGCTGCTGTTGGGTAATGAGAGCCTGTTGCGCTCGCTGTGCGCGCCGCTCTTCCCGCTTCTGGTCGAGCTCATCGCGGACCTGGCGCCGAATTGTGCGCTGCGCCTTGAGAGCAGTCGGGATCTGCCGCGCGAGAGGCACGTCGTCGTCGGTCGCGGTGTCCGGGTATGCCGAGGAGGGAGTAGTGGGAGACGGCGCAGTCGCGTTCGCCGGCGCAAGCATGCCAGGGCGCGTCGTGTCGTGCCGCTCGCGCGGGCGTCGTTGCGGCGACGCTTCACCATAATCACTCTCATCCTCGTCGTCGTCCTCGGACGTCTCAGAGTCGGTCACCGCGGCGCGTGCGGAGATCGGCAGGCGCGCGGGACGGCGCTTGCGGTCGTCATCGTCATCATCTTCGTCGCCGCCCGCCCCCGCACTTCCTCTTCGATAACCGCCGCCATTGCGCGCGTTGCTCGTGTATCCGTGCGAGGAACCGCGGCCGTTGTACGAGGTGCCGCCCTGGCTCGAGCCACCGCTCGGGCGGCCGCTTCGTCGGGAGCCCGACTCGCCCTCGGGTGCATCCGCAAGGCTGCCGCCGTCGCTGAAGACGTCGGCGTCCCCACATATTGAGCTGGCGCCTGCGGAGAGGCTGAAGCGCTCTGTGAGGTCCTCGGCGAGATCCTCGAGGTCGCTCAGCACGTCGCTCATGCTTCCACCGGACCCGGACCCGCCAGAACCCGACCCCGCGCTCGTACGGTGTGTCGACGGCCACGGGATACCATATCCAAACACCGGGCGCGTGTGGGCAGGCGGCGACGCGAGCGGGTCCGCGAACGAGCCTACGTCATACGAATACCCGTACTCGTACGCATACTCATCCTCGCCAAAGTCGTACTCCGACGACACGGTTGAGAACGAAGAGGAGCGCGAGAGCGTCGTGCAGGGAGAACGTGCGGGGCTGCTTTCCGCGGACGGCTCCGAACTGGAGCTGGGAAGCTCGGGCGGGGAGAGCGGAGAGAGCGGTACGCCAAGGAACTGGGGCGACGACCCGTGCGCGTCTACGGCCTCGTTGCTGCTCTTCGACTCCGCGGAGGAGTCGGACAGGGGACGGGGCGGCTCCTCATGGGCGTCCACCTGTATGCGCGCCTGTGGGACGTTCCTGATCGTCCCTGCAGAGGAGCCGGGCTCAAAGTCGCCTGAAGGGAAGAGTGCAGATGGCGAGCGCGGGACCGTAAGGCCCATGGGGGTCGCGGCGTCTAAACGCGTGACTGCATCCGAGTAGTCGTACTCCAAGGAAGCGAGTAGATCGCTGGTAAGGAACTGGGTATGCCGCTGGTGTGCGAAAACAGCCGGGTATGAGGAAGGCCCAGAGTGGTCGGTATCGACGTGAACATGTGGATGGAGGTGTGTGGAAGGGGGTGAGGACGGTTGTAATGAAGAGGCACGTTTCCCGTGAGAACTGGAGCTAGACTGCGGCCTTAGATGGGACTCGGCGAATACGGAGGATGTTGGTGAGGATGGACAAAGAGACGGCACGGTGGACGTGGACGTTGCCGACGTCTGTGATACCGAACGCGCATGCCACGCAATGCTAGGGGATTTGGGAGGAGGCGTCGGCGGGTGCTCCAGATCGTCCTCGAAGGACCCGCGGTGCTCCTCTGGCGAAATGGACAAAAACGACGTGCCCATGCCGAAGTCATCCCGGTCGTGCGACTGCGAAATGGGCATAGGCGTGGTACACGCGCTAGAAGGCTCCTTGTCCTCGGGCTCTAACGGAGGGATACCCCCGTCCTCCACGCCTCCGTCCTCCGCGTTTTCGCCGTCCAGATACATGCGGGAGTCCCTGATCATGCTCAACGTGGGACGCCGTAAATGCCCGCGTCGCCGAGCGATCGGCGAGTTACGCAAGCTCCATGTTGGCGACGGTGGTTCTGACGGAGCTGACGGAGCTGAGTCTTCCCATGGTTCGAGCGGCAAATGGGCGCCCGGTCGGCCTTTTCGCGCCTGAATAATGCGCGTCGTTACGGTCAGCATCAGGTCGTCCTCGCGATGGAACGCGAACGTGGCGCGTGCATTACCTTTGGGACGTGTATGCTCGTACGCGCCAGCGTGTTAAGGGAAGGCAACGACGGTCGTGGCGCAAACGCGGGGCGCGTGTATGCGGGGCGTACCTGAGGCGGGCCCGACGATTTGGGTCGTCGCAAAAGCGGTGTTGACGGCTCTGTGGGTGTAGGCGGCGGCGCAGCAGGAGCATTCGCCAAACCCTGGAAGGAGGAGTATGAAGACGCGTGGCGCAGAACACGAAGGCCGTCTTCTGGAAGACCGTTGGGCGGGGCTAGTGGCGACCGAGGTGGCGGGAGAGTGGCTTGTGGCCCGTCGGCGAAAATGTCAAATACTGTGCGCACCGGAGACGTCGCACGGGAGCCGCGTAAAGAGGGCGCGGGCGAACGGTTCGCGAATGGGTCGTCATCCAAGAGGTCTGGTGGTGGCGAGTTGCGCGAAGGAGTGACCGGCACAATTGGCGAGGACGCGCCAGAGTAAAAGGAGAGCCAGTCTGCGGAGCACTCTATACCGGACAGATCGCTGGACGACGTGACGGTATGCGAGCGGGCCCTAGGTGGCGGAGTCTCGATTGCCGAGGTAGAAGTCGAGGCCTGAGGCAAGAATGACGGCACAAGGATAGACTGCAAGGAGCGACGCTTCCTGGCCATCTTCGGGAGCGAGGGGGGGATTATGGAGGGAGAGGTACGCGAGAGGGAGAGGTTGACGGAGAGGTGTCGCGGGCGTACTTTCGGGGAGGGAAGAGGCGACTGAAAAGGCGGAGCGTGTGAGCATAGGACGCGTAGATTCACGTAACAACGGGCGGAACGCGTGTAGATGTCGGAGGGCAAGAAGGCACGCCCCCGCGTCTGCAGTGCAGACTCGTGTGTTGCACGAGGGAGCAGGCGCGTTGTGATGGCGCGTGCACGGGCGACCGGGGAGGGACACTCACGGGGGGTTTATAGCCATCCAGGACGAGATCTGGATGGGGGGGAATGAATCCGAAGTGGTCCCAAAGGATCTCGTGCGCAGCGAAGTCGTTGCAAGAAGCGTGCGCGCAGGGGCGAGGTTCTGGATCAAAATCAGAGAGAGTGCTGTCAGCAATTGTAATGCTGCTTCCGCCTGAAGAGGCAAGGATTTTCGAATAGAGAGCGGTGTGGGGATTAAGAGGCCGCGGGAGGAGGGAGAGAATGGAAAGAGGAGAATCCGGAGGAGGTTCGGGGAGAGAGAGGATTGGAGGACCCATGTGTGTCTAGATGGTCCCTGGGCGTCCGCCGGGGTGGCTGAGAGGAAGAGGGTGGAGGATGGGAGGGGCCGAGGGCCGAGTCGTGTGGGGCAGTCGCAAGGGCAGGGGTGCTGGCAGATTCGGTCGAAGATTGGGATGAGTTCGTGATCGATGCTCGTCGGCCACTGCCCTCTATACTCCACCGACTCTTCTAAACAGGCAGGTCGCTCTCACACCCCCGCTTCCCCTCCCTCTCCCGCCCGCCGCCAACGATGCCAGCGCCCACAACCACCGCTCAGACGACGCTCCCCGCCTGCTTGCGCCCGGTGTCCGTGGCCCGGCGTGTCCATGGCGCGCCCATCAATCCGCCGCATGCCGTTCCCACCCATTCTGCTCAGGACGCCCGCCAAAAACGTCATTCGCACCCCAGATTTTATCGGGCTTTTTTTCCTTCTCCCTGCCTCGGGCCCGAGTCCAGACCGCTGTCCCTACACTCGCCGCTGCTATACCATTTTGCCGACCAAACGCCCTTGCTTTGGGCCGACGACGGCGAGTCACATCTCCTCGCACATCTCCTCATGCTCATTGGTGCGCGCAACGGCGGCCTCTTCAACTTGGTGCACGCGACCCACGAGCAACCCCACCTCGTCCGAGTCGTCGCGACTCGCAACAGCCAACAGTCGCGACGATGTCAACTTCTACTCGTAACTCAGCTCGTAAATGCACGCGACCGCACGGTGACCTCATGCCCAGGTCGCCGCCGATCGACAGCTCGAAACCGGGGAAACCGCTGAGCAGTCGCGGTCGGCGGTTGCCTGTGGCACACGACCCCTCTCGCGCCCCCCGCTTGGCACGCGATTGCGGCAGAGCGCGCCGCCGGCTCATGACGAGCGGCCACACTCCTCGTGCACACGGACGTCTATCTGTCCTTTGCGGTCGCACGCAAGACGTTTTCTTTGCGTGTACACAAGGCATTGGACGCCACTGGAGTGATCAGGTACAAACAGTTCTCCAAGGGTGCGATATACTTAGGGGCGGCAGGCCTAAGGAGTGGGTGCCGTGAAAATCCCTGTCTATCGGAATTGAAACTTTAGGTCAATCATTCTAGACGTACGTGCGGACTTCGACGCGAACGTTGACGTAGCTGACGACAAATTCATCATGAAGTCATCCCCGGTCTCGGTGGAATGCAAGTGGAATGTCTCCAATACTACGCCATCTGTCACCTTGCGGACCGCTCACGAGAAAAAGGAAACGAATTTAACATACCGCCCTGCGTCGAAGCCTTTACACCCGTCCAAGACGTCTCTTCGTTCAATCGCGTGATCCCAATGTTCGCGGAAGAAACGCCTGGCGTACGCGCCGGAAGCCAGCTGAGTCCCAACGCTAACCTTGGCGTCGAAATTAACCTACGGCTGACGGCCAGCGGTATGAGAACTTCCCCACAGTGCGCGTTCATACGTACCTTTCCGCCACGGGTGTCAATCCTGGACTGAACTCCAACCTTCAGGCTGTGCGCGATAGATGCCGGTGAGCTAATGGTTGGGTAATAGGCGGACAGCGCGTTCTCAGCGGCCATTCGGCGTCCTTGGCCAACGGCCCGCATCGGTTTTGTACCTCATTAGACGGAGCAAACCTATCCGGGGCCAGATGACCGCCCGCGAGGCTGCTGCGTACCGAGGAGAACGCTGCTACCCCGGACCCCAGCGTTCTACCCCACAAACTCAACCACCACGCGTTCACGGGGCAAACCACGAAAGAAGCACGGACCTTAACTGGCATTATGACATTGGCTTGTAATGGGGCCAAAGCGGCGTTAGCGGTGCGCGGGAGCGCTGCGAAGAAGCCCCGCGGTGTCCTTCGCTCTCCGACAAGCTCGAGCCTACCCAAGTCTTCTAAGGTGCGCTCTGCGAGAGTAAGGGTAGAGATCACGGGTAAAAATTACGACACAGCACGCACGTCGCTTAGCCAGAGGCCGAATATTTCTGACGAGCCGCTGTGCGAAGCTGCCGCAGACTCAGACTTACCGCCAGGCGGCGCTCCAGCGGAGCAGAAGACGGAGGGAGAACATTACGAAGGTACGCATGCGGCACGAGGCCGGGTTCTCTGCCTCGCTCTGCTCGCCGTTAATTATGCGTTATGCATCGATATCCGATCCGGAGCACGGCTGCCGCGCCCCCTTTCCTCCGTGCAGCGTGTCCGCACGCTTGGAAGGAGCGCGTCATATGCGGGTAAGGGGGTCGGCGCGTGCCCAGCCCGGCGAAGGATCGATAGGTATGATGAGCTGAGAGGCTGCTCGAATTTTAGAACTTCAGAAGCAGTGACAATCAGACCAGGCCTCCTGAATGTCGGTGAGTGGTGCGGTTGCAAATCCTGTCAAGTATTGAAGCTCTGAAGTTTGAGCTAGCCTGTCGGATTGACGGGAAGGAGGCGGATCAGGACGGACTCCCGTTCTGCGTCTTCTGGGTGTTCAATTTGACGGGAACCCGCGTGTGATGAGCATTCTGGGAGGAAGGGGGTTTTCATCGCAAAATTCACCAGTGAGGGTTCCGTGCGTTTATGCCATCCTACTTACGCTTCAAGGTGTAGGGTGAAGTTTGAAATTTGTCGTAGTGATGGAAGTCCTGTTAGCGTCCAGGTTCCCCACTCGTCGTCTACTTCAAGGGAAGGGGGTCCAAGTAGCATCGAAAGACTACCACACCTCCCATCCTTGTGTCAATCACACATCGTTCGCTGAATTTGCACATGTAACGACTGAGGCGGGCCGAATTCAAAACGCGATATTTACGAGAAGTACAGAGTGCAATGAGATTACGGGAGAGCAAGTGGTCAGAGAGATATGCTACACGAGAGCGGAATATAGAGTGGGTGGCAGCCAGAAGGTCAGCTACCAGGACGAGATGGCGCGAAAGGGTTCGGAGGAGCTCTGCGCTCAATCCGCCACCTTGATCTTCTTCTTCGCGGGACCGTCCTCGTCCTCCTTCGCCTTCGCCTTTGGCTTCGGTTTAGGCTTGGGCTTAGGCTTCTCCGCCTCGTCGACGTCCATCGCATCGTCGTCACTGCCCTTCTTCGCCTTTGGCTTGGGCTTCGGTTTGGGCTTCTGTGCAGCCTTCTTCGGTTTGTCGGCCCCATCGTCATCTGCGTCGCTCTCGTTCGCCTTGTCCTTCTTCGCGGGCGCCTTCTTCTTGGGCGCAGGCTTGTCCACCCCGTCTTTGGCCTTGCCCTTGCCGGCATCCTTGCCCTTTTCTTTGCCCTTGCCCTTCTTCTTTGCTGCCTTCATGAAGTCACGGTCGCCGCTGGCATCGGAGGCGGTCCGCCCACCCTCCTCATCGGAGTCCGACTCTGAGGGGGAGCCCGAATCGGAATCGGACGCCTGGAAGTCGTCGTCTGTAGGCCGCGAATATCAGCTGCAGCGCTCGCGCCTCGTTCGTAAGAGAGCACAGCACGTACCCTCCTCGCTGTCATCGTCGTCCCCGCCGAGGCGCGGCTTGGGCACCTCCTCGCCGCTACTCGCGACGCTCTGCATCTCGTCGTCGTCATCGTCGATAGCCATGACGAGCTCGCCCTCCATCATCTCGTTCTTCGTCTTCACCTTCTTGTCCTGCAGGTACGCATTCACGTGATCGTACTCTTCCTTGTTGAGCGACGTGAAGGTGTACTCGGGACCGCGCTTTGTGACAATCTTGACGTCGAACGTGCGTGCGGCGGTGGCGCCAAGCCCCGCCCCGAGGCGCGAGAAGACGACGAGGTGGATGTCGGAGAGCTCGATGAGCGTCGGCTGCTTCGAGACGAAGAATATGTATTTCTCGAGCATGAAGAGGTCACCCTGGACGGCCTTCAGGTTCGCCTTCACGGACGGGTGGCCGTCTCGACTATGCAAATGTATGAGTGGAGATCATCGAAGGAGGCTGCACGAAGACAAACCTCTGGAAGTTACCAGCGCCGATGATTTTCTTCTTCGACAGGGCGCGGAATACGCCAGAGACAACTTCGAACGTGGGGTCCTCGTAGTTCTTTTTGAGCTTCTCATACTGAGCGATCTCCTCCCTATTGTATGGTTAGCACTTATGATACGCGTAGTGTTTGCATATACATACTCAGACATGTTCAGCTCTGCAGTGATTTCCTCTTCACGGTTGAATTGCATGACCAGATATTGGTACCGGGTCTGGCCCTGCCTGATCGGCACGCTTAATCCGAGCTAGACGTAGACAGACGGCGCTCAGCACATGTAAGGGCGCATGTGGAGAAGGTACTCACGATGAACAATACATGCTGATCATCTTTAGGCAAGAGGAACAGCTTCGAGATACTGCCATACATGATCTTGTAGTCGTATGTCCTGCCGCGCAACCGTAGGAACTCGGGGTACATGTCCACATCGTACCGTCCTCTGGGGGTGAGCACATTGACCTCGTCGAAGCTGAGGATGATATCGCCTGCGACCTGGCCAAGTTCGGCCTTCTCCTTGACCATATCGTGGAATGCCTGAGCAGCACTGATCTCCTCGCCATCCTCTTCAACGTCCGACTTTTGTGAGCCCGCGTCTGATCCACGCTGGCCCTTGACTTGGGTGCCTGGTACGTAGAACCGTATCTCGACCATTTCATCCGGGGCACTACGGGAGGGCTTCTTGCTTTGTGTGGCAAACTCGAGTGACACTTCAGTTCGCCCAGCGATGTTGGAGTTCGCCACATTGGGGAGCGGGAGCTCGAATGCAGTCCTGTTAGATACAAGGAAAGCCAGGTCTTGCCCTATGATTGTCGTGAGCTGCGGAACAGTGTATCGCCAGCATCATGACGCACCCTGGAAATCTGTCACACCCCAATTCCAGCCCTTGAAAGAGACCTCCTTCGTTTCAAGTGTGATGCTGAAATGTTGCTTGAGAAGATGCGAGAGCTTGTCATGATCCTAGCATCCTGGTTCAGCCTGGAACTCTACTAGCTTCCACGGTGATGCTTACTCACCTCCCGCACGAAGCCGTCGAAAGTTTCTCTTGTCCGGTCCTTCAATCCCACCCTGAGCTGATAATTGCGCGCGACACGGATCCACTGCGCCCATTTTATATCCACAGACTGTATCGCGACCATGTCGCTTCCCTCCTCGGCCTTCCAAGCCATACCGCTCACCGCGATACGGAACTCTATATGGCGAAAGGGCTTTGAGCATGCCGCCCAATGCATCGGTCAAAGGGGACGTACTGCCAACATCAGCGGCGAGGTTGTGGAAGATCTTGTCAAACTGCGTCGTCGTCATGTTCGCCGTCGATGCCCAGAGGCGCGAGCACGAAGAGGAGGTGGTGGAGGAGAGACAAGAGCAGGTGCAGCGGAATGAGAAGGCGCGTGAGGAGGACGCGTTGCGGAGTTTGAACACGCGCTCATGTTCGCGCGCGCCACCTCCGCTCGGCCACTCGCGCGCCCAGGGTCTCGCTCGCATCCGCCCTCTCTCTGTCTCCCTCAGCCCATCTGCCATCCCTGCTACTCCCCGCCGTCGTACTCGCCCCGCGCCGCCGTCTGTGCTCGCCGCCATGTCCACCTATGCTGCGAACAGGGCGTCCTGGGGGGCCGGACTCCTTTCGCCCCTCTCGCCGACCATCATCGAGTCTATCGAAGCGCGCTCCCGCGATGTTCAGGAACGCACCTTCTGTAAATGGTGCACTTCCACAAAGTATCGCGTCCTGGCTGGCGTCTCATAATCCTACAGGCTCAATACGAAGCTCGAGGCGAACGGGCACCCACCGATGTCCTCTCTCGTGAAGGATCTATCGGATGGTGTGCGGCTGATTCAGCTCATGGTACGCCGGCATCCGCTCCTGCAGAACCTGTGTTGATCAGTCGCGTAGGAAATAATGGGTACGTCCCATATCATCCAGTAGTTGGTCAGTAGGCTTGAATGCGCCTAGGGGACACGTCGTTGGGACGGTACAACAAGACTCCTCGGATGCGCATCCAGAAAGCGGAGAACGTGAACAAGGCACTCGAATTCATTACATCCAGGGGCGTAAAGTTGACGAATATTGGACCCGAAGGTACGTTCATATTATCCATGCTGCTTACTGCACAGCCTCAGTGCCTTACAGACATCATCGACGGGAACCTGAAGCTCATTCTCGGCATGATTTGGACCCTGATTCTGCGCTTCACTATTGCAGACATCAGGTCAGTCCATCTTGATTTGCTGCATCCTTCGTATATGCAACATGTTCTGAGTGTATGCGTGAAGTGAGGAGGGGCTTTCCGCCAAAGAAGGTCTGCTTCTCTGGTGTCAGCGCAAGACGAAGCCCTACAAGGAGGTCGATGTGCAAGACTTCTCCCTCAGCTGGTCTGACGGACTTGCTCTGTGAGTTATTAAACGGTAGGTGCTCCGATGCGCGGCTTTCTTACCCGGCGTAGATGCGCTCTCATACACTGTCATCGACCTGACCTGATTGACTACGCCAAGCTTGACAAGGTACGTTATGTGGCTGCTGCTCTGGCAGCATACCGTTTATCCACTTTCTTTTGCAACGCAGACCGATCGACATGGGAACACCCGCTTAGCGTTCCAAATCGCTGAGGAACACCTCGGAATTCCTGTTTGTCAATTCTTGATCTTACATGTCGATGATATATTGACATGTTCTACGACAGCAATTGCTCGAAGTTGCAGATTTGTGTGACAGCCAGCGCCCGGATGAACGCAGTGTCATGACTTACGTTGCGGGTTACTTCCACGCGTTCTCATCCATGGGTAGGTCCTTCGTCGCATCTATCCTAACGTACTCACACTGATACAAACAAGAGCAAACGGAGACCGTCTCGCGACGTGTCGAGAAGTTTGCCGAGCTCATGCAATCTGTATGGGTGTCCAGGAACGACTACGAGCGACGCGTTCGCGAGCTGCTGCGCTCCATGTCCGAGATGCGCGCAAACTGGGCGGCCAAATCGTTTGTCGGCACGTATTCCGACGCACGCCAACACGCCGCCTCGTTTCAACAATACAAGCAGACCACGAAACGCTCTTGGGTCACTGAGAAGCAAGACGTCGCGACTCTCTTTGGTAACGTGCAGACCAAGCTGAAGACATACGGCTTGCGAGAGTACGTTCCACCACCAGGGTTGTCTCAGGCAGACGTAGAAGGCGCGTGGAGCACGTTGCTGAACGCAGAAGCTGAGCGGTCGAAAGCTATCAACGCGGAAATCCGGCAGTAAGCCAAGGTCTTTGAAAAACTCCCCGCTCAATCTTCACACGTTGTTATTAGGATCAAGGAGAATCTGCGCCACACGTTCGCCGACCTCGCGAATGATTTCGAGCGACGCTTACGCCTCATATCGACGGAACTTGTCTCAATAGAGGGGCCGCTCGAGGAACAAATGGACCAAGTTCGCGAGTTACAGACGCGCATGCCGATCCTCTCCGACTCATTACATGCCGTCGCCGCCGCGGACAGCGAGTGTCTCGACGCGAATGTGGACGAGAATGACTACACGGTGTTCACGCTGGAAGATCTGCGGTTCGAGCTCGAACTGCTCTCCCAGAGTATCACGAAAAAGATTGCATTTATCGACAACCAGGTAAAAATATTCCCGTCTTATTGATGTTAAGCGGACGCTAATCCGTGCTGTATCCAGATTGTTTCTCGGAACATGACGAACCTCACACCAGCGCAACTCGAGCAGTTCGAGAGCACATTCCGGTACTTCGACAAGGACGAGTCGAACACGCTCAACCAGTCTGAGATGGCTGCCGCGCTCGCGAGCTTGGGCATCGTCTACTCGGTTTGTCCTCTCGGCTCCGCTGGCTCGCAGCAATCTGACGGACTGTATGCACAGGACATGGACATGGATCTCATCTACGATCAAGTGCTGCAGGACTACGGCGCGGTCACGTTTGAGGCGTTCATCAACCTCTTGGTACGAGCCTTGCTATGCTTGTGCTCGACGCTCGAATCTCACGACGGGGACAGGTTACCATCATGGAGGACCAGACATCTCCTGAGCAACTGCGGGAGTCTTTCCGTGGCATCGCTGCGGACAAGGTGAGATATTACACGCGAAACATTCACAGATACCGCGACCCCTGGCTAGGTGCAAGATCTTGTTACAAATCATGACTGTCAGGATTCTCTTTGCGGATAAAGGAATCGTCACAGTCATCATTTGCTACAGGATCTTGCACTATCCCAGGTGCCATGATATTGTGCGGTGCTTGCGGTGTTATGTCCTGCTCTGTGGAATACGGCGCTGAACGTGATACTGTTACAGCCTTATGTTACGGAGCTCGACCTGCGCGTGGCACAAGTGCCCGCAAGCGCGATCGACTTCCTCCGCCAGGCGATGCCGTCGTATGAGAACGACGTTGGAGAACCCGAATACGACTACGAGAGGTGGCTTGACGAGGTGTTCGAGGGGGATGAGCGGTGACACTGCCTCGACTGCGTACGGTCTGGGTCGCGCGGCGCGGCGCTGGGCGCGTGTTTGAGCTACGCATACGTTAAGCATCCGACGACATAAACTACTGTATTTAGTACCAATAAGAGCCATGATGTACATCGCTATGTGTATGCGAGCACTGTGAGAGCCTGAGGGACCCAGACATGGATAGTCGCGACTCGCGAGCGGCGGACTGGAACGACCGCCTTGTCCAATCAGAGCGCGGCAATCGCCGTTGTCGCCCATCGTGATATCCATATAGCATCCTCTCTCTTGCCTTCATCGCCATCCCGCGACCCAACCCCTCACCACAACCCATCCCACCACCCACACACTGTAAACATGGTACGTACCACGTCGCCCACCGCGCGCCGCCGATCCGCGCTCATCTGTCGCGCGCGCCGCAGGCCTCCGGCGTCGGCGTCAGCTCCGAGTGTCTCGACGCGTTCCAGGAGCTGAAGCTCGGGAAGAAGAGCAAGTACATCGTCTTCACGCTCAACAAGTCGGTCACGGAGATCGTCGTCGAGAAGAAGGGCGCGCCCACGAGCACGTACGACGACTTCCTCGCGGACCTCCCCGAGGCGGAGTGCCGGTGGGCCGTGTACGACTTCGACTACGAGAAGGAGGACGGCGGGAAGCGGAGCAAGATTACGTTCTACAGCTGGTGAGTGTCCCTACTCCTGGCGTTCTTGCGCTTGCTGGCTCGCCATCGCACCACACGTCCCGCGGCCGCGGGGGCGTGTGGTTGTGTAGCCTAAATACAACACGAGCGGAGGGCGTCCGAGTGCACATAGGACGGGTTCGCTGACGGCTGCTGTGTTATCTACGCGACGCGCGATCGCGGCGATCAGGTCTCCCGACGATTCCAAGGTCAAGCAGAAGATGTTGTTCGCCTCATCCAAGGAGGCACTGCGGCGTTCGCTCGTCGGGATCGCCACCGAGATCCAAGGGACGGACTTCAGCGAGGTTACGCATGAAGCCGGTGCGTCTCCCCATCCCTCCTTGTACCCCGCGGTCGCTCAAATGTTGACGTCTGTTACGGTACAGTGCTCGACAAGGTCTCCCGAGGCAACTGATCCCCCGCGCACATACACGCTCGCGCGACGCGGACCGCTCCTCTTACCTCCGGACCCCCCTCCTGCCTTTCTTCGTCGTCCAGACGAAACTGCGTTTCGGATCGCTGCCGGGTGGCGGCATAGTCAGAGCACAAACCAACTGGCCCCCGAGCTGAAGAAGTGTTGTAGAGTTGTACAAATGCATATCAATATCATGATCTCCGGACGGATTATACGCCTGCTCGTGTGCCCGGTGTCGAGAGGGACTTTGGGATCGAGGGGACATGGCCGGGCCGTGTGCGGTTATGCGAGGACCGCCCCGCGGCAGACGGGCGCTCCGAGGAATGGCTATGACGCTGCGGCTCCTGCGCGGCACGGGCCTGTGCCTGCGCACTTACTCGAAGACGACCATAGCTTGAACTCGAACATAAACACTCTCTTCTCAACTTGATCAGCCTGGTGCTTGTAATTTCGCTTTCTACTTCACCAGCTCAGTCGGCACGATGTCAGTCGTCCCTGCCCCCGAGAAAGCTGTTGTGCCCGGTGCATATGTAGGCGACCCGCCTACCCCATACACGGAAGACGTCCCGGCACCCCTTCGTCGTGCAACCTCCCGGTTGCAGTTTCCACCGTCCTATGTGGTTGTCGGGTTCTATAGGCTGGTCACAGACAGGAATCTCTACGTTCCGGCGTGGCAGAAATGTAAGCATGGGTTCGTGAGAGGCGCTACAGTGGCCCTCGTATGGGTGAGCGGCCCGATCTTGAGTTGCCTTAGGCAAACTAATGTTCACGCTGTCGAACAGGGAATTGGTTCGTTCAAGATCCAACGGAAGTTCGTGGAGGTTTTCCTCATTAAGTGAGATGCAGTCATGCCGTTCATCCACCAGGAGGCTCACACTGGGCCTCTGCAGTTCCCCTCGCGTGAGCGGCCTGTCGCAGAACGCGATCTTTGGCATACCCATGCCCTTCGACCTTCCCACATGTACGTCTCAAACTGCGTGTCTCTCTACTGCCGCTCACCGAACTGTGCAATAGACGCGACCCTCTTCTTCCTCTCTAGCCAAGTCTCAGTTGTCATCTACTTTTTCCTCTCGCGCAACATTCGTATCGCCCGCGAGCGCGCATACGACCAGACCATCACCTCGCGCGGCAAGGGCGCGGACTGGTGGCGCCCGTACGTGGAGGAATGGGACAACCCGCCGCGCGTGGAGGGCAAGCGCTGGGGCCTCGGGCTGTTCATGAGCGGGGCGGTTGGACGGATCGTAACCAAGCGTGGGTGATCGTGGTACAAGTGTGGGCGGTGCGCTGACGAGCGGACAGTGCTCATGATCCCGCTCAACTTCGTGCCGTTTGCGGGTATCTTCATCGCGGCGTGGTTCAGGTCGCTGGGCACGGCGCGGTACCTGCACCAGCCTGTACGCATGCTCAGTCCTCTCGCCTGCGACCGAGCGTGTGCTTATGTTTGAGCGTTCGCGATCCCAGTACTTCAAGGCGAAGAACATGACCACCGACCAAGTCTCGACGTTCATCGAAGAGCGCAAGTGGGACTACCGAGGTGCGTTTACGACATCGGTTCTCCTGTGACTTGCTCACCCTCTTTCTGTCAGCCTTTGGTTTCGCGGCGGCCCTGGCCGAAAGACTCCCGCTCATTGGGATGATATTCTCAATTTCCAACCGGATCGGGGCGGCCATGTGGGCGCATGGTATGTGTTCGCACTACTTTCGTGCTGAAGACGTACTGAAGACGTACCGCACATGCAGACCTCGAGAAACGCCAGCATTACGTGGCAGCGGTCAAGGCAGGCCTGGCACCCGGCGTCGATACGCCCAAGCTGAAAGGAGAGTGAATACGCGATGCGTGTTTTCTCGCGCCCGTGCCGACGGGGGCTCTGTAGGGGTGGGGGATATTCCGATCCCGGTGGGAACGGAATAGGTAGCCCATGCCTCTACACAGCTGTGTGGAGGCACAGGAGTCGCCTAGGTCCGCGCATCTGCTCGCGGTGCTCGCGACCCGGTGTGTGGGTGTAACTGTATAATATATTAGCGGGCATTGACGCAACCGCCTGAAGGGAAATGTCGCTGCTACATCTGGCATTGAACGCCTCTATGTAACTTATTCGGCAGTGCCTATCAATGCGATAACAGCTGACCCGAGCAGCCTACTATCGCGCTCATGCTATGGCTTCTGCGGGGGATCAGGCAAGGGGGTCGTACGTTGTTGGGGCAGTCTGACCGTGTGTCCGGCTTATCAACCAAGTACAAAAGGCACCAGGCGACGTCCTACTGCCCGCTCACATCCTACAGCCTTACTTGCACTCGGTCTTGAGCAGCTCGGCCCACCATGTCCTGTCCCGAGTGCATCACCGGCTCGCTGCACACCGGCACCCCCGTGGGCAGCGAGACGAAGGTCGGCGGGGTCAGCGCGTATGTCACCGGCGACGAAAACGCCTCGCGCATCATCGTCATCGGCGCAGACGTCTACGGGTGGACGTTCGCAAACACGCGGCTCCTCGCGGACGAGTACGCCGCGCGCGGCTTCCGCGTCGTCGTGCCCGACTTCTTCAGCGGTGCGTCCCCACTTTATCCCCTCTCTCCGTATGACGGCGCGTACTGATGGACATGTATCACCACAACAGGCTGGAGCGTGCCACTCTGGAGCCTCGACGCCGTCGCGCCCGACCCGCTGCCCAAGTCGCTCTTCACGCGTTTCGTGCTCGCGCCCGCCGCGCTTTTCCTCCTCGTCCCCTTAATCCTCCGCAACCTCCCGCACCAGGTCGCGACGCTCACCAAGATCACTGCCGCTGTCCGCGCGGCGCACCCAAAGGCCGCGGTGGGCTACGTCGGCTTCTGCTGGGGCGGGCGCTTCGCGATCTCGCAGAACGCGCTGTTCGACGCGAGCGTCGCCGCGCACCCGTCGCTCGTGAAGTTCCCGGCGGAGCTGGACGGGATCAAGGGCCCATTCAGCCTCGCGGTAGCTGCGACGGACAGGGGATTTGATAGGGCCAAGGCGGAGAAGACAGAGAAGATCTTGCAGGAGCGCGGGCTGAAGGATGTGGAAGTGGTGGTGTACGATGGGGTGCACCACGGGTGGACGACGCGCGCGAACTTGGCGGACGAGGTGCAGAAGAAGGCGAGGAACGATGCGGTAGAGCAGGTTGTGGGTTGGTTCGAGAAGTACTTGAAGGTGGACGCGGTGGCTGCTGAGGCTGAGGCTGGGGCGGGCGAACCTGCGCCTGCGATTGCGGCCCCCATAGCCCCTTGAGGACAAGTCTGTGCAGGCATCTGCGCGGAGTATACCCTCCTGTAATGATCTCCTCTTACCCTAGATTCGAGCGCGTGAGCATCACATGGAGAGGCGTAAATTATCGCGAGGTTACGCGGGAAGGCGTTACGGTCAGGAAAAAATGAGCTCGACATAGGCTACATCCCAAAGACATTCGGGAAACTCGTAAGACGTCGAACAAATCGTGCGTGCTATGATACACTGATACATACCGCACCATACACACGGAGGGACGGACCGCGACGCGACCGTGCGGCTAGAGCACACTCATACACCGCGCTGAAACCTATAAGCAACAAAAACCTACACCCACACCCTCGAAACACACCTGCGCTAAACACTCATGCCCCAAGTCCGCTCATGTTCCTTCACTCCTCCGAGGGCTTCGCGCACACCCGCCGGTGCTCGTCCCAGTCCAATCGCTGGTGGTCTGCCGAGCAATACTTCACGAGCTTGCATCGGCTGCACACGAGCCCCGCGTAGCTCGTGCGCGCGCCCGCCCCTCCGCCGTACTCCGCGCCCGCCTCGCTGCCCTCGCTGCTGCCCTCGCTGCTGCCCTCGCCCGCGGGCGGCGGGTCGTCCGAGAAGCACACGTCGCAGTCGATCCAGTTGCACATCTCCTTGCGGCGCGCGCGGCGCCCGTAGCGATAGCGCATCTTCTTCGTCTTCGTCTTCTTCGTGGATGTGCACAGCACCGCGGCGGTGGACGGCCCGTGCTTGGGGAAGCGGATGAGCTCGCAGCAGTTGTCCGTGCACCCGGGGTTTGGGCAGCCGCTGGGGAAGTCGTGGTAGACGTCGTGGGAGGGGACAAAGTGCGGGTTGGCGAAGAGGATCTGCGAGTAGGACATCGTTTGGTGCGAGAAGAGGACGATGAACGGCGGGCGCTTCTCGTGGAGGATCGCGCGCAAGGTGAGGTCGATTTGGGGGAAACAGGGCGTGCGGCGGTTGCGGTCGAGGGTGCTACTGAGTTGTATGTCTAAGGGCGAGTGATGAGGACCGTTATATTTGATACTGGGTAGAGGATAGTATGCGCGAGGCGCAGGAAATGTCCTGGAGAGACGACCCCGCCGGGAGGGACCAACCGCAAGGTTGGAAGTAGACGAAACGCTGAACACACAATTCCACAATTTCACATTTTGACCTCCCGGTTACACTTTCTCGCGCGTAGCCATCGTATGACACGATCTAAACACGCTGGACCGCTGCAAAGACGGGAGTGTCGCCGATTTTGTTGTCGTTCTCAGTCGGCATACGGCGCGACTTGGACACGGCGGAATCGGAGACCGCGCCCGCCTCTGAGATTAGGCAGTTGCTCGTTCAGGGGTGGTGGCTACAATCGCGAGGCCATGAAATCGGAGTGCCGTGAATATGAACTTGTGGAATTCGGCAATCCATGACCGCCTCCACTCCCACTCATCGAATGGTGGGTATCATGTGTGCATGTTGCAAGGAATAATGCATAGGCACGGGACCGTCCGCACCAATGTCGCCGAACTGTCGCCAATTTGCTTCGCCAGAACGAAGCGCGGCACAGTGAGTTCGGCGACAGTGGGATGGATAGCTACGCACGCGGTGGTCTGCGAACTCGCTCCCCGGTCCGCCTAAGGCGGTATGGAACTTGCATGCCATGAAAGGCGGACTGGTGGAACAGGACGAGAGTGCATGTGAGACTCACAGTCATGATTGATCTTCTGCTCTGCGCTCGACTTGCAGTATCCCGAAGATGTGTTTTGACAGACATATTGGAAGTATTCGGACACTTGGTCCATCTCGTGTCGTTTGAGGTCGGTGACAATGACGTAAATTTCGTCGCAGCCGCGATCGTGCATGCCGCGGAGGAGCATGAGCTCTGGGAGCTGCGGCGGTTCAGGGACCAGTACACGCGCGACCACACAGACAGAGACGTACCATGCTGAATATCACTGGCATCATAGTGAGGCGCTTCATCGAGCGGTGGTGGTAGACATGGGTGACCCAGGTGCGGTCGAGGGGGATGAGACGGCCGGTGTCGACAGTGCGGGTAAAGATGTTCTCAGGGACGAAGACGCCTTTGTTCCAGAGGAGGATCTGGTCGCGGCGGGCGAGCTCGTTGGCGGCGTGCTTGCGCTCGCGGACGCGCTGGAACCAGTCGTAATAGGAGTCGGGGCGGTGGGGGCGCTCGAGCCATTTGTCGATGAGCATGTCGGTAGCGTCGTTGTCGAGCTTCTGGCATTCGAGCTCGCTCATCGCGAGGCTCGGCGGGATGAACTTGGAGTAGTGGAGGCCGGGCATCGTGCAGCGCGCGCTGGGCGTCGGGCGCGGGGAACCCAGAGAGTGCGGAGAGAGCGCGAGTGAAGACGAGAGGCGGGTGTGAAGAGAGACGAACGAGAACGGGAATGATGCTTGCCCGAAAGAGGCGCCCAATAGAATGGCGCACTTTGACGCGAAAAGGCCCGCCCTAAACTGTCTCCCTGCACGCTCGCGACGCGTCCAAGTGCGGTCTTGTCTCCCGATCGTCTTGTCCTGGGGTCTCGCCTCGGCTCCTGTGCTGCCCCGGCTCTCATCTGCAGCGCGTGAGGGTCACTGTCTCTGCAGGATACGGCGTGGCTCGCGGGATGCTCCACCTGTGCTCGACCTCCGTTCGACCACTCGCTCCTGCCAAATCGCTCTCTGAGTCAAGCGCCCGCCTCATCGCGTCCTCTGCTTCCGCCCGTCCGTCCTCGCTCTCCGCCTCTAGCCTCCCTCCTCCTCTCCATTCCGCGCCAGCCTCGTCCTGCCCTCCGTCCCCCGCCATTCTATCCACTCCATTCTCTGCAACCATGTCTTCTGCGCTTCCTCGCTGGCTTATCTGCGCCGCGAACGCCTACATCGGGCCCGTGCGCAGGTGACGTTCACTTCACACCATCTTCGCCCAAGACCACGCTGCGCCCCCTCCAGACTTTGACGCCCCTTCCCCAGACCGAGGGGAAATATCGATCTCGAATGAAATACGTTGCTTGCGCGAGCACGAAGACGCCGCAAGCGTCCTTCGCACGCTGGCCCCAGGACACCCCCACCGCCTTCCGTCCTTCCTTCCGTCGCCCCGCAGCAGTCGTTTGCTGTGGTATGTACTCCACGTCATAGACAGCACTCTGCGCTTGCACTCGGTGAGATCTTAGCTCGCCCCGATGCGAACTTCGCCTATCATGTCCATATAGGTTTGCGGGAACGCGACCGACAGAATACGTCGCCGCGCACGCGCATCGCCGCTCCCCGCGCTGGAACGTTGACAGGATCTTCCTAGTGCACTGATCGCGACGCATGTCCACGCACGAAGCCGCCGTACGCGTCCTTCGCCTGCCACGCCGCTCACGAGCCGGCAACAGTCTCGGCGGCGTCCTCCCCTCCTACCGCCAGATGCACTCGTCAGGCGAGCACGCGCTCTCGCATACATGCCGAGTGACGTTATATCTCGCCGTATGTGCATTTTCAGCCGCCCCGGACGCGAACTGCGCTGACAGTCGCGCAGTTTCAGATCCCCCTGACGCAGAAATGCGAATACGCGGACCAATATTGCTCACGACAGCCCCCCCGCCCACGCCATATCGCGCCAGGAGTGCCCTCAACCGTCTGTGGCAACGAGGGCGCCGCACGACGTCGCAGGCGAGGGGCACGTCGCGCCGTTGCAGTGCCCAGACACGGAAACATGACGTCGACGTCGCGCGTCAATGCCGTACCTGATCGCTTCGCGGATGCAACACACAGCGTCCATGAACACCGGAGCATACACCCTGTGAGGTTCGTCGCGATCCGAGAAGAAAATATGTGGCACATTTCGGCTGATTTCATGTATTTTCAGGTACAAAATGCATTAAATCGCTCGTCCCGTGCCCGTCCCGCGCCGTACGGACGCGTATTTTGGCCAGAACATGCCCACAGATGCTGACAGTCGTTCGCCGCTGCTTCTGAGCGCGTGCGAACGGTTTGAATTTCGTCAATTTGGCGGGCGATCGATGGCGACCACGCCTACGTGCACGTCATCTCGCGTACCGCGCCACCCCTGCCGCCCAGCTTCTTACGTCGCGCAACGTACACCCACAGCATACATCTGGTGCGTTATCAGCTGTGCCGCTCACGATTCACGCTGACCACGGCGCATTTTCAGGCGCCCTCGGCACCCACCCCAAGGCCTGCCTCGCCGAATTCCGCGTACGAGCGCGGCGCAAACGTCGCGCATACGAACACCCAAGAGTACCCCGAGGGCGCACGGCATCTTAGAGGGCGCGGGCACGACGTAGGCGCCGCCCCCGCGTCGGGGCTCCTGCCGCCATGCCGTCACCTTAGCGGGCGCGCGACGCACCCCAGGCGTCTCAAAACACCACCACAGGCTCGGTGCATCATGGGGCACACGCCCTCCGCCTCTCGACGCGATCCGGGAAAGAAAGTTCGCGGCGCACTTTCGCGGCGCGGGGACACGGATGCGGCCGTCGCGCGACGAGGACGCCGCCGGGCGCCGGGCAGCTTGGCACGGGCACTCGAGAGGCCCCGCCCCGCGTTCCCCGCGATTTTGAGCCGCGCACGACGGCTGTGCGTTCCGCGGCGGGCGGAACTCTGGCGAAATGGACGCCAAAATGCGTCGAAAATGCCGCGATCGGCGCGCACATGGACCGAATTGGGTGCAGAGGCGCATCCGACGGGCGGGGCGGGTGCGTTCGGCGTGCATGGCGATCACAGTGTCGCAGGGAACGCGCGCAGGAGGCTTGCACGCCGTTCGCGGAAGGCGCACAGACTCGGTGCACGGCGACTCCGCCGCCGGCGCGAACGGCGCGCGGACGCGCTTCTCGATGCGGCGCCATCGCCATTGCCGACGCATGGCACGTCGTGGACGTTAGGCCGACGTCCCCATACGACCAGGTCGCGTGTGCGCGGCGGACGGCAGAGGCCCGCCGGCGCGCGCTGTAGCTAGTGACACCTGTACTTACCTCGTGGCCCGCCCCGCAATGCAACTTTCATGCACCTCGCTGCGTGCACGCGTACCCCGCCTCGACGCCCGCGCCTCGCAGGACACAGTGCCCGCGACGCCATCTGCTACGGTATCTACGGCTACGGCTACACCTCCCGCCCTCCCCACGCCCGCTTGTTCCGAGTCGCTGTACCCCGTACGCGAACTCCGCCGCCGGATCGTGTCCGAGTCGTGCCTGGATCGAATAGCCTGCAAGGTGAGTTCATCATGTCTATACACACCAGAGGAGCCCGCTTACCTCTTTTCGTAGATGTCTCGTCTGTTGATCGAGATGTGCCGTGCACGCGCACGCGGTCCATGACGTCTGGCTCGTCCGGAACAGAGGGGCTAAACGTGTTAATGCGAGATTGAAGGGCGTGGGAGGTACGTACTTTCCGTGCCGCATTGGGCGTGTACTAAATTGGGTTTTGCCGCAGTCAGCGAACGAGGCGGGATACTACAAACGCTAGAGACGACTGACCTCCTGAACCGCATAGGAACGAGCGCGAGCGCGAGCGCAATCCCGCGTCAGGTGCGTCGCGGGCTCGCGCGTACACTAACGGCTGTAGACGCGTCTGCTAGCGGCGTCGGCGCGAATGGGAGAGGCTGGATGTGTCAGTGGTAGGAACCATCACGGACAGTTTGGCATGTACGTACCGTTCCTGGCGTTCGCATTACAGCTTGTTCGCGCTGACTTGAGCCGTCTTGCAGCTAGCAAACGGCGTGAGAGGCTGCGATGGACAACCGACTTGTCGCCTGCCGTCCCACAATGCGGCTCTCGCGTGCGCACTGCTCTTCTCCTCGGCGCACACACGCCCATCGTGTCGACGTCTTGCGCGCAGACGGGCGCGACACCCCGCTCCTACCGTCTACTACAGTACTACGGCTACGGCTACTTCCCTCCCGCCCCTGCCCGCTTGTCTCCCGTGTCCCGCACGCATACGCCGCGTCGGGATCTAGCCTTGCCCGGATCTAGCGGCCAAGTGAGCTCGTATGTCCTGCGCGGACCAGAAGATACGGCTCACCTCGTTGCGGGCGACGTCTGGCGCATCGGCCGAGGTGCATCGTGCACGCGCACGCGATCCCCGACGTTCGGAGCGTCCTGCACGGAACAGAGGTGTTCGCATCAGCGGCCGGCGCATTCCTGGAAGCGTGTAAGCGGTACGTACATCCCGTATCGTGGCGGTGTCGTGCTAAACTGAGCTGTATTGCAGGCGGTGAGAGGAGCGGGAGACTGTGGAAGGCGGACCTGGGAGAGGCTCCCGGAACTGCGTCAGAACGAGGACGAGCACGTCTTCAGGTGCGTCGTCGCGATTTCTCTCGCCCGGCGCGCGGTTCAAGGCACGGCAAAGTGGTCTCACTCACCTCGCCGTGTCCGGTATCGCAAGCCCGCGCGCATGCGCACGCGCACGGACGTGGGCGCGTGTGTGTGCGTATCTGGACGCGCGGAAAGGAGAGGGCGGACGTGTGAGCGGCAGGCTCTGTTCTAGACCGTGCAGGACGTGCGTACCGTTCATCTTGCAGGGTGTTCGCGCTGACTCAGGCCGTCTTCCAGCTGATGAACGACGTGAGAGGGTGCGGGAGGGCAAACACCTGAATAAGAACGACTGACCTGCGGCCTCAGTGCGTGTGTGGCGATGCGTCGAGACGGCCGAGGGGGCGGAGGGTGTTGGCGACCATGTACGCGAGGGTGCTGGGCGAGTCGAGCATCGGGCGAAGACAACGGCGAGGGAAATTGAGGGCAAGGTGTCCACCCCATCCCTGCGCGCACGGGTACAAATACGAATTGCAGAGGCCGCTCGCCGCGCGTCGCACGGACCTCGGCCGACTGGTGGGGCTTGGCTACAAATATGCGAAGACTGGGTCCGCGCCGCGGCCTCGGACCGCACTGTTCCCTCACCCGCCCGCTTCCTCTCCCTTCGCTTCGTTGAGCGGGCTTCTTCGCCGTGGTGTGTCTCTCCCGGAGGCAATGGTCTCCAGTGCAGCGACCTTGAAAGTGTATCCATCGCCACAAGCACACCGTTCTGAAGATGCTATGTGCATGCAGACTTCTCCGCCTCCATTGGCGCTGCCTGCTCTGACTCACTCTTCCGGACACCAATCCCGGCCGCAGAACTGGTGTATTCTCGAGACTCGACGGCACAGAGATAGCCGCAAAAATTATGGAGAGCAGACGCACGGCCCTCGGGGCGAACTTCCGTGTGCCCTGTCGGTAGTAAGTCCGAAACACTACGGCTGTGTGTACCGCACAGTATGCGCCAATTCCTGTACTAAACAGCCAAGCTCCGGATGGATAGCGCACACGGAGCGCTGTCATTTGGCGGTATCAACCCTGAGCGCTGAGCTGCGACATCATCGGCTCTGCGTGATATTGTGTCCCGCCGCCTTGTGCACACTGTACCAGGCACTAGGCAAGAGGATTGAAGCAGCCTTTGAACACATGCGTGCATAACTGTGAGGTCTTTGGATGAATGAATAGACCTGTGTGCTGCTCACTGGGTCTGCTATCCACAATGAGAGGACATGTGCAGGTGCATAGCACCATTGTCTGGACTCGGACACTGATGCACAACATTAGCATGATCTTTGCCTTGCTAAACAACGCTTCTACTGCCATCTCGTGGGTGCACTTGTCGCACCGCAAGCTTCTAAGCAGCCGGCTCATCGAAAGGTCTCGACTCTCAAACTCTAATCAAGCTCTTGGAATCGGGCCGAGTTGCACTGCAGCATCCCGCGGTGCTCCGTCTCTTCGTCTGCTGCCACCGCTTGACTTTGGCGACTGATCAGACTGCTTATTTTTATTGAACACGTGCGAGAGCGGGGCAGATGTTGAGGACACTGTCAGCCCATCAATCTAGCCCATGTAGCTCGCAGTACAGGACCGTTAGAGTGCTTGATGCACAAGTAGTACATGCTGAGGGTTCGAGACACTCAGCATAACATATATAACACATCTGCGGCGGAAATATCTGGCGCTCTTGTAAAGAAGACACTTGATGCGGCAGGCGAGATTGAATCGTTCATTGACCCTGTCAAATGCGAGTAAATCAGGGTCAGGCGAGTCTGCGAAGTGCGCGTACCACTTCCGAGGCTAACGGCCGTGTGCGCGACCCGGTGCGGGGCGACAACCTCGGCTGAGATCGACGCAAGCGCGCCTAGAACCCGTCTACTCCTTGCTGTGCACTCAAGTATCTCCTGTGCGCGCCCGGATGCACGTCTTCTCCCTCTTGCACCTCGCCCTTCTACTACCCTTGCCGCGATATGCACCCGGAGCGCAAGCACGACCCATTTGTGCCCCACGTGCAGGCACATGGCAGACGACCCGTATCGGCATGGGACAACGTCAAGGATGACATGCGTGCGTGTCTGGACGATGGCATCGGTGAGTAATGGTGTCCAACGCTCGAAGGTTTGCATACTTACACTGTCACCAGACCGTCTCTCGCACGGGGCGCAGACGCGGATGCGGTATGCTCCATCCTACTATGCCTCCGACATCGTCATCAAGGGCGGGCACAAGATCGTCGGATGGCCGGCGGACGTACCATTCACAGATCTCAGCAATGTCCGCGGCGGTGTCACAATGCTCTATGAGCTCCGTCGGCGGTGGTGCCTGCCCGATGGACACCCCGAGAAGCTGCGCTTCGAGCCAGCGTCGCGCGAGGACCAGGCGAACGCCGCACGCGATCCCGAGAGCGTCCATCCCACGCCCCAGCACTTGCCGGAGCTCAAGGCGCAGGCGGCCGGTCGCAGGAGAGGCGCTACTACGGTCCATGTCGACACCTACCGCCCCGACAACATGGAGTACACTGGCCGCCAGGCGACCTCGACGGTGCCCGAGCCCAAGGAGCGTCGGCAACAGCGATTGGATACGAAGAAGCGGCGGGCGCGAGCGTCAGACTCATCGACGCGAGTGCGGAAGCGGCGGCGGCGGGAGGGCATCAAGAGCAGGGGGTACGTGCTGCCAGGGATGAGTGGGGCAAGCAGTAGCGGCGCCGGGCGAGCATCGGAGGAGCCGCCGGTGGACGACTACGACCTGGACGACCCAATCACCGAGTTCGATTTGACGACTCCCGACGGTGAGCTCTCTAGCGCGATCGAGCCTGCATCGGACAGCGAGAGGAAGAGGGCTTAGTTTGGGTGCAGCGTGTGCGGCATGGCAGGGTCCGGGAGGTTGACAGATTCGTGCTAGATTAGTCTATCCACTAGTAATGTCTGGTATCTCATCGACGAGCGAGCGGAGAGGAAGCCAGGGAGGCGGCGAGGCGGGCGCAGTAGTTGCGGAGGAGAGAGAAGGTCCGCCGCGCCGAACCTTTACGCGCGGGCGCTACAAACAACGCTGCCTGCCAAATTGGGCATGTTTACTCGGATTCGGGCCTCCGCGCGAGCATCCTTTCGCTCGTTACACTGTCTGCTCTGAAAACCGTGTACAGGCGGGTTCAAAAGTACTGACCAGATAGTACGGGGTCGGCCACCGGCTGCTTTTCGGTATCGTCTGTGAGATCAGGCCGTGCGTCAAGTCCGCGGGCGACTGGACTACCCTGAGCTGCCTAATTGAGGCTCGACGGCTGGCCTCACCCTGAGATTGATTTATGAGCTGGCATTACGTGGTAAGCTGCTGCAGCGATGAATCGGGAAAGGCACTACCTCGACGATAAATCCCGGCCGGCGTCCGCCCCACCGTCTTCTCTTCTTACTCCCCACTAGGCCCCTCTCCCCCTACTTGCTGACTCCCCTCGCCGGCACTCCCATCTGTCTGCGTCATCTTCCGTCAACATTACCCACCTCTTCTACGCTCTGATTACTTGCCACTATGCTGCCGCTGCCAGCCGCTCAGCCTCATTCCGATTCTGTATCCCCGCCACCCGCCACCTGCCCAACACCACCACCACTCGACGCTCTGCCCGTCAGCATCAAAGGCAGCCATCCCAGAACGAGCTCACTAGCGGCGCCGAGCACGACCAGTCAACTCGCAGCAGTGTCCAAGACGGCAGGATGAGTTGGCAGTGCATGTCGAGCGAGGCCAAGACCAAGATGCCAGCCTGGAACCGTGTAGCACGAGACGAGACGCTGCAGGCCACACCGAAAGTGTAGTTCTCTCAATTTAGCAGACGGCAGAAAGCAAGTGATAGACGAAGACCAAGGTTGGCGAGTGAGCACAAGTGTATTCGCCGTGTTGCCACCTTACTAAGTAGTGCAGTCGGTCAGGGCATCCGGCATTGTGGGCGTGGCGAGCGCCAGGGGGACGGCAGATCGAGAGGGTGCCGCCGCATGCAGAAGGCAGCACAGCAGGGGGTCGACGCGTACGATGTTTGCGCGTTGCCTATGGATGTGAAATACACTACAAAGGTGAGCATGCATACATTGAACTCTGATTCACACTGAACACGTACGAAGGCGACACAAGCGCGTCAACAAGGACGTGACGAACAGGCGCCACCTTGGACGCATGAGGCGCCGCGGGCCGATGTGATTCCGCGCTGCTGGACGACGTAGCTGTGCCGTCGAGCTCATGCTTGTCATGTACCAGGGACCGCTGCAACAGTGAGCATCGAGGCGAACGGCAAAAAGCGGGAGGACGCGGGGGGACGCGGTAGTGCCCGTTGGCTGAAAAGGTGAGCATCACATCCTCGACGCGCGTACCTTGCTGAGTCGAAGTCCCACAGCCCCGCACCGCTGGTGATCCACTGTACGCGAGGAGCCCGGGAGCGGAGAGCCAAGAGTGCAAGCAAAGGCGACGCGAGACGACGCGAGACGACGTAGGCAGCGGGCGGTGGTGGCGGTGCGGAGGTGAAAGGAGGAGTGAATGGCCGCGTGGACGAACGGATCCACAAGGTACGGGCGCCAAAGCTGACATTGCCCTCTCTTTCCATCCACGACTGTCCGGCGGCCTCGCGCAGACATCGCGGACACGCGAAGCATGCGCGCCCCATGCGGACTCCTTCAAGGCATTCCGCTTTGGAGAGTACAACCTTTGCATCCGAGCACGCGCCGGTGGGCTGCTCGAGTGAAACAGCTGTGCTGGCTCTTCCGGGGCCTGTGTCTCGATATCAAGATGCCACCAGGCCGCGAAGGTGTGTACTAGCTACCCTGGTACTGACTGTATTCCTTTCTTTGCAGTGCATGCTGTGAGTGCTCGCAGAGCCGCCCGACAAGTGCGGCCCATCGGGCGAGTCGCGCGAGGCACTCTCCCGGGTACGTTTGCATGCTGTCGAAGGTGAGCGTGCATGCACATATAGTGCGCATTTTCGCCCTGACGTGATTCACAGGCCGCAGACAGCATTTCTGCGTGGGCAATTGACCTCTCGAGCTTGGCCGTGCGTAGTCGAGCGCCGAAGTGCGCAATTTCGACATGGCGCGCACGCGGCGAGATGAGACGGGCGCGAACGGCAGCAACCTGCGTTTTGCGAACACACGAGCCGCGCCACACATGCACCGACCTTGATATGGAGCCAAACAAATCGCGAGGACGTTCGCCGGAGGGCCCGCATGACAGTAAGTGCCGCCGAGTGTCTAACCCGTCTGCCGCAGATTCGGACCGCTAGAGCAGGCGCGAGCCCCAAAGACTCGGGGCAGATCGGTGGCGGCGGAATGACATGAGCGCCCACACGGCGAGCATCGATTTCACGCAAAGTCTGCACGCAAGCCCCCAGTGCGCAGACTCTGCGGGCGCAAACGTCGCAGTCTACACTTGGGCGTAGACCGCCTCGACCTCGCGGCGCACGATCTGCACATCCGGTCGCATCCGGGCGCTTCTCAGCGAGTACGGTCGTCTGGCCGCCCTCTCGAGCCCGCGTTTTCGCGTTTCCCGCCGTTGGACTTGTGTATATTACTGCGTGGGGTGCTACGACGCGATTCCCAGCCATGTAGCACCGTGTCCTTGCAGCAAATATATTTTTCGGCCCTTCTGCTCTCTGTGTGTCTCCCCTCCCCTCCCCGCCGACTGTCCTAATAACCCCTACCGTCCTAATAACCCCTCCTGTCCATTAGTGCCCACTGTGCTAATAAGCCCCCTGTACTGCCAGAGTCCGTTAATCTCAGTGCAGGTACTCTCCTCGCATCCCCCATCCACGTGCACTCCCGCGCGCCGAGCATCTCGCAAGCCAGCCGCCATCGCACCGCCTCACACTCTTTGTTCCGTGCAAACAAATATATTCATCGCTATGTACATGTCCACATCCGCCCCGCGCCACACTCGTCCGCCCGCGCACCTGCCTACTGCGCACCCGCCCAGTCCAACCGCTGGTGGTCCGCCGAGCAGTACTTCACGAGCTTGCACCGGCTGCACACGAGCCCCGCGTAGCTCGTGCGTGCGCCCGCGCCGCCGCCGTACTCCGCGCCCGCCTCGCTGCCCTCGCTGCTGCCCTCCGAGCTCCCCTCGCCCGCGGGCGGCGGGTCGTCCGAGAAGCACACGTCGCAGTCGATCCAGTTGCACATCTCCTTTCGGCGCGCTCGCCGCCCATAGCGATAGCGCATCTTCTTCGTCTTCGTCTTCTTCGTGGACGTGCACAGCACCGCCGCGGTCGCGGGCCCGTGCTTGGGGAAGCGGATGAGCTCGCAGCAGTTGTCCGTGCACCCGGGGTTTGGGCAGCCGCTGGGGAAGTCGTGATAGACGTCGTGGGAGGGGACGAAGTGCGGGTTTGCGAAGAGGATCTGCGAGTAGGACATCGTCTGGTGCGAGAAGAGGACGATGAATGGCGGCCGCTTCTCGTGGAGGATCGCGCGCAGGGTGAGGTCGATTTGGGGGAAACAGGGCGTGCGGCGGTTGCGGTCGAGGGTGCTACTGAGCTGTATGTCTAGGAGGGGGCGATGAGGACGATGATATTCGATTAAAGAGCTGACGCAAAGCATTTCTCGTATGCGCGGGTTGGAGGAAGTGTCCTCAAGAGGTAGTGGAACCACACGAGCGAGCATATGAAACTCACAGTCATGATTGATCTTCTGCTCTGCGCTCGACTTGCAGTAACCCGAAGATGTGTTTTGACAGACATATTGGAAGTATTCGGACACTTGGTCCATCTCGTGTCGTTTGAGGTCGGTGACAATGACGTAAATTTCATCGCAGCCGCGATCGTGCATGCCGCGGAGGAGCATGAGCTCTGGGAGCTGCGGGAGTTCATGGGCCAGTACACGCACGACCACACGGACAGAGACGTACCATGCTGAAGATAACAGGCATCATAGTGAGGCGCTTCATGGAGCGGTGGTGGTAGACATGGGTGACCCAGGTGCGGTCGAGGGGGATGAGACGGCCGGTGTCGACAGTGCGGGTAAAGATGTTCTCAGGGACGAAGACGCCTTTGTTCCAGAGGAGGATCTGGTCGCGGCGTGCGAGCTCGTTGGCGGCGTGCTTGCGCTCGCGGACGCGCTGGAAC